AGATTACTTATACTTATAGTAATCTATAAGTAATCTAGGTTATATAAGATTATAGTAAGCTAAAGTAATCTAGGGAAAGCTTAAAAAGGAAATATCTATATAAACTATAAGTTTTATTATATATCTAATTTATCTTTTAAGACTTTCTAGTAGTTAATTTAAATATAACTATACCTCTATACTTAAATATATACTTCTTACTAATATCTTATAAATACTACTAGACTACTTTATTTACTTTATAATAAATACCCTTTAATTTTAATACTAGCTATACCTACTTAATATATTAGACCTTAGTATTAAGATTATAATAATACCTACTAAGAGAAATTAATTTATTTAATTTTTATTATTTAGCTATTTCTTAAGTAATCTTAATAATTAGGCGCCGGTAGAATTTACTAGAATGATTCTTTAATCTTAGAAGATCTAGCTTATTTTTTAATATTATAGTGCTGATCCTTATTATATTTTTGATTATCTTTATATATCTCTCTTATATAGTACTAGTTATAGTTATAAATATAAATAAGCCTATATTCCTAAAGGCTATATCCTATAATATGATAACTAATAAATATATTCTATAGACTACTTATCTATTATTTTTATAGGTTACTCGGGGTTTATAACCTACTTTTTATTCTTTAGAAAGAAATTAGTATATAATAGCCCGGTGAGTTGTTATAAGTTAAAGCTTTAACTGTTGATTTCTAACTCTTTAGCTAAATATTTAGATTATCAAGCGCCGCCACGACCCGGTCATCTAAGCTGAAACGCGCGATGGGAGAGAAGAAATCTCGAATAAGAGGACATAGGGAAAAGAAACCGCTCGGGCCGCCACAAGCCTAGGTCGTGTGTCGTACACGATATAAAGCAACTCTTTATGAGTAGCTATAGACTCAATCTAGCCCGAATATATGTATTTCATTCCACTGCCCCTTTTATTTTGATACGCGGGGTTAGGTATTTAACCCCTTTTGAACTGTAAATGAATGTACCTTTTGCATAATGGGTCTCAGATGCATATCCTATCACTCGAAGCCAGCTTACACGAATTAACTCCCAGCCTCCTTTAAAACTTGTCGGTGGTGGCGGAGGAGCCGCTGCGCTGCTGATGGGGCTTGACAAGCCTTATGATTGGAGGATATTCAACCACGTAGGCAGATGATGACGAATGACTCGTTTTGGCCCCTTGGAATACGAGATTACATATAGCATCATCTAGAGTCTTATCCGAATTATTCTCAGCGGCTTCTACCAGATTCACGACTATGCTAGTGCGACGCATTAACATGGCGAACCGCAGCATTCGGACCCATCGTCAACACTATATTGATAACCTCCGTATTTTTCTTACCAGCGTTGTCATAGTTCATCACACAGCCATCCCGTATGGCGGCACTGGATCGTGGCCCTTTAAATCCGCACTATTCCAGCACTCGTCCTCAGTACTGCTGGTTTTCAATGCTATTAACCAGGCATTCTTTATGGGCTTGTTCTTCTGGATCTCGGGTAGAATGTCGGCACAAACGCTCGCGAGGCACTTACCGGTCAAGTTCTGCGTGGGAAAACTTATTCGATTGGGTATCCCGACAGTTGTATATACCCTGGCCGTCCACCCAGTTGCAGGCACGCTGGCTTTGTCATCCTGGGATCTCGAGTCTGTTGTCGGATTCCTCAAGCAATACTATAAGGGATTGAGCGGTGTGAGAGGACCAGTCTGGTATACTGCTACCCTGATGATTTTCGACATCGTAGCTGCCGGGGCTACCAGTGTGATTCGATCAGCCACTTGGTCCGAATACAGCCTTTTACGGTCACTCGATATACTAGGCTATCTAGTGATGTCTGGGTGGGCCTGGATGGCTGTCGCCGGCATCAGCTTTCTCGTCCGTACTCATCTTCGTGTCGGCGATACCATAGATCTCCTCAATCTCCAACCGGCCTACGCGGCCCAATACATGTTTGCCTACACTCTCGGTCACCTCTCATTCTATAAGATGCAATGCAGGCTTTCAGGACCATTCAATCGTTCGACTTCCACATTAAGGGCAGTGGAGGGCGCTCAGCATTCCACAGCGGGAGGTGCTATGTCGCTTCTAAAGGCTCTAGGCCTCTCCCTTCTCACCCTTACCCCCAATTTTATTCCTCTCCTCTTGACAGGGCCTAGCCGTCGGATGGAGGAGACACGCGAACAGATTAAGGGTGGATGGAACCTTCCAGCCTCGATATACGCAATCTGGAACGAGTTCTCATTTGTTACCATCGGTCCAGCGCTGGTGGCATATTTTGAACTGGTGCACAGCTATCCGGCTACGTCCTGGCTATTTCAACCCCGCTATTCATACGCGGCATTCCTTGTCCACCCGCCTGCGAGCGTGGCGATAGAGGTCCTAGCCGATAAAATCCTTAGTATGGCGGGCATGCCAAGGCCGGCAACAGGTATGACGGTGTGGCAGACGGTCGGACCTGGGATAATGACCGCAACTATGGGGATAGTCAACACGTGTGTATCTTTTCTAGTTGGGAGATGGGTTGTAGAGTATGTGCCCTGGATCGGCAAAATAGTATAGTGCTCAATGATTTCAGAGGACGATGCAGAGCATTGCCATGTTTGCCCTTGGCCGTTTTACCTAGGTATTTTGGACACTCGAGGGTCTGTTACTAGATGAGATGGGGCTCCGCGGGTGGAGGTGCTACTCCATTCATAGAAGATTAGCTCCCAGAGGAAGAACGAATTAATACCGGGCAGCGCGTATCTATCGGTAGAGATGGTACAAGTCGACTTGGAGCCAAGAACGGGGGGCATCGACATCATGAGCATCACCGTGTTAATCGAGGAACGGTGGGGGTCATATTATCCCGAATATGGGTGTTCTGTGACTGTGGAGGCTCTTCTAAGTTCTCGAGCTGGGCATGAGAGCCTAAAAGGCCGCCGCCGTCAAGTCGTGGGTGCGAGCTTCCTCGGCGTTTGACTTGAGGGCTGAGCGTAAGGCAGATATACCCTAGGCCAGTTTATCATTTATGAAGCTTATTACTTGTAAATATCTTATTATAATTAAGTGTAGTTACTTTTTACTTTATATTATATTTCTTAGCTTTAATAAACTATGAATTAAAAAAAAAAAAATAAAAATCCAGAGATGAAAAGTTTATAGCCTCAGGGCCTTTATTAAAAACTATTCTTGAAAGCTGCCCATTTTCTCTAGCACGAACTCATCTACTTGAGTCACCAACCTACCCTTTGGTTTGAATGAGACATCTTTCATGTCGCCATTGCTACCGAATCCTACTGGACCCAGCTTTACTCTCCCCGTCACCGTCTGCAGTACTTGGTCGGCGATCTTCTCTGACTCGAGGGAGTCACCTCTCCATGCCACGTGCTGGTCTGGCCGAATGAGGACTAAATTGCGTCCGTACAGTTGTTTGGCCAGCAGCTCATGAGCGAGGTTCACCACTTTCACCGGGATAGACAATTGTTTCGCGGTAGCCGAGAGCAGGTTTTGCCCTACGTCCTCCTCAGTAAAGACCAGTAAGGTCCAATGGGCACCAAACAAATCGAAGATGGCTTCGCCATTCGAGAGGAAGATGTGTGGCGGCCGGCTCCCTGGCCAGGTAGATGGAGTATAGTGACGTGCGGTCCAAGGCGGCTCAGCCCCATCGGCGTCTCCGCGAAGGATAACTGGAGACGTATATCTATAGTCCATCTCGATTCCGAAGTCCTTGTTCTCTCCGTCGTTTTCCTGGTAGTACTCATGGATGCGACGCCGGAGCTCACTCCCTTCTTGGGTGTCTTCATCAACGCGACGTGGGTCTCCTCCGGCCAAGATCTCCTTTAGCTGATTGTGGACCTGGAAATGGACACCTGAGTGGCTCATATTCCGAATCGCGACTGGCTTGCGCTCCTGTTCATAGGATCTTAGGAGTCCAGGCCCAGCTTGACCATTGACCACAGCCGCAAGTTTCCAACCAAGATCGAAAGCGTCGCCGATGCCCGTGTTCATACCGTAGCCGCCCGTTGGGATATTCTGATGCGCTGCATCACCGGCGATGAAGACACGAAAGTTTGGGCTTGACCAGGTCCGCGCGACGGCGATGTTCGGCCTCCATACTGAGCGGACAAGAATCTCGTCGATCTCAATGGGATAGTCGCCATGAAGACCACCGAGAACCTTATACACTGCCTGTTTGGCATCCATCTTGTCCAGTTCGGAGTCCAGTGGCATGAAAAGATGAGTCGTCCACGTATCCTCTTCGTCCTGCGAAATAATGCATGCCTCGAAGCCGCCGGACTCCCCCAGAAAGAAAATATGCCAGAAACGCCCTTGTCGGTGGAGTCGGGTCAGGTCGCGGGATTTAAAGTGAACAAGTAAGGCGCACGTTGGACTGGGGTCAAACTGATTAGCCAGGGTCTTGCAAAGAGAAGCTCTCGTTGGAACTTACACTGGATTAATATCCAAGGGCATATGAAGCGACTTGCGTACCCTGCTCGATGCACCATCGCAGCCGGCCACGTAGTCTGATCTCCAAAGCGTTCTGATACCGGTATCTACCTCGGTGATTCTAGTGAGAACACCGTCATCAACCCCCTCTACAGATTCCACCTTGCAGCCATAGTGGAGGTCTACAAGGGGATCCTCGTCGCATTTCGCCTTCAGCCATTTCTCGAAAATGGCCTGAGAGACTCGCTGCCAAGGCTCAAGTGGCTGCGTGCCGTCGTTGTTCGCCAGTATGCGTTTGCGGAATTCGTCAACCCCGGGCAGCTCCCACGAGGTTATACAAGAAGGGGCGGATAGGCCTGTCGAAATGAGTACATTCTGGTTGATGTGGCCGGGAACACCCTGCTTGCGCAAGTCATTTGCCAACTCAAGCTTGCGGAACAGTTCCATGGATCTTGCATTGGTCAAATCCATCTTGGGCCAGCTCGTGGTGGTTTTGTTGCGCTCAAAGAGTATAGACTTGACTCCGTAGAAAGATAAGACGCGGGCCAGGATGAGCCCAACTGGGCCGCCTCCAGCAATCAGCACAGTTCCAGCCGGCGCGACGCGGGCAACCTCGCCAGTATTTGCTTTCTCGAGAGTCATGATAGGTATGATTCAAGTTTAGAAGAATGATTGTGCTAATAAAATTCGGGCGGATGGATGCTATATTGAAGCGTAGATTCAGATTGACAGAGACCAAGCTACCAGTGGGGGGGATTTTCAATTATTATGAATAGAGTCTGTTGACACATGCGTTCGAGGTTGAGCGTAGTCCTAACTTTCCTCGGGCGTGCAGGTCCGAAGCCGCCCCTCCATACTCGGGCACTGCGGCGCCGCGGGGTTACGCCCTCCTCTAAGGGATGCCCACTTAGTGCGAGCCCGTCGGCCCGCGGGTTCGAATTGATGCATCTCGTGGTTAGAAATTACCGCCAGAGGTAAAGCTCTTCATGGGGAGACGCAGTACGCGATGGTTGAGCGGGACTACGACTAGATTACAACCATAGAGGCGACACATCGTAGTTGGAAAAGCGCTGCATGTAGTTGAGTGTGATGATGGTTTCTTATTCAAAGCCGCTCGCCAATATCTTTTATGTCATCGAAGCAGAGCGACATAAGGTACCTTGGAGCTGCGTGAGACAACGAGACTTAAGCCCTTTAAGCTTCTACGTAATCATTGATGCACCGTATCCTCAAAAGCTAATATACTTATATAACTTTAAAGATTTGGTATCCAATCCCAAGAGTCTTGCCATCATCACAACAAATCACGCTTCCCATTCCCAGAAATCCCACTGAAAAGTCTTGCTGCCGGATGACATGTTTTATGTCGCGTAAAAGTGCTCTTTCCCAAAGTCAAGGCCACTTCCCGGGGAAAGAATCATGGCCGGAGGCGCAAAAGACAAAAGTGCCAATGTATTGCAAGTCAAGATTGATGCCACCTAACCCGACCACGCCGACCCCCGCACCGGCAGCATCAGCGCCCCGACCAGATTCGAAAAGCATGTCCAGTCTTGTCGGCCCATTAATGATTTTTCGACGTGCTTTCTTCCCGCTAGAAGGATGAATTTTAGACATGGTGTAAAGTATGGGTGCCTACTGTTGAACGCTGAACACTGTTAAAGCGTAGTTCCAATCACCCCTGGAAACGCCCTCGAGGCATTAGGCAGCCAAACAGCCATGATGAAAGCAGTTGTCAGCTCCAGAGAAATCATAGTGGCCAGAGTTTCTGAGAGAATATTTGTGTCGCTAAACTGAACGAGGACTGCGATGTTGATTCACGTTGATGTAATAATCGTGTCCGTGATTCGGCATTCGTTGGGCGTTGCCACGAAGGCTCGGAGTCAGCATCTCGGGCCCAAGCTGCCACAACAGGCCCAAAGTCGATATTTCGCGATTTTCAAACATCGAAAACAGTCAAGCCAGCAACTCGGACGTTGGGGACTTGCGCGAGGGACGTCAGCTTTTACCTTAGGTAACGTGGCATAGCCTTCTTGTAGCTTACATATTAGTCGAACGCCATGCTTCAGCAGCGTCTGACGTAGTGTCTTGGTACCTGGTTCTCCACCTTCTCTGTACTGCTTCTGTCGGCTCGGTGAGAGAGACAAGAGCATAGGCTTGTTATACTCCTTTTCTGTTGCGACTCGATTCGCTGAGGCGTCATCTTCGTTCAGCGGAATTGATGATCGACTGGCGACTCTTCAATGCCTATGGGCTTTTTGGGTCGCCCCGTCACAAGGCTTCAGCGCCCATGATCGACGGCTGGCGCGGGAGGAAGCGGGGTTTCTGAGAATAGCCACTTCTAATGTCCGCGTCACTCGTTAGGTATCATAAAATATAAAGCTCTGTTCGATAGAGCTTTTAGGAACTCATGGGGTGCGTCTCTTTTGCCAGCCTGGCATCACATCTGATAGTTTCCGCTTGCTCAGATGATGAGGAACTCTGGGCTCGGTTCTCGTGCCAGATCATGTCTGCTTTATTTTCATCCAATGGATAATTGAAGGCTGGTTAATATTACTGAAGCGGATTTGCGAATGGGAAAAGTGGTCCTCGGCAAGTATCCTAGCTCACATGACGTCTTTTCGACAAGGAGGTGTAGCAACCGCAGACGGTCTAGCTACCTCGCTGGATGTGGCCGAAAGAGCCTCCCACGTAGGGGCACGAGGTTCATGTGGTCTGTCGGCTTGAGATGTTGCTCAGTACGAAGCAAAGAAGTCTAGAATTGCCTTTAGGCGCCGCCACATTCCCCTGGTCAGCCCGAGCCCGAGCCCGAGCCCGAACCCGAATTTTCCCAATCGGGTAGTTGGTATACTATACACTGAGCCGTAACCACCATTGCGGGTAACGCCGGCCCGGTGTCAGGTCCAAGAGCCCAAAGGAGCACCCGAGTGCTTACAAGTGTGACATCCATCGACTCGAGTACCGAGTACGGGCCTTAACTGGAAGACTCGGAGCGTATGCGATTTCTAGAATGCCCATCTTTGAATTGTCAAGCGCATCCTCTATCAAAACTCTTGTATACTGACACGAAACAGTACCGCCTTGTTCGATCCTCAGCCCTTTGAAAGCTTGCATCAATAAGCTGGTACAGGGGGAAAGCCGCAATGCCCAGCAAGTGAATTGAGAAATGCCCTTCAAGTTCCGACCCATGAGAGGCGTTGCTGGCCGCATCTGCCGTTATTCGACGAAAGTAGAGAGTACACCCGCGCGACGATTGAACCTACCAATTGATTTCGGCGTCACTCCTCTCCTGCATCACAGCAGAGATACTCTTGCCACCGCTCCAGGGCTGCCGAAGACAGGAACCTCAACGAAGCTGAACCTGTTCCAAGCAGTCAACTCAGCCCTACAAACAGCGTTGAGATCTTCGACCCGAGTGTTGTGCTTTGGCGAGGATGTTGGCTTTGGCGGCGTGTTTCGGTGTACGACTGGATTGCAGGACGAGTTTGGGCGTGATAGGGTCTTTAACACCCCCATCTCAGAACAAGGCATCGTCGGGATTGCGATCGGAGCCGCCGCCGAGGGCATGAAGTCCGTGGTCGAAATCCAGTTCGCCGACTATGTCTTCCCTGCCTTCGATCAAATCGTCAACGAAGCAGCCAAGTTCCGCTATCGCGAGGGGGCCACTGGTGCTAATCTTGGGGGTCTGGTTATTCGCATGCCCTGCGGCGGGGTTGGACATGGCGCTCTGTGAGCCTACCAGGTATGTGTATGAAGGCGAAAAAAGAGTACTAACGAAAAATCTAGGTACCACACACAATCTCCCGAGTCCCTATTCTGTCATGTCCCTGGCTTCCAGGTCGTGATGCCTCGATCTCCATCCCAAGCAAAAGGCTTATTACTTTCCGCCATCCTTGACTCTAAAGATCCTGTTATCTTCATGGAGCCTAAAATTTTATACCGCGCGGCCGTCGAGGAGGTACCGGATGATTTATACACTCTACCATTGGGCAAGGCCGAAGTAGTGAAACCCGGTAAGGATCTTACCGTCATCTCTTATGGTCGTCCGCTCTATACGTGTTTGGCTGGTATCCAGGCTGCAGAGAATGAGCTGCGGGGCCTCAGCGTTGAGCTTATCGATCTACGCACTATATATCCTTGGGACCGTGAGACTGTGCTCAATAGCGTCCGAAAGACGGGACGGGCCATGATTGTGCATGAAAGTATGGTCAACTATGGCGTGGGATCAGAGCTAGCAGCTACAATCCAGGAACACGCCTTATATTATCTCAAGGCCCCCGTCCGCAGAGTCGCTGGCTGGTCAACGCATACGGGTCTTGCATATGAAAAATACATCTTTCCAGATGTTGCGAGTTTGTCGCCCTAGTCATCGCCTGTAGAGGCCCTTTGGGATTGTCGCTAATAGTTCACCACAGGGGTCTATGACGGTATACTCGAGCTTATGGCAACGGAGGAGTAGGTGGAATGTACTTGTTGGAAAGCCAATGCCATGTGGATATCATGATTTAATTAGACTACATTCAAACCCCATTTATCTCTTCATATCCCCTTGCTTTGACCTCGTGAGATAACCGTCCCCTTTTCCGACTACGTCGAGTAGTTATAACTATAATATCTCCATTAAAGATCTCATCTTCCACGTATCCCATGTATTATGTTGTCGGGAATCGGGATTGACCTATGGGTACGTCGAAGACCGTTGACATCATAGATTCTTCTACTTTAATTTAGGCCCATTCAATGTCTATAGCATGGTTTAATACAAAGATAGTAAAATATGAACAAATCGTCTATTGCTAAATACAATGCAGCTTCCGAACTTCAACACTCGATGGAAGATATTTACAGACCTTCAATGCCGCCTACGTGTTGCTCGGCATCGTATTCACCCGGATACTTCTGTATCAGCCGCTTCAATTCCTCCCTTTGGGACCGGGCCTCTTCTGTCAATTCAGCGTAGACATCATCAAAAACGGCTCTCAACTCCGGCTTCTTTTCTCTCTCTGCCATGGTGAGCTCCCGAATAACATCCTTACGTATCTGCTTTCGAGCTTCCGCGTCTAGTTCCTCGTTCCAAACCCCTTCGTTCTTCAACCATTGAAAAAGCCTCGAAATGGGGTCACGTTGCGGGGACTTCCAGTACGCGACGTCGTCTGCGCTGCGGTATGCTAAACTGTCATCGCTGGTGCTATGGTGTGATATGCGGTAGCTCATAAACTCGAGCAATATGGGCCGTCCACCGCCCTCGAGAGCTTTCTCCCTGGCTGCTTTAGTGGCCTCGTACACCGCAAAGATGTCCGTGCCGTCCACGCGCAGAGATTCGATGCCGTATCCTCGTCCTCGGCTGGCGATGCCATCTCCTTTGTATTGCTCTGAGGCAGGAGTCGAGATTGCAAACCCGTTATTGCGACAAATGAACAAAACCGGGCTCTGTATAACAGAAGCTATATTCAGAGCGCCATGGAAGTCGCCCTCGCTCGCGGCGCCCTCGCCAAAATAGGCTACAGCCACCCGGGGAGGACTAGAGGTGTCCTCTCTATCTTGCATCTTCAGAGCATACCCAGCGCCGGCGGCGTGGGGGATTTGCGTTCCGAGCGTCGACGCCACGGCGTGCTAGTTGAGAATGAGGTGTCAGCGTTGGAGATGAGCCGAGCGAGTTCACTTCCCCAGGGACAACGACGAGGCGTTGCTTCAAGACGTACCACCCCTACTTTGCTCCTCCCGCTGTAATGAACGGGCATATTTCGCCCCTTCCCGGGGTCATTGCAGTTGGCAGCCAGCTGGCTCATAAAATCCTTGAGCTCAAATCCTCGCTGGAGAAACACACCATGCTCCCTGTATTGAGTTGTTATGATATCCCGTGGGCCTAAAGCGGCGGCTGAGCCAACCATGAGTGCTTCCTCTCCAGCAGATACCTATTGTGCAGGGTAAGCTTGTTGGTAGCGCAGACCAAGCCTTTCATCGCCGAGGGGATCAATACCATGTAGAAGCTGACACGGCCGTGCCGTTGGGCGTCGAACATGATGGCGTCCATGATGTTGACTTTATGGGGTCGGGCTCTGTTAGTTTTTTGCAAAATATTTATCTATTGGCTGATCAGGACATACCAGTCAGCATGTTCTTGTACCACTTTAACACCTCACTACTTGTAATATCAGATGACATGCGGCTCTTGTCGTCGATTCTGTTCATGTCGTTCAAAACACGGAAAGTCGGAATCTTGGGCGCATTCGACGGCACATCCCATTCCATCTCAAAGGTGAAAGGACTCTCAGTCGCCCCGGGGAATCTTGGCTTGCTAATGGGAACGGCAGATCAGCTCGACATGTCACGATTGCTAGCTGGGATGATCTGAAAGCTCACGGTATGTCGACCTCTGCGTCTGATGACAAACTTCGCCGAGCGTTGACCCCCAACCTGGAAACCTTCAACTGTGCACGCAGGGTTGCGCGACTCCAACGCAAGGCACTCATCTCGATTCGGGATATTCGGCGTCGTCCTTGAGCTTACAGATTGAAAGGTGGAAGATCCAGCGGCCTCTTGTGTCTTGATACAGCCAGTGGACAGTTTCGTGGTCTTTTCAGTCCCGGCTGGGTGTCTTGCAGTCCGAGGCCTCGGCTATAGCCGGCTTCCGGGGTAGGTGACGAGCCGTCGCAGCAAAGATGCCGACATAACACGAGGCCGAGCCGAAACATGCCGCGAAACACCGTTTCATGACACGGACCTTTCTCTTGTACCAATTTGATAACTCATAACCTTATCACCACGACCCCATCTGGCGCGGAACTCCCGCCTCGCTCTGCTTTGGCTTTCAGTTTATGCATCCCGACCTTCCGCCCGTGACAGCTTCCCCTCCAACTGCCAGAAAGCCAAGAGACACGATGTACCGTTTCTTTAGACAAGCGAAGCCAATGACAGAAATACGGGCGAGTGCATCATGGTATTATTCCCTTGGTGTTAGAAATTCCGCCCGTCCAGGTGGTTTCTTCCAGAGCCGCTGGTTTTGCAAGACTCCGGAGTTGCTCGCGGTGAAGCCCTACCTTCTTGCTGACATCGGCGAAGGTTGGTATATTTCAAGCCCAGCAAAGAAAGAAAGAGAGACATGGTAGTAACAGCCTCAGGGATTACGGAATGCCAGATCATCTCATGGCTGGTGAAGCCTGGGGACGAAGTGCAGGAGTTCGACCCAATCTGCGAAGTGCAATCTGATAAAGCTTCGGTAGAGGTATGAAATTCGATGATGCACCAACCTGGGGCACACTGTTTCATGAACGTCACTGAAGCCTCCGCAGATCACCTCGCGATTCGAAGGAAGGATTGAGAAGCTCCACTATTCACCTGGTGACATGGCAGCAGTCGGCTCGGTAAGCCTCCCAGGGGACCGTTTATCCCGAAAGACCACCAAAATACTGACTTTCGTAATTCATTAGCCACTGCTTGATATTGATGTTGAAGATGGAGAAGAAGATCTAATAGAGGAGTCATTCACCGCTGATTCCCCGATCGAAAACGATAACGAAGCGATAGGGACGACAGCATCAACCGAAATATCCAAGCCCCCAGTCCAAACACTTGATCCTGTCTCAAGGTCTGAGAGCAGCGGGATAAAGGTAGACTATGAGAGCCTCTTTTTGAAGCAACAAAACGCAGCTCTCGTCTCTCCTGCTGTTAGGCGCATTCTAAAAGAGCACGATATCGATATCAACGAGGTTCAAGGGACCGGGAAAGACCAACGCATCCTCAAGGAAGACGTGCAAAGGGTCTTAAAAGCCCGTGAAGACATCGATGCGACGGAGAATCCTCCCCCCTTCTGGCCTAGCCCCGAGTCCAGCAACCGGAATTCTCCCATTGGCGACCGCCTTGTTACTTTATCCCCGATTCAAGCCCAAATGTTCAAGGCGATGACCCGATCCTTAAGCATTCCGCACTTTCTCTATACACATACGGTGGATCTCACGGAGTTTGTTCGCATCCGAAAAAGGGTTGCAACTCGCCCTGCGATAGCAGCTCGACTACAGACCGGAGATGGAAAGCCGCTTAAATTAACCTTACTTCCATTCATGCTCAAGGCGCTCTCTGAGGCTGTCAGTTCGTTTCCTATCGTCAATTCAAGGGTAGTCGAAAATGGCAAGACGGGCCATCCTACGCTCGAGATCAAGGGATCGCACAATTTCGGGCTAGCAGTTGACACACCACAAGGGCTCCTGGTGCCAGTGGTACGAAATGTTCAGCACCATTCTATTATGTCTCTGACAAGAGAGATTTCTCGCCTCGGACATCTCGCAAGGCAGGGAAAGCTCAAGCCCGAAGATATGCAGGATGCTACTCTGGTTGTAAGCAATATCGGTAGCATCGGTGGACAGGTAGTGGCACCTGTGATTCTCTCGCCTATGACAGCTATCGTCGCTATCGGGAAGGCCGAGGAAGTGCCTGTATTCGCGGTCGATAGCGACGGAAACGAGAGCATCGTCAAGAAAACCAAGGCCGTGGTGAGCTGGAGCGCCGATCACCGCATTCTGGACGGCGCAACTGTGGCGAGATGTGCGCAGCAGCTCGCACTCTGGCTTGAGAACATAGACGACATGGGTTTGGTTCTAAAATAGAGAGTTTTTAACAACCTTGCTTGCACGCGAGACGTTGGGTAACCCGGACGCCAAGTCGCTCGGGGAATGTCTGCTGAAATCGCCGGTCTATTCTCGGGATAATAAATATATCCGTATCCCTTCATAATCCGTAACTTTTGCTCGCATGTGGCGGTCTTCCTTATTTCCCAGTTCCTCTACCGTCGTAGTAAGACCGCCATCGAAATCATCACTTGGCCTCGTCCTGACCCGCCGAGCCGAGAACCTTAAAAAAATAAAATTAATTCATAAAAAGAACAAATGAAGTCTTTTAATAACCTACATAAATTAATTTCGATTATTCTACAAGTATAGATATTTATTATATCTAGATATACATAGCAGTTTACAATATGATGTATTGTTGAATTCGTCGATAACCTCGCTCCGCTCGACTTCGGCAATCACCGGAACATACAATTACTCCTCTCTTTTCAATTCATTCTCTAGTAGATCGGCTTTACTCCAGATACTAAGGAAGATGCTGGCGACCTCCTCGATTTGGTCAGGGTGCATCTTTAGGCCGCTAGCAAACGCCACATGCGCCCTTGGCCTGATGACCAACCCGAGCCCGAACCTGAACCCCGCGGCGGCAGCGGTCTGCGCGCTGCCTTGCCACATGGTACTCCTTTGGCCGGCTTCCAGACCCCGAAGCCGAGGCCAGGAGTGGCAGTAAACACCATCACAGAAAGAGGGATGGCACTTGAGTTGGATGTGCATTTTCCGTTGTACTGATCGAGGTACCAAAAGGCACAGGGCTTTCCATATATGACATGACTGGGATCGCAATCGTCGTCCAAACATGCCACAAACCATCTCGATCATTCCATCGACAGAATCACACTTGAGACACATCTGACCCAGGATCCGAAATCCATCCCCCTCACGATGACTTCACCCCTTTCGTCCCTTATGATGACTACTCCCCTTTCGATGTATCTATTCGGCCTTGCGCCAGCAGTAGCTGTTCTGCTGGTCTTGGTCAAGGTGGCCAAAGTTGGCAGCCGGCCCGCGGGCTTGCCTCCGGGGCCTCCAACCCTGCCACTCATTGGAAACCTGCATCTTGTGGGTCCGCCCCAAGAGCACCGGATTAGCTTCAATTCAGCTAATGTACTTTCAGATGCCCACGGATCGACCACACTTGCAGTTCCAGAAATGGGCTCAGGAATATGGGTAGGATGACTGCCATCAGTCCTTAGACACGTGGAGATGCTGAGACCCTCGCCTAGGCCGATTTACTCGCTCATCCTGGGAACGAAGAAAGTCATTGTCCTTTCCTCAGATACCGCCGTCAAAGACCTCCTTGATAAGAAGGGTGGCATCTATTCGGACAGGCCGGACATGTTCATTGGACAGAAGATTGCTAGCGGAAATCACCGCCTGGTAGTGATGGTGAGTGCAGATGCCCAAACCCAGGTGGTCGTGCCTCGACGATCCAACTTGATTCCCCCAAAACTAACAATGGCCATAGCGATATGGCGACAATTGGCGAATGATTCACAAAATGGTCCACAGTATTCTGAACATCAAGTCTGCAATTTCCTACGTTCCCTACCAGGATCTCGAGAACAAAGTGTTGCTCAATAGCCTGCTCGATACCCCAGAGGACCTCTTATTTCACATCAGGCGGTTCACCTACTCCTTGTCGACGCAGATGATCTTCGGTTACCGCTGCATTGACAATAAAGATCCCAACCTGTTGCAGCTTTTTTCGGTTAGTTTCACTTTGACCCAGGCCTTCCGTATTCATAACGATTGACTCTCTTGAAGTGCTTCGAGAAATGGGGCAAGCTATCCGGGAGTTCAAGCGCCCAGCTCGCAGACCTCTACCCTATCATGCAGAAGCTGCCTGAGATTATCGCCCCTAATGTCCGTTACGCCCGTAAACTCCACGAGGTTGAAAGGAAGCTATACGTCGGTCACTGGTTGAGATCTAAGAAAGCGCTCGACGACGGGACGGGATTGGTAAGTTGACGCCAACCATCTTCATCCGATATAAAGTTGACTTTGTCTTACTGACTATGGGGGCTCTTCAGCCATGCTTTTGCAACGATATCTATGAAGGACAGACTATTCATGGGTTTTCCGACGACGCTGCTGGCTACATGAGTGGATCCTTGCTTGAGGCAGGGTCGGACACAACAGCATCCACGCTCTATGGGTTCATCCTTGCCTTGCTCGTCTGGCCCGAGGTGCAGCGGCGCGCGCAGGAAGAGATCGACCGGGTTGTGGGGCCTAACCGACTGCCCACCATGGATGACTGGGACAACCTCTTCTACGTGCGGTGCTGTATGAAGGAAAGCTTGAGATGGATGCCAACAGTCCACTTGGGTGTACCGCATGCAGCCCTTAAGGATGATACGTACTTGGGTTATACTATCCCCGAGGGCGCGACAGTCATCAATAATGTCTGGCAAGTTAATGACCATCCTCGAGGCCCTGTAGAGCTTGAATCGCGCTAACAAGCGGGGTAACACTGCAGGGCAATCCACATGGACCCGGAGCGGTCTCCTAATCCACGAGTCTTTAACCCCGATAGATTCAAGGACGATCACACCACGCTCTATCAGTCGGCTATTGGAGATACGAAGAAGCGAGATAATTTTGTCTTTGGTGCTGGACGTCGCTTGTGTCAAGGAATCCACATCGCCGAACGCTCTCTGTTCCTCGGAGTTTCTCGACTGCTCTGGGCTTTTAATTTCTCCCCGGCTAAGGATGACTCCGGTCGGCCTATTCAGTATGACATTGAGGACTTGGTTGGGGGGATTACGATCCAACCAAATGACTTTCCAGCTGTCATCACTCCACGCACTAAGGAGAAGGTGGCTATCATCCGGAAGGAAGCTCGGGAGTGTCAGAAGCTGCTTCATCCCGAGACTGGTCAGTGGCTGAAGATCCCAGAAGGAATGGCTTTCAGTAAATGGACGCCACAGAAAGCTGTTGTTTAACTCCTGTTAGCTCGGGAGCGACAAACATCGGGACTCACTTGGTATGTTTTCGGGCCGGAACTCGCCCACTTATGTGGTTTATGGGCATGTGTCTTCTCATTGTCAATATTGGATAGCATTTGCTCCTTAGACTTGGTCTCTCACTGATATCGGACCTACTCTTCGCCGACGCGATGCCTGTATGGATTAGCATTCCGATATTATACAAACTACTAGGTGTACTTTGTTCCATTGATCTTGGGATGATCCAGTTGACTTAGTCCAGTACTTGTAGAATTGCCGCAAGACATGGGTTCGTAATGACATTTACAAAGTGAGACTCGGATATCCAAGTCGGGCCTATTTTCTTAATTGTCGTTCTTGTGAGAATATCCGCGGGTATATAGACTCTATCTCTCTCCGGCATATCTTGTGGAAAACGACCGGAACTCGAGTACAGAAAGAAGAAACAACATTCTATGACTTGGCTTAAATGCGCCGGGTGCGGCCAAGTAATTGCTACTGGGCAAAGTGATACATAAAGAGACTAACACATCTCATTAGATCTTAAACAGATCAATGCCCTGGGTCAACTAAAAGAAGATGGCGGTTGGACCAGGCGAGGAAGTTGGAGTCGCTATTAATTTTACGTCGCACTTTGGACTCTCAAGTTGTTTGTAAGGAGAGACTCTCGGTATTCGGCCAGTGATACAGTCTTCTTCTTCTTCTTATACGTTACTCGTATTTCACTTCGTTGATGAGCGTCCCAATTCCTTCTATTTCAACAATTATTTCATCGCCATGATTCAAGAAAATCCTCGGGGACCGCAAGAATCCAATTCCGGGTCCCGTACCTGTGAGAATGACGGTACCCCGCTCTAAGGTGGTTCCTCGCGACAAATACGATATTATTTTGGGAATCGAGAAAATCATGTCCCTGGCATGTCAGTCAAAAGGAGAAAGACGGTCGACGGGTTTTACTCATACCTTGTGTTGAAGTCCTGAACAACCTCTCCATTATACAAAGCCCTGACGCGGAGGCTGTCGGGGTTTGTCATCGCCCGTTTGGAGACAAGAACAGGTCCCAAGGGACAGGAGCTATCTAACCCTGTTAAATTGTGGGTTTGCAGTTAGTCACCGCCATAGAATAATGCCGTGAAACGAGGCTCAACGATCCCCCCTTACCCTTAGAGAATGACACTTGGCTGTCTTTAAACTGCTGTCGACGTGAACTAACATCGTTGCTGCACACATAGCCGAGAACATAATCCAAAGCAGACGCCTCCGGTATGTCCCGTCCCGATTCAGAGAGAACTACAGCGAGCTCGGCTTCGTAGTCACTTGTGCCGTCTTGTACGAACGGTGGTATCTTGATTAAGGAAGGTGATGGCCCTATCAAGGCAGTCCGAGGCTTGATGAACAACATAGGCTCGTCCGGGATGGGCAAATCTGCTTCCTTTGCGTGGCCGTAATAGTTTAACCCAATGCCTCGAATAATAGGGACCTCTTCTGGGGCAATTGGAGAGAGAAGCTGAGTGTGGTTAGTGATGTGATGCCGCAACTAGCGCCGGCTTCTGGAGTGAACGGCATACCAGCGCAATGTGCAGAACAGTGTCTGTGATCTGCCCGTTAAAGAGAGACCCCGATATGAGATTGACGTCGACTCTCTGTCCGCGTGACACGGCAAGGCCGACGTCCTGCCATTTGGTAGGGTCAACTTGGCCGAGATGAGCTTCACCATCCTCCTCAGCAATGAAACGAACTGCGTGAGTCCATTCTGAAGCCATGATTGTAGTCGGTAAAGGAATGGCTTTGGCGGCCAACCAATCTTCAATAACCATGTCCAACAGATAAACTTGGCAGTTTATTGCCAGAATCCTCTCGACGGACTTTGATTAACTCTCAGGCATGAGCATGGACGAATGCTCGGGTTCGGCGTCGGGTTTGATAGGCCTGTCCGTATTTCTGGGGTTGGAAGAGCCATGAACCCCACTCTCCGTTTTCTGGCAATCCCTTAACGGCACTCCAGAGTCCTTGGAGTGGGGCAAGTTAGAGCTCTGGCCGCAGCTGTAAGTGTTCCGTCCTGCCCAGTCCCACTTAGCCTCGAGCTGGGACCCTGCGTTCGGGTTCGGCCTCGGGTTCGGCTCATAGACGGGGTGGAAGCCGGGGATTGGAGGGGTCGCCATCTGCTGAATTGAAAGCTTGATTTCATACTCTGAAAGCGGTCTACATTCAAGAGTCGCACTTTGAACTTCACTTTGTTTACTCGATAGGTATCTTGATCCGCTGGTGTTGGAGATCGGCATGGGCTTTAGCAAGGTCCCCCGTGCCACCCGGAGCAGGGTCCATCGAGTTTTTGTGCAAGGGACGATATCCACTGGGATTAGAGGCGTTAAAAAGCCAGTCACTAGACAAGCGAATCTTATTTCGCTAGAACATCTTGAAGTCCAAAGCGGATTGATCATCATCGATATACCGACCTCACCGGCTTCTCCGCCCAGCAACAAAGAATTTCATTCCCCTTTGACCACGTACAACACGAACCTCCGTCAAGCTACCTCTGCTATTAAACATTATTATCCTTTTTGGCACACATTTCGGGCAACACTCCACTACCATGGAACCAGACTCAGATGAAATGCCGCCGGCGCCGGCGCCGCTCGGAGCAGGAGGCAAGCCGATTCGCAAGCGAGCTGCCCACGCCTGTCTTCGATGCCGCGCTCGTAAGGTCAGATGTGATGTTTCTCTGCATGGCCGAGCTTGCATGAACTGCCAGCTAGATCATGTGGATTGTGAGGTGCCACCACGACTAAGGCGGAAGAGAACACTGTGAGTATGACATTTATGGGGCCAGAGATCTTGACTTTTGCGGCATCAGCCTCTGATCTATTTTCAGTCGTCGCGGTCAGCCAGCCCAAATACTGCCGGAAAAGCCAGAGACGAAACTTCCACAAGCTCATGCTTCCAAGACCGGCGATGGAAGCCATAGCTCGCTTGAACTCCAAGTCGATCTAGAGGCGGACTGGTCAACGCCGCAATACCCCAACCCCTTAGAGCGAGAACAGACCCTGAACACGGAGAGGAAACTTTTGATGGGAGGCTTGGGCCTTGTGGACTCTTCTCTGGCTCGGGTTAGAGATGTCCCTGACGATCTTTGGTGTGATCTTCACCGTAGCGGTCATTCGGCACCATCGGCGTACGCATCATACGCCGACTATTCTTTTCTTACAATCGGTAACCTGCAAGATCTACCATCTGAAGATCTTCAGTTCCTCGACATGCAAGGTTGTTTGCAAGTTCCAAGCCGCCCAATTCTGGACGAGTTCGTTCAACAATATTTTCTACACATGCATCCTTTGCTCCCGATAGTGAACGAGGGAGAATTTTGGGACACGTACTCTACCTCCTCACGCGAGTGTACCGATAAGAAGAAGATATCGCTGCTCGTTTTTCAAGCGATTCTTTTCTCGTGTTGCAATGTAAGCTTTCTTAACCTTCTCGAGACCTCACGGGTCAGCTTTCTTATTGATCGTCCAAAAGTATGTCCCTCAGTCAACTCTGAGCAAACTTAGACTTAACAGCACGCGGAAAGCACGTGCGGCCCTATATCGCCGAGCGAAGCTACTTTTCGATTTCGACTCAGAAGTGTCATACGTGGCAAAATCTCAGGCTGCACTACTCCTGGCGTCCTGGTCATTCCCTGGCTCTAACGTGTCTCACAAACCCGGCGTTCCGTGGCTTTCAATCGCAATACAGCACGCCAAAAATGCGGGCGCTCACCGATACGAGGATTTCGGAACTTCGTATGATCACGCCGTCCTCAAGCGGCTGTGGTGGTGCTGTATAGTGCGCGACCGCGTCTTCAGTCTCGTCACCCGCCGTGGCATCCAGATCGACTCTAGTCAGTTTGATTCTCACTTCAGGCCCCCCCTTGGGCTATTTGATCTTGCCGACGAATTCCACCGGAGCAAAGTTCACGACCTCAGCACTAAGGTCCAGCTGGCCAAGATCTTTCATCTCCTTGTCGAGCTATGCATCGTTCTCACCGATATACTACAGCTTGCTTTCCCGATTGAAGACAAGCTCAGGCGCTTCGGCTCGCAGATTGAAGACTCGGGAAGCGTTCATGAATGCCGTATTGCGCTCTGCAAATGGGAACGGAAAGCCTCCTTGCGTCTTCCGAAGTTCGACATGGCATCCTCCACGACTTCCGATGACCACGACCACCACGATTCAGTAATCCTATACACAACCTTACTACGCATGTACTACTAGTAAGCACTCAACCTTTACTCTTTTTCTCGGTCCGAAGAACTCAGCTAAACAATAGTGTGTCCGCTAGTTCGTCAAAGGTTGTCCTGAGTCACCACGAATTATTTCATCTGGTTACGGCGTCTCATGCACGGATTGACAGCTTTTCCGATGCCATGACCCTACAAAGCAACGGTTCAGAGCTTTTGGATGCCGCTATGGGCACGACAAGCTGCCTGGAGAAGCTGTTGCGGTTGCGCCTGGCCCGCTGGCTCCCAATCAGCGCCATATCATGCACAGCCCTGCCGCTTCTGCTGCACATCCTCGATGTTGAAATCCTGTCTTCGTCTCAGTCAACGCACTCTCATAATGCCAACTTCAATAAGCATCGACTCGAAGTCTTGCGAAAAGCAATGGAGACGTATGAGTTCCAGTACGAGGGGACGAACTGGATTAACGGCGCAATCAAGCGCATTGTCGGGCTCAAATCCGTGGCGCCAGCATTGGATCCGCCGAAGGCAGACGGTTCCTGTCAACTTAGGTCCGCCAATGTCAATGGTTGGATCAGAATGCTCACCTTTCAGCCAGGCCGGTATCTTCACCTCGCATTTGCTATCGATTTGACAATGAGCAGGGGACGTCTCCCGGACAAAGATTCCCTATGGAACTTGAGGAAGTTTGTCGTGCATGAAATTCCTGCTGACACAATACGGTTAGACGAGAAGTCGGCGGACGAATTTTCAGAGCCTGAGGACGCTTGCTCAGCCCTCCTGGCAGGGGAAGGTGACCAGGATACAACTTCTAATCTGCCTGAATCTGCAGTAACCCAGGCTGAGAATGCTTTCATACACCTAGAGGATGGCAGGGATGTTCACTGTGCTGACCTCTTGGAGATACAAGAGATTGGTGAGACACAGGCGACGACGTGGCTGACCGAATCTTTCGAAACAATTGCCGACCCAGGTTCATGGGCCGGCGGCGAGTTGAGGTCACAAGAAATTTTAGGTGGAGAGGGTCTAGATGTTCTCTCGGAGTTGCTCGATGGGTCAATAAATGTCGGTTGAGCTATCCTATTAGGGTAATGTCGCGTCGCGATATCTGGCAGTTCACGCGCGGTAATTGCAAGTCGGTTGAGTGGCTATTCCCTCATGTACATCAAGCTCCGGTAGCTTTAGTTCCGTATTATCTACACTGGTTAACCACGCGCTCTAGACGAACTCTGCGAGATATCACCGAGCTGTGGCAAATATCGCCAAATGTCACAACTTCGGTCTCCTCACCAAGAGTTCAGCATTGTTGGGGAGTATCTAACCCAGTCATATGAGACTCCGCACGTTTCCTAACACAACCCTTCCTTGTCAACAGTTGCTGTTGAGGGGCATGGTCGATGTGCTTAAGATACCTCGTCAATGTAGTTACTACTCTACTTTCTCAGACGCGTAATACATGATCCCAGACTGAAATCTTCCCCTTCCATCTGGTATGATACATGATCAATTTCTGTCCCAACTCTCAACGACTCCATGCTACATGGCAGCAAAGTCGGGCAGTCCTCGAGGGCCGATTTCATGGCGCACCTTGAGAAGCTTCTCAGATGCCCCTTCATTGATGGCCCTGATGAGTCCCTCGGGATCAAAATCGGTACCAATGGGATTTTCCGCAAACTTATCGCTGTTCATGAAAGCAGTAGCCTCCTCAACCGTGTCGAAGTTGTCGACCTGTGTTTCCAACATGTTTCCGTCGGGGTCTTTGTAATAGATGCTCGTGGTTGGGCCGTGATTGACGCACCATACGGCGTTGATGCCGTTTGACTTGCGCTGACGGTAAGCATGAAGAAGATCTGCAAGGCTCGAAAAGGCGAAGGCAATGTGTTCCAAGCCACAGGTGTTAGGTGCCTTGGCAGCGGTTTCAGGTATGCCGATGAGAGCAATACGATGATGCTCGTGATCAAAGGTGACGAAGGCGATCATCTTGTTCCTATAGGTGACAGTACCGCCAAGGAACCGAACGTAGAAGGCGGTCATTTTTTCGAGATCTGCCGTGCGAAGAACGACGTGGGCCAAGGTAGCAGGCGGTAGCACCTTTGCGCTCGGCGCGTCGTAAGTTGGGATAAACTTCGTCATGATGAGGGGGGATACTGAAGATCCTAGATTTCGCCTGGTGATGAATACTGGTTGTGGCGATGTAGAAGGCAGCATGGAGGAGGCACCAGATAGATATGTCTCATCTCGTGGGCTCTGCAAGCGCCGTGCCTCTTATTAATGAAGCCGAAGCCGAAGCCGATCGAAGCCGTTCTGGTAACGGCCCGCGGGCGTCGTACCTACCCTAGCCCGAGCATTTAGTCCCGGGACTTAACAGCGGACTACGACCACAAATTTTCTTCCTACGGTAAAGCAATCATCGCCCAATTTTTACCATTTGAAGCATGAGTTACGTTACGCAAGACACCATCTGGCCAGTTTTGGTCCTTGCCGACGGAGTCAAGGAAGTTATCGCCAAATTCTACGAATTGGCAGATTGCAGCCAATCGGATGCAGGACCAAGAATGGCGAGCGAGGTTTTCACCCCGGATGCTTCATTGATCACACCAACGGGTACTCTTCAGGGAAGCACAGGCACGCATTCTCTTCATATTGCCATCAAACCGTCACACATCATTCTAATGGGAGTATAGAGATCTCAAGAAGCCGTGAGGCCGCATGGATTGGTGTTGCCTCTCGAGAACATCGCGTGTCTCACGTTTTTGCCTCCAGTGAAAATGGCTTGGACCTGATGTTATGCGGAAGCTTAAGGTTGGTTAAAGAGAGCGGAGAATCAACGGTGACTCCATTCGCTTCTCGCCTCCAGCTTGACAAATCAAGCGTTAATCATGGAAGAGCTCGTTTGAGTTTCGTTCGTGTATACGTTGTACGGGAAGCCTCCCCCTTCTTACATTTTGTTGTTACCTTCTTGTTTTATTCTGTTCACCAGTCTTTTATTCCGGATCGGGGTGGCTAACCACGTATGAAAAGGGCTAAAGGGCTTGCGTACAGCATAGAGGAAGAAGACCTCCCGTGGTGGGTAGAGATGAAAGGGTTTCTTCCTGATTTGTCCTGAGAGTTTGTCAGTATTGAAGCAAAGATATCGAAGGTGGAATAAGTCATAGATAGCAACATAACCACAATGACAATTTAGAATGAAGAAGAACGAAGTAGTGTATTGTGAACCAAAGTGTCCTTCTCAACCTGTCTAGAGAACAAGTACAAAGGTTTCTGCGTCGATTTTGCCACATTTCTTGGGCCATTTTGCCTACGAGGAAGACCTGACATCGGATGGTAAGTCAGGTAATCTAGATGACTCCTGGCTGAGGGCCCTTCCAGAGGCCGACATTGCTAATCTACCATGTATGTGTGCCTGACCCCACAACCCAGTCTTTCCTCACATACCAAATGTAACAAGTTTTCAAGGGCGTGTTCTCCAGCAGCTATTACATAGAACTTTTGCGAAATTCATCTCCCGGTGGTAAGAAATCAACGTCCGATCCTGATAAATACCCTCTTACACCATCCTTTACAACCATCATCCTGTGCTCATCGTGCCCATCTGCGGTTGAAGCGGGCCCGATTAAATCCCGGCAAAGCATGATGACCATTATCTGCCAAGTAATAAGCATTTTAATGGAGTGTCTTACTTGGCGGTTTGTTACATGCCACTAGTTCCGCTTTCCATCAAATGCGTTGTTCCTGCAGGGCCCAAGCAAGCACGCATCTTTCACTCTTCAAGCGCTCGGCCTTTTGGTTCCGCCAATAATATGAGTAACAGCCAAGGCGGCATTCAACAGAACCCCGGCCCACCCTTGTCTGGCTCGGCTTACCGAAAGCCCGAACCAACTCGCCGCCCGAAGCCCAGGTTAAATGTATTACAAGAGCCGACTGGTTAGCCACTCTATCGCCGAGGCCCACTGGGTATTGGAATAATGGTCCATAATTCCCGTGTGTACTTGAGCTATTTATTAAAGCTCTATGCGCCGTAAAGGTGACGTTCTCTGATTGAGAGTTAGGCTCGAGTGACAAGATGGCAGGCCAGGACCTGCCTCGCAAGCTCTGGGAGCCAAGAAATCCAAAGACGACTCAAATGCACCTTTTCATGGAGACCATAAACAAGAACCATGGTATCCAACTTGAGGTGCGAAGGCGTTTCACCCGCAAACGTCAACGTCATTAAGGTCCCGAAGCTGACGGACAGGTGCAGTCATTCCAAGATCTTTACGAATATTCCACCAAGCATCGCGCCGCCTTCTATGCAGAGCTGTTCAACTGGGCAAATATAATCTACACCGGCTCCGCCTCTAGTGTAGTCGATGAATCCGCTGAAATTGATACTGTCCCTCGCTGGTTCTCCGGCGTCAACCTCAATTGGGCCGAAAATATACTCTATTCCCGCGACGCCTCCGCTACAAGCCATCGAGGTGTTGTCGGAAAGGAAAACGACAAGATTGCTTTCACAGAGATACGTGAGGGCAACACTGAGGTGCGCCATTTTTCGTGGGCTGCGCTACGCGAAGATGCCGGCCGTCTTGCAGCCGCGCTCAACAGACGCGGTATCCGAGAAGGCGACCGGGTGGTAGTCGTTGGCTCCAACTCCCTCCACACTTTGCTCGTATTTCTGGCGACTACATGGCTCGGTGCTATCTTTGTCAGCGCGTCTACTGATATGGGCGTCGATGGAATCTTACAAAGAACTGTTCAGATTGACCCCAAGGTAAGCGCAAGACATATCAGAGAATATATTGCCTTATTGTTGACCTTGACTAACTCACTTAAGCTTATATTTTTCGACAGTATTTCTGTGTACAATGGCAAGGTGATAGATCTTACTACGAAGATGCGCGAAGTCATGGATGGGATGAGGTCTTGTAAGAATCTCTCTGGTCTAATTGTCATGCAACGGCTTGACGGATTCGTCGATACATCTACCATTCCCGGTTCCGAGACATTGTCGTCCCTTCTCTCGGGGGCTACTGCTGATATATGCCCGCCTTTTGTTCGGGTGCCCTTCCATGCCCCGCTCCTCATCTGCTACTCGTCGGGCACAACCGGCACTCCGAAACCTATCGTCCATTCAGTCGGAGGAGTACTTCTCAACCTTATCAAGGAAGGGTGCCTCCACGATTCTGTGTCGGCTGACTCGGTGATCCTTCAATACACGACTACAGGCTGGATTATGTACGTTCTGCAGGTAGCCAACTTGCTCCTCGGCGCTCGGGTTGTAGCATATGACGGATCCCCTTTCATGCCGGACCGGACGACTCTAGTCAAGATACTTGCTCAGCAACGCGTCACTACGTTTGGTACAAGCCCACGCTGGATGCTGGAAATGGCAACGAGCGGCATTAATCCAAGAGATATAGCTGACCTCAGTGCGCTCCGAATGGTTACGTCCACCGGCATGGTGCTCTCTGACCGTCTATTCGAGTGGGTATATGACTCTGGTTTCCCCCCATCGATACACCTGATAAACAAGTCCGGCGGAACAGATATTGTGAGTAGAGGGTTCCATCATCTTCCCTTGGATGTGCCTATGAAGTTTGTTTCTAATGTTATTTTCAGGCAGGGTGTTTCGGCACGGGCAACCCATTGTCTCCCGTCTATGTGGGTGGGACTCAGGGCCCGTCTCTGGGGGTCCCTATCTCCATCTACGATTCCTCTGGAGAGGATTTTGGGACCCCTGTGCCGCTAGGGACTATTGGAGAGCTCGTTGCAACAGCAGCCTTTCCAAACATGCCATGCTTCTTTTGGGGAGACTCATCTTTACCGGCTCCGGCACTTGAGGGTTCGAAGTACTACTCAAGCTACTTCTCTCGCTTCAAGCACGTGTGGGCTCATGGTGACTTGTGCATGATACACCCTCAGACCTTGAATATTCATTTCCTGGGTCGGGCCGACGGAGTCCTGAATCCTTCCGGCGTACGTTTCGGGAGCTCGGAAATTTACTCCGTCATTGACGCCAACTTTTCCGAGCAAGTCAACGATAGTTTATGTGTAGCTCAGAGAAGGCAGAACGACGCGGACGAGTCTGTTATTCTTTTCTTACTCATGCGCGATGGCCATCGCCTCAGTCGCCGACTTATCTCGGATATTAAGGCGGCTATTGGCCGAAGCCTAAGCAAGAGGCATATCCCGAAGTATATATTTGAGACGCCTGAGATACCGGTAAGATAAACCAGATCGTCGGATCAATCGAATACACTACTAATACCAACGCCCAGATGACTACAACACATAAAAAGGTGGAACTACCGGTAAAGCAGATTATCTCCGGTTTCAAGATCAAGCCGAGTAACTCGCTGCTGAATCCATCAAGTCTCAATTATTTTTACCAGTTTGTGCAAGTTGAAAAGATGGCAAGGGGATTGGAGAAATTGTGATACGAAGCAGTCGTGGACACGAGTAGAACGGTGCTGTGCTCGGTCAACGTTGGACAACTGTATTCTATTCCAAAGCAAGGACCTACTTTTATTTCCTCAATGGCCGTACTACTCTCTAGCACCAAAGCTACCTTATTCACTCATCAATTTTCACCCATCGCCCAGAAACGTAGACTTCTTCTAGAGTATCCAAGCGCTGCTTTCAGAAGGGGGCGGCCTCGCCGACCCTCTCTACATTCCCTGCTGAATAGCTGATATTAACTATCAGCTATAACAGACCATGTATTTCCTTCCAGAAAGACAGAAGTGAGGAGCTTTCACACCCGCAGGCTAATACACCCTGGATTGACATGAGCGATAAGTCACTCAAGTCAATATGGCCCACGGACTCAAGGGTCTAGGCTTTAGGCATCAAATAGCCGAGGTTTATTTTTGAAGTCATTTTCGATAGCTTCCTAAACAAACTGTTTGGAGTGCAGCATTGGCAACCGGACCAACTCCCACATCACAGGAGACGGGACACCAAGCTCGAAGGTGTATCTATTTACGCCATTCCTAAACTAGAATCTTCCAAAGTCATCCATCGATTAGCGTGAGAGTGAGGGAGCAGGAGCAGCGGTACAGCAGTCGATATCATAAACATCACTCTTAGCCCATTTATGTTGCAAAGTCGCCATTAAAGCAGCGGCTCCCAGATCTTATCACAGAATGCAGGCGAGGGCCCTCTACACCCCCTCCTTCTCTAACTCTTAATTCGACCGCGCCGTCGTTCTCTTCGGCGCCGAGCATGACAACGTTGGGAACATCGCCGCCGTCACTCCCAAAGCCGTCGTCCCCGCTAAGACCCAGTGATCGCCTTTCCTGGTTTAAGGCCCTGCCAGCACCTTCCCATGCGGCGTCCTAGGACACCTACTAGATTACACACTGGCATATCCTTCTAGGTTTTACCATAAATAAGACTTACATAAAATCCTCAAGCCAACTATCATCAAGAATTTCCTCGGATCGCAGATTAGAAGCCCTATTATGGTTTAGAGAAAATAACACCGCTGGGTTATGTTGATCTAACCCATGTAGATGAGTAGCCAACTCCTTTGGTGTTAGACAATGAGCTTCGACCGATACTGGATGAGGGGGAACTAGGTTCGGAATCGGATTCTCTATCCCAATTCCTAGGAAAGCTCCATTGCTAGTCGCAGGCGACACGGGAGAACCATCCACTGTTGGCTCGCTGTTTCCCTGAGCAACACATTCCGCAGGTAAGTCAGCAATGAGATCGTAGTCGGGGTCTGAGTCAGACCGCTGCGGGAACGCATGGTTGATGGACGCATTCGCGACGACATTCCGCGCCTGACGAACGAATTCCGTGGTTTTGGTGAAGGCCGCTTCTCCTGAGGTGATGTACTCTAGGCGACCGAAAAAGCCAATGACAATTTCCATCAAGGCAATGTCCTCCCGAACAGACTCCTCGGATGGGTTCGCAACTATATGAAAGAAAAGGGAAGTGAGGGCAGTGAAGGGATAATAGAACACCAGCCTATAAGAAAAACCCAAATCAGCCACGATCGGTCCTTGTGATTCATGCTCGTACAGGTAGAGCGTTCTTGAAAGCTCGGTTTACTTACCAACCTGGAGTAAAGCTCTCTATATCCAAAAATTTCGTGAGCAAAATTATCGCCCTTGCAGCTTCCATGTGCGTGACCTCAGCTGAGGAGGATATATAATGTCGAGAGTCCTTGCCATCTTGAGTGAACATGGGAGTAAAGCGTCGATGAATAGCGCAGAGCAGATAGTAGTATGTCGAATGTATGACAAGAAGCTGCATTTGCGAGGCATGTGACAGGCCACGGGTCTTCCCAAATGGCTTGCCAGGCTGCAGGCTAGGCGGTAGGGTTCTTCGCCAGGCATCCAGATTTTTCAGAATTCTCGTGGCGTCTTGTTGGAGCTCCGCAGCCGGCAAACACAACCCTGAAGCTGAATAAAGCTTTTCTGTAATCATGCCGCATATCCGGGCAAGCTTAACTGCACACAGAAGAAGGTCGACGCTGTGTCCATGCGGTGTCAACTCTGAACCCCGCTCGATACTCAGAACCGTCCCTGCTCCGTGGGGAAAGGCGCAGCTAATCTCATGGTCATGTAATACAGGCGGGCGGCCGCAACGAAGAGCAATTGTCTTATCAAGACAGTAAATGACCCAGAAAAGCCGGTTTCTCTCCTGTTGTTCCTTTTCTGAAAGTCCCCATTCAGGTGGCGGGAAATGATGAAGGGCTAAACTTTGAGCCAGCCGTGCAGCCGCCGACGACATCGTGAATTCCAGGCGTTGAGGGCTCGACATGCCTTGGGCAAATACTGTCATAACAGCTAATGCCTGCACTGCTAGAAGATCTGTGGAGGCGTTGATCATTTTTGACTCGTAGTACATAGCATTCTGAAAATAACCCCAGGCTTCGCGACCAGATGCCTGAAATGCCTCTGGGGTTTCGTTAGAAAGAGCTGCTCGGCATCCGGAGGCGAGGACAGCGTTCAAGAGTGCGTTCCAGGAATACATTGTCCCTGATGCGTCTATCCCGTATTTCGCAAGTTGGTCCCCAAACTGGTCCCGATCCAAAATTGGGAAAAGGGTCTGAACCATCGAAAAATAGGCGTCCACATACCGGGCGAGATCAGAGCGCGGAATGGGTTTCAAGGGGGGAGGCGTTCCTGGCGTCGAAAAGTGACCTGGTGAAATGCATTTGGGCTGCCGCAGATGGCCCAAGATCGATTTCCGTATGTCGAGCATGCTGTTGCACAGGACTTGGGAATTCGAGACATGCCGTCGGATCCACTCCAGTCCTAGGTCTGAAATTGTCGAAATGCCAGATGAAGGGCCCGTATACTCGTCCCCGTCGATGGTTCTCATCCACACGGACAAGTGTGTAAACGGAGCGGAGTGGGGAGCCGATTCATCTAGTATCTTATCCAGGAGGAGTCCGCCGTTCTCGGCGTCATTGTTTTCTGCGTCGTGCCGAGACTGGGGGTTGGGTTGATTAACTTGAGGTGACAGTTGACTAAGCTGAGCTGCATCGGCCTTTGTAGGGTTAAGCATTCTACTAGATATGCTGTTCGTCGAATTCATGTCCGTGTCCGAAACACCATTGTCACAATCTGGAATAAGCGGGTTGTTGGAATCGTTGACGTGGTCTGGGGATGGAGGCACCCCCTGCCCGTTAGGCTCGGCGGACTGCGCACCTCGGTCATGTGTCAATTGATGCGAATTGCTCAGGGGGAGCGGCTGACTTCCACCCGTCGTAGAATTAGTCCAGCGACGCTTGCGGCGCTCGCCGGTGTATGTGCAATGGCTGGATCGTAGTCGGCAGTTTAAACAGGTCGGCTGTGTCCGATCACACTTGATCTTGCGCGCTCGACAGGTCACACACGCCATGATTCAGTCCGTCGCGCTTCGAGAAAGCATGTGAGGAAAAATATGATCGAGGTGACGTCCTCTTTGGTAAGTTCGGGAATGTGAGGAAGAAAACTTGTCAGCAAGTGGACAATGGGAGCTGACGGACCCAGTTTTTAGAAAACGCGGGGAAGTAGGCACGTGCGGGCGATGCAGGTGACTAAAAGCAGAAACTCGTGCTTCGATTGGCTCCAGACAATCGGTTTGTGGGGGAAACCGTCGGTCCCAGGTCGGTAACATCGGGTACCCTTGGGGTACAGTAGACTAGTTTAGAGCCTGCGGGGCAAGTTGACATCCGGGTCAACCGAAACCCCTCAAACCAAACACCGAATCTAGATATGCAAGGAACCCTCTTGAGACCTCGGGACCGACTCCCCAAGCGAAAATTTACTACCTCATATATTCACTCCAACCTTTTGTCGTTAAGTACATAGAGTATATACTACACTTCTACCCAGTTTAACTTAATTATCCTCTCAGGTCTCTCCCATATAGCCTCCTCGGGCAGCCCCCTCCAGGGCAGTCCTCCTTTAAGCTTGGTGAAAATTCCCGGCTCCGTCTTTTCTACCCCGACAACCTCGGCTAGCTTAGGTAGCCGCGTTAACCTGTTGTTCATGAGCTCTGTGACATGGCTATCAATTTCAACGTTGTTGCCGCTCTCATAGCCGTAGAGGCGGAGATACTCTAAATTAGGAGGAAGTGTGTCGATAAGCCTTAACTCGGGCTTCTGCAAAAGGGTCCCGCCTGGGTAGATCATCCCTAGGATAAACTCAATGCTGATGGAGAGGCGTGTTAAAGCCGTGTAATCATGCAGACTCCCAATCGTCTCGGATGTGTGGTCATCTTCGAGCTCAGACGCGAGGACTGGGCCTTCGCTAGTAGCAACGTCCATCTCATAGTAAGTGTCGTAGTCGTTGGGATCTTCTACCTCGTCGTCGTTCTGGTCATCGTCACTAAGAACAAGAATTTCTCCAGAACCCAAGTCCAGATCGAGTACTCGGAGTGTATCTTTATGTTGTCGAAGAGCCTTGCTCAGTAGAATCGGGTCGATGTTCGGCATCCCACTATCAGGGTAGCGCAAGCCCCCGAAAGATAAGGACAACTCCTCAAGACCAATAGGAACGCGGAGTATAGTAGCTAGCATGGTGGGATCGACATCTATGTGTCCGAAGTGCATACGCTTTAGGCACTTGGATGTCTTCGGTGGGAACACCTCCTCCGTCCTCGTATTGTAATCCGTCACCCCATCCATTGAGATACTAGCCATCTGGGGTAGCCGATGGACACACTTGAAAATATCAAGGAACTCGACGCTTTCATAGTACCGTTCATCATCCTCTTCCAGGCCTAGATGTTGCACGTGCCTTAATCTTTGAAGGCCTGGCCGGGGGGTTAGACCGTAGTTGGATGCGAAAAGGTAGTCTCGCAGGGGCCCAGGTATACTCCGTCCCGAACTAAGGTAGATCGTGCTGATGTTCTGACAGAGAGATAGCAGAAGCGCAGTAGTGGTGTCTGCAAATGCGTGGCAATGTTCCCGGAAGCCGTTCTGCCGTTCGTTTATGATGGTAGCGTCGCCAGAGGTCCCGGATGGTATAGCCTGAACCGCTGCCCCTGACCTCCACCAGTCCAGCGAGTCCAGCATCCGCCGCGTGGCCTCGGCACCCAGGCTAAGCTCTCTAACATATTTCTCTATGGCCGAGTGCTTGGGGCTGCTGAGAAGCCTCGACTGACCAAGGTGGCCGCGCGTGTATCGCAGCCAGGCGGCCAAGGCATCGCCACGGCCCATGCCCATAACGAATTCCTCGACGGGGAAGGCAAGACGCGGGTTTTCGATGTATGCCGGGATGAGCTGGTAAGCACGCTGGAAGTCATCCTCGGAAATCATACATATGCGCTTGTATTGAGCTGCCGCCATGCATCGAGACGCAATCGTACTAGAGAGTCTCTGGCCATTTTGGCAGACGCTGCGGTTTGATGAATTTCTAAGGCAGAGTGACTTGTGTGGGGCTGAGAGCCGAGGCAGGAGGCAAAACCGCATTCCCCAAGGTAGGCTTTTTGTAGCACACGAAGCATTACATGGAGACTGTTGCGGATTGAATATTCTATAGATTAAAAGTGAATAGACTGACCCTAAACGACGGCCGTCGTATGTACCATCTTCCCTCCTTGGCGATTCTTTTGGGGGGGAAAATTGACGGGGAACCGAACAAACACTGTGAGTGCCCGCCCAAAGGAAGAACAACCGAGTCAAGGGAAGACTGGGAAATGGAAATAATCACTAGGCGTATATGTGTATAGGAGACAATGATTTGCAGAGAGCGGGTTGGTGACAACGAAGGAGTCCACACTGTTTCGTCCCCCCTTTCTCGTCATCACTAACACGTGATCAGGAGGCTGGCAAAACCGGCAAAACCGGCAACACCAACTAGAGCAATCAGTTTCTGCACTTCGCGATGAGGCGATGATTGTGGGATCGGCATATTAGAAAGGCCGTAAAAATCCCCGCTCTAAAGCCGATAATAGGTAAAGATCCTCGGGGCAAAGCGACAATGCTCCGGAAAGTTCAAAATTTACCGCAAAGAATTAAAAATATTCGTCGATTGACTCGGAGGAATGGCATGCTTGCCGCATCACCAACTTTGCAGTAACTCCTCCTCCGGTACAATTTGATTAATTGCCATCGACAACTAAGCCAGTCGACAAATATTAATTAACCTCTGGTCTAACGATAGTGCCGCGAAATGACAACAGCAGATAGACAACAGAATCCGCAGATGGCGGTGGTGTGGCTCCTTGAGGAGCTCGGGATCGTGTCCATGTACCAATCGAAGCGCGACATTAAGATCCTCTGCCTGCAACGACTCGTTCGACTATTTGCGTTCGGCGCATCTACGCTCGTCTTGATCCCTTTCCTAGTGGAGCAACACATGTCCCAGGCCCACGTCGGGATTTTCATGTCCCTCACGCTCATCGGCAGCGTCGGTGTCAGCTTTATGCTAACTCTTTCCGCGGACAGGCTGGGCCGTCGGAGCGTTATCATTCTCGGCGCAGTTTCGATGGCTGCTAGCGGCTTAACTTTCGCCATGTCCAGCAGTTATTACCTTCTTCTCGGAGCGGCCATTATCGGATTCATTAGCCCAAGGTTAATCGCATTATTTCCTTAGTGTCCTGTCCTAGATTCTAAAAAAACCAAGCTAATCCTCAAAGCAGCGGAAACGAAGTTGGCCCCTTTCGAGCTGTCGAGGAAAGTATTGTTGCACATCTGACCCTCCCCCACCAGCGGAGTGATGTTTACGCCTGGTACGGCCTTCTTGGTCCCGTCGGGAGCGCACTTGGCGTCATCACCTGCGGATGGGTTCTCTCCTATGCTCATGAGCAATTGAGATGGTCGCATCTGGATAGCTACAGAGGTATCTTCTATGCCTATGCCGTTTTTGGCCTGATCAAAGCCTCACTGGCAGTCATGCTCAGTACTGCTGTTGAGTTCGAGCCTGAGATCGATAAACAAGTCGAAGGAGACAGCACCATCGCACGCGATCCTGCCGAAACGGCACCACTTCTCCAGAACAACTCTGCCGAAGGCCCCCCCATCGAGAACCAAGAGGAATCCCCACGGCCATCGCCTACCTTCTTTGGCGGTATCAGCCACGCGAGTATTCGAATTGCTCTACCACTCTGTATTTTATTTGCCTTGGACAGCTTTGGTTCAAGCCTCACTCCCCAGTATGTCGTCGCCGTTTCTCGGACTCCAAAGACCCGTCCCCCGCTTTAGCTAATGTTAGATTATATCAGATCTTGGATAATATACTACTTCCAGTCATATTACAAGTTAGAAGAGCGTAAACTTGGTACTATTTTCTTCACGACGGGCATCATATCTTCTGCGTCAATGATAGTCGCATCGTCGCTTGCAAAACGATTTGGAAATATAAAGGTATGGATCAATCTTCTTTCCGTCCCGCACTTCGAGGCGTCCGCCCAGCATTGGAGGCTAATAATCAACGACGTGTGTTGACGTACTAGACAATGGTCTTCACCCATCTCCCCTCTACATTATTGCTCGCGCTTATTCCACTACCTAACAATGTACAATGGTCCTTGTTATTCCTCGTCCTTCGTGCCTGCACGCAGTCTATGGATGTCGCACCACGGTCCGCCTTTCTCGCAGCCATCGTGCCTCCTAAAGAAAGGACAGCAATCCTCGGTCTGCTTAATGTCGTGAAAACAGCAGCTCAGAGCGTGGGTCCTCTTATCACCGGCATATTGTCTCAGTCAAAGCTGTTATGGGTTTCGTTTCTCTGTGCTGGCGCTTTGAAGGCATCTTATGATTTGGGTATTATCATTCTATTTTTAGAAAGGGAAGGGAAGGTTAAAACAGTAGGTTAAGCCCGAATATCACAGGATCTCTAGCATTGTCTTGCGGAACGCGTTTGGCTGTGACCGCGAGGGGCTGAAACCTGGTATGAACATCTGGCCCCGGGAGACTTGGGACGGGTATGGTGTTCAGAGTGGCGATACCAGCGATAGCCGTGAACACTCGTACGGCGGCCTTACCTCTTCTCAGTTGAAAAAATCTGAGCCCCAGTTGCGACAATACGTTTGAGTGGACAATGAGTGAAATGTATGATTATGTCTCGTGGGGTTACACTCCCGGGGAGCCTAATTATGTACTGTTTCCCTTTCCACAAGGGCAAATACTGGGTGTACATGTACTTAGTCTGATTATTCTTCCTATTATTTAGAGCCGGCATCGCAGCCCTCCCGGCGACACGATCGAGGAGGTCGTCTCCTCACCGCCTTGTGGCCATCCCGATTCGGTTCAACACTAAAAAATTAACACGAAGTACGAGTGCTGCAAGGTGGCTTTTTCTCCCAAGATTTTTCACTGCTATCCTCCGGCACACTTAGCTCTTAACAAACCATCTTGCGAGCAATCGCCACCAGGGCCATCTGAAACCTGATTTTTGAGGAGACGGATTTCTTGTTCGGCAGGGTCGAAGGGTCGGTAGATGGAGCGATCACCCATTGCAGCGTTTCAAAAGAGGCACGATAGATTTGGCTAATGTCTTTTCGAGATTGGCAACACGCGGGCAATCCCTGCCTTTCACTTTCACGAGTGATGTCTCTGCGAGTCGTATTCAGATGGGGAAGACGAATCATTTTCGGTGTCTGGGTATGTATTCAATCTTTTGACGCCTGGGCAGGGCTGCGGCGGGGCAATATGCACGTGCGCCTAGTTTCATGCGCTCAGCCACGGGCTGTAGGGATCGAGGAAAGATGGGGAGCAGGCACAGGCCTAATCTCCACAACCCAGCCAGCTGCACTCGAGGTTCTCTCCGAAGAACTGGAACCAGGAGAGCAAGTCCTCTCCGCTTTCCCGCCTATCGCTAATCATGATACCCGCATGGCATCCTCCAATATTAAACAGGTGAGACGCTCTTGGAAACTTCGATAGCCCCATCAAATCCCCCGACTCCAACAAGAAAACGGAGCCCAACTCCCAACCGGGGATCACCGTTTACCTTTGAGCTTCGTTGTTTATTTTCGCATTGCCAATTACCTCTGGGTTGGTGAGAGTGATCGGTGAAATGATCTGCAGCTCTACTGTAATATGGAATCGGCTCCATCATGTCCGCATCTAGTGGCCTGGATTGGGAATTGCCCCCTGCTGCTAGGAGAGCTACATAACACAGCGTAGTCACTCGGTCAAATTCTGTCGGTGGCGTTCGTCAAAGCACCAGGACATATTACAAAGGTGGCAGAATGGGGATCGCCGCGAGCGGATTGTTCTTAGTTTCTGCAACGGGAAGGTATCTGACGAGATCATACGAAGCAAGTCGCTACTCAAAACGCAACAATATCACCACGACGACAGGAACAAAAAAAAAAATTAATAATAATAATAAATATATATATATATACATGAAAAAAAAAGTATGAAAAAAAGGTATAAAAATTATGGGAAAAAAAGAAACAATCATACGTAAAGAAACACACAAAATAAATAAAGAGTAATAAAACGGAAATAAGAAGGAAATGTGAATATCTGGAGGGGGAGAGAGATGATTGTGATGAGTGCGACGAGGGAGGGAAACGAGTGAAAAATTGTTTGATGTCTTCCGCCTTCCCCATTTGCTAAGCCTACATCGCAAACTTGCTAGTTGTTTTATATTTGAGCTTTTGAGCGCTAGTCTCCAGACACTAATAAATATCCCCCTTCCTCTTCCGGTTCTGCCCGACCTGGATCAGGACCACTAACCCCATTCGCTTCCGGGCACATACGAAGTACAGGGCGTACCGTACACTTAAGGTTTGATGTTACTCGAGAGTTAAGTAGCCCTGTGCTTCCTCCAGTAGCGAACTCCACTGAGAAGTACATACACCGATCAGGCTTATCCCTGCCACCTGGGCCACCCCAATGCCGGAGGTTGCCGGGAACGCAGACTGATCGACGTCTGCTGTCTTCCCGCTAGCCGAAATATGATGGCACAGACCCATCGTAACCGTCGATGTGGAATCTCCTTAGTGAGGTAAAATCTTGTTTTCAGATTTAGTGCAGGTTTTAGCTGTCTATAGCGCCCCGCTTCCCCAATTTGTTCCCCAGGAAATCCCAACATCCAATGACCGGCTGCTGTAATGATGAAACTAATAAGACTAAGGAAGCCTAGACCACAAGCACCAAGGGTGTATTGGCGAATAGCTGCTCCCTACACTCATCCTTTCCCCAGCGCAGCCCCGACTTTATGCTGCGACCCTGGTCATTCACTGGGAGACGGGGCCGAACAGCTCATGATAAAAACTTATTCGTAGAGGTCTATACCGTCTATTCCGTTCTGCGGAAAAAAAAAAAAAACTTTTTGTCTCTTGCAGACTATGACAGGAGAACAAGTTGATCCGATAAAGTCGCTCGCTTCCCAGGGAGCTGGTTAATATATTATTCGTCCTGTCGGGTCCTGCACGGCATAATATTCTTGACTTCGTTTCTCCAGCAGATAAGCCTACTAGCTCTGGAGTCTTCCCCTTCCCCCGACAGCTAGAAACGTACCCAGCCATGTCAACCGGCGACAATGGCATCTCCATCGACAGTGCTTCCACTGGCGGGACGCTCATGGCTATCTTCATCTTCCTCAGCCTGGCCTTGTATAATGTCATCGAGCTCAACTTCATCATCTTTGCCACGTTCAAACAACGTCGCGGCCTATATTTTTGGAGCTTCCTTGTCGCTACATGGGGGGTCGCCGTCTATTCCGGCGGCTTCCTTATGAAGGCCATGCAGCTCACCCACCTGAACTGGGTATTTGTGACCTTGATTGTGGTGGGCTGGTGCTCAATGGTCACAGGCCAATCGGTCGTTCTCTACTCGCGGCTTCACATCATCATACGGGATACGAAGATTCTACGTGCTGTTATTTATATGATCATCTTTGACGCCATCATTTGTCACCTACCTACTGCAGTGATGGTATATGGCGCCAACTCGTCGAACTCGGGGCCCTTTATCAAACCATACTCGATCTACGAGAAGGTGCAGGTCACCATCTTCTTTATCCAGGAAATCATTATTTCCAGCTTATATATTATGGAGACTGCCAAGCTTATGCGAGCTCAGAGAGACCTGCGCAGCAATCGGACTAGGAGACTCCTTATGATACACCTAGTCGTCGTTAATATCATCGTTATCCTTCTCGACATTACGATCCTGGCGCTCGAGTATGTGGGGCTATACGACTTGCAGACTGCATACAAGGCTCTTGTTTACAGCGTCAAGCTAAAGATGGAATTTAGCATCCTCAACAAACTCGTTGACGTTGTGCGAGGGTCGACAGGCGGTAGTTCGTACGATCACACGCAGGGCGAAAGCGGCGGATTGCATTTAGAGTCGGTTGACAATAAGCGCAAGAAACGTATGACGGGAGGCCGTGGAGTGGGACACAGCACTTACGTGAGCGCGGTGGGCAATGGGAATACTCGTCCTGGTGGGACTTCGGTGGTCATGACAAGGGAGGTTATTGTGCGAAGGGAAGAGGTGTGTTTGGACGAGGACAGCGATATGGCGAGAGATGCGGAGAGTATTGGTGTTTCTGATGGCAGGGTTGGTGCCAGGGACCACGCGGAGCCTGAAATCGCTGCGGCTAGGAAGACCCTCGGGATGCAGTCTTCGTCCGAGTCGGAGGAGCACTTTGCTAGGCTGTCCTACTGAGACGGGTTCAAAGCGCGTTGGATTATTAGAGTGTTTCTTTCTCCTTTTGTGACTTTAATTTTATTTTGCCCTTAAGAAAAGGAGGAGTGCGAGAAGGCTGGAGAGGCGGGCGTTTCTTGCACTCCTCTCTTCCTCTCTTCCTCTCTCTTTTCACGTAGTTATTTATTTATTGATTTAGTTTTCTTCTTGCCTACTCTCACCTACGATATTATAGTGAGTTGTGCTACAGGCAATCGCAATAAGATACACCAAGCACCTGCACTGATGCGGTTGATGTGACATGGGCCTCAGTGATGCACCTGCTTCTGCTTTCTTCTTATTATAGTCATGCCAAATGGTAGTTGGGCCCGGAACATATTCCGGTACAATTTCGCAGTTTTCATCAAAGAGACGGAGAATGGGCTAGACACTGGGACTAACAGAGATAGTGTTGAGGATCCTGGATGTGGAATGGGTTGGCAATGGGCGGTATCACCTCTGTGAAAAGTAACACTGAAGTATGTTGAATGTCAGTAGTGCGGTTTAGCTTCCCCTTTGTTCATCATTTGTAGCATGTCTTACACAGCATTAACGCATGAAAATCAATACATTCATAAACCCTGGGACCAGACCAGGCTACTTTATAACGCATGCGAATTGACCATTTCAACACATCAACCGGCTGCTTTGTCCAGATGGCAGTAGTAGGCGTCGGTCTATCCATGATCCCCTCAGGGTTGAGGTCGAGACCCGGGCTTGATTACAGATAGTGACGCCAGAATACGTCACCTCCCAGCCATCACTGGCCTATATCATCAAACATCCCCGAAGCCAAACCATCCCCTCATCCCCCCCTTCACTATACCTACCAAACTATTCGTGCGCAATGGCACAAAGCATCCCTCAGACTGTCAAGCAATGGAACGTCAAGGGCGAAGGCAGCTTTGACGAGCTCAAATTTTCCGAGCAGCCTCTGCCACAGGTTGGCGATAGCCAGGTCCTTGTCAAAAGTAGGTCACTCTTTCGTACGATGATGAGGGTCATCTGTTCCCCTTGTATGTCTCCACAGCTAACGCCACGCAACAATAGTTCAAGGCGCTTCTCTCAATGTTCGTCCATCTAATCCCGATACCTTTATGTTGTTACTGGTACCTTTTTATTATAAAGAGCTGTGCTCACACGGTTCCCCAAGTATCGCGATCTCATCATCCCGTTAGGAAAATACCCTTTTCCCCAGGCCCGTGATGTCATTCCCGGCTCTGATGGTGCCGGAACTGTCCTAGCCATCGGAAATAACGTCACACGATTCAAGCCAGGCGATCATGTTATCACTCTCTTCAACCAAGGCCACATCGGCGGGTCTCTCAATGGCCTAAGCATCGGCACGGGCCTCGGGGGGACCATTCATGGCACCTTCCGGACCGCTGGTGCCTTTGATGAGCAAGGTCTTGTTCACATGCCCCCAAACCTCAATTTCGTTGAGGCTGCCACCCTCACTTGTGCTGGCTTGACGGCATGGAACGCTCTCTTTGGTCTCTCCGACAAAAAAGTGCTTCCTGGTCACTGGGTACTCACTCAGGGTACCGGCGGTGTTAGCATCTTCGCCTTGCAGTTCGCCAAGGTGGCTGGTGCTCGGGTTATCGCTACGACTGGCTCTAACGCAAAGGCCGAGATTCTTAAGAAGCTCGGTGCTGACTATATTATTAACTACAGGGAGACTCCTGAATGGGGCGCCAAAGCAAAGCAGATTACCGGAGGAGCAGGTGTCGACCACGTTGTTGAAGTCGCTGGGCCAACCTCGATGAAACAGTCTCTCGCCAGTATCAAAATCGATGGTGTTATCACCATCATCGGGTTCGTTGGTGGCACCGATAAAGACCAGCCTGGCTTCCTAGAGAACTTGACCCACGTATGCACTACTCGCGGTATCCTTGTTGGAAGCAGGGTTCAGATGGAAGAGATGTGTGCTGCTATCGAGGCGAATCCTAAGACTCTCCGTCCCGTTTTAGATCCAAAGGTATTCACCCTTGATCAGCTGAAAGAGGCTTATGAGTATCAGTGGTCAGGCAAGCACCAGGGCAAGGTTGGCATCAAGATTGAGTAAATTGTGTACCCTGTATCAATTTCGGGATCACCACGCGCTGAATAGGTGATGAAGCATAAGCACTGCTGCACACATTCGTTAATTTCTACTCGTATAACAAATCGGAACTTATTATTGATCCTAGTTCTTGCAATAGTCACTAAAATAGCAAGACAACAACGAGCCTTGAAAAGTCTCCGTTGCACGTCTTAAAAACGTAGACTCGAAACATGCCGGAGACACCCAATACGCGGCGACACCGTCTTACTCGGCGATATTCAGATATACGTCGATGTGCTCACAAGACATTTCGACTTTGAATACACACCATTGGGAACAAAAGACACGTATGAAGCTGCTCTGAAAGCTGAAGAAACATCTACGGAGCGGATAATTTTAGAGGGGGGCGGATTCCATGCCTGTTTCTCGTATTTCCTGACGCAACGTGCAATGAGGATGGGTCATTTTCCCAGCAGGTCCTGGAGCAATAAGGTGTTTGTTCCGTCACAGAAATTCCACCTGAGGGCCGGCAGTCATTAGTACGCGCAGTCCTGAAGGCGATTCCCCCTGATACCCACCTGCGGATAGAAACGGTATTTCGGAGGATAACTTCAACTAACCATTACGAGTTCAATACATGGTTGAAGAAGCGTAGGCGTCAATTGATCAATATTGCCGCTGCCGACGTCCGATTGCCTTCCAAGCTGTTATGGATGGGTGATTCGGGGGACGCGCATCTAAATGTTGAACTGACAATTATCGAGGCGGCCAACAACCGTTCGGCCAGCACTTCGATTAATGATGAAAAGAGCAACAGCCGGACTGTCACGGGTGACCGTGGAACTAACGACGGCTAGATTGCCATGAGTAGGAACAACGAACCCTCCGTTCATACGGTAATAGCCTTGTTTCCACTCTTTCTAGCCGAAGCGATTAGAAAGTTCCTATATGCGAATAGCTCCCATGGTTGGGCCTCTGCCATTGTGATTTTTACCAACGCCGACTCCTGCACTACGGAGAACCGGATAACTTCATATGCAACAATGAGTATGGAAATCATGCGCGTGCCCCACTTTCAAGGTCGAAGCTGACCAAGGAACCCACCTCTCACAAATTGCGTCACAACGACGATTTCAGGCGGAGTTGAGGACACTGCTTTCATACATCTGTACTTAGATGACGGCGAAAGCCTCGTACTGAAGAAGATATGTTCTTTTTGAATAAATAGGCCGGGCCCTCCTTGACCGCGTAGTGTCCGTAACCAAAGATAACTCCTAAGGTTGTACGTACCATGCTCTTGCGCTGACTTTGGTTGACCTTTCGAATAATAATAACTCAGCGAAAACGCATGGATGGGCCTTCAACCCAAGCTATGTACAAAGGTAGGATGCGGTGTCCGAGAAGAACATCTTCGTCGCATCTAGATCAACAGGGGCGAGGAGGTCTGCACGGTATACGCGAGGGCTCGCTTAAAGAACCGGGCAGGGGTATCTTCGCTCCTTCGGGCCATGAGAAGGCGTGGAAGAAATCAGACACCTAGTTTCCCTCGACCCGTAGCTGCTCTCAGAGCATTTCTGTTTTCACCAGGCATAGTTAATCTGCATCAAGTCCTCGCCCATGTTTTAACGTCTCAGCACCGGCCCATAAACAGGGGGAATTCCGAGCGGTTACCTTTCATGCAGGCTCACCTTTGCCAGCTTTTTTTGCTCCCCGCCCGTGGCAACCGTGGTACCTCCGAACAGATCTTGCCAACGCCCAAGTCATAAAACCGAGTTCCGCCGTATTCTCCTGGAAAAGCTGGGCATTTTCCGGACATCCTTCATTTCGACTCTCTAAGTAGCTGGCCGAGGACAATCGCGATGTTTCCTGGAGGGCGAGCAACAGGAACACTCTCTGCCGCGAAACAACCGCCAGCGAGATTGTTGAAAGATTGCCTTTGGACGTTGACAGACAAAAGAATAAGCGTTTCCGATTCGGTTCGTCTGGCCTTGGGCCCTTGGAGACAGGACTTCCCAAGTGTTGTGTGTGGCCAACCAATCCGAGACACGTTCACCGCTCCACACTCGTTATTGATAACTATCGATAGCGCCGTCGAGAGTCATCCGAGCGGGGATAGCTCAGTTGGGAGAGCGTCAGACTGAAGAAAAAACTTCGGTTCAGTCTATCTGAAGGTCGTCGGTTCAATCCCGACTCACCGCACTTTTTTGCTAAATTTTTAGCCAGAGGAATTCTACAGGACTTGTTCCACCGTCGTCCTCCATTATTCCGCGACCGTCCGATGTTTTTACCTTTATCGCCGCCACTGCTATATAAATCTAGTCCTAATTCCATACTTACAACACTCGTTTTGTTCGTTCCAAAGACCTGACACCCCCATGCGGCCGAGAGAGGCATGGTGAATTAACTAGATACCCACTCCCGGACATGACTTGCTGAGGCGAGGGGCGACAATGCTATGTAGCGATATTGGTCGTCTTGTGCCCACCTAAAATTCTCTGTCCCTAGGTCGATGTCCTTTACATCATATACGGCTCTGGCTGAATGTGCGATGTCTCTTACTCATCCTCAACTTTCATGTCACCTCCGCCCGCTCCCGAAAGTGCAGGCAGGGCATTATTGCGCACCGGTGATTCGGTTCTGGTGAGTGATAAAACCAACCAGGAACTCTATACGGCTGTCCAATACTGGTTTTAATGCATGGGATCCCTACTTGGCCGGTATGTGCTGAGAAAGAATTTTTCTGGATTATCAGAACCTACGGCTAGAATCTGTGAGCGAAAACTATCTATCATTCCCCTCGCAGCATCTCCATAACTGTTAAACTCGACAGGAAGTTGGGCAGTGGCGCCGGTCGAAGAGGTCCTCCAATTGCTTCGTCGTTTTTGCTGGGGACGGTAAATACCTGACCTGAAGACGCAGTCTGGCGCTAAATTCGATGGATCCCCCGATAGCATCGTCTGAGAGCGCAGGACCATAGGACTAATTCTGCCGTGGCCTCGTACTGTTATATCTGGTTGTTACTGTTACATATCAATACGTTTTTTTAAATGCCATCACTCGTAACGTATCGAGATGACCTATGTTCACTCCGGCACCTTCGTTATCGAGCGAGGCTCAGATACTTAAAATCCTGCAAGCCTATCTATTCGAAGTTCCACGGAGCCCTATTCTCCCCCCCCCAAAACCCCCAAAAGCTGGATCAACACTGTGGTATTCACTCAGTACTTGCCACTTTACCAACTAAACACTTAATGAAATTATTATATATCTTCATCTTAACCTTATACACACCAACCTTGATGATGTGTCTCTGTGAGGCACAGATTGTCACATATCATCAGCCTATTTGAGCATTTAGCGTCACATCTCCCTCGTTCGATCCATTCTAGGGCTATCAAGTTTATTGGATTATGTCTAACCCCTTTCCGTCATTGAAGTGATGAGCGAGCGTCCATGCGTCCCTAACCCAGGAGAAATGTCGAGGCTTCGTATGCAAATTAGCAGTGGACAGAGATAACCCAAAATCTGAAGCCGTATCCTTATCCATACTGCGGGCTGCCATACGAAACGTGTGCTTAGAACAATTAGAAGCTTACTCGCGGTTCGCAGACGATGAGGCGGAAGATCCCTTTTGAGAAAGAACACCTACTTTCAGCCATTGTGTTCCCAATTTAGTGGCAGTCACCTTTGATCATTACAACACCGCAACTGCGGCGTTAAGGTTTCGTTTGGCTATTAATCGCAGCTACTATTAATAAAGACATCTACTCCCTCCTCCTGCCTGATTTGTTACAAGTAAGATTCGACAATGTCCTGGCCGGCTCTGAGAGCGAACTCGACCGTCTCAAAAGAATTCAGCCCAGAGGCATAATACGTATGAGAGGTGCCCATCAGGGCATTAAACCGAGCATACCAACCTCCGTCTAACTCAGCGGGGCCCACGTGTGGAAAGTAGTCTGTCACGGCGCTGAAGCCAATCACGTCTTTATCCCTCACTGGGGTGGGCTTTTGCGCTGTGTCTTTCGGGTCTTTGTTATACTTGCTCAGAGTCTCGGTGAGTAGCCGCCGGACCCTGCTTATGTCTTTCGTGGCATCGTCCGCGTCCCACGACCACACGTTAGCTACACCCGAGCCGGGGTGCAGAGCAGTGAAAAAAATGGGCTGGCCCTCGGGCGCCACTGGTGTGAACGGGTCAGTCTTCAATGGGGAGAATGAGACGTTGCCTGGAAGTTGGCGCATCTTCACGGCAGAGGAAAAGTAGTTCACTACTCGTACGGCACTGAATAAGTCTTCTTCCTCACGTGAGAGGATGAGACCAGCACCTTCAAGGGCTTCAACGGTCGGCGGAAAGGCGAGGATAAGATCAGAGCAGGTCTGGATACGAGGGAGCCAGTTATGACCCTCCCGGTAGATGATGATAGGCGACCGCCAGCGGGCTGTGAAAACACTTGCTGAGTCCTTGCGACCAACACGTGTCATAAAATGGAAGAAATGGGAAAGTAGGGTACTTACAAATCAGGATAATGTTGGTGCTGAGATGAATTTGGGCTTTGATAGACTTGGAAAATTCCGCAAACAGCTTGTGGAAATCTGATATAGTACCATGAGTAATAGGCGTTAAGTATTAACATTGGGAAAGACAGAGAGCGTACCGATCTTATAACCGGGAGTCAACCCTAGAAGATACGCCAGGATACTTGGCGTGAAGAACTCAAGGACGTACAGCTAGAAAATTGTCAGCTCAAGATTCCAACTCATTGGTCTCTGGAAATCCGTAAGAAAGCGAAAGGCCTCCTACCGCAGGAACTTCTCTGTAGTCGCCGTATCCGTACGTGACAAAAGCATCGACCATGGCGAGCCCGAGAATTTGATACCCGTTTTGCGCCAGCCATTGGGCGCCAGGTACAGCGAGCTCCGGCGGAACACCATTCTGGGAAGCAGTAAAAGGAATTAGTTCGAGCCGAGAAAAGAAGAGAGAGCCAAAGAGAAAGTGGCAGCGCTGAAAAAAAAAATGAGTGGGGGGGGAGAAAGTAACAAAAAGACAACCGAACGGAAGAGGGGGACAGAGGGGAGCCTGCAACCCAGCCCGGAATCGATCGGTTGATCGGGAGAAAATGCCGAGAACACTTACTTTATATCCACTCACGCTCGAAGGCCGGTAGACTGTATTCCAAAACTCTGTGTACTGCTGATATTCAAGCACTAATGCGGTGGCGACATCTTGCGGCGTCGGTGGTGCCTGTGCTGCCGTGCCCGTCTTCCAGTCAAAATACCATCTCTCCCCAGAGGAGAGGTTGCTGTATGGGACACCAGTCTGTTCAATTAACTTAACGGTCTCAACGTAGGCGGCTTTCTCAAAGAGGACTGCGCCGAGGGGGTGGAAGAATCCACTGAATGCAGCGACCCGCGCTGATTAGTATTTCAATGACAAAACAAGGCCATCAGCTTCTAACCCGGGGGCTCAAAAAAAAAAAAAAATTTACTCTTTGTAGATCGCTTGGCATTTTCCACCAACGGTTGCTTTCTTTTCGAATACGACAACATCTTTCCCCTTGTCTTCCAGCGCTTTCGCAGCAGCAAGTCCCGCAGGGCCGGCACCAACGATGCATACAGGGGAACTTGTCGGCTTTGCAAGTGCAAGTGACGCGGGAAGAACGAAGGCGAGCAAATACGTAGATAGAGATACCATCTCGTGAAAGTTTCTCAGACTTGGATCTTTGATAGGGTATCGTTGGGTATCCTCAGCACTTCTCGCTTTCGGCACGAGGAACGGGGAGCTGGTCTCTTCTATAATATTCCAGGTTATCTTTCCAGCCCCTCAGCAAATGCGCGTAGTTAATCAATCATCCACGTTCGGGATGTCACTCACCGTTCCAACATTCCACGGCGTCACCGGCGTCCTACGATTGGACAAGATGAGAGCATCCAAGCAGCTGGAATGTTCGTAATCTCGGTTGGGTTGGGCAAACACTCCTCCTCAGGCTCCAGACACTGTGTTCATTGCCTGCATGTCCGTCAGTTGAAGATTGGTGTCAGACGAATCCAACAGTGACTTGAGCCATGTCTACATTGGCCCGAGTCAATATTTGCCAAAGCCGAGGTCTCGACTCTCCAATTAGGCTGCTCGATCCATTTGACAATTCGAAGCTTTGAATTCGGATCGGTACGTGAGCAAATGAGCTCACTCGAAGATAGAAAGGATGAGTCTTCTTTCACTTAAATTATCATCCATGGTTGTACTTGGTTTCGTTCGGGAAGACATACATGGCTCTTTGCGGCTGACAAGATCACATCCCCATTCACCATCCACCAGCGCCCACCACTTCAGAAGCCGCAGCCCATTGGTGAGAGAATCAGCCGCTCGCTGTGCTATCCCTGGCTCGGAACAGCAAGGGGGTGTTTATTGTTTATTGTTTATTACCACCCGGATTGAACACCGTTCTAGAATTCGCGCAACGATGGATTTGGTCCACCGAGTGACCGCTCAGTGAAAGCCAGGATGGCCTTTTCCATGAGACTAACTGCACGAAACTATGTTAGTCACGATACGCTGTCTACTTCGTATAATCTTTCTGTGGCTCTTTCGCTGGGCAGATTTGGTAATACCCGCAATGGAGCCCTCTGAGTGTAGTGTAAGCGTTCAAGAAGCAATATCGTCTATAATTTGCGGGCACTGGTTGTCCATTTTGGCTTTCGTCCCAGGGAGCTTAACCTCGGTCAACTTCGTCGATTTATTTACCTTTCTACATCCTTACCCAGCGGCTCTCCCATTATACAAAATTGAGTGGTGAGCCGCTTCACCAGACCCTCGTCTACAAAATAGATGAGTCTATTCCCACCATGTACTTTCGCTAGTTCTAGCCGTTATGGTCATGGTTACTTTAATAAGCCTCACTGTACAGGAAAATTAATTCAAATCTGACCACTCCAAATGCACCAGGAAGGACATCCATATGACTTAGATAGTTGCCTTCTCTGATTGTTCTTCAATTTCCAAGACTTCAAGTACGTGACGCCTAGGCTATTAAAAAATCGGCGTTGAATCTCATCGCGTCCGAGTGTGTTAATATAGCCCTAATGTCTACTAATGAGGGTCATCAAGTAGGTGTAACTCTCAAGGCCCTCGATTGCTGTGAAAATATCTTTTCGTCGACGTACCCTAGAGACAGCCAGTTCTTTCGGTCAATGTATGCTCAATAGTACAGGGAGATACTCTCAAGACAGGGAACCATTAGGGCAAAGATAATACTTTTAAACATACCTACTGTGTAGTACGCAGTAGTCCTTATTCTGCCTTTTATTCCCAATTTGACATGTACTTCCACTCAGAGTGTTTGCGAGGTAGTGGTAATCCTGGACGAAGAACTATTAGTATTGCTGCCGGCACCAGTATGGCCGCGAGGTTCTCAGGTCTAATCACTTCTAGAGCATATTGACTTAAAGCTTAGCTCTAACCAGCCCTTCATTCTCCGCAGCATTTCTCTTTCGTTGCCATCCCTCCAGCTTTGCAGTCACCATTCCACTCCACACCTCGAGCAACTTTGGGTCGAACGGAGGCAGCCTTCGTCCATTTGTGCCTGGGGCGGGCGGCCCGGCGATATCCCTGAAAAGCTCGAAGAATTCTTCATAATTAGGTGCGATCGAATAGTAGTCCTTTCCACCCCTTTTCTCGGCAACACGCTTACGTTCCCACTCGAGCTGCTCTGGAATTGGCGGCAAGGGTTTAGATCTTCCAGCCAGGAAACGGGCAACTGCAACAGCCTGCCACTCGTATGCACGGAAGGTAAATCCGCCTCCGAGCTGAAGAAAAAGGTAAGCAAGAGGTAGAGAGGAGGCACGCGAGGCAAAATAAAATGTGGGAATCATACCATTCCAACGAACGTCAACGTGGGATCTTCAATGTTCCACGTATGTTGGTAGACACCGGGAAGCCGGCGATCGGCCTCTCTGACACGTTCTTGCACGTCGGGAAGGAACGGAAAACTGAAAGTATACCCCGTACCGAATATGACAGCGTCCACATTCTCGAGGTGCGAGCCGTCGGTAAAGTGGATACGCCCAGTCTGCGGCTCAAGATGGCTGATGCCGGGTTTCACCGAGATTCTGGGATGTTTGAATGGTTCCCAGCCGAAGGCCGGAAGCGGCTCACCGCGTATCGACGCATATACCGGCGCTTCCGCAACGTCTAGAATTTCATGTATTATTTCATGGGCGGAAACCGAGGAGCCGACCACAACGACCCGCTGCGAAGACTTTAGCACACCTTGTTCGAAAGCAACCGTACACTCGATATCCTACATACCTTTCCCTTGTATTCGGATGCTCTCCGGAAGTGCTTGCTATGGCGGATAACTTTGGGGAACGCTTTGTCAAATTCCACGAGTCCAGGGAGTTCGGGAAGCCAAGGAATATTGTAGTGACCCGACGAGACGACAAGTGCATCAAATGTTTCCCGCCACCAGTAGTTTCGGCCGGAGGCGACTTTCCGGAGAGTCAGTACCCATTCGCCATTTTCTTTGACCGCCCTCTCTACCGTAGTCTCTAGCTCGAGCAGCTTGTCGTAGTTGGAGCGGAAGAAAATGCCTTCAATCCACTCACGTATCGTGGCGTGGTGGCGAAACGGGGACCCAGGCCCGTAGTCTTCGAGAGTGCGCGTGGAGAGCTTGGTTGGTAAGGGCTCCTGAGTGTAGCTCATGATGGACGGTGTGATGTTGCTGTGCAGATTTTCATGAATTGCCGTGTCCGAGAAGCGATGCTGGTGACTGTTTACCGCTTCACTGAGAGGTGTAACCACAGGTAAACGCTCCGGAATTGGCACCGCAACATCGGCATTTCCGGAGAGGAGATCTTTTAATGAGGGTATACCCGTAGGTAAGTGTGGGGTGTATATCCTATCATCAGGCCAAAGATTGAGTGTTTTGCTCTTCTTGTGGCCGAATCTTATGAAGGTAATAATAAGGGGCTTACCATGTCCCACCAATTCCGGCCCTGCGATCAAAGACGCGAATCCTATCGAACACACCCTCTTTCACGAGGGCATCGGTGGCAATGGCACCAGCGGGACCTGCGCCGATGACGGCGACTCGTCGAACTTGAGATGACATCTCTTATTGATACCTCTTCATATAACAGAAGGTTTGTCCCAACCCACGGTTCATGTTCGAGGCAGATGACCCAGACGTAGCGGTCGCAAGATTGAGTCCGCGGTTATAACAAAAAACAGACTCAAAGATGGCAGAGCCTTAGGATGGAATTGTGGGTTAACAATCATCTCTTACCCCCTAGATATATTGTCTGTTCCTCGCGATTGCATCTACAGTCGCAAGAAGCACGTAAGACCCAAATTGCATTTCCCCTCTCGGCGTGAAACATCCTACAGTAGGTGGGTGAGCACACGAGCAGTAGTGCCCTATCGACGGCGCACAGCTTCGGGGAAATGCTTGCGTGATTCCACAACGTTTGCACGCCACCTCGACGGTTCGCCCAAATGCCAATCAAGCTGAAGGAAGAACCTTTAACGTTATGAGATTACCCGAAGGCGCAGAACATCAATTAATTGCTAGAATTTCCAACGGCTTGAAAACTGAAGAAGAACATGAGGTTTTCCTTTGTTTTCCTTTCGGTTTGCGGATGTTTCGGTGAGCCTAGTCCTCGGGACTGAGTGCGTACACAAATTAACATTGAAGTTGGTCCAGCTCGTGATGAGGAAGCGGAGGCGAAGTATCATGAGCATATGCTTGAAAATGAAGATAATCGGTAAATCGGGTGAGGGGAAGGATCTGCAGCCTGTGCCTGTGAGGCTGATAATTTATGGGATGTGACACGGCAGTCGTCCCGGCAGACTCATTGATCAGTGCCCCGACGTTCATTTGATGTGCTCATACGCTGGAACGGGGTTAAAGCGAGTTGTATTGTGTTCGTCCATCAATTATATTGGAAGAGTGAAATTGGTATCTAGCCCTCCGCCGCGTGTTCATACCCACCCTGCCTACGTTCTCGGGAAGCTGCAAGGATAGGTTACTAATCCATCACGCCTAGAAAAGGCGGATTGGCTTACTATGCGACGTGGGTATTTGGTGGGGTTGGATGTGGTATCGCAGCATCCAGTTACTTGGCTGACCATGCGAGATTACTGATATGTTGATACTACAGTTTTGGCCTTGTTATTCTGGACACACCTCCACTTAAGAACTCCTCAACATTCGTTGCCCGGACTTGAGTCTGTCGAGATGCAGAGGCAGGGCGCATTCATAAACTCGAGCCCATTCAACGAAAAAAAAAAAATAAAAATAAAAAAAATAAAGCGAAAATGAGTCGTATATATATATATATATTTTTAAGAGCAAGGAGTAGGTAGACGGAAAGCTCGTGGTAAGAAACAAAACTAAAGGCAATAGACGACTTATAATACAATCCGCCAGCTAGCCCCCACTTACTCTGAGAATCTTCGAAGGAAATCGAAACCAAAGAAGCGATGCAGGCCCGATGCGCGTGTGTGGGTCGTGCAGCTATCAGCCGCCGTGAAGCTAACGGAAAGAATCGCACCACAGCGCAAACAAATGCTCTCTGCTTTTACCACTTCAAGCCTTGGCAGGAGCGCCGGGTGGAGAAGGTGGCGACGGGGGTGAAGGCGGCGAAGGAGGCGGCGGAGGGGGTGGTGGGAGAGCCGGAGCAGGCGGGCAGAGAGAGAAGCTGGCACCATTGCCCTCCTTCATCACACCGACAAAATCCTTTGAGCCTCCTGCTTTGTAGACGACTCGATAAACCCCAGCTCTCGGACCGCCGGCGCCTATTTCGAAGACACTATTAGCGTGCTTGCTCACCCGTACGGCACCGACTACCAAGGCGATCCAGCGCTTGGTCTGTAAAAATTCTAATGCTTACCAGTGAAAGTCCCACCGGGGATGATGGGGAAACTCCTCAGCTCAGCCTGAGCGGGAAACACGGGTGGCTGATTGCCAAAGAAGTGAGGATACCACCACGAAAGACCTGGGTAGCCAACGCTTTCATCTGCAGCGTTCCTCGCAGCTCGGAGTGCCAACCCAACATCCTCTGCAGTCAAGCGTTGGCCATCATCGCAGATGACATCGGTTACCTTCTTGCCTTTGGCTCTGGCCTCAAGACCACCAGCGCCCGGCACCGAGACCGGACTCGCCTGGGCGAGAGCCAGAAGGCCGAAGAGGAAGACGCCTTTGAGGTCGAAGAGCATGTCGGCCAAGTTGGAAAAGAAAAGACGCTGAAAGTTATGAATATTAGAATCGAGGCATACCCAGGCGATCGATAAAACTGACTTTGAAGCTGTGAGATTCTGGGTGATTGCGTGTCGAGTAATGTTCTCCGATGTCGATGAGTGATGAGAATTGGAATAGAGACAACGGGACTTTCAGGGCCTTTATAGCAATGGCCGGCCATGATCATAAATGGTGACGGCCGGCAAGAACTCGGCACCTGCTGACATCGAAAATGCGATGGCATTTTCGACCTTGGATTCGAAGATCATCTTACTCTGCAAAGGCAGGATCGGAAATGTCATGAAAATTGAAGAAAGCTGCGAGTATCTGTGTTGGGTGTGCTAGGACTCAGAGATGCACACGACCCCGAATTACTGTTCGAGATGGCCTGGCAAGCATTGGTGGTGTAATGGAATCAAACGTGTACATGCCGTTGAAATAGTAATACTAGCCATGCGCGGAACCAAGAGAGGCTGACGTCGGGCAACATTGACAACATTTAAATTAAGAGAGTAAGAATATCTTCCTCAGCGCAGCAATGCCGCTCCAACGATGCTTCTTTTGCGTGTCCCAGATTGGTCAGCTGCGCCAGGTGGCAGGGTGAGATTTCTCCACTAGGAGGGAGAATAAGCACGGCCAGGTAGGGCGATGCCAAGCGGAGAATGTCATCGCATCCTTCATGATTTGAATTAGTAACCTCCATGATGCGTCAAATCAGTACATTAATGAACCATTGCGATCGTCTCCTCGATCACGGTTCATCTGGGGCTATGATTATTTTGAACAATTTTCGGTCAACCTTGACGCGCCACGAACCGCCAGGCTTTTGTTGTCAGTTGTCAACTTGTCACACAGTGCTTCTACGGGTCCCGCACCGTCCGCCTGCCTTCTCACCTTGTTGTCCTTCCTGCAGAGGTCGCAACACTTAAGTAGCGCCAAAGTTAGGAGACCCAGCTGTCTTAGTGGCCTTAGTGTGCGGCCACGGCATTTCGGTGTATCCCTCCCTCGCGTCTTCCAACCATGGGCTTTTCATGGGAAGTATTCGAAAGTTCAGACGTCTTCCGCACCCTCCGCAAACTCACAGAACAGCCAACGGAAGCCTTTACCACTCAAGATGCTCTCCAGCATATCCATCATTTGATTGTGATTGAAGTGGCCGCAAACAGGGGCAAGCCTGTGAATGGTTTAATAAACGGAGCCAAGCCCGAGCTTGCTGGTATTCTTCCTGACTGTGTCGCGGACGTCCTCGTTGAGCTCGCCTGTCGCACCGACCCACCTGACCAGGGGAGGCTCGTCGAGTTTGCCTCGCAGCTCTACAGGCAGACGGAATTGGACCCCGAGTCTGGGGAGCCACTAAGACAGGACAACAGGAAGGTGTGGAGTGAGAACAACTCTCTGATCCTCAGCGCCAATAGGACGTGGAGAGATCGCCTAGGTGTGTCCGATTCGGACTGGGGCGGTGTCTTCAACATCAGGACATGTAACTTCAGTTCCCAGTTAAAATATTCATGGTTTCCAGAGCTAACTGGCATCCTTCTTATAGATGCAGACGACGTCCAGCTCTCAGCAGAGAAGAAGGGGCGTTTAGTGAACCTAGTTGCGTTCACTGCCCAGCTCACGCAGGCCGCCCCTCCCGAGCTGGCGTACGGCAATAACCCACTTCACTGGGCACACATAGCTCTGTGGTCTATGCGGGCTGCATTCGAGGATGGCATCCAACTGCATGAAATTGTTGGCACAACTACACTACAGGTCGCTTGCTTGTGGTTCACCTACGCAGTGGACGCGGTGTGGGCCTGCGTCGAGAAGGAACTCCAAGGAGGCAACGATTTTATTTCTGGTCCAGGCTCCCAGTACAAGGGAAAGGACTGGAAGGGGTTTAACAAAGAGAGATGGGATATCTGGGTGCACAGGTTGGAGCAGGCTCGAAGATTGTGCAACAACTCTGACAGAGAGACAATCAACATGATAGAGGACGCCTTAAACAAGGCCGAGACCGTGAAGCGAGAGAAATGAGTGTTATGTAGTCCACGTAGTAAATAACATAGGCGATTCTACCGACAGTCTGGCTGGATCTCAATATTTGATGGCTGCACGTCAGCTTTATCAAGAGGCAGTTGTGAAACGATCTCTGTCCGCCGCTTCTATCAATTTTTGGCAGTGGCCATGGGGCTCGGGGATCGGTGAGAACGACTGAATCGACAGAGGTCACAGAACTGCTTGTTCTCGTTTTCTTCCCCGTTCCCATCGGGAACAACCGATCCACGCTAACCATTGGGAAAAGCAAGCTCTTCACACAGTTAGTTAGTCGCGTCTTCTTTCCACAGTGCCTTTACGTCCTTCTTTCTACCTCCTCGGCTGTATTTCGCGAAAATCATGAAACGGGCTCATCAGGGGTAAATTTTTGGCGCCATTCCCCTCAGTTCCTTTCGACAAGACAAAAAAACAAATAGAACGAAGGCAAAGGCGCGGTGCACGCACCCTACGAAATAGGTTGTCGTCAGAGCCATATTGGCAAGCCCCATTCTCAAGGTGCCAGTTGACCCAGTTCAAAACTTTGAGCTAATTAGATATCTACGAGGATGTCTAACAAACGAACCAACAACGCGACATTGGCACTCATCGACAAAAGCGAGATCTTTGCGGAAGGGACATTCAAGAATGTCTGGCGAGGCGAGTATACCGAAGGCGCTCGAGCTGGCCAAGAATGCGTGTCAAAGGAGTTCAAGACAGGTTCTGTCTACGAGAACCATTATTTCAATGAGGAGCTTGCTATAATCAGCCGTGCTCAAAGAGTCATCGACGCCTGGCACATCGCCAACATTATCAACCGTCGTATCATTCTGAACACGCCCGAGATATGGGTGTACACCGAGTCTGGACACAAGAACCTCGTAGAACCTATGATCGACAATTATGAAAAGTTCAACAGCAACACAGGGTGGGCCGACATCTCGGGCGGGGCGTGGAGCGACGCGATGCAGGCACTAAGCCATTTTTCATACCACAACTCTGGCGGCCAGTTCCTTTTATGCGATCTTCAGGGTGGGGTCTATCGCGACGGGTAGTAAGTTGGATACATTCTAGCCCATCCAGGCTCTCCCTATCATTCTCTCTGTTAACCTGTTTTCTTTATAGCATCCTCTCAGATCCGGTCATCATGTCGCAACGCCAGGACTGTGGCCCGGCGGACCTGGGTCCTGATGGAATCCGTTCATTCTTTTCTCGCCACCGGTGCAACAGATTTTGCAACTCAGCATGGAGCCGCCCTCGAATTACTGGCCGTGCAGTGTATCCTATGAGACAAGGAACGAGCATGGCAGCACGATTGCCAACGCGGCAGAGTCGCAATCCCCTGACTCGGCTCGAGGAAGAGTGGTAAAACATATTGCGAGCACTCCAGTACTTAACCACTCCCGATCGATTACGATTATTGGGCGCCACGCCTCGCCCCTTCCCAGTAATCAGGATAAGCGATCGGTGTATTCGTTGTCGATTTAATGGTTGCCTTCGACGTGAAAGGCGGATTGATTTGTGCGGTTGTGACGGATTCGGCGTTCGGCTCCCACCATCTTCAACTCGTAGACCTGCGAGGCGAGTTACTATATGGGGTATTGCGCCTGACAATCCCACTCTGCCTTGACACGGCGAAATTTCACACACCCAGGGAACCACGGTCGACGATAATAAGTGGCGGAGTTGATTGATCTCACTGCTTCCAACTCATTGGCTCCTTGTTTATTCAAATGAGCTTCTTTGTGATACGAGGTCGTAAGTTGGTCGCAGCCCTTAGTCGATGGGTACTGGTTGGTAAGGTCACTTAAATTAGGATCATACACGGCCGGCTTTGCATGAAGAACGCCCATGTTTTCTCCAAGCTGATCTGCCTGTTGCCGTCTCTTTGGTGAAGATGTTCTGATCTGTATCCTCGATTGGGAAATATCCCGATTCATTCTGATAGTACCTTACTCTAGCGACACTGCCGTCGCGATGTTTCCATGCCTATCACGTCCTTAACACCCTCGATGATCTGAGTTGTCTTACCCTCAACATCATAATTGACATCAACACGAAGCTTTATTTCCTGATCCAACTTTTGATTTTTGCAACCGGTGTCGAAAGGTCCCGGGAAGCTTGTGATCGCCGTGGGATCCAAAGGCCGAAGGACCGGTAAATCTGTCCCAACCCTCTCCCCTCTTCCTTCTTCCCCATCTTCCTCGTCGCTATATAGGGGAACAAAGATAACCCCAATGCCGTAGTCCCCCACAGCCGTCCGGATGGACAGTTTATGCCATGGCTCCAGGTCAGGATGCGTCAGCACCATTAATGCTGGGTTGTCGCGCCGGGGTCTTTCCTCTTCTGACAGAACAGGGCCTACATTATGACCCACAGGGGGCGCACGGGACGTGAAGCTCGCAGCCATCGGCAGTGTGGAATATGCGGTGCTTGCACACTCGCGGCCGCCACTCGAGACACTAGATGACGGCCCCGGACTAGACGACAGCGACGTTACTGAGCTTGCGGATCCCCTGCGACTAGTCGAGGTAGACAATCTACCCCCGAAGCCAGAGAACCCTTGGGTGGCAGGCCTAGATTCTTCAGGAAATAGAAGTCCCGTTCGCGTCAACTTCGAGAGCCACATGCGCTGATAACGGGCCTCGCTTGGTCCAGGTACAGGAGCCCCGATTTGCGTACTCAGCGCTTCTCCACTTCTACCCGTTTCCGAAGCCGTAACTTCATTGGTCGCGATGGCGGGGATTGGGGCTACAGGAGCCACTCTCGAACAACCCACACTAGCGGCTTTGGCCGAGGAATCATGTAGGCTGTCGCCTTGGTAAAGGGGGCAGCACAGGGCCCTGGCTACAGACCGAGCAATTTGCACTTTTCCGGCTACCGAGGTAGGACCCATGAGAAGGATGATATATCTGGATGGCTCCCGCGTGAGGTCCCGCGACTCAGGCTTATCGGGAAGACGATGAAGTAGAACCTGAGGCGTCGGCGGCCGCGGTGGAATTGGAAAGTCTGACATCGCACTCGAGTTCTACGGGGAATGAGACGAAGAGCACTTGATGCTATCGAGGATCTTATTGTCAATGTCCTAGTGTGCGATAGATGAAAAGGTTCTCTTCTCAGTGAAATATTAGTTACTTGCTACTCCTCCATGCGAGACTCATCATGTATGTCAGATGCGGGGGTGGTTTCCAATTACCCATCTAATATTGTACCAATATAAGGAGCCAATCAATGACGGACGCCTTCGCCGCTAATCCGTGATCCTAGTTTCTGTTTCCTGTTGTCCTTTGTTTTGACCCCGCCGTCATTTGACGTCTCCCTTCATCAACACGAAGGAACCAAGCAAGGCATTTTTGCACAATGGCAGGCTACGTTGATATCTGCCCTGATCCGGGGCCTCGTTCCGGGCAAAATCAATCAATAAGAGGTGGTAATTCTTCCAAGCGTCTCATTATCCCCATCGACCGGCCCCTCAGCCATTTGCAAGAATTCTTGTCTTCGGCGTGGGAGGAGCTGGATGTGTATCATCGCCAGCAATTCTCCATACTATAATAATCTCAAGTGAAGTGGAAGATCTTGCTGCACCAGCATCGGAGAAGCTCTTCCCATGCCAGCATTTTGAACTGATCTGCGGATCGAAGTGGGGGGGCATTCTTGCTGTGATGCTAGGAAGGTTACGGATGGTGTGTCGCTCGTCCATCCTCTGAATATTTAACTTTTCGCGGAATATAACCCTAACGACTACGACCGACCTAACAAATCAGAGTATTGGCGAATGCGAAACGTGGTTTACCAAGCCAGAGGTTGTCAGGGAATTGCACCTTGACGAGATGTCATGGCTCCAGTCAATATCCCCATCAGGTATTAGAAACAATATCACGAATAGGACGGAGGCTTTCAGAACGCTCTTCAAAGAGTTGTTGGGGGAAGTGAGCCGAGGAAAATATCATCGAGGACTACCACAATGGATAAGAGCCTGAAGACCGGGACTCTAGGAGTCATACACCTGTGTGTCACTGGCGTTCGATCCGCGTCCGATGGAGAAAGTACCAGACGCCGGGGCCCCAGTTGGAGTAAGATCGCAAGACAGGCCAATAGCCCCTGCATGCTCCCTTTCTAGGACTCGGCGCATCGATGGGTTCCGAGCAACCTTTATTCCAGTTACCATATACAGGGAAACCCGCCGGTTCTCGTCCAGGTAATTGCTGACGGCGATTGTTTTCAAGCTCGCTTGGAGATATTCGAGATCCGGAATAAAGTACTTGGTCTCGAGAGAACCAGCTGCATATTCGAGAATTCTAGCCGAAGATCTAGTCAGACCAACATCTGGTCCTACACCGAGGAACTGAGCAAGAATAGTAGCAGACAGAGTCCACTGGCGAGTCTTTCCGGCCTGCTGTGCCATTTCCAATTGTACTTGGTGTCCTTGTATATCTCTGTAGAGATATATTCCGGCTCTCTGAGCCCGAGATCCGGACGACTGATGTCCGAAAATACCTGACCAAGCTTGATGGTAGTGTCGGGAGCACTGTTGTCTGATGGAGCGAGGAAATAGCACAGACGACAACGGCAGGCGCCATGATTCCTGACATCCACAGTCAAAGCGGGCGTGTCCTTCCTAGCAGGCTAGCACTGCAAATTGATTATACTTCGGCGTACGTAAAATGGGAAGCAGGTAATGTCTGAAGCCTCACGCCCGGCGACCAAAAAAATATGGCGCGTACTTTTTTGATTGACAACGCACACTTGTGCATAGCCACTGCTCCTCAGTCACTTATCCATCACGTGTGTAAGGCGAACCGAGGTCGCCTCAAAATATGAGACTAATATTTTACTCTCGCTTTCACTCTCCGTCTCTTCACTTCCTAGGTCAAGCAGACGAAAAGCGGGGTATACACTGAGTACTCAACATCCACAAATGTCTCTCAACGGCGAGCCTCACCAAGAACTCGCTTGGGATCACCGAGATGAAGATCGCAGTGATGATAACTACGGCTGGGACCCCGTAGATGAATCCCCGGGGGCTCTGAGCTGGAACCTTGCAATGAAAATGAAACCTCCGCAGTCGACACTGCTTTAGGTCTGAGACGAAGGCTCCCCAAAGCGTTCCAAAGGTATAGTTCCCGGCCATTTTCAATTCCATATTTAGCTTAGCTAAGGCCGAATCCGTAATTATAGGAAAGCATAAGACGGAGACGTACAGCGAAGTTCTCGAACCTCTCACAGTCTCCAGCGGGAGATTGCCGGGTATTAGGCACCCAAATCCCAAAAGCTTCAGCTTCATATAGAAAGGCATCTAACATGTAACAGTTTCTACTCTGAAGATGAATTGGAGAACACGTATCACCGCGGCATCAAGGAAATTCAGATGATCGAGGACCCTCGCCCTGATGACCATCGAAGTCCAGCACCGTGTTCTTCCAGTCCCATGGCTTATGACTGGCAAGACACGTCCTTTTTCAAGGCTGGTCGCATTTTCGCTGTCCCCATAGAAACCCCTCAATGGGGCGCCTCTGCCTCGGGTCCAATCGTGGTCCACCTCTTTGTGGCATGTCCTGATGAAGAGAGCGGTCATGTGGCATGTCTGTACGCTACTACCTACAATGGAAAGGGGTGGAAAGCTCCGGGAATCAAGGAGAAATATCACATTGACTTGGTAGAGAGGATCTTGTCCAAGGGAGCGAAGAAGCGCTTTCTTCGGGCGACCGCCCACAACGGATGGAAGTTCGGGAAGAATACTGTGATTATACTCTCGCATCTTTCCAATGTCTACATCCGGCGTGTAGTCGAGGGCATCGGCATGCTGGATGATGAAAGCATCGAAGCCATGCGGGAATTGGTGAACAACATATGGACTAAACACCTATATAAGATGATGGACGAGGTGAAGCTAGATCCCGAGATCGACGCTCTTGATGTGACGCAGTCTGAAAGGCCCTTAGTAGACGAATTTGCTTTGACATTGGCTATTGGATTAGTCGTTGGGATACTTGGTGCTGGTTCAGCTGCGGGAGGAGATTGGGATTCAACAAGACGATCTTGGTAATATAGTTTCGGTCACATTGTTTGATTTGTTCCGTAGTGGTTGTTAATGATTTATTTCACATTACTTAACCGATCCTAAGCTCTTCACTTAAAATATGAGTTAGCTATGGACAATGCAGTCGGCCTGGGTATACCCGAGAGCCCCTTAATAAGATGTAAGAACTAGGAAGCCACTGGGCGACAACTCTCCCTGCCTCACGTCGGCTGGCATAAAGGGGTGTCCTGACGCTTCAATGCTTCATCGAGGTCGAGCACTGGCACGAAGCCAGAAATGGACCCTCGGCAGTGTGTTATCTACAAAATCAACGACTAGCTTGAGTATTTAGGCTGGATGATATCCAACAATAGGTTGCTTATTTAGGCACACGAATAGCCGTTAAGGTCACACCCCGACACCCAATATCGTGAATGTGGGGAACCCAAATTGCCAAGATGGAAAAGTCCCGACGGAGATATGGAAGCATTCCAATGGGCTTCGGTAGTAATTTCCGGTTCCATTAAAAGGACAAGGCACGATGAGGGGCGGACGGGGTAATCGATTTCTGCACGACTCTACTTTACTAGGGGAATGTCCAGTACCTTGGATGAGTAAAAGCTCTCCACATCATCTTGTGAAAATAGGACCAGTAATGCTTCAGCAGTAGGCAGGCATTTCTCCAGTAACAGACGCATACAATGGGCCTACCAAAAACCCTGTTCCTTCTCGGCTTGGTGTCGGCATGGGCGCTGGCCAGCGCACTAGAGCGGCGGCAATCCACCGTTATCAACGTCAACCTGGACCAAAAGTTTCAAACTATGGACGGCTTTGGTGCTTCGGAAGCATTCCAACGCGCCGTGACAATGCAAAGGTTACCCGAGACTGAGCAGCGGAAGTTCCTTGACTTGATGTTCAGTATGGAGAAGGGCGCGGGACTGAGCATTCTTCGGAACGGCATTGGGTCATCCCCGGATATGAGTGACGATCACATGGTGTCAATCCAGCCCAAAAATCCTGGCGGGCCCAGCGCAGAGCCCCAGTACGTGTGGGACAGTTCGGATAACGGACAGCTATGGGTTTCGCGGGAGGCGGTCCACACCTACGGTCTCAAGACGATCTACGCCAATGCTTGGAGTGCTCCGGGGTATATGAAAACGAACGGAAACGATGCCAACGGCGGAAGCCTCTGTGGTGTTTCCGGGGCGACTTGTGCCAGCGGAGATTGGAAGCAGCCATACGCAGACTACCTGGTGCAGTATATCAAGTACTACGAGGCCGAGAACATCACTATAACTCATGTGGGATTCCTGAACGAGCCTGACTTAACGTATGACACATCCCCCCCCAGCTTCCCTATCAGTCTCTCATGATGCCGCCATCACTCACCACATTATATATACAGGACATCGTATGCGTCAATGCGCTCATCAGGAGCACAGGCGGCCGACTTTATCCGGGTACTTCGGCCGACTCTAGACAACAGCAATCTCACGCACGTTCAGATTAACTGCTGTGATACGATGGGGTACTCAGTCATGAACAGTTTCTTGGGCCAGATGAGAGGCGTCGAGTCCATGATGGGAGTTGTGACGGGTCATAGCTACACCTCGTCCCCAACCTCGCCGCTATCGACGCAGTTGAAGACGTGGCAGACGGAAGCCGGAGACAACGAGGGTGCCTGGACGTCGGCGTGGTCTCAAGGAGGCGGCCCTGGCGAGGGCATGACGTGGGCCAACAATATCCATACGGCTATTACGAGTGGGAACGTTTCGGCTTACTTGTATTGGATTGGCGCTCAGGACCGACCTAGCACGACCAACAGCAAACTGATCCGCGTTGTCAACCGCGCGGTCGATCCGTCCAAGAGACTCTGGGCAATGGGCAACTGGAGCCGCTTCGTACGCCCTGGTGCCGTCCGTGTTGGCGCCACAGGCAGCGGCGTCCGGACTTCGGCCTTTGTCAACGTTGATGGCGCCCTAGCCGTCCAGGTCATCAATGGCGGCAACGAGCAGTCTATATCTATCAAGATATCGGGAGGTGGTAATTATTCAGCCTCATCTAATGCGACTGCTTGGGTCACAGACAACACGAGGGATTTAGACCAAATAACGGCCAGTGTCGGCTCCGATGGCACCATCTCCGGAAGCGTGCCTGCTCGGAGCATGGTGACATTTGTACTGCACCCCGCTCCAGAGGAGCCCGTAGTTTGATCGGATAAGGGAGAAACAAAATCCCCTGGTGGGCTGGAGTTGAGACGAGTCCTCCGAGATTGAGACAGAGCTTTGGTCCAATACTACTTACAACTACTGCAGGTTTCGAGCCTGCAGTGCTTGTAAGCGGTGATAAGATGTTTGTTGGAGAGACTCCCCGCTAAAAAAAGAATGAACTTTGGTGGACAGAGTTAGATTAAACCTTCAGAATCTCGGAAAGACTTGTTGTCAGTCCCTAATATTAGGGATTCTATTCGAAGCAGCCAATGAATTTCCATAGATTACGATACTTAAAAAAGGGACCGTGTCGTATTGCCCTAGACTAATACGTTCTCAATCTCCAGTGTTGAGGTTTAGCCCCACACTCTTCCTGACCTTCAACGAGGAAGTCTAACCCATGTTGAAATGAGAAAGACTACCGAAGAGTTTCGGACTCGGCCTGTTAGTCGGGCTGAAACCAGCCGAATGTCCGTCGACACAATCAAATCCTTGATACCACCAAGAGACCGTTTCCCCTCTAGTGAGATCACAGCGATATTGGGTGCATGAGCCCCAGTTGGCTCGCCGTCACCCACAGTCTCACCACGAGTTACGACCCGCTCAACATTAGTAGCACCATGAGTGAGATTGGCACATGTTCTCGTAAGCGTGTCTGGCCGGTTTTCGATACTCGTAGGCCTTTAAGTGAGTCTCTGATGTTGAGCAGGCTGGGATGCTTTCCATGGCGCCCTGGACGTCCTGGTCGTGGCAGCCGATGTCCCTAGCCATCCGCCGCGGAATCGCCATCATCAGAGATTAACTATGCCAATCTTGGGCCACCCTTGTCAACGCGCCGAAATGGATACTGTCATTGACGTGTCGTATGCGTGTAGAGCTTCCACTCCGATACTCTCTACCTTCCCCGAGGATGACATCCGTCCATTCTATCCCACAGCTGAGATTATCAACATCTAGAAACTACTACCTCACTGCTCTAATTTCTGCTTCCCTAAAGACCTGTCTACTCGGGTAAATGGAAGGGGTGATCGGTAACAGAGCCCCTACTTCAGACATCAAGATTACAATTGTGAGTATATTTTCCCCGAGCGCGATCGTGTTTCCCACTTCCCTTCCTTTAAAAAAAAAAAATGATTCATTATTCAGTAGATATAGCTCTTGTATAGCTAGCCTAAAGAAGAAATGCTAATCTGATAGGACGAGAGCTAACCAAAGAGCTTCGCATCCCCGAAACGAGAAGAAACACCGAAGATACATATAAAACTAAGGAAATTCATCCTAGCTAGCCCCCCAATCCCCCGGACCCGCCCCGTGTCAGATCGATTTCCATCTTTAAGCGTGCCTATGCCAATAGACAATCCATGAGTACGGCATAATTTTAAACAGCAAATTCCGTAAGCAGTAAAAGAGCCAGTTCCTGGGAATATACAAAACCGCTATGTTCCGAGTTCGTTGTTGAAGTCTCTCAATAATCGGACGAAGTTTCTTCTCATGGTTGGCAAGGGCTTGGAAGAGATCTTTGGAAGACATGAGCTCCTTGCCCAAAATCTCAGCAGATGTGAGGGCCATCCCGGCTCCTTGTGCTGACATGAGTGTCAGGCAGTGAGCTGCGTCACCAAGCAGAAGAACTCGTCCTTTGGACCATTGCTTCAAACTGACCATGGTGAGGCTATCGATGATTATCGTGGTGTCAGTTTCTTCCGCAAAGTCAACAACATCGGTGACTTGTTTCGCGGCTCTGGCAGTGGTTGCTCGGAGAGTTTCGAATCTTCGCTGCCGGCTTTGGAGCGTTACGTCGCGTTCGTCCTCGCGCCATATATGGAGAGCTGAAAGACGATTGTCTCGTAAGGAATAGAAAATATCAAAATGACCCGGGCTGTTGAAGGAAACGCAATCATCTTCAAGCTTTTCTTTCTGTTCGACGTCGTACACGGCGTAAAAGTAGCCTGTATTTTCCATGCAATCTTCGTCCTTCCAGAACTGACTGCGAACTGAGGATCGGATTCCATCGGCACCAATCAAGAGATCTACTTCAATCTTTTGGCCGCTTTTGAGCGTTGCTTGGATTTTATCACCAGCTTCGATGGCATGCTCCAACGTCTCATCATATCGGATGGTGGCGGTCTCGGGCAATGTGTCGTACAGCACCCGGGCGAGATCGCCGCGACACAATGCGTAGTTGCCCAATCCTCTGTTCAGATCGTCGTACGCAACACGCAGCAGTTTTCGTCCTTGGTTATCCAGGATAAGGTTGTGGCCGAGCTTGTAAGATATATCGTCGACTTGGGCTTCAAGATTCATATCCTTAATAGTTCCGAGGCAAGGGCCACTAAGACCGATCAGGTATCCACCATCTCGAATATCCGGGGCTTTTTCAATGAGGATCGAGTTCCACCCGGCCTTGTCTAGCCACCAGGCTGCAGAGAGACCCGCAATTCCAGCCCCGACAATCAGGGCGGTAGGCTTCGATGCCATGGGAGGGTTTCGGGTTTAAAACAGGGATACTTGACTTAAAGTCTGGAGCGAGGTTTCGTCCCAGATGAGCAGGCACAGAAATAAAAATGTAGACGGTGAGGAGAACGGAGAGAGTGGGGACGAAGGGATCAACCTCTCTTCTTATACATCTTGGAGATTGTTTCTGCAAGGGGTTTTGTTCTCCCCTGCATTGGAAGTTGAGGTGACTTTTATTTGCGGCTGCGCAGGTCTATGCTTCTGTTCGCTGCTGTGATTGGTTCCAGTCAATGGAAGATGGAATGTGAACTGGAATGTGAACCAGAACCGGAATGGGAATACTGGCAGTACTGGGAATGAACGATGCCTAGCAGAGCCCCGCGCAGCAGCATCTCGGCATGTTGATTCTTACGCTTGCCGCTAGAGGGAGCTGATCCTATACAGGTCGGGGTCCTATGATGATGAGTCTTACAATGGTCTGGGATAAGCGCCGGAGGACCGACATTTACTTTCGGGAAGTTTCCTCCTTGCCGACCTCAAGAGAGAGAGCGACATATTATGCCATACTCGGTCCCGTCGCCAATCACCGCCTACACAAGTGGCACAGATATTTCATTGACAGGATCAACGAGCAGGTCATCCACTGATTGGCCTCTTTATGCATCATGATGGCGACGATTATGCCCCCTTCAAGGAGCAAACACATGGTGCCTCAACAAATACTAGCCTATCCGCCCTCCTCATCACGCATCCCTGGTGACCCATGTTCCTCTCTCTAGCCTCTGTAGTTATATCTTGCTTCACATGCCCAAATAAGTTACAGATGGAACTCCGAACCATGAAGTCAAGTTCAGCTGCTTAGTTCACCCCCTTTCTAAACGTTTATAACCTAGATTGACATCTGAATGAATCACAGTGGCGCAACGCCGGAACATAGTATGAATAGAAGCGGTCATAGTGTCAGTTCGCACTGTTCACACGTTCATAGATATGTAGGGGCGCAGTAATGCCCACCGCCTGGTATCCGTTTTGTGCATCCGGGGCGAGCTGCACCGGTTTACCTACAATGGCGCTAAATAAGATCTCACACACACACACACACACACACACATATACATATCTGAATGAGCTGAGATCCCGCTCCCCGAATAGTGGGATGCTTGCTCGACGGTGGCGCGTTCGGCATTGGTCCCTTCCCAATACTTGAGTTTCATCGATGATTCGATAGCCATCCACTCTCCGACCTAGGAAGAATCGGCACCTTCTTCTACGATTCATCATATATACCCACGCTGAACTCCGTTGAGTGAGGCTCCTGTCAGTCGCCCTTGAGTGGGCGAATAATCTGTCGGCAGTAACCCTTTCATATCAATGCAATGCAACTCTTCTGACTGTAGCCTACCCGCCGTAGGTCTGTAAATGGCAGAGTCTCTCGACTGTCCGTCACTCACCGTTCTTCCGGGATATGCCCTCTTACACGGGGGCCCACTAGACCGCGCTGACAGAGAAATCACGCGTTTACTTTATTCTAAACCGGGACCTCGCCGGAAGGCTACCTAGCAAAGGGTGGCTCTGAGACTAGAAAGGCGCCAATTATGGTTTTTAAATCGGTGTTAAAGGCTTAAAGATTTGACATACGGCTTGTTGAACTCGGGAGAGGTATACGACGGGGCAATTAACACCACATGAAAGGAAGAAGTAATATAGTGGAGCAAGGTAGGCGGCTTTACTACTGCGACGAATGGAGAGAACAGGCTAGGATAACGAACCAGAAGATATGCTGGCGAATCAGACAAGTCCCCCGAGCCTTTATTTTTGACCGCCCAAAACAACCTAGAGACTTAGACACTCCAACACTCGGTCTTGAACGAGGCAGCCCTGTTACGCCAGTCGGGGACCAGGGCCTTCTTAGTGTCGACACTGAAGTATGGCCCGTTGAAGCCACCGCAGTCCGGGGAGTCGAACAGCTGGAGCTTGCACCTGGTAGTAGGGTTCGTCTGGGAATTGTATGCGTAGTATTCCACGGAGTTGGCCTTGTAGCGGTGCTCCGTGGGAATGTTGTGGCACAGGCTGCCCGAGCCGCCCGGGCCGGCTTTAGTGTAGTAACTGCCCGAGAGATCGGTGTTCGTGTACAAGTAGACGCGCCAAGCGGAGGCGGCAGGGGCGAGGGCGAAGGCCGCGGCGATGACAGTAGTGAGCTTCATGGCGAGAGTTTCTGATGGTCTTAGTTCTCGAAATTCAGTCAGCTAAATGATTTTAAAGGCACATGCTTTCCATTCGTGGTCCTACCTGGACTTGATTTGTGTTTTGGCTGGTTTATGATTTCTGTTGTGGACTTGGTCCGTCAAATCATTCCACTGGGGAACGCTGTCGACTTCAGAGTCTTATATATATCCCGTTTCTCAACCATATCCCATCAAGGCGCTTTCTTCACCTTGATGAGGATGCCATCACCACTCCATAGTACAACTCTACGATACAACGTTTGGCCCAGGTTACTTCTTCGTTGCTCCGATGAAGTCGTAATCTGAGAAGCTGATTCCATCTGTCTGAAGCCATTGAAATGACCAACCCAGGACCACGTGCTCCTTCTCACGAGCAGGTATAGTGGGATAAGAGGTAATCTCAACGGGGCTAGTTGGTTTTTGGAGACCGAGGGAAATATCATTCTTTATGGAGGTGTGCATTGCAGACATTATGATGCGTCGGGACGTTCCATTCTCTCACCAGGGAGAACCCAAAGCATTACAACTGCTCGACGGGGACGTGAGTTAGTGCCGCCAAAGGTTGACAGCGATTGGCCAATCTGACGAAGCTAACATGCGCTGAGAAATGCGTTCCAGAGCTCCCGCGGATTGAGACCAGCCCCCAGACAGTAAGCCCCCACTCCTGGGTTGTGCCGTGCCCGAGCTGCCTGCCAAAAGTGCCGTCGTAGGCGGGCTCGATTGGGAATATCGACAGTGTTCGGACTATGCGGGGTAAGTGAGGGTTCCATTGATAACAAATTTTACCTGAAAGGAGATCCATCAAGTGATTTCACGAGCATTCATCTTCTGGTCCTATCGCGGCATCACCAAGGAAGGACCACTAATGTATTACTCTGCCCTGCTTACTATCGTCCCTGCCTTTCTTCCTAAATGATGAGGACCGCGTTGCTTGGGAGTTGTTTGACGATCGCAATCCCCACGAGAACCACGCGTCTGAACGAAATTCCCGGAGGCCGCGGCTTGATAATCGAAGTGAAACTTCTCTCGCAAAACTCGTAAGGAACCTTGACTCTAGAGCCTTGAAGTCTCGCCCATCGGACCGGTCACGTTGCACCAGGTCCAAGAAATCATGAGTACTGTCTCGAAATCGATAATTCGCATCAGTACTGTTTTTGGTGGTATTTCTTGACCCGGAAAGAAATTGTACTTGACTCTCACTAAAAGCCCCAGCAAAGAGACATGATTTCGAAGCATGTTACATACATGGAAATACACTGAACAGTGGGTCGAGAGCAATGGAGATAGCGATACCGACCAGATAATCAGGCATTCCATCTCTCCACGAACTCTCTTCCCTCGAAACAGTCCCAAGAAGTCCTTTGAGATCTTATCTCCGCCCTCTTATACGACGTGGACCTCGTTTCGCACGCCGATCTTCGCGACCACGAGCCACAGGAGTAACTGCGCGCCAAACAAGCCAAGGACTACGGGTTGAAGAACTTCAACCCCCCGAAACTGAGCAAGGGCCCCGACAGCGAAAGGGAAACTATGGTTTATTAGAACCAGCCAGCGAAGAATCTTTTCGGTCATCACGTCACCTACATGCTTGATCCCGAGACAGCAAAAGCGGTGCCAAAACCAACGGATACAATGTGTTTTTCCGGTGGCAGTAGCTTCGTCATCATTCTGATACCCTATTTCATTCTGTGAGTACCTGAAATGGCCTGAGGTTTTCTACATTCAGCGATAGAACTTACCGATGGCATGATCATACCGATAAAGAAGCCTACCAAGGCGGCCATTACAGCACTGACGACGAATTCTTTGCTAAGCCAGAATGCCAACTCGAGGCTAATTGCAATTACGAGGTAGGTAGCAACCATTATCTTTTCGCCGAGGTAACTGGTAACCCATCCCAAGGCGAACCGGCTGGCCGTAATACCCACCCAAAAGCCCGACGCCACGAGAGAAGAGGCAGATGGACTGCCCTTGCGGGCGTTCATCATGAAAGTGAAGAGCCAACCGCCAATGGTGACCTCCGAGCCGACGTAGAGTAGCATAAAGGCCGATAGCAGCAATGTTATCTAGTATGTTGTATGTCAAAGATAGATCATCCACCTGCAGACTACTTTGTAGGAACGAACCTTGTCTTTCAGTACAGCCAGCGTGAAACCGTACGCCCGGCTAGACCGAGAAACAGTATGCCTCATCCCGGCATCGTCCCAGAAAGCGGAAGTGGTGAAAACAACCGCACAAGCAGCTAGGCCAGTCTGAACAGTGGCCAGTGGGTTAGAAAATGGAATTTACCAATTTGAGCACGCTCTTACCATGAGATCTTACAAAGTATTAGTGCAACGATACATATTGTACAGGGGCGGATACAGGATGGACTCACAGTAGTACTCCCACCACTTTAGACCTCTTGATACAAAGGCCGAGACCTGTTGAAATAAAGAAAATGTTAATAACGAGAGCGATACCAACCTGAGGTCGCGTCACTCACGACAAGTGGAGCGATGGTTGCCCCGGCCCCCCAGCAGCCGTGCAGGAATGCTAACACCGTGCCGCCATTTACCAACCCTCCAACCCAGCTGTTCCAGCTACCGTTCATCAGCCCACTACCATAACCGGTGAGCACCAGCAACGGTATCACGATCCCAAAGGGCGGGTGGAGGGACATTCCTATGTATGAGACTGTGTAGGAAATAGTAGCAAGCGCAGCCACTCCTCGGCGGCCATACATCTCATGGAGCCTGTTGGAAGTAAATGCAGCGATAATACATCCGAGCATGGGCCCAAGAAATATAAGCGACACGACAGAGTAGGGAAGGGAATAATAGGATTCTAGGTGAGGAACCATAGCTCCAGGGGTACCGTCATTCATCCCATACACGACAAAGGCAAAGAAGCAGGAGATGGTCCGCCCGATGTTGCGCTTTGTTTCGTTCCAGCGCTGGGCGACGGAGAATGCCGAGGGTGGCGGGATAGCAGAAGCAACATCTCGGACTCTCTCGGGCTCAAACTCTGGAACATCCCAATTATGATGAGGGAGTGAAGCCGAACGTACTGGATCGAGGGGGGCAAGAGACACTGGCGCAGCGGTCATGTCGTCCAGACCTGGTCGATTGGTTAGATATGAGCAAGAACGGTGGATGTTTGACGATTGTTGGAGATTCTTTGTTTGTATTCTGTGGGGCGGGGTAATAGGGAAATGATTTCAATTCATGGCGTTGCCATTCCGCTGTGAGGATCTGACGGCGTGTTCCTCCGTCGGACAGTCAAGGTTGCCTGTCTCTTGCCCCTTCGCTCTGGTGCTCGGCGCTGCGGCCCGCGTCGCCGATCGCACCAATTGAATTGCTTAGTCAACCGCAAGAACCCAACTGGGTGTGGTCAGCTGACCGGAATTTCGTCTCCTGTTCCTGATGGTCGCCACCCATGTGATCGGAACTCCTGGGTCATGACCAGACTTATCCAAGAATTCTGACGGGGGCCTAATTGTAATCGAAGACTTGGAGCGCATTCAATATATTGTGTACCCAGGAGAAAGAAACACCAACGCTCCGTAGCTAGATCAATGACCCATCATAATTCGGGCCAACGGAGCAATATCAATCCTTAAGATAAGCAATGTTTTTTTTTTTCTTTTTCACGTCAAAGGACGAAATGCCAGCTCGATCAACGTCCGGTTGACCCTTCACACCTTCAGTTCACTCTCCAACTGACGACGAGCTGAAGTGTTTATAAACTAGATTACAGTGGGTGACTGATAAAAGTAGTTATGGTCCGCAGGTTGAATCCAGGACTGAATCATGCTCGTTCCATCGACTACCAGTCGAGAAATGTACCCCCGTATATGCGTTACTCAAATGAATGCGACGATCTGGGAGGCGTAGCTTGCCTACTTGTATTCCCTCCGACAAGGAGAACATAAGATCATCATTTCGTAACTAAATTCCAAATTTGAGCAAATCTCATACCTCTAAATGAACTGATATTTCCCTTCCCAAGGATCGAAGTCGTACCACCTTTTCCCCCCAGGGCAGGTCAGGAGTCGCGCTAAACAGTGCTCTACAGCCGATGTCCAGTCGATCTCTATCTTCATCTCCTTCGCCATCATATCGCACCGCACAAGAAGCAACCAGCAGTACGTCAAGTACTTAGCCAACTCATCCCGATTTTCCCAACACAAGGGGTCGTTCGCCAGGTAAAGCCCCCTCTGCGGCGTATATTCGGCGTACTTCATGATTTCCAGAATAACCTCCATCGGCAATCCTAACCCGAACAGAATCCGTCGGACAGTCTCAACATCGGGAGCATGCGGTCTATATCGCCGCCCTTCGAGACTGAACAGCACGTCGAGCGCCGACGGGAAACGCCGTCTTGCCGTCATTGTGCATCCGCTTATGCACCTGCGAATGCTTCTCAGTTGGAGAAGCTGGTCCTTGCTCATACCAAAGAATTGCTGATGCGGATAGCTAGCCACGTCTGCGAGGCTACCCGATTCCACGGCATTAAGAAGAATGAGCTGATAGAGACCCGAGTAGAGGTACTCCCCCTTCGCTACACCCCCGGAAGCCGGATCCCAGAGTTCTGGGAAAGAGCAGAGGAGATTGAGACCGATATATGACAGCAAAGCCTTCTCGTAAATCCGGTTCCAACCAATATCGGTATCCTGAGTGGAGTGGTAAGCAATCGCGGTATTAGCAGGCAGTGAAACTGAATTGTAAACGGACATGACAGGCTAGTATCCGGGTTCTTCTTACCGTATCATAGCATTGGCTCACTTCACGCCATTTGGAGAGCCCAATGTCTGGGTGTGAGGTGACACGGAATACTGCATCCATTTCACCATATAAGATCAGAGTTTCAACGATGGTGAGGTTGAAGTAGGCATCTCCATTGTAAATTAAGAATTCGTAACATGGATTTTGGCGATACTGGCGCAGAAAAGCCGATGCTAGTCGCTCCTTACGAGGAAGGAGGTCATTATCGTCGGTAGACCCGTGCTCCCACGCTGTTTCGTGGAAATGCGAGCGCCTGCCTATGTCGGACCGTATTCGACAGATTGTCGGCGAGATTTTTCTCACCGTCTCGTCATCGAGGATCAGATCATCCTCCAAAGGCACTTTATAGTTTGGGGGATATTTGAGTCGAGTCGTACGGGAGTGTTCTAGTAGATTCTGGACGAATGATTCCACGAAATGGCGGACGACTTTCCCTTGGTTAGGCTTGTCTCGGAAGTGCAGGTCGCCGGACCCTGGATGATATTTCGACGACCATTTGAGCTGGGCTGCGAAGGAGCTCCAGGGAATGTTGTGGGCTTGGTGCGCCATTTTTGGCTATTTTCTAGGTTCATTTGTTTTACGGATGCGGCCAAAAAGCGAGGAACACAACAGCAAAGGAACAGATGACCGACTTTATTTGAAAAACTGGGAGGCGTTCATCTTGCCATTCTGCTGCGCCCCCTCGACAAACCGATAATGCAGCATCCCGAATGACACACTTCCCGTCCCCGCATTTGTAGCCGCTGCCAGGCCCGTGAGGACGCTTCCCAATTTTAAAAGCCATTAATAGCAGCTCTCGTCCCCCGAGTCTTCTCGCGTTACGTTACGTCCTCTTTGATTGACGTACCTGTAATGGGGGAAACGGTGAGCTTGTTGTACCGCCAGCTTTGCATCTCCGATAAGTTAGTGGGCAATATATCAATGTACACCACCTTGAAACGGATTTTGTTAAAAGGTTGCAGACGAGATGGGTCATTTGGGAGGAGCAGCTTTCCGTGGTGACTAGTAACGTAAATAGCATTTGCGAAGGTGACCAGTGAAGGATCCCCATGTTTCAGTCTGCGGTCAGGAGTCACGCGAAGTTGGACGAACGCTAGTTTCTCCTTGGAAAAAGCTCGAACAAATTCTCAAGCTAATGCAAGTTGATATCTATAGATAGCAGCGGAATCGAGAGCATTTTAATTATCACTATAATCTGACCTCAATCTGCAAGTTGGGGATAGTGCAAAAGATTCGTGAAACGAGTAACCAACGCCTCAATAACCGACCCAGCAAATCACAGAGAAAACAAGCGAATACAAGACAAAAGAAGGGTTTCGATCTCAGAACTCAAACACCTCTTCTTCCACGTGAAATATCCCGCGTTCTTTACTAACCATGCTCGCCGCCTTGCGTGCAGCATCGACGAGCGGTCTCGGCCCACACAAGTTGACGGCAGCATCCAAGCCGCATCTCCTCCGCCTCACGTCCTTCAGCCACGCTTCCACGTCTGGGCGGCCTTGATGCACGGTGGCGGGGCCGGAGAAGACGTATCCTTCATTGGCAATGAGGGCCTCCTCCAGACTCTCCGTTTTCTTGAGGCCGCTGGCAAAAATGGAAATGTCCAGGCTAACAGGAATGTTTTCTTCTTCGATCCTCCTGGCCATCTCGATCATCTCCTCTTCAAACCATTGTGCATGAGTGATATCCTTTATGGTCCACAAGATGTGAATGTACCTTGTCTCTTCCTCGAGAGAACCAGAGCAGCCCGATTGCGATGCCCAGTGGATAATATGCGACGCAATAGATATCGCAGGCGTGATGCCGATACCACCCGCAATGAGCACCACAACGGGGTATTGCTCCCATTGTAGAGAGGGGTGACCATAGGGCCCATCTACCCTGATCTTCACGGCATGGGGAGGTATTGCTACGGGGGATCGGGGATCCAGCTTTTCGCCATCCGGTGTATAGCCCTCTATGGCAAGGTTCTGGACTTTCTTGGTGAATCCCCCGAGGCCACGAACAGCAATAGTAGTAATTGGATCACCCGGAGCTGAAGCAATGGTGAATGGATGCCAGTTGAAAAACGAGATAGAAGGGAGCTGGATCCAGGCCATCTGGTTCGGTCGAGTAACCCTCAGGCCCTCAAGCTTGAACTTGGTGACGCCGCCAGGGTAGTGGACCACACTCTTGGGAGTGACTCTGCGGAAGTTGTAGTAGAAGCGCCATCCCCTGTCGGCCAGCCAAAGGCCGAGCCCGGGAAGCAAGAACTCGGGGCTGTGTTTGGCGTGGACGCAGGCGCCAATGACGTAAACGATAAAGAAGAAGTGAGCATAGTAGAAGACTTCGAATGCATTCCTGCGCACTACTCTAAGAATAGCAGTCAATGCGATAATCATCAAGGCAGCCCATGCGACAAGGCCCGCCTGTGTAAACCCGCTGGCCAGAACGGTTGCGAGCTGTTTTGTGCGGACATAGTGAGCGGCAGTGGTGGCCCAATGGAAGGTGCCGTGGAAGATAGTGGCGAGGCCCACGAGGCGGTGATAGTACAGCAAGACGGGAGGGGGGATGCGAAGAATCGTGCTGAAGAGGTTTGTGCGCGAGGCCAAGAGAAGGGAGACTCCACCATTGGCGATGCAGAGCCAGCCATATAGCTTATAATCTGTGGTGTACTTGAGGCGGTTCCAGCCGAAGAGCATATTCAAGCCTATGAAGGCGAGGCAGCGGAGGGCGTCGGGGATGCGATGGTACGTGAGGAAGGGGACTGGGGAGGGGAGAGTCGCGAGCCGGTGGAGGAAGACGTAGAAGGTGCTGTGTCTGTGGGACCTCCTCACAAAGGGACCTATCATTATTCAGTATTAGTTGAGACCTGAAAAAGATTCCGCGGGGACTTACCACTCTTGAAAAGTTTCAACAGGTATGCGGGCAGAACAGAGACTGCCTCGAGGCAAATTAGACCCACGACGCAGGCAAAATAGACTTGCCCGGCGAGGTACTGGTCTTTGATGATGGGTTTGAAATCCTGGTTTGCCATGGTGGGAACTATACCCCAAACGGTGGTGAAGAAGTGAAGGACGGAAGTAGAGAGTGGTACAAGGTGATGAGTGTAAAAGAGCGTCAGTGAGTCCACGTTAGGTATGCCTCAGCGAAGGAAGTCATTGGATATGAGAAGTTGTGAGAGGAGTTGGAATAAAGGCATTACATTTCGAAGATGTCGGTTTTTTATATACGAGGTGGAATTGAACCACTTCTCTAGATTTCAAATCTCGCATCGATGATTCCACATCAGAAGGGAGATGTTTTCGAAAAGATAAAGTCTTACTCTTACGGAGCCACTTACAGCCACGCGACGACGCAGCCAAGGGGCACCGACGCCGAATTAATCGGTTCTTTCTGTCATGGTGTACTCCTCTTGTGCACTCCCTGCCTACCTGCAGGGGTGGGATCCTATGTCTGTCCAATGCACCCTAAAAGGAGCTGAAAAACGCTTATCAGGCCCAAGGTTACATTCTCGAGACATCATTGGCTGTCGAGAAAGCTCTGTTGTAAACTTGGGGGAACGTCGATAAACAAACAAGACCGAAGTGGACCTCCAAGAGTAAAATTAGACTTCAGCTACGAAGTACTTACTAGTAAAACCGTTTGAAGCGTGGAATCACGTTTCCCAGGATGGAATCATTCTCAGGGGAGGCAAGCCACCAAATGAAAGAAGCGGTAGGGCTACAGTGGACCTGTAGGTTTGAAGCATCCTTACACCACTGCAGCTGCCGGGGTGTTCTGCATGCCAAGACTGGAGATGTGAAATCAAATTGTCCCGATTAGGAAATAGCAATGACCCAAGCTCTCAGTGTCGGAATTCCGTCGTCGTTGGGGCTGAGCGAGTGGTCCGCGTCTAAGCCTCCACTCTTCCTTTGATTAGAATGTGGTTGTATGTATTATCGTCGTAAAATTAGTTCTTTGGAATCACCATCTCCCAAAAAATGCATCCTCGAGCGTGTCTCCATCATCCAGGCTTTTGATCCACCTGGCTAGCAAATCTTCGCATTCTATTTTCCAAATTAGCGAGCTTTATTCGTCAGGGATGATGGTGATATTGACAAATAACGCGGTCACGACTCACAACTCACGCGTAGCGAAGAGCGTAAGCGACCAAGCCGCAGCATACCCACGATGGCAAGCTATTCTTACTGTCGGGCTTAAGCAGGGAAAAGAATATATATATGCCATGACGATTCACCCATGATCCGATCTGAATAGCCATCATCTACATCAATCAATCAAGTTTTCTCTTCTACTTTCAAGAGCATCCTCACACACCTTGACACACGCAAGTTACCAACAAACATCCCTCCCAATCCATATCCCAAGATTCCCAACCCACAGATAAAACCACCCACCAACACCGCCAAAATGATTGCCAAGACCCTCCTCACCTTCACTTTCTTCATCCTCGCCGCCCTCGTCTCTGCCCAAAGCAAGGTGGGCTGGACTGGTACCATCAACGGCAAGGACGGTGGTCTCGCCGGTACTTTTGAAGTAGTCGACGACAAGACCCTCAAGCTCAAGGGCTTCACTCTCGAGGACGGTTCCGCCCCTGCCCTCTACTGGTGGGGCTCCGAGACCGAAGACCTCAGCTCCGGCTTCCGCATCTCAGAGACACAGGTCAAGGGCGAGCATGACAACGAGGACCTCACCATCGCGCTCGACTCGGGCAAGACGACCAATGATTTTCTTTACGCCGGACTTTGGTGCGAGCAGTTCAAGGCCAACTTCGGCACGGCTAAGCTTGCAGAAGGCGGAGCATCCGGCAATGCCTCTCCCACCTCGGGCGACTCTGGCACCAAGACCGGGTCTAGCTCCGGCTCGGGCAGCACTGGCGCGAGCGGTGCAGCCAGGACTAGCTTTGGCCCTCTCGTCGTTATCGGTGCTGCTCTTGCCGTTGCTTTCCTCATGGGTTAGCCGACCTACGATGCGGAGATTCCAGTTCCAATCCAATAATTTCTACAAGGATGAGTCGCTTGGGGGGATCGATGCGGGATCGATGGGAGTTCCTAAGGTTTGGATTGTTAGAGATGGCATCGAGTTCATGTACACTAGCTAGGCGAGTTCGAGTTTTGAAAATTTAGCAAGCCTCCTTCTCTTTATCTTAATTATCATCCCAAAATAGCAGAATAATTCGGGATCAGCTCGAGTATCATTCCGGCCTAAACTTCGTTTTCTGATGACCTAAACGGCGTTAAGTTCACCAAACCAAGAATGGGGCAAGGAAGCTATGTCATCTCTGATCTCTGATGAAAAGGTCGCGATTTCTCCTATTCTGTTGTCTCTGTCCGATATGTTTAGGCAAACCAGCCCCCGCCGCTGAAAAACGGCCTCAGGTCCAAGTCCTAGCGAAGTTGTGGCCTACTCCAAGGTCAGCGTTATTACCTTCTAACGAGCTCGAGGCAGGAGGTAGAAACGTATTGGGGGATAATGCCTCGACGTACCTCTGCGGTATTGTTCACGTGTGCAAAGGGACGCGATATGGTAGGCGTTGAAAGCTGTCGAGCCGCGTCCAACCCCGAAGTCCATCGATGTCCCTGGGCTGCCATCTCCTTATCCTAGTCACCCAACCTGGATAGCCTCGTCGAGAGTGGGTGATATCTATTTCTTATCAACGACTAAGTAGGGCGCCACATGTTTGTCTCGAATATCATTAGTTAGGCATCGCATCGCTACCACGCTCTGCCATTTCGTCAGTAGCAATTTAACAGGATCGGCAAAAATTTGGTTCGGAGCCCATGCCATTTGATGTCCGCTTCTGGCTGAACGGCACCATAGATATTGCTAATCAAGCGAAATTAATTCCACTGGCTCCGAACGGCCACCATTCGATGTGGGGTATGCCGGCATTTTCCCACTCGGAAGACGAGGCCGAATGGCTTGCTTAAAGCGTAGAGTCCTGCCAACCCTGGCCCCTTGGATCCTGTGTGCCTTTTCTCCGATTGCGTCCGCAACACGCGAGCTGAAACAATAGTCGACAAGACGAGTAAAAGGAATACGCGATGATCTGGTCCACTCTTCTTGCGTTTGCAATAGTTGCCGAGGCGGCCCCCCAGTTTGGGATGCCCGGAGCTGGGGGCGGCGGAGGAGGTCGAGGATTCAGTCTTATCCGATTCGGGTGCTCCGAAGTTGTGATAACGCGTCTAGATCCGTAGGTCCAAGAACGAGCTCACACTCATACCTCATACTTAGCACAGAGCCATGATTCAGCTGACCGTTTCGAAACTATTACGTAGGCTCGTCAACCCGGGCATGGCGCCGTCCACTCACATGCATCAAGTCGTTGGAGGGGTTCGTGATATCAACTTCCACCAGACATGGTAGGCTGTGGAGTCCCGTGCTCACACTTCCTAGAACGCCTTTAACGCATCCATGCCCTCGACCGATATTTCCAAGCTTGCCACTTGCACAACATGCACCTTCGCCGACGACTTGTCCAACTACTGGACCGCCAACATGTACTTCAAGGCCCGTAACGGCACGTACATGCGAGTGAAGCAGATCCCCAACCGATTCTTGGATGGCGCCGATGCTGGAATGACTGTCTACTACATGTCTCCCGGCGCCGGAAAAGTGACTGCCTTCCAGCCGGTATGCATATCTGGCTCTACGCCTGCTGGTTTGCTCAAATTCTGTGGGAAGTTCACACGCTAATTCGTCCTCCAGGGATTCCGCATGCTTTACGGTGATGCTGCCCGCCGCGAGAAGGATGGAAACGGGTGGAAGACTCAGAGTTGTTTCCGTTGTTACTCAGGCCCCAACTTTGGTGGCGACGTCATGTCCCCTTGTGCCGATTCGAAGCTCGATTTTGAAGAACTACCTCCCCATGCTTGTGCTGGTGGTATCCGGTCGACAGTTAACTTCCCCACGTAAGTTGGCTTGAGTTATACACCAGGAAAATTACCTCAATGCTGTATAATTGAGGTCGACACTAACTGGAAATGCGTTCAGTTGTTGGGATGGAAAGAATCTAGACAGCGTCAATCATCAGGATCATGTTTCCTATCCCGCTAGCGGGCCAACTTCCTTCTCTCAATTCGGAACATGTCCCGACAGTCACCCAGTCATGATTCCCCAGATCTCTCTCGAGGTACGTCGGGCCTTCTCCCATCATCGCCATGCTCTAGGGCTCCGGGAATTAACGCGCCGAGAAACAGATCGTCTGGGACACTACTCCGTTCAACGACCCGGAGCTCTGGCCAGAGGACGGCTCACAACCATTTGTCCTGAGCATGGGAGACGCGTATGCCGTCCTTCCATCAATCAACTTCTAGGATATGTTCTAACGTATTTTTCTTCATAGTACTGGATACGGCCAGCACGGTGACTACGTGTTTGGATGGAAAGATGATGCCCTGCAGAAGGCTATGGACGGCGCTTGCTTTGGACCTACGTGTGCTGGTCTCAAAACGCAGGCGTACGCGGACGCCAACAAGTGCAGAGTCCAGGATTATATTAACGAGGAGAAGGACGGCTGTAAGTTGACGTTGGCCCATCGCCTCCAGGATGGTCGGGTTTCTAACTTCTTCCTCTTACTTTAGGGCTCACTGAATTGCCGGGACAGCGTGTGGAGGAGTCTCACTAGTTATGAGACCCACGTCGGGGAGCGTTAAAGAGGGAGATATTAGTCGTTTCCATATGTGGATGCGTGCGTATTCATTGCAGGATATCTTCTCACAGCATGTTGGCGGACTGCGTAGGGTCGAATACAATGTGTCAAGAACGGCTGCCCCATTATGCCGTGAGGTCCTCGCTCAGGATAGGAACCAATTGAGACGAGCGGCACGCATGTGCCGGTATCTAATAACCCTTGATCCTCCTCTCCTCCCCACAATGGACTTGAATTCCCGGTAGCCGCACCTGTGGCCCAGCTGCACGCCTGGCTTCTTGAGTCTGTCGAAGGTGGAAAGGTTAGTGGTGTTTGATCTTCTCGTGCCCAGACTGGGTGTGTCGTGAGAGTTAACTTATCCGGGGTATATTATCACCAGTGCAAGAAGATCCCAGCGTCCATTGTCGATATCGAACGATCGATGAGCCGCGATTACAAATCCAAACTCGCATCTTAGAGAGGAGGCCAAAGCCTGGGGGCCGGAGAGCGTATTCCGGCTCGTCCTTCTGCCACGACTGACACTTGTGCCTACACTTCAAATGACTTTGAATCTAGAGACGTGACAACCGACTCTAGTACCCTCGAGAGCACCGACATCTTGTTTTATCTAGTTACTCTGGCAATTTCCCTCGCCGATGCGGACATAGCAGAGTGCGGCGCCCATGCATTGGGCAGCTCACCAACAACTACTTGGGGATTGTAGGGTACCCCAACCGACGCAAAACCTTCTGGAGCTGGGCATTTAGGTTGGGACATTCCGCCCGGCTGGCTGGGTTCGGTGGCTGTCGCAGCACTTGATCTTGTGCTTTAGACCGACGGATCCCGTTATTCGACACCCAGCTGTGGTCCAAAACAATGGAACTTAGGAGAGAGAGATTGACTTCACTCGGGTTATGGACGACCCGTTGATGATAACATAACAAGCGATTACTTCATACAATAAAGTGAGGGTGCCATGACATTTTCCTTATTCTGCTAGACGACGTGGTATATGAAATCAGCAACAAGACACTTCCAAGGTTGGTGTAGACTGATTATCCCCTGCTTTGCATGGCATTTGTAATGTAGTAATAAATAAAACAACTCCTATTCCTAGACCAACTCCTTTTCCTTTTCCTTCGGCTGCTGTCCATCGGCAGTATCGTTGGGCGAATCGTATTGGATGTGCTTCTCGACCGCTGCGGCCAGCCTGTCGTTGTACTCCTTGTCCTCGAAGACTGAAAGGTGGTGGAGTCAGCAAAGGAGCACAAAAACACGACCGGCAGCGGAATCTAGAGAGAACATGAAACTTACGGAAAGCAAGCTCTTCCAGCGTACGACCGCTGGTCTCCGGATAGAGGAAGAAGACAATGCAAAGCTCGAAGAAGATCCAGCCACAGTAAATGGCAAGGTATCTCCAGGCGATTGCGCTGAGGGCGATGGAGTTGACGTTGGTGGAGAAGAAACCAGCGAGCTTGCCAAAAATTTGCTGAACGCCAATACCGCGGCTTCGTTGGGCATAAGGCCAGAGCTCGACCAGGTAAGCTAAAGTTCCAATATTAGCAAATGCTACTCGACTGACAAAGTGTAGGGCGTTTGGGAAGTAATGGCGAAAAAGAAAAAAAAAAAAAAAAAAAAAAAAAAGAGAGAGAGAGCGAGAGAGAGAAACGTACTGTACGTGAGAGCATTGTTGCCCATATTGTAGCAGGGTGAGTAGGCAAAGTACCAGAACAGAGCTGAGACACCAGCGGCTGTATCCTTCCGATCGGCATCCCGAGCAACTTCCAGCCTCTGAAGCGAGACAGTCATGGCAATAAAGACGAGCAACATGGTGGACGCCGAAAGCATGTACATATGCCTACGCTTGAATCGCGGGATGATGAGGGCAAGCAAAGTGCCATTGATAAGACCCCAGCAGGCGTTGGCGACGTTGATTCGTGTCTTCTGAGACTGCTCGGTGTAGTTCATCATGTTGAACAGGATATTCGAGTAGTAGCTGAGCAGCGTATTGCCGGAGAGCTGCGTGAAGAGACCGATGAAGATGGTGATCAGAACGCGACGGCGCATACCAGCGGTGCTGAGGAGTTCCATCCAGGATTGCTTGGAAACTTCCATCTCGGTCTTGATCGTTTCGCGGATCTGGGCGATTTCGGCCTTGACAAGGAGGGAGTTTCCGTCGTCCTCGGCATGGTACTTCACTAGGATAGCAGCGGCCTCGTCGTCCCTGTCGTGGGAAATGAGGTAACGAGGAGACTCGGGCAACAAGCTGGCACTGTTGTTAGCAAAGCTCTGCAGACACTCCGATCGTTGACAGGTTCAGCGATCAATTGGACATACAAGACGGTGGCAATCTGGAGTAGGGAGGGGCAGATTTGTAGGAGAGAAGGAAGGCGCCAGGCCCAGTTGCTGGGAATTTCAGTGGTGCCAATGGCAATGGCGGAGGCGAGAATCTGGCCGATGAAGTAGGACGAGTTGAAGAGTGATGTCAGAACGGCTCGCTCCTTGGGGTGGCCAAGCTCTCCGATCAGAGCGGCACCAGAGATGATGCAGAAGAGAATACCGACGCCCAAGAGCATGCGCGCGATGATATACATGGCAACTATGTACGACAGAAGGGAGTATTAGTGACCGACTCCAGCAGGGAGGGAGGGAAATAGGGCGCAAAAGAATCGAAAACACAAGCTCTCGAACATCAACTGCGTTTGACATACCGTGCTGAGCGAAGCCCTGAAGAATCGCACCGACAACCATGATGAGGGAACCGGTCATGATGGACCACCGACGACCGTAGCGCTGTGCAAACCACGGAGCGACGGGCACCGCGAAAATGGAGCCGAGCTGGTAGCAAGAGTTGATGAAGCCCAGCAGACCCGGTTCGATAGCAGGCTTGTCGTCGTCGTCAACACGTCCGTTCCCGAAATCTAAGAACTCACACAGAACATCAAATTATTAGTCTTCTGCACTGGATTGCGTCGCTGATCTCAGTTCAAATTGGCCGAGGGGGGATTTCATACAGGTGTGGAAATTGGGAGAAAATTGCAGCGTGTTAATCAACTGGGAATCGAAGCCCGAGGTCATCTCGACACCCATGCAACAGCAAAAGAGCCATAAATACATGAGGCGAAGATTTGGCTTCTTGTACCACGGCACCTTATCCTCTTGGACGAGGCGTGTGACGATGGGGTCGGCCGTCGTGCCGACGTTGATCTTGGGCTTCGGCGCGGCCACCATTTTGCCCAAGTGTTGCTATGAAAGATCTTCTGTTTACGTTCGGGGGTTCGCTTGCTTGTCAATGCCAATCTCCAATTTCCGAGCCAGTGCCTATAGGGAGAAAAGGAGAAGGGGGGATGAGCATAAGTAGAAGAAAATATAGAAAGCAAAAAAAAGGAAAGGAAAAAAGAACAAGCAATTATAGAACTCGGATCGAGCAAGGCACATCAATATTAAGTTAATAGGTACCACTGACAATGGGCCGTCATCGCATTCAAACGGTTCTTCTTGTTATAAGCGAGGATCCATTCTTCTTCTACAGACGGATTCTCACATACAAAGTAGACACGGTCATAAGCACGGCGACCACAGGTGTGGACACGGCTCGGAGGCACTGCACCCCGCGCGGGTTAATCAGGTGGGTAAATCATAATGAGGATGAGGTTTCATCCTGGCTTTCTTGGCGCTGGCGAACCAGAAAAGAGATTTCGAGGTGGGGAAGAGGAAACGCTGCGATTAGGACGTGGTCGCATACTTCGTCGCATTGCATCGACCTCTCACGACCATTGCAACCTTGACGCGGGGAACGAGGAAGAAAGAAGACAGCCGTATTGTTAACGAGAGCTTTGGGGCTGTTTAGCTCAGAGTCCAAAAACTCGGTAGTTCTAGCCAAGTATTATCCAAAAGGAAAAGCGGAGAAATCATCATCTCCCGCGGTCTTATTAGAAAGTACCTCGCATAAGCTCAAAAGAGTGGACCTTGTTATTTACCATCGCTTGCTTTGGATACTGCAACAGTTGGATAAGCCCATGCGACCATCACTCACGAAGGTCGCAATGTAGGGTCGCGCTCGAGCTTGTTTTGGACCACGTTTTCTTGAGCAGGAGAGGCCCAAGCTAACCAAAGTTGGGGAAGGCGTCGAGTACAGAATGAAGGCCCGGGGACGACTGGGGACGGCAATCATGATTGATTCCTGCAAGATCCCCGCTTTCGGGTCATTTTTCCGGGCAGCCGTTTCCAGACTTACTCTGGCGAATCAACTCCCAAGCATCCAACCGAGAATAAGGCCGCACCTAGGAATCTTGGAGATCAGGGACCTCAGATCCCTGTCGGTGCTTGTCATCTGGTCTTTTCTGGGGTTTGGGAACACCAAAACATGCAACCTGTTGCGACGAGGACGAAAATCATTATGCCTAGCGATCTGTGTGCTAGGCGAAATCTGGCAGGTCACTGTTTAAAGTATTTTTCCGCGATCCTTTGCCCAATCTCTTGTATCGGGTTTAACCCAGTTGGATCTCGAAAGGTCTCATAAACCCCTGTGCTGCTGGCAATCCATTTGTTGGCTCGTACCTATTGTTGGCGGAGAAGGTCGAGAAGGTCGTGTCTGAGCAGCGAAAATTCTTCTTTCCTTTCCTTCATCTTCACGTACTTCCCTCTACTTGCTCGCTCTTTACCGGCGATCTCCTCCGCATCGTACTCCGACATTGTCACAGCGATTGATCCTTTAGCCATCCCCCGCTTTGAGAAGCCTTTCCCCGGGCAGTTACGTCAGTCTGTTGCATCGCCGGCTCAACTATCCCGGCTCTGCGCTCCGCGGAGCTTTAGTTAGCCCTCACCAGTGTACTAGCTTACTTCTTACAATGATCCTCGGTCCATATTGCAAAATTTTCCGCACATAGAATGAGGCGGACGGAGGAAGAGAGTCCAAAAGACGAGAACCCCGCTCCTGCAAGATATTCACAAGCCCTCCGCATTAGTCAAGCCTCGTCTGCTTTCCGCCTGCGAAGAATAGGGATGATTCAATAATGTATGCTCCGTAGTGAATGTCAATTAGTTCCTTGTACAAAGTCTCGTTATATTATATACTCAGGGCTTGTACCGACTTATACAGCGAAGATCTTCCCCAGTCGATGGACCCTGTCCCAACCCCCCGGTAGCCTGCTTCGAGACAATGGGTGAAGCAAAGATGGCACAGTAATATGGCAATTCCGTCCGCGTAGATCTAAGGTGCCTCGACATCAACAATGGGCCAGTTGATGCCCTTGTCCGCAGCGCCAGTATTGCCCAGTCCAGCGCAGCTATAAAGACCGACAGCGTTGTTTTCCACGGCCCTCATGAATACGAGATCGAGGCATTGTTCTACGTTCCATTGTCAATTTTATGCTCACTGTCTTCCACTTCTCGAGTTCCAAATACTTACGCGGGTTTGACGCCGTTAGGGCGATGCGTCCGTCCTCCATCACGGTCCATTGTTGAGCTTCCTTCCCTTCTTCGCACTCCGCCAAGCTGAGAGTGCCCATATCCTTCCAGTTGCCTGTTTAACACCTGTTAGATAACCCGCTTCCTCGAGGTCGAGTGTCCGTCTTAAAGCCGCTTACTCTGGGCACCGCCGTCGATGCAGAGGGTGGTGTCTGCCAACTGGAGAGTGCTCGCTCCATCCTGGAGGAGCCACTGCTGCTCGGGCTTCTCGCTCAGGGTCTGCCTGCAAAGGCAAGGAGTGTTAGTAAAGTGAGTCCAAGCATGGATGAAATTAGAATGTGAAAGAAATCGACAAGAACTGGCTCAGGGAAACGAAAAGACTAACACGACAAGGCTGCTGCCAGCGGTGGTGCCACCTGCGGTCACCACAAACTTGGTGTTGACATTGGAGGTCAGGTACACCCTGCGGATCTTGCTGGTATCCGTATCGTTCTGAGCTAGGCCCAGAGTGACGAGCGCCACGAGGAGGAAAGTAGAGGCGAACATGGCGAAATTCGAAAGCGAGGCGGTGGGTGCTTTGCTTCAGGAGATAGGTGAGGCAAGATGGGGCATCTCCCAAGAACTCAGCCCACGGGGCGACGGCCGGTGCTTATAGCGGACTAGATTGAGGACAGGAAGCTAAGTCCTGGGGAAGACCTGTTTCGGTGCGAGTTATTGGGGGGTGAGTACGCGCATCTGCTTAATTAGCGATGATTTCTGGGGAGAAATGTATCGCCAAGAGGCTATTAACATAAATTGACGGAGACGGATGTTGCTGCTTTTGATATTCACTAAATTCGGCACTTTTTTGCCGGGAATGGGCTGTCTTCAATCCAATTAGATGACTGTGCCTATTTTCACCCACATCGCCACGAATCTGGGAGAGAAAGGTAATCTCGGTGTATATCAGCCTACAAGGGATAAATGGCCAAGCCCCTCATAGCGCCGGCCGACAAAGAGGCGACTGATGAATCGAAGCACCCCGGCGCGCTGGAACCGTCTGCTTCTGATTCTTCTATAGGTAATAATTCTGCACCTTCATCAGCTAGTCCGCTGGTAGGAAAGCAAGGCTATAAGGACAAATGACAAGTGATCCATCAAACACTAGTGGCAGGCGCAACATGGAGTATGGTAGCTTACTCTATTATTAAAACGGGGGCCAATATTAATGGAGCTGTCATAAGATGCTCATTTTGTGGGGGATGATTTTCATCTCGTCGCTCCTGTCTCCTGTCGCTATGTCCTGGTGCTCCGTGTCGACTACCCGAAGGAAGGACGGCGCTGAAACGATTTGTCTCTGCTGTCAGTGCCATATATTGACGCAAGTCATTCCTGGTTAGCAACTAGGAGCATCATGGCATTTATTGAAGGCAATCATCTTGAATTAGAATGTGACAACTTGCCCGAGGCCCGTTACTTTTGGATCCCAGAGCGCACATCCCATTCCCGGCTGGTCAGAGCAACACAGAGGCGATCATGTTTCTCCAGAGTAATCCGCGGCCGCAACAATATCCTGAATCTATCACGGATCGCCTGTGGAAAATCCTTACGGTAGGTTTCTCAGTTCGGGGCTTCAATGGACACAACGTTGGACCGGGCTTTCTCGGGATATCCACGAGCAACTGTGCCCAACCACCCACCGCCCCAAAGGCCATCAATGATACTACCAAACATTAACCTTCTGGCATTGGGAATTTGATCCCGCTGATAAAAGGATATGACGAGGAATCGTTCTGGGTATCAAGACACCGCGGTCCAACCTTGGTGTGGGAGATACCACCCCACTACATCCAATCTTCTTGGGACATCACTGTCCAATTTCTCAGGGTTCCTTGTGACAGTGACTGGCACAGGAACAAATATCGCCAAAATCGTATAGGGACGTGGGTTCTCGATGCTCAGGCAACATTGAACGTGCAAGTATACATCTGTTAGTGGGGTATACAGTGTACAGATTGCGGACATGAGAGGAGAAGGGTATAGTTCCATCGTATTATACATTTGATCTCGCATCTTCGTAAGTTTTTTAACATCCCCCAGTGCGAACCTAATGGGACTCACTGTAGCCACTGTACCTTTGAACGTTACTGTGTTCCAATCAAGAGAATCGAGGCAGACCGTGATTCTCAGATCACAGGCAAACTCCGTCATCAGTTATCCGTAAGACCGCAGAGCCATTGAAAAGCTGAACTATCCTATAATAGTAGTAAAATCCCTCCCCCACCCTAAACCGGAAACGAAAACTTGATCGAACAGCCCACACCAGCCACCGCATGTCCGTCATGAAGGTTTGCGTTGCTCCAGCGTCTACGAAGACCGGCCGAGCTGCCATCGACGCGCTGCTAAAAGATACTGGACAGCATTCTGTTGTCGGCATTTACAGGGATCTTGGTAAAGTCCCTGAGCACTTCAAATGGCATCCGTGGTTCGAGGCTCGACAGGGTGATGTCGCGTCCGTCGAGACTTTGAACTTTTCTGGCTGTGACGTCTTGTTAACGATGACGCCGCCATTCCTTTTCACTTCTGATGATCCGGTAGCTACGGCGAAGGAGATCTCTGACAACGTTAAGGAGGCGGTACTGAGAGTGGGGAGCATTAGGCGCATCGTCTACATCTCGAGCGGGGGAGCCCAGCATGAGAGTGGAGTGGTAAGAAGGAGATGCTATTTCACACCCTGCTCCCGTTTCGATGCCCAAGCTGACTTTTGCCTTCTCATTCGATCTTAAGGGAGAGATTGCAACCAACCATGTTGCTGAAACTCTTCTCTGGGATGCGGCGCCAGAGGTTGTATTCGTGCGGTGTGCTTACTTTATGGAGAATTGGGCGCCCCAGATCTCAACCATCCAGTCCGATTCTCCCTACATCATCTCAGATATTACCCCATCAGATTATGCAATACCAATGGTTCGAGTTTCTTTCCCAATTATGGAATGTGGTTCTAACCCGTTATGGTAGGTCTCGGTCAAAGATGTTGGAGCCTTCTGTGCGGCCCTGGCGGTCGACATGAAAATCAGCGAGTCAACTTCTTACCCATTTATCGTGGAGCTTCATGGCCCCAAGGCATATTCTCCCGAGGACGTACGTGGAGCATTCGAATTGGTGACAGGGAAAAAAATCGAGCTCAAGCTTGTAGAAAGGGATCAGCTTCGTCCCTACTATAGCGAGATATTTCCTCCGCCGGTCGTCGATTTATTTGTGGAGATGACTGAAAGTCTCCTTCCAGGAGGTATACTGATGAAAGGAGATCCGAAAAATCCACCTTTAATCCATAGGGGAACTGATACCTTGGTCGACTCTGTTCAACGAATGATGGTATCGGCAGGTTGAGCCACTCAAAAGCCATCAGACAGGAGCCATTTACCAGTTATCCATCTAATGTACTACTTTATGGGAAGCTAGTTTACATTAAGGCAAGCCGAGAAAGTTATATGAAATTATCGATATGAGGTACACAGATATAATTCACTGGGAGACCCAGCGAGGCTTCGGACTCCTGAAGCCAGGCTTCCAGAAGTAATGCCAGTCAATCTCCACAGCCCTTCCTCTACACCCACTTGCACACTCTCCTATCCGCACTTCTTCCATTCAATATGTACCTGCTGCGTCAGATCAATTGTGGCATCATCGTCAACCAGGTGTCCCGTAGCATCCCTGCTCGAAGCGGAGAGGCTGACTGTGGTGCGGATCAACAAGTTCACATCCTTGCCGTCGCAGGGAGCCAACACCTGCTTGTTTACAGGTACCTTTTCCGTGATAGAAAAGTTGTCTCCATCGGCAAACCTGTCGCCACCGAGGAGCACAACATGAGTTACCACGCCTAGCAAGTCACCGACGAGACCCAACAAGCCCCCAAGCAGTCCGCCCACCAACCCACCCACCAAACCCTTCCCGTTTTCGTCGGCAAAAATGTATTCCGTATCGAAAGTGCCCTGGACACCGTCGTTGAGTTGTGCGAAGCCGTGGTACGTTGTTTCAACCACGGCGTACGAGTATCCAGGCGGGTAGTGGAGGTTCAAGTGGATGTTGCAATTCTTCTCTCGATCGGACGGCGACCAGGCTGGGCCGATGCCCACGTGGAACTCGTCGAAACCTAGTGTCACGACCGTGCGGTCCGGAGATATTGTGACGGCGACCGCCCCCTTAGGGCACCCCGACCCGGAGGTGGATACGGTGTTTATCGTGATTTGTGCGGCAGCATCGTCGGCATCAGCTGGTTTTTCATATCGCTGCGCCAGGGTGGATGGCGATATCAGTGCTAGGAAGGAGAGTATTCTGGTAAATTGGCGCATCCTAGTTTCGGACGTCTAGAAGCTGTGACTCATTACAATGTTTGTAGGCTCATGAATCTTAAGGATGAGGAATGCTTCACATGGAACCCATTACCCTTTTGGCATCGCTGAGAACATGACCGTCTTTAGGGACCGGCTCTCTCGTGTCTTTTATCCACTTCTTTCCTCTCAAACGCGTGGTTTCTCTTGGCTGCACGGGGATATCGCCGCCGAATTCTTGGAAAACGTCGAATCACGGCACGGGCTATAAATTGCATAAGGGACTCATTAACCCGTCGAAGACCGCAAGGAGGCGGGTAAGTGATGTGATTTGAGCGTGGGATTAAAACCGAGCCGCTCCACATTCTAGAGCTTCCCCTAATGGGCAAAGATCTTCAACTCGAACCTGGGATAATTCAAGGATTCTCGGAGTGTCTTCATTCTTGTCGACCTGGCCTCATTTACTACTTTGTATTTCACCCTCTCGGCCTTGGGATTTGGGCCATCAGGCAAACGAGCCACTGAAGGTTGTCAGCATAACGCTGAGTTCTCGTCGTGTAATTTCTCCCAAGCGTGTCTAACTTCTTGTTTTCCTTGAGCCTCTTCAAGAATTCTCGTGATGGCTTGGAGCTGTGGATATTGACAGCGTCGGCCTGGCCGGTAAGATGCACCTCTCCGAACTCCCGGCTATGGAACGGCCCCGGAATGGGTCAAGACTCGAGATACCATGCATGGAAGGTATCGAATTTCGAGGATCCACCCAGAAGGTCATGAGACCTTTGCACGCTTCAATTCATCCACTGTGGAATGGACGGCAACCGTGGTAGTTTTTCGGGGAATGGTAAATTGCTAAATCACTAGCCGGGGTGAACTATCAGGGACGAAGAAATAGGTTCCAAAAATAGAGTTATCGCTAAGGTGTTTTGGGCAGATAATTATGGACGGTAGATAAATATACGCCTGTTCGAATGTCCCCGTTGTTCCACCACGTCATAATTATCCCAACGAACGCTTTCCTTCCAGTTAGCAGTCACACTTCTTTCTTCTCCGGGAGCTCTAGATGCAGCCGCCGTCTATATTTATGGAAATGGCAATTATTAACTGTAGCCTGCCTAATCCAGATTGAGTTTGATTTTTTTAAACGAGGACAAGACGAACCCATGGCAAGGGGCAAGAAAAAAACGCCGATCGTGAATCCGTATGCAAGATGCGACTGGTACATGCAATAAATATAATCATGACAATCCAACATTGCCCATCCGCCCTCACATCAATGCCTCGCTAAGATCTATGTCCTGCATTCGAACCATGAGCTCATGGATCGGGCCCATGTCCGACGTGTCTGGCTCCACCAAAAGACCGCCAGACTTCTGCGTCCCGGAGTCTTCGGGGTGCATCAGATTACGCTTTCCCTTGTACTCGTTTTGATTGTGGAAGATGACGGCGAGACTCCAGTATTCCCGCACGTAGCGAATGAAGCCAGGTCTTCTGAGGTCGGGTTGTGGGTCATCGTTTTCGGTGGGTACTGGATCTCGATCACCCCATACCCTGACCCAGTTGCGTAGGCCACGGGAGACGCGCAAAGACTTCATGTGGCTCTCGGGGCCATTGCGGTGAAGGAAGATGAGGTTATGGAAGGCTTGAGGACGGTCTGTTAATAAGTTCGCCCTTGCCTAACATGGCTGCACTGAGCTTCGGGAGAGGGGAGTGGAAATGGAAAGAGAAAAGAAAAGAAGAAGAAAAAAAAAAAAAAAAACTTACCGCTGGCAATCGCAAAGAGATTAAGCAGGCTGGCCTGCTCGAAAACTTGCCATTCTTCCGCATTCAAATCCTCCTTCAAGCTGATATCAATCAACTCAGCTACGGTGATATGTCCCAAAGGTTGCCCCTGTAGCCATTCTTGCATGGCTTTGAACCAGGTGTCGGGATCTGCCGCTTGAAAACATGAATCTGGGCAGACCAAGCCGTATTGAAGCTCATCAGTAAACATTCGCGGGGAAGTGTTGTTGTATATGATGAAAGCGCAATCGAGGAGGAAGATGTAGAGGATCGATCTGATGCACTCTTCTCTCAGAACAAAGAGCTTCCACGCGTCAAAGCGCGTAGTGGTCATAATGCTTCTATGCATAGTCCCGCTGCACCAGGCGAAGGGGTACAGGGTGCGCCCCACACTGATAATCTCCGAGAAGTGAATTCTCCTCGCTCGAGTCGCCTGACTCTCGCTGGTTCCCTCCCACATTAGCATCAGAAGTGTAACAAAAGATGCGTGAACCATGTCGACCCGAGAATGGACTTGCATCAGCTCAAATGCATCTCCGGTTTGGGGAATAGGAGTGTAGTGGAAATGAATGTCAGTAAAGACCCATTCCTCCATATCCTCCAGCCATTCTAATGCTTGATCTCGATCACTCTTTTCCGATGTTAAGCAAGCCCCGATCAGAGCCATCGCCGCGATCAGGTGCGGAGACCGTCTCGTCGCGACGAACGTGGGCCGGTGAAGCACAGGCCAATTCGGGGACCAAAATAACCAGAAAGAACTCATGAACCTGTCCAGATTTTCAGGGGAGAAGAATCGAGCGCAAGAGCGCTGCCTTGCCTCGGTCCAGCCTAATGGGTCCCGGGTCCGAGCGCAGTGAGATTCTCCAAGTCTCCTAACGATTTCATGCGATTTCGCGGTCAGGGGATGCAGCCAAACCTGTTGGCAGTTGTCCGCCGAAATAGCGATCCCGGATGCGTTGACCCGGTTAGCGGCCACGAATCGTCCTTGGGCAGGATCAGAGTTCTCCAAGCCCTGCCACGTCGTGGCCAGCCCAACATCACTTCCTGTGGTGATATCATCAGGGAGTATCGACGAGGCCATTCTGTTTCCCGAGAAGGAAGACATGATTTGTTTCCTGGACGTTCGATCGCCGCAGCTAAACAGATTCGCGATACCATGCGTCGATGTGAACTCGACGACGAAGCGTAGCCTTGAGCGCAAGAACTGCGGCCTTGGAGGCAACGTCTGCGGCACGGGCGCTGTATTGAAGGCGTTCCACGCTAAATCCACCGTCGAATATGCGCAGAAGGGTGAGGTCTGCGTGCTGTTGGAGGGAGGATGGACAAAGGTTTGGGAAGTTAGTGAGGGACGCCCAATAGGGGTAGATAAGGCATCAATAGGAGGGAGGGAGTCTTGCGGGCGGAGTGCTTGAACATCGGATATCTCAAGCCAAAATGTAGGCGGATTCGGGAGTGCCATGGGAGGGCATTCGTTCATGTATCTGGGCACCTTGACGTCCGGGCCGTCAGACGGCTGCTTATCCGTGACGGACGACTCGCTGGGTGTCAATGTTGTACTGGTTGGCCTCGAATAGGTGCAATCGTGGCCCTGCTTGGCGCAAATATCGCATGGCAGCGTCCCGCTACATTTCTTTTTGAGCTGGGCACATCTGGCGCACGCATTCTGTTTTCGACCACGTTTCCCGGCCGGCAGATATGGCATCGGCAGCCCAGACTTTAACCTCTCCCCACATGTTCGCCAATGCCTAAGCAATGCATCCCTGCCAAGTTAGTTAGAAATAAATGCGAGAAGAAGGAGGGCAAGTTTCTTCTAGCCAACAGCTTATCGACGAACTAACCTTCGATTGAAACTAGAGGAACAAAATGAACATTCATACGTGCGCACATTACCATCTCAAGTGAGCGGGAGGGAGTTAGTCCGGGGCATGGATACGGATCTTGGGAATTGATTGATTGCATCAAGAAAGGCCAAGCAGCACTTGCCACTTACGAGACAGTAGATGGCGGTTGAGGTGGTCTAGAAACACATCTACGTTAGCCGTCTGATTCAATTTCAGCCATCAAGGCGGCGCTGGCTCATCCAAAGAGAGGGATGGGTGAGATTCTAGGAATAGAGAAAGCCTGCAATTGCACCTACCAATTTTCTTGAACTTTGCCGAGCAAGTTCCGCACTCAAACTGGAGCGTTTCGGTAGCCATTGCCGCCATGGCGATGACGCGTGGCACAAATGGACGCGGCAGCTGAAGCTGTAATCAGGGCTGCTCAAGATGATGAATGAGACCGAGGTAATGCACTGGAGAGACACGGACTGTGTCTCCGGGCTAACATGACCATGCCTTAGTGCAAAGGATTCATGGAGAAAATCGCGGCATCGGCGGCACCAAGATCAGCCGGGTTGCGTGAAGCCAGTGGGGCTGGACGGACGGATCAAGATAGAGATAATCGGGACTTCGGGAGCCAGGGAAAGACTCGCCCTGAAAAAGGAGATCGGTTTGGGATCGCAAATATCACGTGACTAGCCACAGTGGGTCGCTAACAAATATCAAGATCGAAGGTGCGGGTGCGATAACGCTTGGCGTGAACTTGACCCGTAGGCCAAAGTTACCGTGGAAGCCCTGAAGGCGGGTTCTCGTACCTTGGATAGTTTTTGCAGTCGAGAAAAACTGTACGCATATTTGAAGTAATGGCCGATCACTGAGACAGACATCGTTCACAATTCCTTAAACGCAGAGATCTTGGGCTGCTCATGTTCTGTCCGCTCTGTTGTCTCGGCACTGCCGAGAAAGATCGACTCGTCTCCCCTAAAGCCGTCCCAAAATGGTTTAAGTCTAAGATGGACGGATCCGCAATTTATGAGCGAAAGTCAAATTAAGCTTGCGTGTTCATTCATCTTGAATCCTCAAACCGCTTAGCAAGAGGTTTATTCGCAGGAGCGGCCATGGAGTTTCTGCTAGGCAATGTAACACTCGTTTAAACTTTTCAAAGTTAAATGCCTTCAGGTGATTCTAACCCTCCTCTTCGATCCCTCCCACTGTTCAAGACGAACCTGCGGTCCGTCTCAACACTCATTGTGACTTTTAACAGCAATCACGCTCCATGCGCGCTATCAAAGAACCCGCGAACCGATACGGAGCTCGATGAGATTGAAAAGGACCCGAGTCAAGGGTGCCGTGACTTTATGGTACCGGGCATAACCCGGACCCTTCCTTTCAAGCCACATAGCCTATTGTGAAAGAGGCCGTTCTGGATCATTGCAGGCGCAAAAGCTTATGCTTCTACGAGACATGCGCTTGAGCACCCTACTTTTGACATTGTAAGGCTTTCTTACCACTCCAGAATTGGAATGGGCGCAAGCCTCCGTAGGGTGCCGGGTGTACGTGGGTCCATCGAAGATGACTCTGAAGGATAGCACGTAAAATCTGTTGGTCTCGAGTCGGAACATAATACAACACATGCGGGATTGCTAGATATCAGTAGCTGCGAAACGCGAGTCAAAATAAAGGCTGGCACGTGGCTTAATTCAATGCCTGTTGTAGCTTGATCGTCACCTATATCTTATGTGAATTCATCAAGCCTTCCACTGCAAGACCCTCGATCTTAATTTCCAACCTCTTCGCATGATGATACCGTTCAGCAGCTTTTATTCTAAAAACTAATAATGGATTCCAGGGGATTTTCCCTGCAAAATATCCGTAAAAACCGTTTTCAATGTTCGTCCAGAGACTTCGGGGTACAGTTCTTTGAAATTCAGGTAGCCAAGATATTCCGCAGACTTTGGCTGGTTGTCGCCTCGGACACCCCACGAGTAATAGTATTCGTTGACAACCTTCGCTATGAAGGCATTGCGGTCCTCGGGGTTGCGACTCAGAGATTCCTGGACCTCATCTAGAATACCCTCAAGGGCTTCGGCAGTCCGCTAGAATAGAAAGGTTAGATTTCCGAAGAGGTCGCTCAGGCATAAGGGCAGAAAACCCACGTATTGTCTGACAGTCTTCTCGCCACTGAGTTCATCCATGATATCATAAGCTTGATTCATTGTCAGGACGTCGGTACATGCCAGGACCTTCTTGTTAAGGGTCCTAGGATCAGCGATGATCTTGGCGACGTAAATTCCGATGTCGGGAAGTGACGTGAAGGCCACAGGTACATTCCCATCCCCGGGAATAACCCTGCTACCTTCATTCTGGAGAAGCGCATGGTTGGTTTTCCCCGAGGGCAAGGCGGGAGTTATCTGCTCCGACCACCAACCAACGTCGATTACAGTATACGGCAAGTAAATTCTTTGAATGGCGTCAAGAACCTCGTATTTCTAGAGATTGTTTTAACTGTGTTTTTTCTTTCTCCTCACATGGCACACACATGATGGCGCGAAGCGAACCTACCTGGTCATCGAGCCACATGATCCCTCTCGGCGCCGGAGTTCCGAAGTTGCAGGGGACAAAGCGCTTCACGCCCGCTTTCTTGGCAGCTTCGGCGAGGGGAATCTGTTGCTGAAGAGAAAATGCAACAATGCAAGAGATGACAATATCAATGCCAGTCAAGATGTCAACAAGGCTCTGCTGTGGTCCGGTCAAGTCTACCGGAACCACGTGGACACCGCGCTCCCGAAGAGATTGATTGGCGGCATTATTAATCGAAGACTCTCGAGACAGCGCGGTGATTTCCTTTGGCTCTTATTAGATCAGTCCGCCAGGTGTGGCTTGCGCAAGCATGTAACTAACGAAGTGTGTCTCAGACGCCAGCAAACCATCCACGACGCTGGCGCCGGTATGACCAGTCGCACCAACAATGGCCACTTTTAACGTGGACATTCTGCAATGTTTCTCTTGGTGTTCTGGATGGAGATGTTTATGGTCGCTATGTGCGGATTGTTGTGAACTCGCTACTCATTCCCTCTGTTTGGCGAAAAAATCGTCCTCCCCACACGAGCAGCTTAAATATCTAGAGTGGAGTTGTTTTCGGGGTCGGACTCGGGAAGACTCCAAGCCCTAACCCCTAACTCCGTGGCTTTGGCTGTCTGAACCCCCCTCTGCCTTATAAATCAAGAACAGAATTCCTGATACAATCACGCCAAAAATCTTAGCCTAACTGTATCTGCTAGTATTACCCTCAGCGCGGCTCGAAAGTTTCCGCAAGCCATGGACGGCGCTTGACGGCAAGGGCCAGGACCAACCCAAACGGACCTTTCTTGTCTTCGGTGCAGCATGATGAGTAGGAGTTTATGAAGCGTCCCGTTGAAAAGTCGAGTTCAACGCGGCTTTCGCTCCAGTAAACCGTCAGCACCGATCGATCAACCTGCCCAAGGGAAGCCACTGAAGCGCCACTAGCCTCTTTCCCGAGATCATCACATTCTCCCAGCGCCTCAGGTCTAAGGGCCGGGAGGTAATGGTAGGCGGTCTCTGCCATACTCTCCCAATAATACGATTATTACAGGATGTCGGACGGGAAGGGCTGCTGACTGCCGCGGCATCGACTGAACTGTTCCTTGAACGTTGCTATCTTGGCGACAAAAGCAACAACGAGAAGTGACCGCCTGTCCAAGTGAAGTCATAAGTAGGCCAAAACCGAATGTCTTGCCTTTTTCCATTCCCAGTCCCATCCTAGCCCTTTATTGTCTGCTCTATCTCTCATTCTCTCTTTCTCACTCCCTCTTCCCATTTTCATATCCAAGTTGTTTTTCTACCTATTTCGAAATTTCGACAAGTGGTTTACAGCCGAATCAATTACCCATCGACGATCTCCCCTCCCCAGGACACTGAGCAAGTGTACCTCTGTACATCCACGTCCCAATTATTATTTTCTTGTTCCAAAACTGGCTCCTCGAATGAACCACAAGCGGCAGGTTTCTAGAAGGAGGATTCGATGTACAATTCCACTCAGCCAATGCTCCGAAAACGCAAGCAAGACAACAGCAGGCCATCCCTTGGCCGACGGGATCTGGAACCTACTAAAGCCAGCCAGCTCAAATGTACTTTAAAGCCGGGAATGGGCTTTCGAGATGATGACACATTCCGTTGTTCTCCGGAGTGGGCCGACCCATCCACTTAGCTACGAAGCGGCAATGTAAGTCATATCGACCTGCATTCCCCTGCTGCATTCGCTCGTGTCCATCTCGTATTTGCTTTGTCTTCTGGCCAAGCCGAAAAAGCGGGGTTCTTGTCAACATTCCAATTAAGATCGAGATTCGAGAATATTTCCAATCTCCCACAACTGCCAATCCCAACAACCATCCGCTTTGTCGAAATTTTGATTGTCCGAGATGTCTTCATCCACTGAAATCGGAACTTTAGACTCGTGGGAGGCGAACGCTGAGTTTTGGGATGGGGCAGTTGGAGAAGAGGGGAACAGATACTGGCAGCTGCTTCAAGCTCCCTGCCTTGAAAGAATGATCCCTGTGCAGCCCGATTGCAAAGCACTAGACCTCGCGACGGGGAATGGCCTGGGCGCCAGATGGCTTGCATCCAAGGGCGCATTTGTTCTGGCCACAGACGGCAGTGAGAAAATGATCGCCCTCGCTACTCGGCATACCCTATCTGAACACGTAGACAAAATTGTGTATCGACAGCTTGACATAACGAAGTCCAGCGAATTCGAGGCTCTCCTCCGGGATCCGCTAGCGGTGTGTTGATTAGTCGCTTCGACGCTCTCAAGGAATTTTGTCTCCGGCCCGCTAATAATTAGAATCAAGTCTGAGCGGTTTGATGTTGTGCTTGCCAACATGGCTATTATGGATATTGAAACATTGGATGCGCTGGCAGACGCCTTGCCAAGGCTGCTTAAGAAGGACGGAATGTATATTTTCCCTGCTGGGCACCATGTACTTGGGGTTACGAGCTTACAATATCTCAGATTTGTTGCTACAATGTTGCACCCAGTGTTTGACACTACCAACGCGGCTATCAGTACTAGCGAAGTTTCAGATCCTCAAACTGGATTATCTCGAATCACTCGAACTCGAGTCATTGAAAAGTATCTCCACGTCCCGCCGTGGCGAGGTGTCGCTATGGCTGACCAGCCAAAATGGCATGTACGTTGATCCTGGAAAAGAGAGGGAGCAACATGCTGCTCAACTTGCTGATCGTCGGCTGACTTGGGAGAAGCTTTACTTCCACCGTCCATTGCATGAGCTCTTTGGCGTCTTCTTCAAGGCAGGACTGGTTATGGATGCACTCGAAGAGCCAACGTTCTCGGCTGAGCAGGCGGCGACTGGGGATAGGCAACGCACCGATCGAACCCAGATACCTGTCCTCCTGGCTTTCCGACTACGACTGGCAAAGTAATCTCCCCACGCCGACTTGGAAGTTGAAAGCAAAGGGACGCGTTATTTTTTCCGGTTTTCTGTATTTCTTTCATTGTATCTTTCTCCGTTTTTCTCTACTCTTTTTTTCTCTCCTAAATATCTGAACAAGCGAAAAGTCACGGAGGCTCACGAGAAGTTCGAGCTGAGATAGTAATTAAGATTAACTTTCTTCGATGTGCGTATAGTGGTCCTCAACTCCGTGTCCTCAACATGGTAACAGTATTCGCAATAAAGGTAATTAGACGCATCTCCAATACATTCACCAACTCGCTTCTTTGCACGAAACGCCCAATCAATGCCAACTGCCTTCCATCTCGTATATACCCGAACCCGGAAGCTCCTGGGGCTCTGGAAGCGTTGTATATGCCGGTGCAGGAGACGACTGAGGTTGGTAATCCGGGGGTTGCGGTGCCAAGGTTTTCGGGGACTTCTCTTGCACAGCGGCGATGGCCGACTCAGGGGCCGTATGTCCTCGATCTTCGCGTCTCCGACGACACACAAAACATGCCGCGGCTGCTGTGGCGGCGGAGACTGTCACGGCGACGCCGACGACAATTCCCACCAGGGCCCCGGTAGGAAGGCCTTTCTTGGATGACGACGAATGCGATGGCATTAAACTCGGGCCCGAGGAGGAATCTTCGGGATCGATGTTGGGTTCCGAGGTCGAAGTGGAACTACTACGGATATTTCCTGTTGTGGAAGTAGGACGGGAAGTTGCTGGTGGTTGATGAGCTCTGTGTCAGTGACGATTCTTAGGGGGACAGAGAGAGAGAGAAGAAGAAGAAGAAGAAGGAAAAGAAGAAGGAAACTAGTATTCGCAACAGAAAAATGCTGGTCAACCCACCAGAACTGCTGGGACTGTAAACCCCAAATTGCGTGCCTGCTGGGAAGTCCGCCGTGGCCGAGTAGACAATCATCCTCATGACGCCCCCGCACATTGCATCTTTTGCTCCCCAGCAAGTCTTGGTGCAAGAGTCGTCAGTTGCTGAGAACGCCCAGGGCTGGATAGAATTGCCGCAGTAGCAGTCACAGCCCTGCTCGATGCCAAACATGTTACATTTGGCGACGGAGCAGAAGCTTCGGCACAACTCTGGACTCATTCCGGAGTCAAAGAGATGAGATACGGACATAATAATACCGCTTCCATCCTGCCAGCAGCCCAAATGTGTGTAGCCGTCGATCTCTTTAACCTCGGCACGTTTTTGAAGTTGAATTCGGCGCGGCTCTGCAAAGGTTGTCGTCGAGGCACTGTCGACAGTTTGGACAGGACTTGGAGCGACTGTAGGCCGCGAAACGGCAGGTTGAGCTCTTGCCTCAAGGTGAGCCCGGGAGAAAGACGTACTGGCAAGGAGGCATGGAAAGACCCCCCAGAGCTTCATTTGACTTCTTTTAGAGTGCTGCACCGGGTTCGTTGAGGTCCTGGTTTATTCAGATCGTGATCAAGAGCTCCTAGTAGATAATTAAGTATTGAAAAGGGCAAGTGAACAGCAGTGGTGGGAGCGATCCGCATGGAAGAGAGCTTAGATAATATTTGCTTTGTCTGAAATCGTCTCTTTTCAATCCTAGCTCTCATGCCACGGACGAAATGGTCTTCTGGTACTTCGTATCTCAAGTTTGTTACGAGCTGCTAGCTTTGACCAAGCACAAGAATGTGACCCACTGGATCTCAACGGCTGAGCTGGTTCCAGCTGTCATGCAGGGATCGTTTAGCGGGCAGTCAACACCAATCAATAATTCGAATGATAAAGAGGTCATGCAAGGCAGATCGAGGTCCTTGGACTCAGGCACGCGGCTCCGTATTTTTATTGAGAACCCAATTTTCTATTCTGGGGCGATGCGGTCCAGGAGAACCCGGGGGATACCATGAAGAAGAGTGGTTGGCATTTCGGACGAATCATCCTGGGTGTTATTATAGACTCTTAGTTTGGTTATCTTTTTGTGATTATGAAGAAGAGCCAGCTCAGGGGCGTCAGGGTGGGGGTAGTGCAGTATGGCAGCACTTCAGTCCCGACGGATACTCAGATCCATGAGTCAATTGGACATGAATAGATAGTATGCGAGAATGCGCCACGGTTAACTCGGACATGAGTGGTATTGACGTGAACTCAAGGTGGAGCCTTTCTCCCTCCACAGCTAATAGTCGGAAATGTTATTGTATTTGAAATGTGTCGTCTGTTTTGTTGGCTGCGTCCTAGTAATATGGATACTAAATGTAACGCGCCCCGCTTAAGATCGGTCCCTCATCTTCGGCCCCAGCTGACCCGGCGTCTTCGTCGTCTTCGTCGTCTTCATCAACATCCCAACGTTCCGTCCCGATTTCTTCCCATCCCTCCCGCCGCATCGCCGCCGCCAGCGCGGTTAAAAATTGCGTCGTCTCCGCGTTCCACAGCGTGACGCCTTGCGGCATCACATCTCCCATGGCCGTTCGGAGAACGACGAGCTGGTGTCCCTCACCGCGGGGCTGTAAGGCCCCGGCGAACCCAGCGACGGCCTCCTGCACGGCGGCCACGGCCACGTCGACGGCCGCGAAGTTCGCCTCGGGATATCCTCTCGCCAGCCGTCTGACAAATTCGTGATAGTCGTACCAACGTGCCCACCTTGCTTCGTCGTCGGCGTTGGCACTGTCCGCAGGTCGCGATGGCTCCGGTCCATCGACGATGCGCCGGAGCGGGTGCTGCTGCCATGGCCCATGTTGCCGCTGCAGCCGTCGCCGACCGAGACGACGTATACACCGTCCCTTCTCAATCGGGTCTACCATGACCATCCTGTCCGTCGTGTTGGACCCGTATAGACCCGGGACGCCGATAGACGGCAGCACCCCCGGCAAATCGGCGGGGACGAGGTGCATGTCGAGAACCAGTAGGTTCGGGAACCTGTCACGAATCTGCGCCCCCGCACGCGCCCCCGCAGCTCTCCACTCGGGTGGGAGGCAGCCGACGTCGTTGGCGAAGAGGGCGCCACCCAGCAAGTTCGTCGACCCACGGCGCACGAGAGCGGCATTGGAGGCGCCGATCTCGGCCGCCATGTCGAGGAAGTGGCTCTGCTCGACGGGCCCGCGCCCGAGCAGGTGGCGCAGGTCCAGGGCGAACGTGTTGGTGCCGTAGAGGACGGCGCGCGCCTCGGCCGACGTGGCTTTGCTGACCCGCAGCAGGGACGCCGCCGAGGTGCCGACGACGGTGATGGCGCCGGACCATTTCGAAAGGATCGTTATGCGGCGCCGGCTCGACGTGCCGCGAAGGAGGAAGGGTTTCCAGCGCATGTGCCCGGCCGCGAGGCGGCCCTCGTAGCTGCGGATGATTTCCAGCGTTTCCGAAAAGGTGAAGAGCTCGGCGTAGATCATGTTGCGGATCTCAAGAGGCAACGGGATGGTGGGCTGCATCGTGGCTCGGGGGATGTAGATTGAATGAGCATAAAAGAGAGAGGGGTGGGGTTAAGGAGCTGGACGTGTTGACCAGTAGGGGCCTCAAGGGGTGTACTGTAGAGAGTTTTAAGAGGCACAGTCAGCCTTACGGTATGTGGATTCTAAAATTCTAAAAGCGGTGGTGCAGTTAGATCGTGCGAATCCTACAACCAAAAGCGGTGAGGGGCACAACCGTCGTGCATGGCAAGGTTGGCTACCAAGTCCTCGATCGCCCACAGCCCTTGTATTTTTTGGGTGTTCTTCCAAATATAAGATAGCGAATTAATGTGTATGTACCGTTGTTGATATCGATATGGTAAAGAGCGTGAAGAGGCTAAACGCGCACTTCTCCTTATAGTTGTCCATTTGATCCCTTACTCCCACTTTAGCCTGATACGTATTTTTTTTTTTTTTCTTACTTCATTTACCTCCTACCCCAGAGGGAGAACAACATAAGAGAAAGACTTAAGCAAGAGAAAGATAGAGTGTTGCGTGGAAGGCATTAATATACGAGTTGTCTCGCCCGTTTATTATAGTCAACTTCTTAAATCTAAGAAAAACATTTCTAAAACTGGTGGAGGTTTGTCCATATCTGTAATCTACGAGAGCTAGTTTCTCAGCTACTAACAAGCTCTAACCCAGAGGCCCCACAAAAGAACCTAATATTAGGAATACAACTCATGTTAACTCTCCAAGACTATCAACATATCCTCTATGCGCGGTCCATAGTTAAGAGCGAGCTCATTGTGTAGAAAGGTGTGTAGTGTGTATCTTTCAGCCTCGTCTCCTAGTATGGCAACTTGCCCGCGAAAATATGAGAACTTTTCGTATCCTAGAGCGAGTGCCCCGGTTACAGCATTGAATCTTGCCACGACTGCTCAGAAAATAAACATCGGGTGCTGCTAGCCTAAGAAAATGGGGATTTCAACATGAGGTACAAGAGTGATTGCACTATCTCAGCAGCGGTCAGACTGGTCGTTTCTCCAACATTGTCATACACAGGCGCAACCTCCACGACGTCGGCGCCTATAACTTTCAGCCCGGCGAGTGAGTCGATTATACTTAAAAGCTCCCTGGTGGTCCAACCGCCGGGTTCAGCAGTACCAGTAGCTGGGAAACGTGACACGTTAGCGTCATCTTCGACCGGCCCGGCCAGAACGTTTGGAAGGAACGCTAGACCTACCTGGTGCAAATGCGGGATCAAGGACGTCGATGTCGACACTTATGTATACATTTGAATCTCCGACCCTGCCTTTGAGCTGTTCGACAACACCGTCGATTCCGAGTCGATCTAGTGCTCGGGCAGTGATAGATGCAAAGCCGCATCGAAGATCATTCTTTGAGTCTTCGGTGGGCCTCGTCAGGGCGCCTCTTATGCCCGCATGGATGCTGGTGTTTGAGATCAAACCCTATGTACCTTTGTTAAGTGTTCCGATCTAGAGCCTTTTCCGAATGGGAGAGAACGGACCTCCTCGTGAGCAATGTGAAGGAAAGTTCCATGGTTCAGCCCCCTTTCGTTGGGATGTTATAATGGTTAGTCAACAGCACAGATGTTAGTAACTTATCGGGGATTGGATTACGACGTACGCGTAGTCTGATATGTCACCACCTAAAACATTCGGCTCCCATGTGTCTGAGAATATTCTGTTAATAGCTCTCCAGGCAATTTCCTTGGCCGGAGTGACAATACTGAAAGCGGCACCGGCTCAACAGCAGGCCAAAGTGCATCAATTGTACGCACCAATGTGAGCATCAAAGTGGATCACGGAAAACTTGCCCCATCTCTTGAACGCGGCCCTCAACGCAGATAGGGTGGTCGTGTGGTCTCCACCCAGCGTGATGACTCGTGGAATGGAAGACAGGCGTTCCGACACTGGCTTTCGCCCCACAACAATCTGCTCACAGATGGCCGAAATTGAATCAGAACAGGGTATTCGAGCAGCACACCTTGGGTAAACTCGGGGTTGTTTGCGTACATTGTGGGCCGTCTCTAGCTGCCGAAGGGCGACTGTATTGTCAAGCCATGTCATCGGCACGTCTCCACAATCGACAATCTTCGCTCCGCTTTTGAAGACGTTTTCACCTGTTGCAAGAGATTGTGTGTTATTCCCACCACTCCGTTGCCCAAGACCTTAAAATGGGCTCCGGGCAACTAACCTGTGTAGACACTCCACGCGCTTTCCGGCTTGATGCGCCAGGAACCTGATCGGATGCCGCGGGGACCAAACCTCGCTCCCGGTCGACCTGTGGTAGCCTAGAAAGGAAGACTATCGATTACTAAATGGATCATCCGAGGGCTTCCGAGAAACAGACGCAGCTGGTAATTCAGATGGCACGCACGGTATCGAACGGGGCACCTAGGATAGCAATGTCGTACGTCATGTCTCGACCTTTTGATAGACATGGCAGATAAGGCACGTTTGCGTACGTTGTCAGTCCCCATGGCTTCCCTACGTACTCATCATCGGCCATCGTTGGAATCTCGCCGATGAAGTCGCCCTCATGTTGCATGAGCAACGACGGCAATGTTTTGGGCGCACCCACCACCAAAAGCAGAAGCGCGCGGAGGAGGACGATAGTTCTCATCTGGAGAAAGTTATAGAAATGCTGTTTCATAACAAGCCTCTCATGAAAAATTGTTGAAGCTTTGAGGTTTGATGATGCGATGATAGAGAAAGAAACTCGTGGCAAACCCCGCCCGCCAAGATCCGACACAGAAATCCGATCTAAGGCTTGCGTCCCACCGCAAAAGTGGGGCTTTAGCATGGCATGCGTTCATGGTATCGGCTGCGACAAACGATCGGAGTTTCTCACACGCCTTAGCGCCAGCAGCGTTGTCACCCTGGCGAAAGGGCATGGGACTTTGGGAGGACACAGCCCCATAGAACTGGTCCTTTGTGTGAGTAACGATGTCCACTTGTCAAATATGCGCAAGAGGTATAAGAGGCGACTAATCTAGTAACACAAGACAACGAAGATTGGCGATTAGCGATGCAATAGAATGTACCCTGCTGTCACGAAGGGGGTTCCCTCGCGGCCGGGTTATTATACCACTCTCTCTCTCTCGGAACAGACAGCGAGGCGGCGGGCACGCTTTATGTCTGGTAGCCGCATTGTGCCTGGTAGGTTTCATTGGCTCATATGGGGGGCATGGGCTACTTAACCGTGTTGAGTAGAAAGAAAGTCAGTTCGCGATGCGTCAAGGGAAATGGGTGATGAGTAGGATATGAACAATATATAAACCATGACGCTGCCCATCTCGTGCTGATACGGACAAGTCTCACCATCAGTCCACCTTTGTTCCATTTCCCGGAAGCCCATCTGAGAGAGTAGTAGCCATGTGAGGTATAGCCTTGTCGGCTGGCCTTGCGCTCCGATCATTGCCTTCGTTCTCTTCTTACCGTGCATTTTGGCTGCCGCGAGTGCCTGACATTTATGTCCCGCCCTCCCTCTCCAACTGTACTCGGCCTTCACGATTCCGAGCGCGACAAGATGGTGGTAAATTCCACCCCAAGTGACTCACCAGTGCTAATGGAGGCATCGTCTTCTCCGCAGGACATCTTGACCCTCTACTATGGAAGACCGAGAACAACAGGCTCGGATTGAAGCTTCTGGCGTTCGTAAGCGCCCTGAATTTTTTTTTCTTTCCTTCCTTTGAGGCCACATGCCTACCTCCCGAGATTCCTCTTTGATTCGAGAGCGGGCAAGACAACGCATTCCCTTCTTGGTCTCTGCGTGGCCTTCCCTCTCGGACGCCCCAAAACCCACATCGCCAGTCACCTCAAACCCTCTCTTTTGAAACTCTAACTTTTCTACTCCGTTGAGCCTAATATATCTTGAATCCAAGCCAAGATCCTGATTGCTTGCTCAACGGAAAAGATTCCCTCAGAAGGGTCTTGAGATGCGCTTCACGCCATCGCAAAAGCGCCCTCCCAAGTCGAGGCCCAATAAAATCGAATCCCAAATTGTGGCAACGTACCTCGGCCTTTTTTTTTTTTTTTCTCCCCTTTTCTTTATTTTCACCATTATTCTTTTGGAATTTATTTTTTTTTTTTAAAAAAAAAATAAACATAAAAACCCTCAATCCGATTAAAAGGTCAAAGTCTAAGCCAAGTGTGAACCCAGCCGACAGGATGTGGGTCCTGTTCGCCCTTGACAGGAGCAACTCGGACCCATGAAGTGGTCCCAGAAGCTCGCCTCGACGGTGATGAAATCCAAAGTTCGGGAGGAGGACTCGGGTCTTTTGCAGGTTTAGATTACATGCGCGCAGTGAGAAGAAGATAGAGGATGGATGCGGGGGCGTGGCGTGAATTGATGAGCCCCTGTGGTTCCCTCGACCCACATGCCCACTACTCCGTACTTGGACAACTGGAACCCAAAGAAAACTGCACAGTCATGAGAGTAATGTGCAGGATCGGGAGAGGAGCTCATAAATCATCTTCTTTTTCCATATTGGAACCACATGTCCTCCGAGCTAGGGCAAAGAGTGATCGGCTGTTATCTGTCTCGAACTGTTGGCCCTGGCCGAGCAGAGAAATGCCGCTCAGAGGATAGCAGGATCGCAGTGGCTGAGTTGGTGCAGCTGCCATGCAATCCTTCAATGGGGCGTCGAAGCCAATCCAGGTTGGAAGGGGCAGGCTGAGGTCCAGGCACACCAGCTTCACATTCTTATTTTTCAGCTCCGGGTGGTGCTCGAAGACAAGTTCTCTTGTAAAAGTGAGGTGAAAAGAAGGGAGGGCGAGAAATGATTAGTGAACTGATTAAATTCTTAAGACTAATAAGGCTGAACCCTCCATGTATCTGTTGTATGCAAATCAGCCAGCTGAAGAACTGATGCTCTTGAAATAGAAGGTGGTATTCGAACACAATCCGGACGGACCCTTACGACCGTGTGTCGTACGCTACGGCTCAGTCTTGTCGAAGTTAGGCTTAGGAACCAACCCCTGATTCGCTGCTCGAAAAGTTGATTTTGCCCGTCCGCGCCCGCCCTCGACATCGCTGGAGCCCAGAATCGCTCCACAGCAACGCACGCATGCACACGGGGATAAAAAACTTAGTTTCTAAGGTAAGTGTACTAGACAAGGAGCCCGGGGAAACTTCTTCAATGAACCCAGCGCCGGGTTTCTGCTTGCTTTTCGCTGTCGGATTCGCTCGGTGCATTTTCCTTCTGCCTTGGAGAGAACGCCTATCTGGGTGATTTGGCCTCTGGGAGAGAAGCAAGTTGACACTATTGTGATGTGAATGCTATGATGCCATGATCACGGGATACTTCGTTCACCTCGGGGCTTCCAGTACAGGGATCAAACGCCCAGTTTCCCAAATCATGCAAGATTTCTTCATCAACAAGTGTGTCCTGAGTCCGTCAACCCCTTGACTCCGAGAATCCTCAGCAAACGAACATCTCCAGAATTTGTGATCGAAATTTCCCGCGCCCACTCCCGCGAGGAATAATTGGGCCGGGATTCTGTTGGACCTAGGAATTTCGTCAGAATTCGGACGTTCTTGATGGACCTAAGCAATGAGTCTGAGGTCGCCGCCTTGTTCTCTGCTAAAGCAACCTGTTCTGTCAACATCGAAAACCTCTGATGCTCAGGCCGATCTGATTCTGGCATATATTGTTTCGTATTCGTCTTTGTCCGTCCCACGAGTGAGGAATATATCACCATCCCGATTGACACGAAGATGTGTCTATGAAGGAGAGGGTCGTAGTAGGACCTGCAGCTATCATACGATGTGTGGTTGCTCACAATTCCCAATCCTATCTTTGCACTAACTGAGCCCATTTTTCAGGCGGTGGCGTTTGTGTCGAGAACCGTGATGGCACAGTCACATCTCTTCCTCTGGGGCAATGATTCTACTTGTATCGTGTGAAGCGCACGCCCAAGAACACTCGTCCATCTCCCCCTTCTAATTCGTCACCATCCTGGGCTACCAGCAAACGCAGCCCATGCCATTGGGCCTTCTATTGGTTTTTAATTTACGAGAAGAGTCAATTTCACCTCGGGCAACTGGCAATTGCGGTCAGAGGCACCTGTTGTCCGCAAGTTACTCCATCCTCGTAGGCATTCAACTGAAAGAACTGCCTGACGTTGCTATGAAGGATAAAACAACCTTATGATCGTGATAATCAGGATACATGTGGATCTTAAAAAGATCCGTAATCAAAGCTCTCGCCTTCCCCTCCTTTTAGGGCACCGAGAGGGGGCGTGGGGGCAGCTCCTGTGGGACCTTGCAGGCAAGCAAAGCTACACCAGCCGAGGGCTGGTCGCGGGACTACCCGCTTCTTTGCGGGAAGATCTTCGACTCATCAGCTTGGCAATGTGTCTCGACTCCCAACCGTGGAAGGCTGAAGACGCCAGGCGCGGGTTTTAGCTCCTCGTGCTCTCAGTCGCCCCAGCACTTTTTTTTCTTCCCTTTTTCAAAATTTACCCTCAATGTCACCCATCCTAGCTCCGCACTCGCTACTGTTCCTGACTTGGGATGGTGGTATTCTTTTTCGTATCTGCGCCAATAAGTCAGACCAGTGGACCGAGATGTCTTGCAGTTACCGAGGAACATTCTAATCATCCCAACTCACCACGCGGGGCAAATGAACGTCCCCCTTGTTACTCGGAGCGTTCGGGTATCGGCGCACACCTCGCAGGATCCGCCTATTCGATCCGGGAGGGGCCAGCACGGCGCAATCTCCTCTTGATCTCCCGATAGGTTTCTATCCGTCTTACACCGTCTCACACCGTCTTGGACACCCCAAAATCCGCATTGCCATCCCTTTTAAACCCGCATCTGCAAAAGGCTCAGCGGGGAAGATTCATTTATAAGGGCCTTAGGATGCAACTCACGACACCACCAAAGGGTCCCCAATGCAGAGCGTAGCGAAATAGAATCCAGAACTTTGGTAACTGGCCTTGGCTTTTTCAAAGTTCAGAGGCAACGGTTCGAGTAAAGTAACATCAATTGATCCTTCGATATATCAGAAGTGAGCTGCGCTGTCAGCCTGATGGTTCTTGGCAATAGAATCCTGCCCGGAGTGACTGATGAGAAATATTGGAAGCCTGCATGTGAACCACACCACCCCGCGGCCGGTCCTTCATAAAATCCTTGACAAAAAGTCATGATGGCTCTCGAGAGAAGGACTATTGTCCGAGTGAAATGGTCGAGAAGCTACATCGCCTAATAAAACTGCTAGCTTTTAGGAATGGGTCGTGTGTTCACGCCAGTTCTCATGCAACGTCAGGCCGTGCTGTGAGGTCTAGAGATGCCTTTGCGGAAACTATAAAAGGAGCGTGGATAGACCCATGGAGGCAGTATTATATGCTCTCTTCTATCCATCATCTGCAGTCCACAAACAAATTTCCCAAGCTTGAATCCTATCCCAGCCTTCGATCTCCCTTCATCATGGTCTCTATCAAGGCCATTTACACTGCCCTGGTCCTTCCAGTCCTCATGGTCACGGCGGCTCCCGTCGATGATCTACCCATCGCGAAGGATGGCACTGATATTAGCCCTCTTGCCGTTAAGGCGTCCATTACCTATTGCGAGCACACCAATTGGAATGGGCAGTGTGAGACCAGGCTCCAGCCTCTGACCGAGTGCTGTAAGGCGAACCTACCACCTTTCCCCTTTCTACTTCCTCTGCCGCTCGATTGGCACTAGTCCTTCCCCTGCGCGAAGGTTGAGAGACACTAACAATCCGTTGGTAGACAACTTGCCCTCCTCGTGGAATGACCGCATCAGTTCCATCCGGAACGATAGCCGGAGTTCTTACAAGTGCACTTGGTATGAGTAAGTTACATCTATCTACCTTGGCCTAATGGCTAGTCTTCCTGGAGAATTGCGAGCTTACAGGCTTTGGTCAGGCACGGCAACTGTCAGGGTCGTTCGTATGACAACCAGAACGATGCCAATCTAGCCGATGGGGATGGCTTCTTCAACGACCGCATTAGCAGCTGGTCGTGCAAGTACAAATAAATAGACATGCAGTCTATTTGTTACATAGCAAGTCTCACCCACAACCGAAGCAAAACGGAAGTTGGAAAGCAGGGATGTAGGACTGGTGGAGTGCGTTTTCAGTTCTGGTGTAGCAGTCTCCTGCTCTTGGCAGAGACGTGCTTTTATTGTCCTATTATTTTATTTGTTCGGTTCGATCCTGCCACGGGGAGATAGGGTGGATGATGAATCGACAACGTGAATTGAACTACCTTTTGACGGAATTCGCCTATATCCCATTTCACATGACTTTTTTCATGCACCTCACTCCAGGCTTCCCAGTAGAAGACTAAAAAAAGTACAATGTGAAGCAATGTCGTCGTCGTTGATGGACCTGAAGTCCTCTGGGCGCCGCGCTGGAGACAACCAAAAATGATGAGGCCATCCAGAGAGTGGGAGCATAAGGGGGGCATATTGGTCTCTCCAGACACTCCTGGCAAGTTCGGCGGCCAACCCGAAAGAAAGAAAGGGAAGAGGAAGTATATTAGAGTTCAGGAGAGAGGGAAAAGAGAGAGTGAGCTCAAAAGCTGGCACTCCACGTCTCGTGTCCACTTCTCCACGTGGTTTCTTTTCTTTTTCTTCCCTCGGGTGGCAACGGGTTTGTTCGAGAGCAGGTTCCTGCAGGTCGTCCTAGGTACCGTCGGCGGACAATTGTAAGATCCCACAATTATAGGTTATTTCATCGCCGTAGAAATCCTGTTAACGGACGGTTGCATATAGAGAGCGGTGGTAAATGTAGTTTAGAAGTGTTGGTAAAAAGAGGGAGCGCTGTTGAAAATAGAAGACTCTAACACCGCCTCCCACCTTCTCTTCCTCAATGTTCCTTCCATTTCTACAATTATAGAAAAACTAGAAAAAAATTTACCGTCTTAGGAATCGAAAACTACGAGGTACAGCTACAACTTGAATATCTCCCAATTTACAGCTACGATGTTTCGCGGATTAATGAAGAAAGATTGTCTGGAAGATATGCATTAGTAGTTTGGATGCTGAGTGTGGTTTTAATGGTGGCAAGGCCTCGTAACGGCTGCTGCCAGAGAGGAACGGTTGCCAGATGGTTGAGGTGCCGCCCATCGACCGTACGAAATTGCAAATCCCTCCCATAGTGGTTTTCTGTGTTGGCGAGCATATTCCCTAATTTTATGAAAGTGGATATGGGTCCATGAATCTCGTATTTAGCGAGGCGGATTGAATCTGCCTCACCGGTCGTTAGATGGATGATGGTTCTCCACCTCGGCTAAGGACGTGGGAACATGTCACGTTAATCTAGGTGAGAGAATTTCTAGGATGAAACGCTTGTTTATGCAACGGCAATTCGACGTAAAATGCTGTTGGTGAGGCATTGCCCTTCTTGGTTCTTGGCATTGGGCAATATTCGCAGGCAGGATTGGGGCATTTTGTTGTCCCCGCCTGCTCAGCCTCCACGACGTGACTGGATCTTACTCGCTACCACAGTGGATTGGCTCTGCAAATTACCCCATTGGGCAGTACGCCTCGTGCAACACAGGCGACGTTCCACAATCGAACATTCCTGTGAATGCACGGACGCGAATCCTGCCACTGAGTGATCAACCCTGCTGGCAACAACAAACGAGAGCAAGCTTGGCCGAATCCTCAGACTAATCTGAGGGCCCTGAGGCCCAGACCAATGCCATGAGGCATAGGCTGCTGCCGAACGGGACACGAAACCACAATGTAACAATGGATCGTAAATCCTTCTCTTCCCCCTGCAAATGTTTTCTCCCCTCATGACCTCGACTTCGTCTGATCCTCCCCCTAACTTTCTACCTTTCTTCTTTCCCTACTTTTTTGTTTCTTATTTTTTTTTTTTTTTTCTGTTTCGTCTCCCTCTTTCCCCATCCACCACCTCAAGACCTCCATGTTTCGACCACGCGGCACATAACGATACCCATTCTTCCCATGCCGCTCTCCTACTTCAAATGAATGTTTTGAACTGCTGGACGAGATGTGGTGTCCATATCTTGCAACGCCGGGTAGTGAGGAGGGGCGTCTTATTTTTGGCGTTCTTAATTGTTGTCGGGCTACTTCTTCAGTACCGAGTAAGTCCCATACTCCCTTACGTACTCTGTCTTCTAATTCCATTATCCATACCCTATAACCTTGGAAGGGTAAACAGAGCGGCGGCTGGCAAACCGATGTGGCACAGTAGACAAATGTACTGACGTTTTCGCGAAAAAAACAAAACAGTCGTCAGACGGTTGGACATCGGCTGACTATTGGACTTCCGTTCACATCGACCATGCCCTCGACACCCATTCCATCTCACCGGGAGAGCGAAAACTGGCGATTATCCTTCCGGCAGACAACCCGAGTCCCGACCTTTGCAAAGTAATTAGCAGCGCCGTCGCGCTTGGCTACCCAGCGCCCATAATCGTCAACTGGAGGAAGGACTTTCACACCAACGAAGACGGCATAGGGCCATCGCAGCTGGGAAAGATCTCTGGCACCCTGAACTATCTTGAGTGGGCGATGAGCGAAAAGGCGCCTCAATCCGAGAGGCTTACCAACGACGACCTCGTCCTCATGTTGGACGCATATGATATCTGGCTACAGCTACCACCAAGTGTTCTCCTCAATCGATTTTTCACAGGCAACGAACGAGCGGATAGACGAATCGCGAGGGAGTTTGGAGGGGGGGTTAGCCGGGGTTTAATGCGACAGACGGTCGTCGTCTCGGCGCAGAAGGGATGCATGGCGCCACGGGACTCCATTTCCAACCTCCACTGCGACGGCGTGCCCGAGAGCACGCTCCCGAAGAACGTGTACGGCCTCTTGACGGATTCGCCACTATCTCGGATTCTGAGGTGGAAGTATACGCGGCCGAAGTACGTCAACAGCGGCAGCTTCATGGGTCCGGCCAGTGATGTGCGGAGATATTTCCGTCGCGTCAAGGATAGGATGGATCAAAATCTCTTGGCGATGGACGAGGGCCAGGAGCTAGGAGGGGACCAGGGCGTGTTCGCAGAAATATTTGGAGAGCAAGAATCTTGGCGTCGGCGGACGCAGCAAATAGGTCCAGGGAGGGACAGGGCGCAGACGAAGTTAAGCGGCGAATTCGAATACCATGTCGGGCTGGACTACACCCAGGAGCTTTTCTATCCGACATGTTATTCCGAGCATGACAGCTACTTTGTCTCTTTGAATGATGCCGAAGAGGTAGCGAGGGAATCTGGACGGCTTGGAGTCTCACCGCCCCGCGTACAGGGGGTACCCAGAGACATTGAAGTAGCAGAGAGACCTCTATCTCTACTCGATGATGATGGTGGCGATGATGTAAGGAGAGGGGGCCGTGGGTGGGGAGACCTACCGCTCTACGTCGATTTTTGGACAACAGCAATTCCCGTGGCGATTCATCACAACGCATGGAGAGACGGACTCAAGAATCGCCGTCGAACGTGGTGGGATAAGACATGGTATTTCCCGTACTTGCGCAGACTTCTGCAGGCACGCGTTAAATTGACCGAGACAAAAGCACCGCCCTTGGTAACCCTCCCGGCGCTTAATGGAAGTCTGGATGTTTGGCCGTACTTTTCCTCGTCCCCGGATACGGCGGCTGTGCTGTTTGTGAGGAACAGGAACACAACCAAGGAAGAATGGAGCTTGGAGAGGGCGGACTGGGGAGCTGTCTGCAAGAGTAGCAACGCAACGATGGAGGCAAAGAGGCCGTGGTATGACGAAGTCTTTCGGGATGGTAAAGGCCCGTTATAGCAGGGTTCCATTGGATCCTAATATAGTGACGAAGAAACAAAGAATTTTGATACCCAAACCTTACGGAGTATGCATCCAAGTTATCGTGCTGCGCGGTTGATTCACGATGAGGATTTACGGGCGACGGTGATATGATGGGCAGATCTGAGGCGCACATCGGGCGTTTTGCTGTCAAGAGGCATTGAGACAATTTTCGAGAGATGTGCTACGAAAAAGAATCAATGATGTCACAATTGAGAGCAACATGGGAGCGAAGGATTAATTTTATCCCGGAAGACCTGATCAATTGACGCTTGCTTTCCACAGTCGAGGAGAGGAGAGGTTGAAGACAAGGATTGGGCAAGGATTCGTCGTAGCAATGCAGCATCAGCTGAGTCAGATTTTCGTGTTCGTATTCACGAATCAACGAATCACGACATCCAAAAAAGAGCAGACACGTCTGGGGCAAGCGAAACGGCGTCCTGTCTCTCAATCCATAACCTCAATGATCTCGAGCTCGGGGCGTTCTTCTTGTTTGTTTTCTTATTATTATTTTTTCCTTTCCCTTGTCGCTTCTTGGCTCTCCGGACGTTTAATAAATTAAGAGGAAGAATGTGGAATTACTTTAGGAAGAGCGCACCTGTGGCGCCCCCTTTGGTGGCTACGGACAGGATCGTCCCGCTCTCTCAGGAAGATGACACGCAAATTAATCGTGATCTCATCCTCAACTTCATGATGCGGTTTGACTCGGTCCTTGACGCGGAAAAGCTGCACTCGGCACTTGAGGGACTCTTAAACCGGCCCGACTGGAAGAAATTGGGTGCTAGGCTGAGGTTGAATGTATGTCGACGCGTGCCCATTTGAGTCGTTCTTCCCTTGGTCCTGAACTCCTGGTCGCATTAGATCGCGGATGCAGAAATAATATATCTATCAAAGCCCCTGGCATGCGGCCAAAGCTAGTTACTGATACCGACCGTGAAACCGCAGAGCGAAGGGAAACTCGAATACCACATCCCACAGCAGTTCGACGACACCCGGCCGCCATTCACCTATTCCCACATCAACTATGACGTTGCCATCGGCGAGCATCCGCTGGCTTGTCGCGTACCGAGTGGATTCGCAGGCGAGGAGCCTGCAACCGTCCTGGACCCTTATGAACTCTTCCCTTTGATGCGACGAGAAGACGCGCCGACCAAGATAGAAGACTACCTGTACAGCGACAAGCCGCAGTTGAGCCTTCATGTTGTCTCTTTCACCGATGCTACTCTTGCCTCTCTCACCTGGCCACACACTCTCTGGGACGCGATGGGACGACGGGAATTTCTGCTCGCATGGACTGCGATACTGGCTGGCCGCGATGATGAAGTCCTCCCGCTTCATGGCTTCGACACTGACCCCCTGAGTGATTTCTGCGAAAGTCCCAAGGAGGAGTCCAAATTGATCGACAAGAGCCTTTCAATCCTACAGTTGATTGTTTTTGGTATTCGCTACTGGTTTGAGCATTTCTGGTACACCGAAGAGGAGACGCGTATTGTATGCATCCCGAGCGCCTTTATGAAACGTGCGCGGGAAACCGCCATTTCCGAACTCAAAGCCACCCGGGCGGAAAGCGGGAAACCTACCGACGATGTATTCCTAAGCGACGGCGATATAATCTCGGCCTGGGGCGCCCGACTGCTAGCGGAGCATCTTCAAGTGGGCAAAAACCAGACTGTATGTGTGCTGAACGCGTTCGGTTGGCGCTCACTTCTCAGCCCCGACATTTTGCCGCGGTCGAAAGCCTATGTCGCCAACGCCTCCTCGGGTATTTTTGCGTTCCTAAAGGGAGGTGACATCTTGTCTCGCCCTCTCAGCTACACGGCTTCCGAAGTGCGACGTGCCATCGCGGAGCAGGGGACACGTTCCCAGCTTGAGGCCAGCGTGAAGCTGACGCGGGAGTCAATTCGCGCCCGGGGCGTTCCACCCATGTACGGCGACGCGACCATGCAGTTGATCATCGTATCGAATTGGTCAAAGGGGAGATTCTTCGAAATGGACTTTTCGCCCGCGATTGTGCCTGGTTCCAAGTCTGCGCGTCCTGGGGATGCGACGGGCAAACCGACTTACATTCAAGCGGCCGGACACGCCAATGGATTTTCTATCCGAAATGCCTTTCAGATTTCTGGGAAGGATGGCCAAGGGAATTACTGGCTCTCAGCTTCATTGAGGAAGCACGTGTGGTCTAGTATCGAGAAAGCTCTGACCGGTACTAAGTCGACGAATTAGACCTACCAAGGTTCCTCTTTAAGACATGCGTGGCTGGGGGAGGATGTTGTCGAGACTTGAAGTCTCCAGACTTTTATCGTCACAGCTGAGAATTACGAGGTCATCGTCTGAACTCACCTAAGCCCAGCCTAAGTTTTTTTCATAGTATTTGGAATCAATCATGCCCATACCAGCAGTAATAGTGGAGGGGGGAAGAGATCAACATCACCTGTGCTGCTTATGTCTTTCTCACGTAATTATTGGTGAGCTGCTCGCCCTATTCAAATTCGATTTGTTGGCAGTCCTCTTTCCAGAATACCTGGTGAGAACACGTGGTGTGCCAGGCCCAGTCTCAGACACTGGACACTAGGGTATGGGTAATGAGAGACAAAGCGGGCGGCAGGGGAAGGCTGAAAGTATGCGGACATCACGCACAGGGTTAACAGTCACCAACAGGATTCACACAAAACACGATTAGAAGGTTTTAGAACTGCACCGCTTGTGGAATGAGGTGAGTGTATTCAATATTACGGGATTCTCCAACAGAGGGACACACAGACTTATAAATAAAAACCAGACTACAAAATGGGAGGCTCCGGGACAGCTTTGCGGTCTTTTATTTAATTTTTTTTTTTTTTCTTCGAAGTGGGGAGTTCCGCGGAACTCACCTCCGAACGCGCCGGGCGCCTGCAAGTTTAAATTGTTCATGAGAACTTCATGTTACATAGCCGGGCATAGCCGCTGACTAAAGAGCCGCTATATCCGAGTAACGACGATCAGGCCTGACAACAATGACGTCTCGGAAAGCTCGGAGGTGCGCAAGAGTTTTATCATTTATCACGCGAATTTCCATGGATATCTTTTTGAGTTCCCCCTCCAATCTCCATGCTCTGCTTTCTGGAGCTCGTGAACCGCTCACGGTCATGAGAACTTTGCCTCAAGCGATTGCGATTGCGATTCAAATTCGAATACCCGGGACCAGGCACGTATGCTTATGAGTAGGAAGACGGGAAGGAGGAGATGTCAACCTTGAACTCATTCGTGAAATGGCTACGTCTCAAACACTACCAGTTTGAGATCACTTTCGGCGTCTATGTGTTTACACCCGCTGAGAGATTTGTGTTTTGTGAGATTCACTGCCACTCCGCGTTTCAAGACTTTAACCTAACATCCCGAGTTCTCACTCTAGGGTCTTGCGGTTTCCTCATCACTGCATTGGCACTCATGGCCTCTTTTCTTTACCTTCCCCGTCATATCCAGTTCTTCCTCACTCGCGCATGGTTCTACCTCAGCGGCGACAAGGTCGATATGCTGAGGTAACGAAGACGTCGTGCATGGGCTTGCGCACAGCGTTGTGCACGGCTCATCCGTGAAAGGTGAGTTATACTTGAATATGCTGGTGCAAGTGGTGGCACGGCCGTGTGGGACACTGAGCTGGGGATCGAGGGCTAAGTATTGCAGGAGCGGGTGAGCCAAAGAATAGCATGCGGGTTGACAAAGTCCTCCGTATCTGAGGACGGCGTTTGGATGCTACGTGTGAATTGGTCTGCTGCACTACCGCAACGGTGAAGACGACGGAGACTGTCCATGCTAGTGGATCGTATATCCGAGGTTCATTTTTTGGCGTCTTAACCCAGCAATGTCATGTTGGATCAAAATACCCTAATTATTATCTAGACGCGATGTGGATAGGATAAAGTCATATGGTTTCAGTCGTTAAACGTGATTATTAGACTATCTTGCGTTGTCTGCGTTGTCTATACATTAGTTGAAGTAGTCTCCGGGAGGAGCACGGCAATATTGGCCCGTAATATACAAGGCCTGTCGGACAAGCCAACTTTGTTTTTCGGCCTTCTCCGGTATCTATATTATCTAGTCGGCTTTCCATAGGTACAATCAATGTCGCTTCTTCCTCGATACACCCGACAGTCTTCACCTTCGCACGGACGCACTAGTTAAGACGGAGCTAGAACTGTAGGCGGGGGAGCCGCTTAAATGCTGCTGGGTGGTGGGAACTCGATTAGCACTACTTTGCGTCGTCGTGCGTATGATCTCAGGGATGGTGGAGTGGAGGAGCCTATAGCAAAGAAGAGTCCAGAGGATGGCTCTATAAAGATAAGAGGATTTCCTATTCGAACCGGATAATCATTCTAACGACCGTAGCAAGCAACACTCAAGTGATCCCTTTCGTCTAGCAAAGGAGCTGATACCAGGACACCATAAGCGCTCAGTGCTATTCTCCCAAATAGCTTTTAATGCTACGAAAAGCACATTTCTCGAGACCTGTCTCGTTCGCACATAGCACAGACTGATAGACTCTCTGGCCTGCGACCGCTTGGACCCACAGCTATTGGGTTAGTCTCTAACATATCTAGCGCAGTCATCAAATCCATCCATCACACTAGCTAGTGAACTGCTGTCGCTAGGGGCGCCCATCGACTTTCCCCGTGGCTATATATACCCTAGAGATATTAAGGTAGGTTAGAAACATAGGCCAAACCCGCAACCCGAAAGATCTCCTGACCCAATAAAGAGACAGCGGAGGAAGCGCTACAGCGGAAGGTAAATGGTAAATGACTACTTTAGTACTTCCTCAGGAGGCTTAGTAGAGCACGGAAGAACGAAATATAGATCTTAAATCTAGAGTAGTCGGAGCCCTCTATTATCAGACTAGATCATTTATTTCGAAACCTGGTTAGGAAAAGACGATATAGTGAGGTCGACGACCATGAATCGCATGTAAAGAGTGGGCGGAGGATGCGACACACGTGCATACTCTCTCTCGACTCTCTAACTAAAAGTTCTGACATCTCGGGTACGAATCCATCGGCAGTATGCTTGCTGTTCTTATAGGGGGTAGATACTGTGGGGGCAACTCCTTTGACCCCTGCGGTAGCTATCTTCTTTTGGCTGTGTCGTCCCTCCCTTTGCACCTAGTCCTGAAGCCAGCTCAAAGCTATTAATCAGCAGTCCTTATGCGGGCGGCGCGATGGACTTCGGCGGCTCAACCCAGTCGAAATCGCCCACATGCTTCGTCAACCATACATCCCCCGGACCATAGGCGCCCCTTGGCTTGGTTCCATCGTAAAGAGTTCCACTAAGGAAAGTATGGGGAAATCCAGGATCAAACTCGTAGCTCGACTCGACCTGCTTCATTTCTTCCCCCGTCAGGGCAACGCCGAGACTCGCGATATTGCCCTGGATGTGTTCTAGCTTTCTGCCTCCCACAATCGGGAAGATGTAGGGTGTCTTTTGCCTCACATATGAAAGAGCGATGTGGAGCATTTCTACTCCCTTATCCTGCGCGACTTTTTCGAGGACGCGGGAGACTTCCTTGTCATGGGCCGAAGTTGGGATAAAGCTACGACCGGGATTGTTCTTCTCACGCTCTTCGAAACCCGCTCCCGTCTGAAATCGACCTTGGTTCAAGACACCGTATGGGCACAGCGCCATACCCTCGTCGCGGCACATGGGAATGATATCCCGTTCGAAGTCGCGCCTCGCAGCATTCCACATGCCCTGGTATACGACGAACTGTCGCAGTCTATTGGAACGGGCGTACTGATTAGCCTTGGCGACGACCCAGGCCGGCGCATCGGAGACTCCCAAGTACAGGACCTTGCCAGAAACCACGAGGTCGTTCAGGCTGAGCATGAGCTCCGGGATGCTGATGGTGTAATCCCACCAATGAACGTAGAAAATGTCGATGTAGCTAGTTTGGAGCTTTTTCAACGAAGCTTCCAGGGAGAGCTTCATGGATTTGGAGCCGTTTCCTCCATAGTTGGACTGAATCTTTGTCTTGTCGTGGGTCTGATAGCCGGTGGTATACTTTGTTGCCAGTACGATTTCATCTCGGTTATCACGAGACTTCATCCACTCGCCCAACCACATCTCCGACTCTCCAGCCTGGTAGCTATTCGCGGTGTCGATGAAGTTTCCGCCTTGGCTATAGAAATGGTCGAGGATCTGGAACGCCGTCTCCTTGCTGCACTCGCCATATCGCGCCTTATGTGCTTCTCCAAAGTTCATGGATCCGAGGCATAGAGGGGAGACACGAACGGATGCTGTTGGTGCCAGCTGCCTATGTCGGGCAAGCAAGGAATTCGGGGGCCAGTTCATCATTGCGGCTGAGTTTCTGTGTCTGTTTCTGGGAATATTTCCTTCCTTTGCTGGGATGGCGCAAGCCTTGACATTATGCCGTATAAATACATTTTCCGGCTTTCGTTGACAGGTTGAGTCATACACAGCACAGACACGCCCTTCCATCCATCAAACCGGGAGCGGTCGTCGAACCCGACAATTCCATCAGGGTGGAGTCGGTCTGTCGGATTCTGCGTCGCGAACCACTCTAAGCTCAATTCGACGTGAAGTGGAACAACCAAAACTGGTAAGATGGCCGAGCGGTCTAAGGCGCCAGGTTAAGGTTACCTTAACAAGTAATTCCTGGTCCAGGAAACTGGGCGTGAGTTCGAATCTCACTCTTATCAACTTTTTTTTTCTTTTTTTCTTCTCTTCCTCTTCCGCCCACACGTGGGAGTGCCGCTATCTTTTCTTCTTTACTGCATTAAGAATCTGTATAATCGTAAACAAACATAAACACGCATTTTCTATCAAGGCCAAGCAATGTGTGGAGTCGGCACCGAGCTACTGAACATTTATTAAACAACACCGGGCAGTGGGATGCAACAAGCAGTTACCCGGAAGTCTCACTACCGACACTGCGAGCCAATACCAGTGACATGCAGTCCGGATCAAGACCACCTCCCCTCCTAATATCCTCGAGAATCTCATCCTGTGGAAAGTCCGACTATGCTAATATCCCATGGAACCTTTCCGGTCTTTGGCTGAGTTTCAGGCACAAAGTCCAGCACTAAGCCAGGTTTAGAAATCCTTGTCAGGACTTTATCGGTCACCGTTCGGTCGTTCTCCAATGACGTGAACCTTCCAACAAATCCCAAGAACTTGGCAAGGAGCCACCAATGGCGTAGCATCAAGCCAGACAATCTCGTGAAGAGCCTCGCACGGGATTCCCGCTCTTGCTGATAGGCTATGAAGACCGACTCTAATTCCTGTGTGCTCGGCGTTGGGCTGGTCTGAATGAGATTGTGGAGTCGGTTGACGAGGGAGACGGCGGATTCTATGGCGCAGTTCCCGCCCAGGGCGAGATTGGGTAACATCTTATGCGTCGCATCGCCGACGAGAGCTACGCGACCCTTGGACCACTGACTTATGAGGCCTTCTTCTAGATCCGCAAGCCGAGCTCGTCGTTTGGTCTGCCACAAGTCGCCAAAGCAAATGCTACGGTCTTCGACCACTTCAAAATCTTTGAATGTGTCGGCAAGCTCTTCCATTTCTGCATCGGAATAGTAAGTCTTGTTCGTCGTCATCTTTTCGAGGCGTTGATAGAAGAACCACATGACTGTATCGTCCGAAATCAGCATCTGAAAGGAGATTGGGCCTTTGCTGCGCTCAACCATTTCGCCCGGGACCAAGCCCGGCAGAAGCGGGCCGCAGCCAAAGATACATCGGAAGGACGCGGAAAAACCATCCGCCAGTTTTGCACGTCGATCTTCGAGGCCGCCAAATAAGAGACTCCGGGTTATGCTGTGAACACCGTCGGCGCCGATAAGAATGTCTCCAGTATATTCTGAGCCGTCATCACATGTGACTGAGACTAGCTTGTCGGTTTGCGAAAGAGAGGCGACTGATTTTCCCGTCAAGACCAGGTCGGAGGCGCGTGGCAAATGTGTATATAAGAGTTCAATGAAGCGCATGCGCTCGAAGAGCATGAATGGATGGCCGTGACTGAGGAACGTTAGTGGCTTGCCTTTGTGGCGGCAGCTGGGTTTAGATTCACGTACTTTTCCTCGATCTGTTCATACATGTCGGTAGAAAGGATGAGATTCCCCTCGCTTCCCAGGCGCGCGTTCCGTTTCATCCTGGGCACCATTTCCTGTGCCGATTCCAGGATACCGTCCCCAAGTTGGTCGAGGACTCGTACGGTGTGAGGCCAAAGGCCAATACCGGCACCCGAGGCCTCTACAACGGTTTGCCTGCGCTCGAGGATGACGAGGTTTTCGACACCCGCTTTCAGAAGGGCATGAGCAAGGACTAGGCCGGTTGGGCCAGCTCCGACAATGAGAACACGCATTCCGATAAAACTTGGAGACTTGTGATGGGCAAGACTCGTGGTTGCAGACACAAATTGTAACTGTGTTAAACTGAATTACGTCCAAGGTCGAGTCTTGATGCTGAACCTGGCTCCCTCTTCGCCATATATACTACGACGATTCGGCAGGGCTTCATCAGCCGCCATTGCGGTATTCGCAAGATGTTAATCATCGTCAGACTAATCATTAAAGTGTCGTCGCAATCTCATGAGAGAAGACCCAGGGCAGCCAGATAAGGCAACAACCAAGCGATTGTTGCCCAAACGCGTCTCTTATTCTATGCCACACAACTTGCATTGCCGCTTGTTAACGAAGGTGTTGTGCTGTCAGCTGCCAAGCCATGATGCGGCCAATGAAACAACGGAAGAAGTATTTAATACGTATCGTGATTATTCATCATTCCGTTTTGTTCATTTGATAATCAATCGCACCTGTGATGTTTACTGATCTCGTGACGCGTCCTGAGAGCTCACGATCAAGCTTGCCCCTCTTGCTTCTAGAAGATCGAATTACACTTTGGTCTGTGAAATGTTAACAAAATTATTAGTCGGGGTTCCCGTAGCTGACGCTTTTCTACTCATTTCAGTTCCTCGTCATCCAAATGTTACCTTTGACGTTTCTAACAGGCAGCTGGATGGGGCGGGGTCTTTCATGTTACTAAAAGCTGGAGCAGATTCCGCCAAGCCGGAGTTTAGATCTGGGTGGGATTTAATTGCTCGACTTCGTTTCGGACGTGATCGAAGCTTGAATGAGATCAACAAAATAACCCTTGGGCATAGCTTTCGTCCCGGTTTCCATCGTAAGAGTTCGGACGATAATTGTTTGCAATGCTCTATTTTTTATGTATTTTAGTTCTTTACTGACTTGTACTACCCCTTTTCTGCCAATTAGCCAGGGCGTTTCAGCAATTGAACATTACCATGCTCTATTTTTAACCGATAAATCGGTGAGTTGAGACTCTGAAGTAATTTGAGTCTAGACGAATTCGGTGGCCGAGGTACGCGACTGTGCGTGATCGTTTATGGTTCCGGAACTCCCCAAGGTCATTTTGGCCAGCATTGAAGAGTGCGTGCAGTGTTGATAACTTGCGCCGCTTGAACAACCTCTTTTATCCCTAACTCTAATAATCTAACGATGAAATCCCCGGAACTATCAGGGTATGACCCACTAACGCTTTCCTCTCTTGGGTGATGGAGCACAACGAGTACATCTTGAACTCCTCTTAGACGAAATACTTCGATAGTATTCGGATTGATGTTCCCCTTGAACAGGGTTGAGGGTTACAAGTGGAGAGCGGCTAGCACGAAAGATGCCCCGACTTTCAAGGTTAACAGACCAGGCTTACTTATCCTTCATTCTTCTTCGTGCATGTTCCTCTCCTTAAGAGCTTCGCGAACAAATGGACTCGCTAACGTGGTTTTCGAATCCGATCCGTGTGTGTTCCTAGTCTAGCTCCACCGAGCCGTGTCGTGATCCTGTCTTCGAACCCTGTCCAGCTCTATGAGGTGGCATCGGGCTCTCGTGCTCATGGGGATGCAACGAATTACAATGCGACATCCGCAAACGTGATGTAACCCGCCCCAATCCCGCCTTTCTCGTCCCCGCTTATCATCCGTCACATCGGTCGCCTTGAATGGACATGCCACACCTTTTTACTCCCCGGTTTTATTAATTCTATTCCCCTTCCAGCTCTCGTCGTTGGCTGTTGCTTGATCCAGTCATGCACGGGAAATTATGAGATAATTTCGTCCGCCTGAGGGGCGACTCGGGTATCCCGAAAACCCGACATTGGACGAATGGCCCGTGGCCCGTGGCTCTGGCTCTGGTGGGGACGGGAAGCGAGCACGTCTTGATGGAGCAGTGGGGGTTGCGGGGAGCTTCCCAATATCTTGACCGAGACCACCAGGTCGTGCAGGGGAAAGCACCGGGGCTGAAGTTCAACAGACAATGACGCTGCGGATTATTGACAGTCTGGGCATCGGTTAGCTTGCCGAAGCTGACGAGCAAGTGTAACTCTGTGTGATAATATTAGGCATTTCAATTGACACGCTCGGACGCGAGCTGCCATCCACCAAGCCATAAGAGCATCGTACTGTCCTCGTCCCCCCATTATCGTGACTCCAGATGTCTTCTGGATGCCAGGGCAATACTGACTTCTAATTGTCAATTAATATCCTCATTCTTCTCAGTCACTCTTTTACCCACAAGTTTTAATCATTGCTGCCCTGTCAATACTCTCCCTTCGGTACTAATCAAGATGCTCTCCATCCTTGTTGCGGGCTTGTACGCCCTCTCCTCTATTCAACCTGCATTTGCGGCCGTGGCCGGTGACAGGGTCTGCAAGGGTCCCGTCAGCTCTGTCAAGTGCGAGGGCAAGTCATACGTCTATGAGAAGCTCGCCGGTGTCGGCCTTCTCCCTGGCAATGGACGAGATAAATATGGAGATACGCTCGGTGGACTCGGGAGTTCTGCTACCATCGACTTGAAGAGCTGGAAGAAGGTGAAGGGAAAGTACACTGGTACTTTGTGGTCCCTTCCCGACCGTGGCTGGTATGTGCAATGATGTAGAGCGTAGGAGGTGTACGGTTACATCCAGGAGAATGGCCACACGTGCTTTCCCCTTAATATTTTCTCTCCTTCATGCTAATGCGTAGCGACAGGAATACCGAGGGTACCCTCAACTACCAGCCCCGTCTCCACAAGTTCACCGTCACTTTTGACCCTCATGCCAAGAAGACCAATGTCTCGTCCTCCAATCCCGCCTCCAACCTCGTCTTCTCGTATGAGGACACCATCCTCTTCACGGATCCCTCCGGCAAGCCTCTGACCGGAATTGACCCCACTGGTGTCTTGAATTTTACCGGTCTCCCTAGCGTTCCTGCCGCAACCTACACGGGCGACGGCTTCGGCGCGGGCTCGAGCGAGGAAGGCGACACCCGCGTCTGCTTGGATGCCGAGGGTCTTGTCCTCAATGACGATGGATCTTTTTGGATCTCGGATGAGTACGGTCCTTTTGTCTGTAAGTATCATCTCATCTATTCTTTTCTCACTGTGACGCGATGTTTTGTAGCTAATCCATTTTTCCTTCCTTTCTTTTTTTCCCGGTCTTCAGTCCTCTTCGACAAGAACGGCAAGATGTTGTCCGCCATCCGACCTCCTGATGCACTCGTACCTATGAGGAATGGAACCGAGTCGTACTCTGCTGCTTCCCCTCCCCGATATGACCCCGATTTCAAGATTTCTCCTGCGAGCCCGACTTCCGGCCGCAACAACAACCAAGGTATATTTTCCTTCTTGAATAATCAAATACCCCCGTCAAGTTTATGGGAATTTTCTAACAACTATTAGGTTTTGAGGGTCTCAGTGCTTCCGCCGATGGCAAAACCCTTTATGTCCTTCTCCAGTCCGCCGCCATTCAGGACGGAGTAAGTATTATCTCAGCTTCAAGCCGCGGGGAGACACTTGGGCGGAATTCACCACTGAACACACTACTCACCATGTTATATAGGGTGATTCCAAGGGCACTCGCCGCCATGTCCGTTTCCTCACCTACGACGTTTCCAAGAAGACTAGCCCCGTCCTCGTCTCCGAGAACGTAGTCCCCCTCCCTGAGTACATCGACCGCAATGACGGCAACAAGACCCGTGTCGCCGCCCAGTCCGAGGTCTTCTCTCTCGCGAACGGCCAGTTCTTGTTCCTCCCCCGCGACTCTGGTGCTGGAACGGGCCTGGAGTTTACCGAATCCAACTACCGCCACATCGACATCTTTGACGTCTCCAAGGCCACAGATATCGCCGGCACTAAATATGACGAGGTTGGTGGAGCCGTCTCACCCAAGGGTGTCCTTGCCAGCGATATTACGCCCGCTGTTGTCTGCCCCTGGATTGACTTCAATATCAACTCTGAGCTCGCCAAGTTTGGTCTTCACAACGGCGGTGCCAAGGATCTTGGTCTCCTGGTAAGTTTTGTTAACACTTGAGAAATCCCCAATACTATTCGGAAGTATAGAATACCCCGCTCACACAGCATGTCTCCAACTCGCAGAACGAAAAGTGGGAGTCTATTTCTCTCGTCCCCGTTCACGTCGATGAGAAGGGCAAGAGGAAGGGAAAGAAGGGCGGCAAGCAGCACGAGGAGTACTACATCATCACCTTGAGCGATAACGACTTTGTCACCCAGGACGGCGCCATGAACTTTGGCAAGTTACCCTACAGTGATGAGTCTGGTTCTGAGAACCAGAACCAGGCTCTTGTGTTCAAGGTCAGGATCTCGGCTTAGACGAGCAAATTTCTAGCGTCGAGAGAGTATTAGGGGTTGGGGATGTAATTGATGTGGAAATACTATTCTCAATACCAATTTTAATATTTGTACAATCTATACGATAATGACAACCCTGCTCCAACCGTGAGGTTGGCGTGTTCGTGATGCCATATTCCCTCAGTGAGAAATGCGGTGGTCCGAGATACAGGACTCTAAAAATGTCTCCGAACAACGAGCTTTTCACCAACCTGTGGACACCAGAGAAGAATTTATCATAATTATCGAAGCTTAGTGCATCTCATTGAGTGGAGTGCAATGATGGACTTGGGACCCGCGTGACTCTAGACTGAAGGCCTCAATCGACATGCACATGCCAATACCTATTATCACGAGAAAAGAGCAGGAGCTAGTGACCTATTTTCTGTATTAGACGAAGTGAGTTTAACGAAGCACGGGTAAAGAGTACGTCCCAGGTACCACTACACTTATTTTACCTCAAGCCCGGAGCCTGGGACCCTCAGTGTCAAGTTCACAACTCTCAATCTACCGATCTTCCTTGGTACTCGTTCAACGCATATTTTCCGAACATGGCAGCCCGCAACGTGCGGATGGATTACATTTGGGGTGACGATGATGAGACACAGACATTCGCCCACGCCCATGATGGAAAGGGAGCCAGGCTTATCTTCCGAGTTTTGCGCGATGGTCGCCGACCTAAGAGCCTCGCGAGCCGCATCGTTGCGTGCTTCCACGAATTGCCCGTCACTTCCAGCGCCGAGACGTTTCAGGACCGCTCTGAGATGCGCGAAGTTCTCAATGAATCGATTCAACTGGCGTGGCCCGACTGCGTACACGCGTCGAAAGTACCTTCCACCATAGTCGATCTCGTGTGTGAAGACGAAGATCGAATGGACTGGCGCGTGCAAGATGAACCGGAGCTCTACCAACAGTATCTGAGCTCACTATTAGAAGCAAATCACGTATCTGTGAGCCATCCCACGGAGAGGGGATGTGAGTTTGTCGACCAAGGAGACCTTATCATGATAGAACGACTGCCAGGGAGGGGGGCGTCGGCGGTTGTCATGAGACGTTCCTCAGATGGCGAGGACAAATCCCGGTATGTGTTCAAAGGCCCCGGCTTCGGTGACTTTTTAGCGTCGCGGAAAGACTTTGCGCACATTCGGGACATGTTCTATCATTCAGTCAAGACCCTTACCTCGATTCTACCGCACCCAAACATCTTGCCGCCTGCACCGATCCTCGTTGTAGCCCGATTTCCAGCAGATGAAAGCCGTCAACACGTATGCGGTAGTCTCTACCCTTTTATGTCGCGGGGCACTCTGGATGATCATGTCACTAGGAGCAAGGAGAACAATGACCGTCTTAAACTCCGAGACAAGGCCCGCTGGTGTCTTCAGTTGTGCTCCGCGGTTGCGCACACCCACCACGCGGCGCACACGTACCATATGGATATTAAACCGGCGAATGTACTCGTGGATGATGAGGGAAACGCCGTACTGATCGACTGGGAACAGAGCGGTGCCCCAACGTACACACTCGCACCGGAAGCCAACGGTGAATGGGATGTGGAGGAAGTGGAAATCCCAGGCGCTCTTCCAAGGTTGGCCTGTACGAGATACGAGGGTCCACGGCGAGTGAACATGACGTTCGGTCGACCCGCATGGAATGTCTTTCCGGAGTGGAGCGAGCGGTGGCCTCGAGCCTGTGCGGCGGCCGAGGTATTCAGCGTAGGTCGGACCATGTGGATGCTTCTGCAGGAAGTAACGCAGAAGGACATCGAAGATCTCGCTGCTGATAAAATAATTGTCAGCTGGGACGAGGACACTGACATACCAGAGTGTTGGAGAGAGGTGGTTATGAAGTGCATGGAAAAGGATCCCAATGAGAGGATCAAGCTGACTGAGCTCGTGGCATTCTGGGAGGAGCAGCAGATCTAGCCTGCACACATTCATGTCTCTGTTTATTGCATCAAGTTAAGATCATCGATAGATACCCAACGGGGATAAAAGACAACATTGATTCTAGCGTCATTGGCACATAGAGGGAAGGCAACTTGAAGCTCTGGAGTCTGGCCAAATAGGTCATTCATCCACAGAGGGAGGACGAAGTTGTTTCCTCCCCTCAATAGTAATCTGACCAAGACAATATCGAATTTCTTGTATAGCACAATTTATTGTCCAAGAGGCGGAAGATCTCATTCCTGACTTCTCGAACGCTTCTGAGATCTTGTTCACATCTCGTCGTGTAGGTACGTTGACAAGTTGACAAGTTTCGGGCTTGGCTTTCGTTGAGAGGGTAACGCCAGGAATGCCCCAATAGAATCAGTGTTCCATAAACACTTTTGAGACCCCACCAAAGGGTAGGATCGTAGGAAATAAGGCCTGTCTTTGCGTGTTGTGGTGCGGCGTTACTTATCCATCCAGACCCAACGGAGGAGAGCTCACCATTGCAGAGTTGAGAACAAAAGCAATAGGACTACCTTTCCACGGAGTCTAGAAGAGTGGAGAAGCCTGGTCGATGACAGCGGGTCGGCTACCTCGTCGGCTTCCTTGGCCTGTGGTAATTCACCTGGATCATGTTTTTTCTCCGGGTTAGAAGACGAGAACGGGCTAAGCGTTATGTACCAAAGCGAAAGTGCGGGACGCAAGAATTCGAGAGTGGTTGATTTATAGCTATAATATTTAAGCTATTGGCGCGCCTTAGGTCTGAGGCCGGTTAAACAAACATGGTAACTGACTCGAAGGCGACTGAGGTACAGAAGCTGGTGTTAGAATCCCTTTTTGATGGTGCTGCCGTTGTATTGGGCCGAGGAAGATTGCCAAATTGAGCAATATGTCACGGTTGAATCCAAAGCTTAATGGAGTCGACTATACATTCCACTCGCTGTGGTAGCATCGGAACTTTCGTGTAGTCTGGGGTAGATAATGGTGCCTCAAAATTCCGCATCCTTCGCGGGATAGTAAATCGGCAGCGAGAAACATACGAGGAGTAGCCAACCCGTCGCGATATCATGGTTCTGAAGAAGGGAGATCATATTTCGAGTCGAACCAAAATCTTTAACTTCTCCCAGTTGAGATACCGTGCGATCTGGGCATGGTTCCTGCAACGAATCAACCATCCGTCTTATCTAATGATATCAAATCCTCAGAGCTACGAGAAGAGACCAAACGGGCAGCGGTTCATTCGGCCATATATCTTGTGAATATCTCCTCTGGTCCGACGAGTCGGGGGGGACCTGGACCTTCTATGGATTGGATGCAGCCGGCGTGGAATCCTGCCTTTCGATTCGTGCCGTCTTTCTCCCGCCGATATTGCTTTACTGCCTTGACAGCTGCAATCTGGATTCATTCTTCTGTAATCCGGATATCCGTACCCGATATCATATACCAAGGCCTCTTTATACCCCGGCAGTCGCTTCTGAATCCGGTAAACATGGTGGGTCGACTGGCAGGCCCACCTAGCCGACAGAAAGACCGTCACATATTACCTCTCCACCCTAATTTGCCCCGGATTTTTAGATAGATTAACGGCGGACCAATTCCATCGGGCCTGGTCAACAGCCGGACAAGAGTTCGGCGACACATGATATGGCCGCAATATGCGGCAGTTGTCCCCACTCGCCGCCACATTCGCCTTGCCCATCATGGAATCGCCCCCTGGATCAGGCGTGCATCTGTGATACGTTGATATGTCGATGCACTGATGGCGACGGAGAATTATTGCAAATAAACAAGGAAACCTCATGTTCGGCGAGCTATAGTCGGGGTGTTTTATATCGCCTACGTTTAGTGGGTAGGCTACGCTATATATGGATGGAGGATGCCAAGGCGGTGTTCTTCTGGTTCAGGTTGCTCCCTCGCTCGCTTTCCCTCTTTCCCTTCTCTTAACTCTGCTCCCCGTACGCTGCGATCGAACCCGCCTAGAGTCAAGTTATTTTCTCTCTCAACATTCAGGTCAAGATGATGCTCAAGTCTCTCGTCGCTCTTGCGACCGCTCAGCTGGCTGTCGGCCAGGAGCTGATGCGCTTCGGATGCTCTCAGCTCACGCTGGACCGCATCGACCCGCTCGTCAACCCCGGTGCCCTCCCGGCTCCTCATATGCACCAGGTCATCGGCGGTAACTCGTTCAACGCTACCATGGACCCCGCCAGCCTCGACCCACCCCGAGACTCGTCCTGCACAACTTGCACGTTCGCCGAGGATTTCTCTAACTACTGGACTCCCAACCTCTACTTCCGTGCCCGCAATGGAACCTTCAAGCACGTTCCCATCTTTGCCAATCTTGGTCTCGGACAGATCCAGGGAGGCATGACCGTGTACTACATCCGAGGCTACAGGGCTTCGGACAAGGTCACGACCTTCAAGCCCGTAAGTTTCGAGGACATTTACATCGGGGCTGTTGACATGTACAAGTCGTAAATCTAACTTTGTTAGGGCTTCCGCATGCTCGTGGGCGATGCTGCCAACCGAGACCCCAAGAAGGTCCCCCGCCAGCTCTGCTACCGATGCGAGCACAACTACCAGCAATCGCCCTTCGGCGGCGCTCCTTGCACTGGCAGCGACACCACCACTTTCCCCAAGGAGGCCTGCGGCGGTGGCTGGCGTGTGACCATCACTTTCCCCACTTGCTGGGACGGCAAGACCCTCGACACCCCTAACCACCAGGACCACGTTACGTATACCTCTTCGGGTTCCTTCGAGACCGGTGGCCCCTGCCCGGCCTCCCACCCCGTCAAGATCCCGCAGGTCATGTACGAGATCATGTTCGACACCGCTCAGTTCAACGACCCCAACGACTGGCCCGAGGATGGCTCCCAGCCCTTCGTCTGGGCCATGGGAGACACCACTGGCGCTGGTATCCACGGTGACTACCTCTTCGGCTGGAAGGGCGATGCTCTCCAGAGGGCTATGGACTCCAAGTGCAACGGTGTCAACTGCCCCGGTATGGAGAGGCAGTCCGTCGACGTCTCCAACCAGTGCGCCAAGGGCCAGATGGCCGCCGAGCCCGTTGGTGATGATGGCTGTAAGTTATCATAAATTTCTGGCTCCCCTTGATCCAGGAAAACACTGTACTTTTATTCTTTCAATTACTAACCCTTCACACAGGGCTCACTTCCCTCCCTGGCAACTGGGAGCTCTCTTAAACAGAATTCATATCTTCCCTATTTAGTATCCTTCGTTGGGAAGTAGGATCGAAGAATTACCTGTTTGATCTTACAAGATTGTCATCTCATCTAAGGCTACAGAATACTCTTCTTTGTATATACCTAGCATCTTACAATTAGCGTATCGTGCTTGAGAGTGTGCGACGAGTTTGTGTGCGATTGTTTGTGTTTCGCAGTAGAGGTGTCGGAACCAGAGCTCGTAAACACATGCTAATAAATTTGTTGGTACTTTGGGAAAAAGTCATGAACACTTTTTTTATTCCGGATGAAGTTTGCGATAGTGGACGGCAATGTCGGCAGGAATGCTCCCGTGTCTTCGACAGTGCGATCGGATCGGATGGGAATTGCCTCAACCCCGGCTTGTCTCATCAAAACTAAACTCTATGCGAAAGAGATGAACCACCTTCGAGATGATTTGAGATGACCTCAGAGGCGGTAATCAAAGAGTCACGGGAGCGAAGCGATCCTCACGAGGAGAATTGGTATTACAGTGTCATTATATTAGCGGTGCCTATCTCAGCACAGACTCGGACAGTCTTGAATCATTTTGCCTCGTACACGTAAAGAGTCGAATGTTCTTCGTCGGGCAGAAAATATAGCCTCAACTTGCCGTCCACAATGGCGACGTCAAAAGGATTCTTGGCCATGGGAGCGCCCTTGTCAGTAACCATCGCGATGGGGACATCGGCGAGGGGCACCATGGTCAGTATGTCAACAATGGCAACTCCACCAATCGTAACCTTGTTCTGTTGGCCATCGCCCCCGCCAATGTCGCCAATGCCGCTGCATATCATGACGGCGCGGAAATCGTAAGTCTTGGAATGTCCGAGGAACTTGCAGTCCTGGTAGTCAATCCACTTGCTTGGGTTAGCCGTGACGGCCAGAGGAGTCGTGAATTCGGGAATGGGCTCGGCCGGGTAGGCGAGAGACCAAAGAGACGCCTTGCGAGAGCCCCAGTTCAAAGTAGCAAAATGGCCGGTGGAGATGTCGTGCACGACACCGCCTTGGTGATCGCGGACCCGAAGAATCTGCTCCGGCTCTAGAGTGGAGGGCCGCATTCGCACAACGGTGCCAGTGGAGTTGGGACGGTACTCGCTGAGGGTCGCCCAGATGTATGTACCGTCATAATCAATACCACCATTGTGGTATTCTGTGTCACCGTTCTTAGAAATGGAGGCGTCGGCGACGCGGCGTCCCTTGCCGTCAAAGACAATCATGTGCGCGAATCCGATGCCAGGAGTGCGATCGGTGCCGTTGATGGGCTTCTCATATTTCACGGTCCTCTCCACGTATTCACCGGCCGAGACGAAGTACCGATCCGCGCCCAATCGGACGATTCCTTCCGGTTCCCAGGTAGGACCTTCAAAATCGATCTTCTCGACGAGGTTCCATGTCGTAGAACGACTGAGGGCGCTGAACTGACGGATAATCTCCTCGGACTGCGACGAGGAGCCTGGAAGAGGCAGCCGTGCCGGCGCGATGGAGTCAGCAGTGTGGTTGTTTGAGAAGGTAATATTGAGCGCCGCTTGCGTGGCGGCGGCCGTGAAGACGACGCTTGTAATTGAGTGGAGGATGGGCTTCATCGCGGCGGCGACGAATTGTCCAACGGAGATCAAGCTAAGACTCATCCCGGTCGCGAGCCGAGCGGGCAGGCCAAGAAAGCCACGCTCTAGCTATTTATGTCTTCCGAATCGATAGGGGCGAGAGTTCTAATACGCATGGGAGATGACCTATCGTGCTGTTTGCAGGGGATGGAATGCTGTAAAGGATGCGAGTCTCCCGGTGCTCCCGCCCTGTTTCCAGCCACGTCGAACCTCACGTGGGCGACACGCCAAGTTAATTGGCTGCGGTGGCACCAAAGAGCCAATTTGTTTTCTCTCCGCACTAATTCTCATTCGTCGCGATGGTCTCTGCCAAGCCAACACCACAACCCTTTACGCGTAGCATTGCAGGCTCAGAATGGCACTTTACAGTTTCGCTCACCGAGCACCTGGGCTGAAGTGTGTAAGATAATCAAAATGCTGTTGCATGAGTGTAATTTGGATCACCGTCACTGAAGGATACATCTTGGCGTGGACTAGGGTGAAGGACACCGTCTGCCCGTCTTATCAAGTGAAAAGGAAAAGGGCGAGAAATGAAGATTGATCCTTCAAGGTTTGGTAACTTATAAGTTAGAACTCCCCATGGATTTGATTATGCCTTCGATATCGGACCCTGTTTAGTTCTTGGACGGCCTCACGACGATCAAGGATTACCTCTGTGCGCCATACGCCGCTCTTTATTTTATATACGCTCGTTTGCGGCTCTCATTTTCTTTAATAATATTCACCGTTGTACATAATCAAAAATTCTCCCTTCTCTTTAAATAATTGTGGCATTAATCGTAATGGCTACCAAAACCCTTTTCGCTCTTCTCCTCGCCGGAGGTGCCATCGCAAAGTCGGCGTGCCCAGTGGTCAACTGCACCGACGTCTCGGCTCTATCCGATTACTCGACCCTCCGCCTCCGAGAGGTCGGAGCCCGGAACACTCTTGTAGGTTAAACAGCAAGGGTTGCACCTGGGTCGTTTACGGTAGCATTGGCCTGCAATCTGACATCCATGGTAATGTAGGACTGGAGAATCTGGCTCCTCCGCGATGGGAAGCCCATCTCCTTCTGGCATGACGTGCCATTGTACCCCGATGAGTCTAACCATCAGGTTGTCAACATGGTGGTTGAGATTCCTCGTTGGACCAACGGAAAGATTGAGATTAAGAGGACTGAGCCCTTGAGTATGTTTGCATTAACATCGTCCCAGAGCTACTCTGCATCCGTGGCAATAAGTGGCTGAGCTTTCCTGGTGTAGATCCCATCTTCCATGACGAGAAGAAGAGCCTGCCTCGATTTGTGGAAAACGTGTGGCCTCACAAGAGCTACCCGTTCCTCTATGGGTCTATTCCCCAAACCTGGGAGAGTCCCAACTTTAAGCACAACTTCACCAACTTCGAGGGCGATAACGATCCCGTTGACATCATTGACATTGGCTCCGAGTATGCTAAGCTGCTTTTTATTAATTTATTTATTTTTCTTTCTTTTTTCCGATACATCTTACTTCCAGGCTAACACTCCGTGAAACAGCCCTGGATATGTTGGCCAGGTCAAGCAAGTCAAGGTTCTCGGTGGCCTCGCATTGGCCGATGTACGTGTCCACTCCTGAAGCTCCCACAATGAAATTCTTTCTAACTGAGGTGATTTAGGGTGAGGAGACAGACTGGAAGATCATTGCTGTTGATGTCAACGACCCTCTCGCCGCCCTCGTCAGTTGTGCGTGCTTTTATTATTTCCCTTCAAGCTCCACCTCCTATCTGGATTCGATAAACTGACATGATGGCAGCCGTCGAGGATCTTGAGAAGCACCGACCAGGCCTCGCCCAGACCTACCGCGACTGGTTTACCGTAAGTTCCTCAAATAAATGAACTGAACTACTAGTCCAGCGCTAATTCTTCTATCCTCCAGTACTACAAGGTGGCTCGCGGTGATGGTGTCATCCCCATCGTTGGTGATACATGGCAGAATGCCGACTTCGTCGTCAACGTCCTCGAGGAGAGCCATGGATTCTGGCAGGACCTCGTTGCCGGAAAGGTCGACACCGGTGAGATAAACTACAACCAGACTTCGGACGCATCTTTGGAGAGCTTCATCTCCCGCTGTGAGGCTGTCGACGAGCTCAGCATCCCCAAGAAGAATGCCAAGAAGCCGGCTGCTGCAATCCCCGAGAAGTACAGCTGGTGGTACTACCTTGACGCGGACTACAAGCTCATTGAGCTTCCCAGCAGCTCCTAAAGCTGGATGGGGTTGGCTAGCTTTGTCATTCTCTGTATAGATTCTCATTATACTGTTGAATAATGTTAATCAAATCTTCCTAGCGCCCGAACTCGGGACGCTAGAGACATTCGGGAATTGGTTCGCTTTCCAGTTCTATAATAACGCCAATGGTCATGCTTTGCTCAAATACAGGACCATCTCAAATTCCTCCTCATTTTCATTGTACATTGAAAACCCGCACGATTCATACAGAGCTCTTGCTCCCACACTCCCCTTGAGCACCCCAAGTGTGATGACAGTATTGGCGCCCTGCACATCTCCCCGCTCTTTTGCAACTTGTAGTACTCGGTTCAAGACACGCCTCGCCAGTCCCTTCTTCCTCGCCTCGGGCAGTGTGTACACGGCAGCAATTGACCAGAACAGCGCCCCACCGGAGTCAATCGCCTTATTGGTAACTAGACCGCTGGGGGCAGGGAGGGGACCTCGAAGAGTGGCAGCGGAGAGCACAGTCCGATCGCGGCCGTCAACGACGACGAAAGTAGTGGCAAGATGGCTTGCCACTCTCCTAACCCAGTCGCCGTCTGTCATGTTGATTTCTCTCTCATAGGTACTACTAAAAGCTATCCAGCACAACGAGTTAATGTCGGCCTGACCCCGCCGGTAATATGGCGCGTAAACGAAAAATAAAGACACCGCACAACTCCTACCTGCTGGACTCTCTTGCAAAGAGAATAATCTGAATGGTCGATATCTCTCAAGGTAAAACCTGACGCCATCATTGTCGGGCGGGATAACTTCGACGGTCCATTCGCGTTTTCCCTCAAGCTCTGGACTGTCGATATCTCCCATATTGGTACGCTGATCTCTGATGATTAGTTCTTTCCACGCTCTATAACGGATCCTCTAGCCTACTAAGAAAATCCTAATCGAATGTTCCTTTGCTGTATGTTTAGTATTATTATTGCGCGCCCTATTTGCGCCCTTCGCATCTACGCCCTCTTGGTCATTCTGTTCTATGACTCATAGTTTTGGTTGGCATTGGCGACTGAGATGGGACGGAACACTCAGTTAATAGGCCAAGTACGCCACATGCAGCCTTGAATTAGAGAGGATTATACTATCATTTGAGGCCCGAAAAATATGCTGTCTAAGCCGCCCTGGCTCTAGGTCTACCCGAACTCCGTCTCATCGTTCCGTGTGAAAGCGTCCTGATTGCGTGATACCATTTGTAAAGAAGGGCTACCTCGGCCATCTCATCTTTCGATGGGACTATCATCTAGAGCATCGTATTGGCATAGATATTATAAGAGCCTCTGTACGCAAAGGTGTCGAACGAAACTTGGCCGGAATGTAAGGTGGTAGACAACGAGAGTCGGTTTCCAGGAGCGACAGCTTCATCTGTTCATTGCCTTATCAAATTGACGGTATTATGATCTATCTATTGATTCCCAAACTCCATTGTTCATTAGGAGTAGGTTATATTCAGCGGGTGGGACGAATGGGGCACGCATACGACTGCGTATCCTTGTTACACGAGAAGAACAGGGCGACGACGACCTCCAAGAACCGGCGCAATCCCCTTCCCGCTCCAACCTAAAAGCAACTGTCCAGTTTGTTGCCAACGGGCAGTAAAATGAAATGCCTAAACCAAGACTCGATCGTATCTCACAGAGATGCGTTACCTCCAAAGGTCCCATTGGAAATTCGCATCAAACAAAGGGCAAATGTATTTGCCGAATGCTTGTCAACATTGTTACATAGTTATGAGCAAAGGCATACTCTGCAAGTATTCTACATTCCTCGATAAGTTTTACTTATGCATCTTCGGGGAGAATCACCTATATCTCTCTCACACTTATTTGAAAGTTGAGAACAAGCACCACAAACTCAAGGCCTAGACAGTTCATCATCGCTGCAATCTGTGGAGTGCAGACAAAATCGTGCCGCTCGGCCACCTCCCAGTATCAGATGAGCTGGAAATTTTTTTCGCAAGGCCAGGGTTCTTGGACACCCTACGAAGGAAGAACGGAAGTTTTGGGTCATCGACTATTTTGAACGTAGTAGGTCCAGGACCAGCTAAGGCGGTTTCGTTGGGCGAGTAAAAATGATACAGGAAAAGTTGGCCGATATCGCACAGCCTTCTTGAGGCGTGGTATGAATTAGCAAGGCGGGCCTGCATCCAATGCGTGTCTGTGCAAGGGTCCGGCAAAGAGTCGCGTTGCCCAGAACAATGGGCACACAACTCCCCGCAGATGCTCATGAGGAGCTCCGTCGGGAGAGTGGTCAAGTAATCCATGTTGTACAGAGGTGGTAAGATGATAGATCTTGTGTATCGGTCGAACTGGGGCCGGACCATGAAAGAAGGCTAAGGACACAGGTTTTTAAAAAGGAAAGAAGCCCCATTTTGGGAATCAGAGAGGGAATATTTAGAATTGGGATTCCTCTGAGGCAATTCGAGGGCTTGTTTATCCTCTCTACCGGAGTAGAGGCCTAACTGGGAGACCTTGTCGAGGAGGCGAGACGGGTGCTCATGTAGGCCTTTCAAGATCTTGCACCGCGGTGCCAATATTTCCTCCCTTGCCATGGTAACCAGGTACACTCGTGACTCCGATGTTCCAATGATTCATATCAATGACTTGTCCTAGTTCGCCTGCGTTCCAACGCGAACTCGCTTTGAGAAATAACTAAAGAGAGTATGAAAACCCACCCCAAAGAGTTGGGCCTTACCTTAAAGTATGGCACGCCAACATTGATTTAGAGGCTAGACGTTCGGTGTTACCTATCTTGGGGTTTCGGACAGATCGTTACTACTTCGTGCATTTAGCCCGCTCCTTTGCCGCGGCCCCATCCCCACTATCCGCAGACACGACGGTGAAGTTAGGTGACTAGGGCTGAAGTCGGTTGTCAACACTCAAACGCTGTTCCCATTTCGCATATCAAAGTTATCCTTATTATTGCAATGGTCTTAGGGCAAGCTAGAATCTAACGTCTACAAACAAGTATTGGGGAAGCGTTGTGGAAAGCAAACTGTTAAGAGGACTGCCTGGCCTGGAGGATTTTCTCGTTGATATCTCTCGTCGTTTCACACAAGCCGGTGGTTGACCCAAGAACTGGCTTAACTAGCCACTTGATGCCAATGACACAATATTGCTTTTATGGCGATGGCATTAGGGACGCCGTCCATGCGATCTAGCACTGGTGGTGGTCACTAGCTTTGTTTTTCTTAGTTTCGATGAGATGGGCTAAATCATCAAGTATACTTTACACTCTCCCCTTCGAAGAACTTGATAATCGCGACTGATTGTTGATGGGGCGGGGTCGTCTTCTCATGTAATTACTTCCGGATGTTTGGCAAAGGTCTAGCGTCAAGCCATCCCCATTCTCTCGGCACCAGATTCTTGCCACTGCCAATGCCAGGACCGAGCCCGCCTGGAATGGAAAGTGTCCTAGTGCGTACGCCACTAAAGGCGGCAGTCAAAGGGCCTGGCGGTGATGGCGAATAGGAGTGCTGGAGATGGCCAAGAGGAGCCAAGACTACTAAAAAGAAGCCCGAAAGAGACCAAAGGGAGAGGGAAGGAACCAGCAGATCAATAATAATCATTCCCCAAGATGTCTCAAGAGTGATACGAAGCACTCGAGTCTTTTCCACTAATACTGCACCACACTAGCCCCAGTAAACTCGCGTATGATCGGAGAGTCTCATTTAACCATTGTCGCCGGAGAAGCACTAGACTCGTTCCGGCGCCCGCTATTATTGGAACATTTTGCATAACCAGGCTCAAAACGTGCTGGCCACGCGTAGTATTTCATGTAGCCTACATACGCCACTACGCAACATACGGGACGCCCGATCGGCTCAGCGTCTTCTGCTCACCCGCCCCAGCTAGGCCTGTAAATTTTTTTTTTCCTTTTTTCTCTTTTTCCTTTGTTATTGTTTCCTTTTTCCCCTCTCCCTCGCTTCCCTTCATACATATACACGTGCGATAATAGCCCAAACCTAGCGGTTCGGGACCTCATGGCCATTGGAGTGGGAAATGACGAGAGGCCTATCGACCTCGGTCCTTCTGGCCATTATTTCGGCCTTCTCTGGCTCGGAGGCTTCGGCCATCACCCAAAACTGCTCGGCCTTTACCACCGACGCAGGGTCTGCCTTCACCCACCACCGCTTCTATGACTTCCGAAACCTCTCTAGGGATGCGGGCCCTTCCAGTGCCGGCTCGGTAAGTCCAGCCTTATCCCGCACCGTGGGTGACTACTGGACTACGGACTGGGAGGTCTCCAACATTTTCAAGTGGGAGGCTCACCCAGGATGGGCACCGATTTTGTATTCTCCGGAATCCGTCGATCGCAGTATGTCACCGCCAAGTCACTACTACTACTTACAACTTAGTTAAACCACACGCTTACACATGTACATGGAACAGAGGACAATGGGGACGGATCCCTTCTTGAACTGACCACCACGCAGCTCAAGAATGGCACGCAAAAATCTGCAGAGCTGATCTACAGAGAGTACAACATCACTACTCTCTCGTTGCGCATTCTTGCGCGAATCACAGGAAGTCCCGGCGCCTGCGCCGGCTTCTTTACTTATTACAACGACACCCAGGAGACGGATATAGAAGTCGTGACGCGGGATCCCGTCGACATGTTCCACGGCTCCAACCAACCCACCTACGACGGTCAGGAGCGGCCCATTCCTGACACGTCGTTCAACATCTCGATGACTACCAACAATGCGGGGAAATCCCGCGAAGAGTGGAACACCTACCGCCTCGACTGGATCCCAGGCCAAAGCTCGTTTTACCTGAACGGGGTGCAGTTGGCCCAGACAGGCAAGAACGTCCCCTTTGAGGAGAGCAGGCTAATCATTAGCATGTTTGGCAACGGCGGCTCATGGTCAGGCCCTATGGAAGTTGGGATGGACGCCACGCTGGAGGTGCAGTGGATCCAGTTTGCCTTCAACTCTACTTCTGCCAGTCCAGGATCAGATGGCGTTATTTGCAACATTGATGACCCCAACTTCATCAAGGACCTCCCACCTCCAGACAGCATCGAGGACAGCGGGCAGCCGCATTCAGCTGTGCCGTTCCTGAAATTGATCGTTCTATTTGTATCCGTTTATGGTATAATAATATTCTTTTAATAGATAATGTTTAATACCCCCATGGCAACCTTCAAATTGTCTCTGACTCTCTAATAAGACGTACATGTACGATGTACCAAGCAGTCCGTTCGTGTCCTGTATTTTGAGATGCCTGAGAACACCGGTAAACTACTGCGCTCTCCACCCCTATGCAGGTGATCGTCTGCCATTTTTAAGCAGGGAGGCTCATCCTCATTTCGCTGGAAATTCTTTGTTTGCTTCTATGGCCAATACGACATCATTCCAGAACACGTTGCCATCAGACCAGCCAAGGCGATATCCGGTGAACACACGCTCGCCTCCATGGGGGCGATGGCAAAAACTTTCCTATTGAAGTCGGTCTACGAAGGGGGTGAGTCTGCAGAGCAATGGCCATCATGTTACATACGTGAAGCCGTTACTTAATTTATGTGTTGGTGAGTTGATGGGCTGGTGGCTTCAGACATTATACTACCCGGATCAGCCGTTGGAATAAAAGAAACAGCAGGTTTAGCTCCAATTTCGGACATCTACCACAGAGTGGCATGTCGCTCATTTTTGGCGCAGTGGGCTGAATCCGACATCAGCCCCAGAAAGTTATGTGTGAGTAAAAAGAGCCGCTGCCAATAGTCCTCCCTAGCGTACCTCGTCAGGCAGCTCAGGTGTGTCAACATCCCAAAAGGGAGGGTATCGTCATCGGGTCTGGGGATCGGCCGGAGCGGTCTGTCCTGTTGAATACGCGACTGCGAAGTACGGAGTAGGTTTGCGATCTCCAACTCCACGATCGCGTCACACATCTCCGCGGAGCTTGCCATTTCAGGTCTTTTCGGTTGACATCTCCCACGAGAAAAGGGGTATGGTGGACGGTGGAGAAAGGAAAGATCAAATTAAGCTCTATTCTTCGACGCATGTCGGAGACAGTCTCAGCCCCAGCCTTGACAGCAGTGTTGTCTTCAAAAGTTTAAACGAAGACATTGGCTGAATTAGGCTCAACCGACCTGACTGGGCTCCGGTTGGCTGTGTCGTGTCTGCAAGAACCCGGGAATTATTAGGAGGGAAAATTTTTTCCGTGCGATAGATGCAAGGGGAAACGTATCCCAAAGCCAGCTAGAGCTGAGAGAGCGCAACTTTTGATCAGCCCACCCCGCGCCGCTCGCTTCTTTGTCCCTTCATTCCCTCCCAGGTTCCCACCGAAGAAGACACGCACGTCCACTAGTCCACGATTTTCTCCAGTCATATTTTAGTCGGCGGGTCGATCGGCGACCTGGTTAATGAATAAGGGAGCCCGCATGAAGACTAGGGCCAATAAAAAAATCTGCCATGGCTTGCTGAAAGCCCTAGTATCTGCGAACAATTCAGTAGTATTCTCTTTACGGCTGGCTCGTCCATCGATCGAGTTTAGTACTTCGACACTAGTGGGCTTTGAACTTGTCACTAGAGATGTCGCGTACCCCGTTTCATTGGTTCGATCTGAACCCCAGTGCCGTGTTCCCAGCTCCCTGGAACCCTGAAGGCTACCAGACCCCTGCGCCAACGTCATCTGAAGAACCTTAGCTCTGTCAAACGATCGGCCTCCGAAGTATACGACGGCAGGAATGCGCCGCAAATCGACAACTTCGTATGACGAGATTACGAGATATTTTTGATGGCTCCGTAAGCCCGCAGGAACGATATTCGTGCACCTTGCCGTCAGAGCCGTCGGCAGCAAGGTCCGTACGGTCTGCACTGAAGATGAGAGTTTTATCGAAATTATTGCCGACTAAAATTGGAAAAGCCGCCGCCTCTTCTCGCCACCTCACTCCAATGCCCGAAAACCACACTCCTTAGCTACCCCACCGCACCAAGCTTCTCTTTATCAGCATGGAATCACATTGACTCTACCTGGTCCTCGTGGCTACTAAGGATCAAAAGCACAGAAAGAAAAAGAAAGGACAAAAAAAAAAGAAAAAAAAAAAAGAAAAAAAAAAAGGGGGGGGGGACAAAAAAGGGGCAGAACTACCTCGCTCTTGGCACCATTCCATTCGTCAGTTTTCAGCCCTCTTGCCATGCCACCCACATTAGCCACCATGTGCACCTAAGTTTATGTAAGGAACGCTAGAACCCTACGAAGTAGCTCAGAGCTATTGGTATGGGGTCTTCTCGCGCTAAGTTTAGATTCTATTTCTCGTATCCCACCTGTCGGCGCAATATTAGAATGCCCCATCCACTTGCTGCTTACTACTGTTAGTGCAGCGTAGTTGCTAGTTGCGAGCCTGGCGGGCAATGCCCCGTTCCCTGAACGGATCGAGCGAGCCATCATGGCTGCGGTATGCATACTTACTTCGTACGAAGTAGTAGAGCTGTGACTACTGATGCTTGGCACGCCCCGGGCTCGCGCCGTTTTGGGATCCGCACTTCAGTGCTTCAAGGACCTATACGGCCAAGAGCTAGCAGCACGAGCCTGTAGGGCGGGTCGGGATTACAGTTCCACGGCAAAGGGAGGGATCACCCCGGTTCACCACACAGCTTCTCTTCTCTGATGGCGTGGGCGAGTGCCAAATTACGCCATGTCCCAATCCGGAGCCCAAGCGGGCTTTCCAGACTATCGATTTCTGCAGGTAAGCTTCAATAATGGGAAATCCACATAGCCTCAGGTCACACAGCTAGCGTACCGGAAGTAAACACGCATATTTCTCAAGGGAGCCTTATAGGGAGACGATTGCCGTCTCTCAACATTCCATGATGGCCCATATACCTGGCAAGCGTCGGGTTGTTTTCGCTCGAGAGGATCCTCCCCAGACCGAATCCAGATCCTCTCGGTTGATCTGATGTGTGGTTTCCCTTCTTTTCTTCCGATAAGAATACACTGTTGAGTCTTGTTTGAAAACAAGCCTCGTCCACTCTTTCATTAATACCCAGGCGTCAAGGAGCTGGGCCTTCCCCCCCCCCCCCCCCCCCCCCCCCCCCCTCCTCTTTCTCCCAGCGTCCACTCTCGCCATGGCATCCCCCGAGTTCCGGCCGGGCCATTGGCGGCAGGCCAGTTCCTCCGGGCCGTCCGGCACTCTTCCTTTTCCCTCACCGGACCTTGAGCCTCTCCCTGAACCCTCTCCCGTGTTTCTGCGTCACGAAGGAGATTTCGGACGTCCTCGCTCGCGAGACTCTCCTCTGATCGATCCATGGTCTCCAACAGGGCTGTCGGCCGGCCATTCAAGGAATCGACCCAGTTATCCTCAAAGCCGAGCTTCTTCGATAACACTCCGTGGCACCGAGACACCCCCCTCGCCTACATCCCTCAAGGGCTCAAACTGTAACCTTACACTTAGCCCCCAGGAAAGAAACGACACAGAAACCCCTGAAACTTCGGGTGGCCCCTCCAAGGACGCAGAAAGGGCAGAGGCAGAGGCGGATTGGGAGGCATCACCTGCAAAGAAGGCCCGGGTTTGCAGGGGACCCGTTTCCATATGCCGATCTGTATGGGCTGCCTTCCGGAGGCAAATATCATTTCGCGCAATCTTCGATATTATCGACATCAGGGACATATTCTGGCCATTCTCATGGCGCAAGTATGCGACTCTCCTCGGAGTCGCTGCTCTAGTGGCTGGCATCGTCGTCTCCAACCATTACTTTCACTGGATCGAGAAGGCCATGGCTCAGACAAGGACTTTCATGTTACCGGTTCTCGTTATTGTTATCGGCTTGGAGCCACTCATGATCTTGTTTATCCTTTGTGTCGCCAAGATTCCCGACCGAAAGGACATCATCAACCCACGGTATCCCGAAGCACTCAACATGAGTGAGGTTCCTCGGGACGGCGATCATGGCCACGCCACCAATGAAAAGATAGATTTAGAGGCAGGGCATGCGAACCTAACTTCTTCCTCTCTTCCCAATCGTACTGCACTCGTCCTTCCGTGTCACAACTCTGATCGCGACGCCCTCAAGCGTGTGCTCGAGTCGGCTTACCCGCACTTCCGCCCCCGAGATATTTTCATTGTCGACAACGGCCGGTCGAGACGTCCAGCGGATCCCACTTTCCGCGACTGGGTCAAGGAGCAGCACCCTGAGATAGTTTACATTTGGTCTCCCATCGGATCGAAGAACGCAGCCCAGCTTGTCGGGTCCCTCGCCGCCAAGGACTACGACTACATCCTCACTGTTGATGACGACGTCTGTATCCCAGCCAATTTCGAGGCACCAGAGGACCTGATCACTGACGAAGTTAAAGCCGTGGCTTTTCCCTTGATGGCCACGAACCCGGAAGGCAAGACGTCTCTGTTCCTTGTTAGTTGGCAGGATTGCGAGTACCGCATGGCTGGTATCACCAAGATGGCCGAGGACCGCGTCTGCGGTGTGACCTTCCCCCATGGCGCCGGTTGGTTCGTGGAGCGGGAGGCCTACATTACCATGCTCAGCCACTACCATCCCATGGATTTCATTGCCGAAGACGTCAACTCCGGTCTTTCGTTCATGAAGATGGGCAAACACATTGCCATGGATGGCCGCATTGTCCTGAAGACCGAGGTGCCAACTACGATTCTCGGCCCGGGACTCAATTGGTGGAAGCAGCGATACAAGTCTTGGGAGATGGGCCGACATGGCCTCAGCCTCAAGTTCATGATCCGAATTCTGTTTTCGCTCAATGGCCAGCGCACCATCCAGGGCATCCTGTTCCAAAAATTCCTCTTCGTCTACAACATTCTCTCCAACGTCATCGACTTTGTTCGCGTCCCCATCTTTGTCACCATGGGCACCAATGCCATGTTTTGGTTGCAAGCTGGTCTCCTTTCGCTCTTTTCCATCATCCCCATCCTCGTCTACAGCTACATCAAGTGCCGTCGCCGGCCGGATATGCGCTGTAGGTTCTGGGGCAGTCTAACATTTCCTATCTACAAGCAGCTTTACTCTTTGGTTTCTATCTTTGGCGCAGTACGGTGTGTTCTGTATTATATCGGCGGGCATAGACTCCCCAAGACGATCCAGCAGATGGTCAAGGACAACGACGACCGATGCATCTGGCTTGATCCTCGCTTCGAAACCAATCCAGGATTTCTCGGAGATCCGAATGAGCCTGACGTCAATCTCAGTTCCAGTCGGGTCGATCTCTCGTTGTAAGCGGTTATTCGGATCCTGTTTTATTTTCTCTGATTTGTTATGTCATTGTAAGGAGCTCTATGGTGCCTTGTTTCTTCTCTAACCTGCTCAATTTTCTTTTTAACTGGGATTTTCTTCACATCCGAGGACTGTTAGAGTATCACGTTATATTACGTTGGGGATTACATATGGGCAAAAGGAAAATTAGAGGGGCGGGTTTAATTCCTAAAGAGGACTACTTCGTACAGATCGATAAATTAATTTAATCCTAATTTGTCCCGGCATTTACCTGTCCAAAAAAAAAAAAAAAAAAAAAACCTTCCCCGCTCTACCTTGAAAATATTGGGGAATCTGTTCGAAGCTTGGTATCATCCAATAAGGCTATTTCTATATCGAAGTATTTCGCTAAAGAGAAATAGGAATGTTCGGATTTCGCTCTATCGCGGAAGGCTGCCAAGTGATTCCCAATTCGGCATCTCATTTCCGAACGACGCAACCCGAGTAGATCTCCGACTTAATACGAAGTTTTATGGAGGAGGAAGCCCACGAGGATACTCTATTGGATATCATCATGTCGATGCCAACCGTTGTACTGGGATTCGATGCTACTTACAAAGTCCGGGGGCGTTCTACATCTTGGACAACCATCGGCGCCGGTGTTCGGAAGCGGGATATATAATGGCGATGCCCTGCCCCGTCGAGGTCTCCTGAGTCCCGGCCATCAGGACTGTCTTTCCTTCTCGCCGGGTGTCCATTTCATAGGTCTTGACAGTCACCATGTTTTCACTGACGCATTTAGTGCTTTTCTTTCCGCTATCGGCTGCCGTGGCAGCCGGATCTTCTCCCCGGTTCCTCGCACCAAAGCAGGACATCGTGCTCTGGCGTGGCAAGGGCTCTGATAGCCCTCTAACGCGGCTCGGCGCCAATGGCCCATGGGCTTCCGGACCGAATGTACACGGGATTTCGACCGCCATTCCCGAGAACTGCTATGTGGACCAGGCTGCCTACGTTTCTCGGCACGGTTCGCGATATCCTGACAACGGGGCGTACAACGAGTGGCTAGAGATGGAGTCGAGGGTAAGTTCCTCATCGCGGCAGAAAGCAGAGAGCCTGTTTTTTTTTTTTTTTTTTCCCTGTTCATTTCTTCGATCAGTCATACTCACCACACGGACTGCAGTTTTCTGCGGGTGGTTACGAAGCCAAAGGAGTGCTCTCATTCCTGCCCGCCTGGAAGCCTGTCCTGACAAACCCTGATATCCAAATCGCCATGCTGGGCCCGACTGGCAACAAAGAGGCGGTGGATATGGGTTACCAACTCCGCACTAGGTATTTCATGCTCCTCTTCGTTCTTCCCTTTTGGTTTATTTTTCTTCTCCGTAAACGGAACCTCCCCCAGAAGCTAACAAATTGCAGATATCCGCAACTCTACGACGACGGGGATGATTTCTATGTCTGGGCCAACAATTATACTCGCGTTCTCCAGACCGCCTCAGGCTTCGTAAATGGCTTCCTAGGGGCTAGTGCCAGCAAGCTCGGTAACGTTGTCGCCGTGACGTCCAAGGGGATAGCCGAAGCTATTGGGAACTCTCTCGCGCCGTCTGACATGTGCCCCAACTTCAAAGATCAAAGCGGTGGGGACTACATTAAGACGTGGAACAGTATTTGGCAGCCTCGAGTGCAGGAAAGACTTCAGAAGTTGATCAAGGGGAATCTGACCCTGACGCTAAGCGACGTAAACCTCATGCCGTATCTCTGCGGATTCGAGAGCCAGATCACTGGGCGACTCTCCCCATTCTGTGATGTCTTCACGGACGACGAACTGAAGATGTACGAGTACTCTAATGATTTGAGGTACTACTACGGTGTCGGGCCTGGAACAGAACTGCCCCCGAAAATGATGACGCCGTTCCTCGACAGCCTGGTCGACCTCTTCGCCAAAGGCCCGGGCGTCGAAGGGGTTGGACTCGATGGCGCACAGTCCTTCCAGGTGCCGAAACTTCTCGTTTCGTTCTTGAACGACGGGCAGCTTACGGAGCTCGTTAGCGCAAGCGGCGTGTTTGACGAGCAGGAACATCTCTCCGCAACGGAGATGGACCACGACCGCCTATGGATTGGATCCCGATTCATCACGATGCGAGGCACCATTGCCTTTGAGCGCCTCAACTGCATGGTACCAGGCCCGAAAAATGAGACGACGACTTCTCACCCGTCCTCGACCAATACAAGCCTCCCAGCCCCGACTAACACCGGAAAATGCGGCCCTCGCAAGAGTCGAAGCCCCTTTGACGCCAGCCGGGGGTACGTGAACGCTACGTACGTGCGCATTCGACTGAACGACCAGGTATACCCCGTTCCATCATGCAGGGACGGACCTGGATCCTCTTGCGCACTGGGAAAATACGCCGAGTACGTGAAAGCCAAGTATGCTGCCGAAGGCGACTGGATGGAGAACTGCGATGTGACAATGGAAGGCAAGCCAACAGTTGTGCAGGGAGCCAGCTTCTTTACCGACCTTTCGCAGCCCCATTTAGCAAAGTATACGCAGTGATTGGGGGACGATTGTACATCAATGGACAACTAAGGCCTACATATTTTAATCTCTGGCGATGGTAACAGCCTTAAATTTCTTCGTGTATATATTAGAGCCAGGCTTTCTTTGTCAATCAGACAATATCGAAAATGGAGCTGATATCTGCTCCAATTTCCTTGTCAACCCGATCTACAATATGGCTTGATTGAGGCTCTCGCCGGCAAAGTGTCACATTTTTGACAATACTGCCTCCAAGCTTCCACCATTTCTCGGTGACGATTGCGGAACTATCTACCGAGCAGTGTCTAGCACGTGTTGGATCTACTTGATCCTCTGGAGGCTCCTAACTTCTACCATATATCCGATCTTATAACATTACGATCTGAGGGCGCATCGCAACCCAAGAATACGACGCCAAGCCGCTACTAGAACTGTCAATGTCACCTATCCGGGCGTCCTACCCTCCACCAGCCAATATAAATTTCCCCGGTTTGCATGGATGGTCGTGAAGACGTCATCCATATTGATTGCACACGGAGAGCCTTACTGAACACGGATCTTAGCTCCATGTTCTAATATTTGCATACATCACAGCGGACCCACAGCTCGATTGCCGAGATGGGAATTCGCCGAAGATATGATCTATAAAACTAGAGACATGGCACATTTGACGACAATATCACGAACATCAAACGACCACAAATAATCTGACGCCCGTTTTCTTCTGGCTTGTAGCCCGAACCTCCCCTAACCTGAAGGCCGCCGATAGCTATACCCACGAACCACAATGAAGGTCACTTATATCCTTTCCGTGCTGGCCGCAACTGGCTTAGGGGCTTTCGCCGCTACGGATGGCTCCTTCGACATCCTCGCCATGAACGTCGCGGGGCTGCCCGCCATCTTCAATGGCAACGATGTTCCTGGAGATAAAGCCACAAACGCGCGCACGATCGGCTCTAAATTTTCCCAATACGCTTACGATATTATCCACGTACAGGAGGTAGAAAGCACTGGTTCCCGTGTCATAAAGCGGATATATTCTAACACTGACTGGTCATCGCATCCAGGACTTTAATTATCATGCGTACATCTACGAGACGGACAACCATCCCTATCGCACCCCAACTTCCGGCGGCGCGGCAATAGGTTCTGGGCTCAACACTCTCTCCAACTTCAACTGGATCAATTTCTCCCGAGTCAAGTGGGATGACTGTTCCAACGCCTCTGGTGCGGATTGCCTTACACCCAAAGGCTTTACCTTCATGAGGCTGTCAATCGATGACGGCGCTTGGATCGACATTTACAATCTCCACACGGATGCCGGAACGGAGACGGCCGACCTCGCCGCGCGGAACAGTAATTTGAGGCAGGTGGCGTCGTACATTGACACTTGGAGCGTTGGAAACGCTGTGCTTGTGTTTGGAGACACCAACAGTCGATACACGCGCACATCCGACCAAATCTCGATTTTCAGCACCCAGAATGGCATGGCAGACCCTTGGGTCCAGCTGGTTCGTGGAGGTGTGACCCCAACGCAGGAAACTATTTGCGAAAACCCGAGCACCACGGATTATTGTGAGACGGTAGACAAGGTGTTCTACCGCGGCAGTCCCATTGTCACCCTCTCGGCGACTTCCTTCAATTACGACAGTACCAAGTTCCTCCAGGCAGATGGGAATATTCTTTCCGACCACAATCCCATCCACGTCGAATTCAACTGGTCCCTTTCCAACCGGTTCCGCCAGTCAAACTATTGGGGCGGCCCTCACGGAAACTGGTTCACCGACTTACCCACATTGAGCAGCAAGAGCGGCTCGATCAAAACTTCGGTCATTACTTTCCGCGGAGCGTCGCGTCTTGATTCAGTCGGCCTCACTCTAACAGATGGTACCAAGTTTGTGCATGGTGGAACGGGAGGATCAGAGACAAGCTTGAAGCTCGGCCAAAATGAGTACTGGACCAGCGCGGTACTCTGTCAAGGGCAGAAGGACGGCCGTACGCGCAACTTCTACATTCAAGCTACCACCAGCGCAGGTAACAAGGTCTCCGCTGGAAGCCTGACGTCTGATTGCAACACGTTCCAGGCTCCCGCGGGATGGCAGATTGTCGGGTACATGGGCCAGGATGGAGATGAGATTGATCAACTAGCCTTTATTTACGCGCCGCAGTAGTTTAGGCGATGCTTAATGGATGATTTTGTCTAGGGATAAACTTGAGGAGATATCTTCTCGTTCTGTAAAGGGAAGCAGCGAGCGGCGGCCCGCTGCCTATCACGCCTGTTTTGAGTTCATTTGCGTTGGTAATAGGGAATCAGGTCAGCATCGTTGATCATTGATACTGATGACTCTCTGGATCGTCGCCTGGGTCTCCGACGAATGTGCTTCGTGCATTGTATTCTGCACTGATTCAGGGCCTCCAGTGCCCTCTAAATATACTGAAAACTCCCCTTTAATAACTTCCGAGTCGTTTCGTTCATTATGAGAGAGGACAATAGGAGGCAATAACCTCGACCAACAAATAAATCAAGTCCAAGCGAAGAATAATGCCAAGCACACTAACATCGGGGAAAGCAACATGATGGGAGCAACTAACCCGAACAGACGCTGGGGTGGTGGCTTCGACAAGGGTTTGGGTGGCCTAAGTGCACTCTGACAGCGGGGATATATTGGATGTCAAGTTACATACGAAGGCCTTTGTCCTCCGGTTGTAGCATTCACAAATTCCATGGAGGAAGTACTTCGTATTATTGCGTTACATGCAGACTGCCACTACCGACTCGGAAGACAAGATTGCACCTTGGAAATGTGAACTCGTACAAGGCAGGCGATGTCTTTGCCCGCTAAATGAGTGAGCTCTTGCACGGATGAGCGTTACCATTTCCGGAACAGGACATCGGCCCGCTTGGGGGTTCTGCAGTCAGGGTCAGGGGTCCGTCTTTCTGCATCCCTGGGCCCATCAAGGTCCAGGTATGTCGAATGGAGCATGAAGTGGTGAAGTTGCCATCACCAGCCCCGCAGGCAGATCATCCATTCCGTCAAGAACCATCGATTTTCTCCATCATGTACGACACTTGGAGTGGGAAATGTCCAGGGTTGGCAAGGATAATTTCGTCGAATGCATCTCATTCTGTTTAGAAATGCGGGCAAAGGATAACTTGAGAGACCCCTTTGCTGCGTGCGGGACCATCGGAACTCGTCCCCTGCCCATGACAGGAAATTAGCGCCCTTACATGGTTCCATTAATCTTTCATTCCCCCTCTTCCACCCTGCCTCCTGTCCTCTGGTCCTGAACAAAATGAATCCTCGGCTTGCCAATCACAGTCGGACTTACATGACGTCTGCAATGAAGTTGAGGCGGTCGTCCTGCCGTCCCAATACCATTGCAATTCTGCAGCATCCCCCACTTTCCAACTCTCTCGCCCTTCAGGTCTGGCAGTGGTTGCCGTCCAGTTTACCCATGACAGGAAGCGCTCCTGGGTACCTCCATTCTCAACTCTGGTGGCATCACTCGGTACTTCGTATCACCTACGACGTATTCGCTCAATGGTACTGCTCTCACCTGGGGTGATTAAATTCTTTGTTCCCGGTTTACTGAAAATACTACGCTGTCCAGAGGCCTGAGTGAAATAATGCTGCACGAAACCCCTCCCCGACCTTTCCTTTTGCATCTCCCCATGTGCCAGCTCTTATGGTCTATTTGCCTGCATCACTATTCGTACTTACGTTCTCCTGGTTCCACACTATGCTATTGCAAACTTTCACTCTTCGGTCAACCAGGATTCGTTCGTCACCCGACACTCGGCAATTACCCCGACCATCAGCCATTATCGCTCGGCCCCATATACATAACAGATATTCGTGCAGCGGACAAGGATCGAACCACATAGCCAGACAGCAGTCATGGAAGGAGGGCCTGCATACCCGGGACGGGCCACGGAATAAGCGGTGTGGGGAAATCGCTTGGAGGTGGAGTAGAGCTGTCCAAGATAGATTCCATTTCCGTCACTCTTTTGTTCGGCCGGGAAAAGCATTTAATACCCGGCGAGGGGGAGGTTTTTTTTTCGATTTCTGAGTCCGGGTGTCATTCGGGCACCTGCACGAGAAAACACTCCTCAAACAATGACGTTGCCCATCGCATTACTTCTTTCTCTTGCTGCTTCGGCGACTGCCCTGTCGCACGTCGCCGTGAAGCGCCAGATTTCGGAGCTTGGCGAGAATTATGACTTCGTCATAGCCGGTGGGGGAACTGCCGGTTTAACCATCGCCGATCGCCTAACCGAGGCCTTTCCAGAAAGTAAGTGCCACATTTTCTTCTCTCTTTTCTTTTTTTTTTTTTTTTTTTTTTTTTTTTTTTTTTGCTCCTTTTTTTCTTTCTTCGTGAAAGTTGTGAAGGAACTAATACCCATTTGCTTCTTTTCCCTCCCCTCTCCATAGAAACCGTCCTCGTCATTGAATATGGCGAAATTGAGTACGCGCCAGGGACGTTTGATCCTCCCCTGCTTGTCTGGGGCGGCGCAGGTGCCTCTGCTTCAAGGTGGTTCTTCGAATCCCTGCCGAACCCGGATGTGTTGAACAAGACAGCAGTGGTTCTAGCCGGCCAGGTCGTTGGCGGTAGTAGTGCTGTGAACGGCATGTTCTTCGATCGCCCGTCCCGCTGGGATTTTGAGGCATGGGACCGGATTCTCAGCCCTGAATGTGATGACGACGAGAAGTGGGATTGGAATAGTATCTTTCCATTTTTCAAAAAGGTAAGACAAGAGAGGAGCCGTGATCAAGTGTAACGCATTGAACGAGAAAGGATTGAAAATATGGGAACAAGTGGAGGGGGCCCGGGAGAGGTCGAGAAGTAGCAATCATAGAAACTAACCGATCGTAAAGAGTGTAACTTTCACCGAGCCATCCGCCGCCGCCGCCTCAGAGCATGGCTACACCTGGGACCTGGCTGTCTACCCGGGCACCACTCCGATTTACTCCAGCTACCCTCCCTTCCTCTGGGGCGACCATAATGTGGCGAGGGATACATGGATCGACATGGGGATTCCCGTCCTCCAAGAGTGCGCGGGTGGTGACAAGAACGGCCTCTGCTGGATCCCAATCTCGGAGCACCCTGTCACCTCGAGACGATCCCACGCCGGTCTTGGACACTACGCCGCCGTCAACGAAACAAGGAGTAATTACCACCTCCTCATCAAGCATCAGGTGACGAGGGTGCTATATCCTGATGGGCTCCAGAGCGGACCGCCAATTGTCGAAGTGAGGGATCGAAGTGATGATAGCCTGTTCAACGTGACGGCCGAGGCCGAGGTTATTCTTTCGGCTGGCACTTTCCATACGCCAACAATCCTGCAGCGAAGTGGCATCGGCCCAGCATCGTTTCTCGCTGATGCGGGTATTCCCCTAGTTCTTGACCTTCCGGGGGTTGGGTCAAACTTCCAGGACCATTCCGGTCCTGGCTTCACGTGGAACTGTAGGTTCTCTGAAATCCTGGCATGGAGGACGGCCCAGTTTGCAATATGGAGTTAGGAGGGACCGCTAACGGAAGACTGTGTTTAATAGACACCACCCCAGGAGACTGGTCGCCATTACCTTCCGACATGTCTGACCCTACCTTTGCCGCTGATGCCACTGCTGGATTCGATGAAACACCGGCTCGAGGACCGTACACGCTGGCAATGGCCAACAGCGCACTCTTCCTCTCGCTTGCCAACGTTACCGACGACTACCTGACGATCGTCAACAAGATCCGCGACATGGTCGACGACGACTCGGCCGCGTCGTACCTCCCAGCCGAGTACAGCTCTAATCCCGAAATGGTCGCTGGATACAACCACCAGCTCTCTGTGCTTGCCGACTTTTACGAGAACCCTGAAGCTCCGAGTCTCGAATGCCCATTCGCCACGGGTAACTCCATGCGCGCCGTCATGCTACATGGGCTAAGCCGCGGAACTGTGCGTCTCGATCTCACGAACCCTCTCAATCAACCCATTGTGGATTACCGCTCGGGATCCAACCCCGTCGACTTCGATCTGCACCTCGCCCATCTCAAGTACCTCCGCGGCATGTTTGATACTCAGACCATGGAAGAATTCGGCGCAGTTCTCGTAGCGCCCGGCGCCAACGTCGTGAGTGATGAAGATCTAACTCAGTACACCAAGGAGAACATGGTGTTTTCGTTCATGCATCCTTGCTGCACTTCGGCCATGATGCCGAAAACGAAGGGAGGTGTCGTCGGACCGGACTTGAGGGTTCACGGTGCGGCTGGCTTGAGGATTGCGGACATTAGTGTATTACCGTTGACACCCAGCTCGCATACCAGTGCGGAGGCCTATGCCATTGGAGAGAAGGTGAGTGAATAGACGGGTTCCAAGGAAGAGGGAAAATACGCAAGTTTCAGCTAACAGAGATTACTAGGCGGCCGACATCATAATCAATTATTGGACCTGACTCATTTGAGTGATCTGAATGAAATACGAATTCCGAATAGGGGTGGGTTGCCAAGACGAAACTCCCCGCAGATCAACGTCCTTGACGGTGATCATAGTGGCCTGGTATCGGGATCATCGGCATTACAGATGCAAGCACCAACAAACACCCTTTTTAGGACGTCGTTCTCATCTAGCCTGTATGGTCGCAATTTACGCTGTCATCGCTAATCTTATTTATTGTTTGGATTTTTACTTGACTTTTTTCCTCTGATTGTACCTTTGTCAAGAGAATTACCTTGCCACCTCACCCAGAGAAACTACGCCGTGCCATGATTTCGACACTCCTTCGGGCGTCTTCCCTATACATAGGTACCTTTTCACATAGATAACTGTCGTTCAAAAGAGTCCCTGTCGAGAATTGAGTCTGGGGACTCGCAGCAGGCACCCTTGTCAGGAGGTGGCGCCGGCGTTACGAGCTGTGCCAGTCTTCTTCCTTTTTGGGGGTTGCAGCATGCCCGATGCGGATACACCGACATGTCAGCGCCACACCGACGGTTTGATGCCCCGAAGACAGTGCCGGTTGTCAGAAGTGAACGTCCTAATTTGCCCCGTGCTCTGCAAATGGGGGCTCCTGGTACCCATCGCCAGCACTGGAGCCGCTGTGAGCAACGGGTCTGGTCTGTTCTTAGCCTGGCTGTTTGGACTAGACTAAGGGTACCCTGTCGGACATCAGTAACGAACTAAACTCCAAAGAGCCTGGGGTTGCGTTTCGTTGAGCACGGCTGCTCATGACAGGCGGAAGTTCGATTAGTGATGCAATCACCACCCACCATCAGATATAGGTTTATCAATTACTGGTGCCCGAAGATACGGCCGAAGTTTCGTAGAATCAGTGGTGTGGTTTATAGATCGCTCAATCCCCAAGATAGAAAAAAAAAAAAAAAAAAACCCCCTCGATAATGACAAAATCCCCAATACCCAGCCCGGGGACTACCTAGTCCCAGTTCAGTCCCTCCTAGTTCCTAATGTGCCCATCCGTTTCCGAAGCCAATAGAATACAATGCATGCGAGATAATTACAGCCCATGGTGGATTCCTGAGTACAAAACGGCGCCTTAGTGATGTTGGCTTGTCGACTTCGCATCAGTAGTACTCGACGAAACGTCCGGCGTCGTCTTCGTCGACCCACCCCAGCAGGCAGAGTCCGCGGAATCAGGGCCTGAGTTGCTAGCGGTGTCGCTCCCTTGCCCTAGCCCGGACAACGACCTTAGAGATTTCAAGCCTCTCGTCGGTATTTTAAACGTCGGCAAGCCCATCCGTTTCAGAACCCTCTCCACAGGACACTTGAGTAGTGGCGCGCAAGCGGCCATGATGATCGCCGCCTCCTCCATGCGACACCAGAAGAATTCCGGTAGGAGTTCATATAGTCCGTCCGGACCTCCATAGTTGTACGTGAGGACGTGGTAGAGCTTGGGGATGCCGATGGCGGTAGCAATTAGGGACGAGGCCATGAGAACGTAGATGAGAGCTTTTTCGACGACGGAGCGGGTTAGGTGACGGAGGAGGAAGAAAGGAATCGTCGCGCAGATGAAGTCGCTAATCATGGCAGAAGCTAAGTAGGTCGGTTGAGTAATGTTTAGTTCGATCCCTGCTGCGATGAATGTAGACAGTTGAACGAAAGAGCGGACCTACCAAAGGACATGAAGGTGAATCCCCAGACGTGACTCTTGGGAAGACATTTGCTGTCGTTGGGGGATATTCCAGTAATGACCGAGTTGCACTGGATAAACTGCGAGAGCTCGTAGACAAGGACAACCAGGGCCTGCAGCACGATTGTCCCCTTGAGGGCCCATCTCCACAGCCGGCTCGTCGTAAGTCGTAGGAGCAGACACGCAATCGACACCCTCGCCAAGCAGGACGCCGGCACGCCCGACATGAAAACGCCCACGGTATATCGCCTGATGAGGCCCCGGTCATCCGGACTGATGTAGATATTGTGTCTTCCGAACCCTCGGGATATCGCCGCCGTCATAAATGCAACCGAAATCGTCTTCGCTATCTGCGAAACATCGAATGTTAGAATCTATGTCCCAATAAATGGAGGAATGGTTTCCAAGCCAGTTAAGAGGTTTGGTTTGGCAGGAGCACTCACCAGCGCAGCCGTTATCGTATACTCTGCAGCAGTAAAGTCGAATTTCCTCGAGGGTCGGGCGCAGAGACGAATGATGTAGATGATTGTCGTCAGGGCCCATAGGGACCAGACAATCCCCAAGAGCATCGGGCCTTTGTTGTCATTTGGTAGCACATCCTCACTCTCCATGACAGATCGAAGCTTCGTAGGTTCAAGAACAAAATGGGGAGGTCGTCATCGTCTTTCATTCCCGTTGAATACTCAGCTGGTTTGGAAACCCGACTTGTCGGGGCCGATCATGATCGAGACCAAGCAGCAGTTTCAGGGAAGGAGCTCCGAGGGAGTGGGAAGGGACGCTGGTAATATTAATAGCCGCCCGCGGACCAAGATTTCTGCAGGGGTTTGGCCGTCGGGTCGAGTGGAACTCAAAGGACGGGAAGAGCGTAAATTCCTAGGGCGTAAATAGAGTTTGAGTCGTCTTGAATTAGATCTTGGGAAATGACCAAAGGCTCGCCGTCCAGTCCTGCACGAGTGTTGGAGGCACACCCGATCGACCGGTCAACTGTGGGTTTAGCATTAATTAGCATGGCTTGGCATGGCTCGGCCTCATCCAGGTAAGGGGACAGGGACACGGACCTTGCTGTCCACCAGCGGCGGCCCGCGGAAGCAGGGGTTTCTCTCCCCGCCCCTCCGAACGCTGATCCCTGCCGTTCTTGGTGAAATGTCCGGCAGGGGCGGATGTTCAACACGGGAGCTGTCCATTGGCCAACTATTCCATGCCGCATTTTGCCTCTCAATGTCGACGGATCTAAAATTCAATAAGCCAAGATGGAGGGAGGGATATGGAGCGGTATGTGTGGAATCTTTGGAGTCTTGACCGGTGTTTGGCTGGGAGAGTATGGCAGCACTCGATTTACAAGTCACGATGATAGGACTGCAGAACGTGGGATGGCTTCGAGGACTCTATGCTCTGAATATAATAGGAACTATGATTATTTCACAAATTGTTTGCTCTTGAGCGGGACCCATTGTCCAGTCCATCAAAAAAGTGATGCAGATTCTCGAGCTGGGCAATACTTGTAAACCGAAAATTTCCCTCTGTGCACTTAATTGAATCCTTTATCCTAGTAGCAAATCTCGGTCTATAATTGAGCTATATGTTTTAATGAATCCGGCGGACTGGATATGGACGTTGGAAGCTGTGGCTGTCTATGCTCAGTGGTGATCATAAGCTAGAGCAACATCACACGATGCCTAAGGTTGTTTTCTGTGCAAATAGTACTCGTTGATTGGTGAGGACAATCCTAGACTTAGAAGTAAATATAGTAGAAAGAAATCACGGAGTACATGAAGTAGGGCAATATGTTGAATTCGAACAGTAAGACAATGTTGAACGTCACAATGTATATGGGGCTTGGTCGACCCGCCCGTCCCCGGCACGCAGCGCCCCATAATTCACTCTGCTGGGGGACTGCCAAGGAGTCCAGTCCATCCATCCAGTGATGACTCTACTAAGATATCAAACCCGTTGATCCTAGAAGTTCGGTAGTAAACGACTTTTCAATGTGCACCATGATATTGTCAACAAAAAGGAGGGGTTGGTTCGTACGTGGCGCCCTCAGCACCGTTTTCACTCATGAAGAGAATGAGCGTGTTATCGTACCGGCTTATCACCCTGAGGCGCTCGAGAACGAACCCGATATTCTAGTCTATTCGGCCGACCATGCCGACATACACTTCTATTGCGTGGTCCGCGCCTTCCGCGCGTTCTCGGAGACTTCATCCCAAGTCTGAGGTTTCCATCCGTAATAACGACTAGGTGAGGCGTGAGCCTTGAGTTTCGTCAACCGCCTCTGCCGGAGAGCTTTGAGGCTATCGTCGTACATGCCCAAGTACGCGTCGCAGGCCTTCTTGGGCACCTAAAACCCCGAAGAGGGGGGCTGAAGGGCAAATAGGCGAGAGAGGGACGCGCACCTCCGAGCTTCTCTGCGTACGCATCGCTGCTGTAAAATTTATCGGGTAGCTCGGCTCAGATCCTGTCATCATCGGCGTGGAGGGCCCGTGTCGCGGACTCGAAGAAACCCGCGGAATTGATCGGAATGGCGGGATAGCACCATCGACCCTCAACTCGGGATTCTTATTTACCTCAGATCAACCCGGGCCCTAAATTCTTGGCAAGACAAACCCGCGGAATTGATAGGAATGCTGCGATATACCTGAGATCGACTAACGGGCTGGGATTCCTTCAACCCTCGGCATTACGCATTATGAAGCCCGCCTGAAATGATGGCTATAAGGACATCAAGTGCGATACCGGCTCGGTCAAACTTATATCTTGGAGTGTCATTGAAACCTAACTCCCTGAGCTAGCACTGCGTCAGCTTTGTCGACCCTCTAGCACACCATGATCGCATACATCGTCGTTCCCGCCGCATTGGGCGCTGCAATACTGTTGATTAACTACTTGTCCCCCAAAGATCTACTCTCGCACGTGCCGACGCACAGTTTTGCGGGGGACAACTCGCGAAAACGCTACATGACGGATCTCAAGTCGCTGCTCGAGTCAGGGTATAGAAGATACAATAAAGCGGGACAGGCGTTTAAAGTGACAATTCCGGTCGGCGGTTATTCCGTCAAGTACCGCGTAATCCTCCCCAAAGATCACCTGGAGGAGATCAAGCATCGGTCCAACGACGTCTTCAGCTGGCAACTCGCGTCTAGGGTCATCTTCGCGCAGGACTACACGGGCGCGCCAGACCGCGGTCCGTGGAGTGGCAAGGCACTGCGGGTCGGCATCCACCAGAACCTCAAGGACATCACGGCCCGCCTGGAGCGCCGGATCAGCGACTACTTCGATGACAACCTTCCGCAGCGGAAGGGCCAGGTCGCCTCGGTTGACTTCATGGGCTTCTTCGTCCCGACAATCACGCACGTCACCAACGCGCTCCTGGTGGACGAGCGGCTGTCTTCCGACCCGGAGTGGGTGAGGCAGACGTCCGAGTTCGCCGTCAACCGCTACGGCGCTGCCGATGACGTACGTCAGTGGCCGCCGTATCTCTCGGCGCTGGTCGCACCCTTCATCCCATCCGTCAAGAGACTGCGCCAGCAGCGCAAGTATGTCATGGACAAGATGAGGCCCGTTTACGAGGATCTCAGGGCGCAAGGCCTCCTCGAAAAGAAGAGCCGGAGGAAAGGGGCCTTCGGATACGAATGGCTCTGGAGCGGTTCACCGGACGATGTCACGCTCCAGGACTTCTCCGACACCATGATGAGGACCCTGATTGCCTCGATCCACACGACGGCTAAGACGATTAGCGTGGCTTTCGTCGACCTACTTACGCGACCAGATCTCTTCGAGGAGCTGAAGACCGAGGCAAGGGAAGCGGTTGACGAAGACGGCAGCGTCGATCTAGAAAAGCTTGTAAAATTGGACTGCTTCTTGAAGGAGTCGCAGCGCCTTAGCCCTGTGTTCCTCCGTAAGTGGCCGTTTTACCCGAGGGATCGTGATGCAAAGTAGTGCTATACTGACTCTAGAGCTTAGTCACGATGAATAGGATGCTGACCGAGGATTACGAGTTCAAATGCTCCGGCCTGAAGCTGCCGAAGGGCACCATGATAATGGCACCCGCAGCAGCTATCGCGACGGACCCGGAGACGTTCCGGGATGCCAATGCCTTCGACGGGCACCGCTACCTGCGCATGCGCGAGGACCACAAAGAGTCGGCGAGCTCGCTGGTGTTGGGAATGTCCACGATTGACTCCCTAGGTTTCGGGCTGGGTAACCAGGCATGCCCGGGTCGGTTCCTGGCTGTCAACAATCTCAAACTGATGATGGCCAAGCTCATGGTGGGATGGGACTTGGAAATCGCTAAGAACGGCAGGGAATACTCGGGGCCACCGCCTCAGATGGAGTACAACGATTTTTCCGTTGTTCCGCCTGGAGAGTTTAGCATGTGCTTGAGAAAGCTGTAGAGCTAGGCCATAATGAAGCATGAAAGTGCATACCCATGTATCAGAGAAAGAATGATTAGAACTCGTTGTACTCTCACTGTTCATGCGTCACTCACACTTTGCAAAAGTTCGCGTAGAGTCTGTTATTGGGGCTTCGGCCACAGAATGCAGGCGTACTTTCGTGAGATTGTATGGGAAACAAGACTAGGAACATAAAGGCTACCCAAACGTGACGGAATGGTATTTCTACGGCATCGCCACCCTCGCTCCAAAGCGCCACCGAACATTGGACTTACGAGTCGCTCCTCATAGTGAAGATTCAAACGACCCCTCAGCCTTCTTAGCATTGCGTTTCTGCTGAATCTTCAAGCTACGTCACTCTGTCTAACAGGCTCTCCTACATTAAGTGTGTTTTCCCAATCAGTCATCTATTTTTGTACTAAAGCTGTTGATTTTACTACAGCACAAACGCCTCCAGCGTGTTCGGGGCAAATAGTTCCTCGGGCTTGAACCGCCTTGCTGCGAGCCCTTGACTGTAAGAATACTCAAGGAATTTCTCAATAACGTGCCTATTCTGAGCGAAACCGTCTTGCCAATACCGCTCTTCCCCCATGTGGCTTGTGGTCTCGCGCACATGGTCCTCGAGCCAAGGGAGCATGTAGCGTAGGGCCGACCGATCCCTCAGAGCATTTTCAGCCACCTGCATAGACCGCGCAAATGCCTTTTGCAGGGACCTGGCAATCCAAGGGTTGCTCTCGTATACAGAACGCTTAACAGCGATGACGTGCATGATGGGGAATATCTTTGTTCGCCGGTAGTAGTCGGCCTCGACGTGCTTGAAGTGTGGGAAGAGGTATGTGCAGTGATCGCAACGGTCGACGCTAGAAGGCTTTGAGGCGCTAAAGATGGCGTCGATCTCGCCGTCCTCGAGCATTTGGGACAGGTTCTGGCCGGGCTTGATGGCGTTGACCCGCACGCCTGGCGGTAGAGAATGAGGGACTTTGCTCTTGCGCTCCTCGCTGGAAGGCTCCATGGCGCCGCTGAAGAACTCAACCTCGGTGATAGGGACCCCGAACTCTTCCTCCATGATTCCACGCTGCCATACTGCGGCCGTCACTGATTTGGTCCTGGTTAGTTTCTTTTTGGCATGGCTAGGTCAACTATGGGAGAACATTCATTCACATACTTTGGTACTCAGGAGTGCCGATACGCTTGTGTCGCAAATCTGAAGGCTGTCTGACACCCGAATTCGTGTTGATGTACATAGATTGATGCCGAAAGAAGCGTGATGGGAAAACCGGCAATGCGATGAAGGGAGGGTTGTCCTGGTTGAGGGTGAGGACGTACGAGGACAGGGACAGCTCCGAGACATCGAACTCGTGAAATCGTAGCTGTCTGAAAAACCTTGGGGGAGATGAGATGGACCTGGGATCGTATCAGGAGACTCAAGGAGTGGGCGCACATACGTTTCTTCAACGCGGTAGTTCAAAAAGTTCAATTCGATTCCTTCTGCACATACCGATCCATCCTCTATAGCCTTCATGCGGTCGTAGTCCCAACATGCAAACGAGAGTTTAAGGACCATCTTTGATTGGAGCTGCAGTCTTACGCGGCGATGAAGACAAAGCGAAATAGGAGGTTTAGCTACTTATTGATAGCTGGAAGAAGGTGCCATAAGCAGATGCTCCCTCCCGGAAGCAAGCAATACGTCGCACTTACTTATACTCCAATCGGAATGATCCCTGTTACCCCAGATCCGCCGGCCACAGACCTCCACGCCCAATCCTGATGGTACCCCCGCATTCGGCTAAGGGACTATTAGGGGCGAATTGTACCCCGCATTCATGGTTAAATAAGGCAAGATTCCGTCCCGCGGCAAGTTTCTGCGAGATGCAGACTTATTGCTTGGTTATGCTTTGCTCGGAACCGCTCCGCCATGTCGGAAGTCGAAGGGTTACCGCGTAAGAAGAGCCGGCTGGGGTTCAGGAGAGCCTGCATTCCTTGTCGTCAGAGGAAGCATCGCTGCGACGGAGCAAGCCCAAATGTCTGGGTTGTACCAGTAAGGGGCTTCGGTGCCAGTATGGTCCCTCCGAGCAGACGTAAGGACGACTCTATCTTCTCAAGGCTGTCCCGTGATTGCTAATAAGCTGTTCTAGACGAGATGATTTCATTGTATCAGGAGTAGCGGCGACACCGCAGCATCATCATCATCATGCAAACGGCAACCGCCTCAGCCGCCACGAGGAAGACAATGAGTTAGGGCAGACACGTCCGCTAATGGAACCTAGCCTGAGCCCTCACCAGCCGACTTCTAGTTACCCAAGAGATCCAGCTCATAGAAGCCCGGCTGAAGAACGGGAGCGGCAATCCGGCAAATCGATCTGGTCCGGCAGTGGCAGTTGCAACACACAAAGTCCGGCGCCTCAGACCCCATCGCAACCAAATGGATACTTTGGCGATTCGTCCTCCTTCAGGTTTGTGTCAAGGATCAGAACGGGACATCATGCGGGGGCCAGTAAGCAGATACCACCTGTTGAGGTAAGGCAGTCAACACGACGTTTTACTAGTTGTATCTTTACCCAATGGGCCTGCTCCTGACACCGAATATCCGTAGGCGCTGCTTTCGAGGGAGCCGCTTGAGTCCCCGAACTCCCTTGTCCGGGGCGATTTTCATTGCGGGATTGGGCTTCCGCCGCACGAACTCGCCGACCGACTGGTGGATGCGTATTTCGAGCATGTCCACGTGCTCTACCCCTTCGTGCACGAAGGCAGCTTCCGGGCCCGGTATGAAGCGTTATGGGCGAGGGGCATGGACAACCAGGTTGAACCTTCCGTCTGGCTGGCCATCGTCAACCTTGTTTTTGCCTATGGGCACGAGTTCTGCGCGCAGCAACAGGACAACTTTGCCACGCTGGCGGCTCCCTTCGTCGACCGCGCCAAAGCCATCGTCCTCTCGCACATGTTCACAAGCACAAACCTCCATCTCGTCCAGGCGTTGCTGCTGCTGTGCCACTACCTTCAGGGGACGCTTCAGCTGAACGAGTGCTGGAATCTCGTCGGTCTGATGATACGGAGTGCTGTCAGCATCGGGCTCCACCTGAACCCTGCCAAGGACGAGTCGCTCTCGACCGTAGAGAAGGAAGAGCGCAAACGCGCTTGGTGGGGCTGCTTCGTCCTGGACCGTACCCTGAGCATGAAATTTGGCCGTCCGCCCTCCATAATCTTCGACAACGCCAAGGATGTCGACCTGCCATTAGAAGTGGATGATCAGTACATCGACGAGACCTCACTCACTCCGAGGCAGCCCTGGGGACGCCCTCCGCGGCTTTCTTTCTTCGTCCATACGATCAAGCTGTCTGAAATAATCGACAACATCCTGCACAGGTTGTACGATACCAGCAGAAGGTCTCAGATGGAGTCGAACCAGAAACTGTGGTGGTCGCACAGCCCTGAGGATTCAACAAGATTGGGAAATGCCGTGCTCCTGGATGGTCAACTGCAGGCCTGGTGGGATGCTATGCCTTCGCATCTCAAGGATGAGCCGGACCCCTTGGACGGAAGAGGCTTCCGGCGCCAACAGCTTGTGATGCGTATAAGATTCCTCCAGATGAGATTGCTTTTACAGCGGCCCTCGTTCATGCTCTTTCGTAAGAACGAAATAAAGGACGATTTCCTCAGGGGCGTGGCCCTTTCTGCATCCCAAATCTGCATGTCGGCCGCACGGGAGACAATCCGGCTCATTCATCTTCACTATGACAAGCAGTTGTTGAACTCGCTTTGGTACAATCTGCACTGTAAGTTGAGCGCCACGTCCAAGCACCTTGACCTTGACAACATATGTCATGGAGGCTGAACTCGTGGACTGACATTAAAACAGACGTCTTCACCTCGTTGGGTGTCTTGGTTACTGTGCAGACGATGGAAGCATCGCTGCGAAAGTTGTTGTCGTCCAGCGAGGATGCACAAGCATTGCGCTGCGGCATGGAGTTCCTGCGGTCGGCGAGTCGTAACAGCATCCTCGCCTCTCGCTATATTGCCATGCTCTCCAGGCCTAATAAGATTCTGACTCCCCAGACTTACAATGGAAACAACCATGCGGTCCAGGGTCAAGTTCTAGGGCACCACACAGAACTCGGCAGCGATGGCACCGGCACTGCTGTCGACGACGAGGTTGTAATCACAGGCACCAGCACAGGCGCAGGAGCACAAGGAAACGGGGTGCGGGAACAATCACCATCTCAGCAGGGAGGGTTAGACGGATTGGGTAACGACTTTGACTTTGCACATCTTGATTCTATGTATTCATATGAGCTACTGTTTGGTACGGGCTTGCCGCAGGAGTTTGTCTCGACAGATTGGCCTTCATACGAGGCTATGATACAGCTGTAACTCACGGTCTCCCTGCAGTCTAATAGGCAGTTCACGTCACCAGGAGTCACCTTGTACCGGGAAATAAGAGCTATAGATTTGGCGATCTATCCAGCTAAGGAAATGGGAGTTCATGGGGTAGTCCTGTTCCGATTTTGACAAATTCGTGAGAGTCTCTTGCGAGAGCAACATACAAAATCGCCCCAAATTGTGACGCTAGTATTTGCAGAACAGGCCCGGCACTCCCGCACGGTACCTTTGGCTACTCTGCATCTGTGGGACTCGGTACTTAGTGCGTGAACTAGGGCCCTCCTATGGAGGACATAACCTGGCGGTATATGCATCAAACATAATAAACTCGTACTAAATGTATTAAAGCTACCACCCCTAAATGTTATAATAGACCATCACTACGAGCGCTAAAATGCGCATGATCGGAATCATTATAGACGGCGTAGAAAATTCATCCTCGTGAACGAAGCTACTGTGAACATAAATTATACGGTGCTAATGATAGGGATTCATCTCGCCGCGGCGTTTGAGCGATGCCGCGGGAAGTGGCACGGACCCGCGCATAGCTTCTCCCGGCATGATGTCAAGGCCAAGCTCCGCACTTTTAGTCGCATTTAGAGGATGGGTGGCTTGGATCCTCCCAATAAACTGTCCCCGGAGGAGAAATCCACAGGCTAGCTCACCGAGCAAACCCGTAAGGCCATCCTCATCCTTCCCCACCTGGCAGTCCCACAACCCGCACCACTGATACGCTGCGGGGTGGTTGTGGAATTTGCCAAGAACGACTAGGAGGGGATGTAATCCGGGGAAAGGTATCCAGGGTTGGCGTTAACTTCCTGCAAGGCAGTACTTATACTACTGTGGACAACCCCCAGTTCTGGTCTTCGTATCGCGCACTCTCCACTACCATTCCATCATTACTGTTTTCCCAAGTTGACCTTGAACTACCTTGGTTGCCCTCTCATTGCCTAAACATGCTTGAAGAGACCGAAAAAAGAGTTGCGGCTGCCACCAAGACTTTGGCTGAACCCGTGGGTGCCCCCGAGTCCGACATTATCAAGGAGTTCAAGTCGCATGGAACGGTTGACCATGTAGAAGACGGCAAAGCAAACGGAAAATACGGTAAATATCGCGCTGCCGGACTCTCGGAAGACGATGCTGCATTTCTAGCAGGCTTCAGCCCCGCGCAGGAGAGATCCATCTACCGCAAGATCGACTTTCGAGTCGTGCCTTTACTGTCACTGCTCTATCTGATTTCGCACCTCGACCGAGCCAACATCGGTGAGTGAGAATTTTGATTATCCTTCCTTCTTAGTCTCTGACGTGTGGTTTGTGTTTAGGCAACGCCAAGATTGAGGGGCTCGAGAAGAGTTTGGGCATGACTGGCTCCGACTACAATGTCGCCGTGTCCGTCTTCTTCATTCCTTATATCCTCTGTGAAGTGCCTAGTAACATAATACTGGCCAAATTCAAACGGCCTAGCCTCTACGTCGGAATGATTGTCGTCGCTTGGGGGACCGTCGTCACCTTCACTGGCTTAGTACAGAACCTCGCCGGCATCTGCGTCACCCGGTTCCTCGTGGGCATGTTCGAGGCTGGTTTCTTCCCGGGCAGCATCTGGCTGATCTCGCAGTGGTATCCACCCCAAAAGACCCAGGCCCGCACCGCCATCTTCTACCTATCCAGCGCCGCGTCGGGGGCTTTTTCTGGCCTGCTGGCGGCTGCTATTGCACAGATGGACGGAGTCGGGGGCTATGAGGGGTGAGGTTGACCCGTGTCTGTGATCTCATATTATATTTGACTTGGCTGCTAACTGCACGTTGGCGCAGGTGGCGATGGATATTCATTTTAGAGGGGATTTTGTCCGTCACCTTCGGTGTTGCGGCATTGCTTTTCCTTCCCGACACACCGGCGCTTTCTGGGAGATGGCTCAAGCCGGAGGAACAACGTTTCCTCAACCTAATGCACTGGGCGACTCGCGGGGACAACAAGCAGGAGGTCGACGAAGGGCGCAAGAAGACACCCTTTCGGTGGTCCATACTCAAGCAAGTTGTTACAGACCCTCACCTATACCTCCAAGCCCTGGTGCAGGCTTCGAACACGGTCCCCAACAACGGTCTCAAGTTCACCATGCCGCAGATCATTCGCAACATGGGCTTCACTTCCACCCGTGCCCAGCTCTTGAGCGCGCCACCCTATTTCAGCGGGGCCATCGCCGCCGTCATTTCCTCGATATGGGCGGACAGGCATTCACGCCGCATGCCGCCCATTCTCCTTTTCCAAGGCCTGGTAATCATCGCCATGGCCGTCCTCTTTAGGTATGCGTCGAATATCGACACGCAGGTCGCGCTCTGCTACTCTATGGTTGTGCTGGCCTGCATTGGTGTGTACCCCATCGTGCCGGGTGTCAACGCCTGGACCATCAACAATCTCGCCGGCCCCGAGAAGAGGTCTATGGGCATCGCCTTTGTGGTGACCATGACCAACATCGGCGGTTTCGTAGGCAGCTGGACTTTCCTTGACAATGAGGCCCCTGAGTATCCCACCGGGTTCGGCACATCACTGGCCTTCGCCGCCGCGGGAATGGGCGCTGCCTTGCTGGTGGAATATCTTTACATGCGGCATAACAAGAGATGGGAAGGCGTCTCCAGGGAGCACATCGAGTCCACGTATACCCCCGAGCAGTTGGACAAGATGGGCGATCGGTCTCCGCTCTTTAGGTATGGTCTCTAGCTGTAGTACATGTAGGCCTCGATAGGATGCTAGGGTTTCCTTTGGGTTGCTATTCAGTTCATTACATAAGCGTCGAGGGTTCATTTTCTTCTTGGATTAAGTAGGGGGGGAAGGGGACGGGAGATGTAGCAAAGAGCGAGCAATCACCGTTCTAGATATTTACGGGCGGAGATATTCAACATTGATGGCTGCCTCGAAACCTTTCAAGTCTTGTTTATTGTTACTTCGTACTTTGTAGTTTATTTGACGTGCCACTCGCGACGCGTGCCTTATGTCATCCGCTCATATGATGCTAGCAAAACGTGCCATGAAGAAACCGGTCGTCATGAGAGTAACGAGGCTAGATTACTTCGTCGGATGTGGCTCTCAGCTAAAGCATTTGGATTGTCTTCTCTTTGAACTTGAATATTGAAGGTTTCAGGGCCCGGAGACTGGATATATGCGCTGGCTAACTATCGGCTTGCTTTTCTCTCGATGTACCTTTGCATGACGACGTCAATTAGTCACACGGTTGGCCGGTGGTACCTGGGCAGCAAGATTGTTAGGCATCACAAATTAATCACGTGATAATGATGTCGCGAGGTAGATCACGTGAAGCGGTTCTACAGATGCCCTGTGACTTTCACTCGTCAGGTTGAACAGAGTTGGGAATCGTTGTTTTGAAATCGGCCCGTTTGTGGCTTCTACAGATGTCCGTCTGTGATGCGAAATAAAGGTGTATCCTGGAGACTAGAAACCGAAGCGGTTAGCGATGGGTGGATCCGTTTCTGGCGCTTTTTGGAACTACACGTCGTCAAGCTCGCCCTTAGGCATTTCTTCGACCAGAGTCTCGTTGTGTCGATTCTTCTTCGTGTCCTTGAATGCTGCGATGGGAAATCTCATGCTGCGCGCATGGCAATCGACAATATGATAGATTCGTGAGTTACTCTCGCCGTTCTCTACGAAATGAAATAAATTGATGCTTCGTCAACCAGGCCAAACCGCCGAGCGCAACAGCAACCGAAGAAAGCTCAAGAAGTGACTCGAGGATGACGAATGGCAAGATGAATTTTACGAATCACTTTTAGATCTATTAAATGAGAGACAGATTAGGAAACTCTCGCACAGTAACTTCTAGTCTCATCCAGGGTCCAAACCTCAGACCTGCTCAACATTTGCAAACCGCCACGAGGTTCTAGAGACAATCAAAACAGCGGCAGGACGAGAGCACAAAGTATACGTGAGTACCAATACTTGACGCATGAGCCCGGGTGAGCACTCGATGGAGCTGTAGTAGATGCCATTAAAGAGCTTATTGACGGCAAACAATGAGGAACAGGGAGATGGCGCCGGTGCGAGCCTGCCCAAAATACAGGGAAGGAGCGTGTGGTTATCAAGTCATCAACAGTTTCATTCAAACGTAGCTGATTGACAAAAATGCTATCAATAGTTGGAATGAATGGATGGATTGATCTGGGATCGTATCACAGGGCACAAGGTCTTTTGAGCAGCCTCACAAGTTACCCCGCTCGTCTGCCTAAATATTCAGGTTCGTGCATATGAATCGATTGATGGTCGCACGAAATATGGGAACACATGCAGATGCAGACCTGCCTGGAGTAAACACAAAGGAGCTTAGCCTTCACATAAACCTTGCCTAGCCCGATAAAATGGAAGTAAGGCGAGAATATTCGTGGTAGCTTTGCCAAATTTTGAGAGAGCCTGCCGGCGCTACTCTGAACCTTCTGGCTGCCTCTTTTTTTTCACCCCTGCGCTCCTTCCCCAGAAATACATAATCGAACTCAGGTAGAAAATAGAAAGCATCGACCAGGGAGATTCATCTTCGCTCCCTCACAAACCTCTGCCTCTGCTACCATGGTTGTTCGCTTCGTCGCCAAACCGCGCAGCGTCTATCAGACATGACCCGTCGAAAATTTAATGCCGACCTGGCGGTCGCTGTCGACCAGCCTGTCAAGCACGTCTCGCACATCAGCAAAGGCGACGATGATGGACAGGTCGATTTCACATACGCAAACGACGCTCTCACCGCACCGCTGCCTATCCGAATGATCGCCCTAGATATCGATGGATACCCAGACTCCTCTGGTTTCCTCGCTTACACCGATTCCGAAGACGTCCCTCAGTCCCTTTTGGACGTCCTCAACGCCCTTCCGGACTCAACCGGAAGCAAATCTGTTCTTGATTCCCTACGCCTGTTGTCAAGGCAACTCACAGCGGCACTTCAGTCCGATACGGCGGGAGAGGAGTTGGGTTCTGACTTGGAAATGACTGATATGGACGCCGACGACGGAGACGAGCATTCCCCTGTGACCTCTGAGGAAGATGAGGAGGATTACGACTACAACTTCGATGACGACGACAACACAACATTTGGGCTTGAATCCACTATGCCTCGCACTTCCTCCGGATCCGGCACGAAGATAACCACTCGACTGGTTGAGGACTTGCGCAAGGCAAAGCAGGCTGGGTTCAAAGTAGGCTTGCTCACGGATCCAGACAATGGAGCCTCTGACGGTCTATTCTCTCTCTCTCTCTCCATCAAAACACTTTGCCTTCCCCAAGAAACACTGGAGGCCTGGGAAATCGAGTCGTCGGACTACCTGGTTCTCCTCTGCAGATTCGATGCGGGATATCCGCCTCTCGACACATTCGCTCAGCTCCCTCCCGGCTCTGACATAGGGATGCATTTCCGATTCGGAGCATGTGCTACCTTCAAACCCTGCTATACCAGCGCGATTTCGGCCTTTCTCTCCAAAGCGTCGACCGACAAGGGCACGACCACAACAATAGACGACGACCGGGACAATCACGCCACTACTTTCCGGCCTTTGTACGTGTCCAACTCCATCGATATGTTCATGCAGAGCGAGTTTGCGACTCTCTTGAAGCTCCGTTTAGATGATCACATTTCATGGGACGCCGCTAAAGAAAAGCTCGATTCCATGAACAAGCTGGCCCACGTCCGTGCCAACAAGAAGTCGCCGAGTGGAAAGGAGAAGAAGAAGAAGAAGGCGAAGCAAAAGAAGTGTGCGGGGGCCGACGACGAGGCTTTAGTATTGGCGTCCGCTCCATCAGTTCTGAATCAAGACTTTGTATTTGAGGATCCCAAAGTCCAGGATCCGATCCCATCACCAGCATCATCACCATCGAGTGAGCGCAGTCTCCCGTTGATCGCAATGCAATTTGCGCTACGCTATTTCGTCAAGAGCACTCAATATTGCATGGTTTGTCATAGGAAATCCTATGAAGACTTCGAGGCCATCAAGCCTTACGTTTGCGACGAGCCCTTGTGTCTCTACCAATATCTATCCCTAGGATTTGGGCCTAGCATCGAGCATGAGATCATACGTCAGCCCTGCGTCGTCGACCTCCTTATCAGTTTCTGTTACGCAGCGTTAGTTGGCAATCGACTGCGTGAATACCCGCAGGGCCTAGGCGTTAAAGTTCCGGTCCTCACCCCTTACTGCCCGCCTAACGTCACCGAAGCGGACAGCTCGGCCTCGCAGCTGCCATATCCAACCCCGAAGCCGAGTTCCTCGGGGAAAGAAGGAGCTCTGCCCAACCTCGCGACCAGCGTCCGCGTACCGGTTCGAGTGCGGATGAGCGAAGGCCAGCTTACGTTTGTCGACCCCAAGGAGCAAAGAGACCTACAACCAGGCGATATGTTCGTCTTAACCAGGCCCATCTCGGTTAAAAAGGGCGACGTGGCTGTGCCGGACGGGCTAGCGTACCACTGCCGCTCCAAAACGCTCGTATTCAACGGAACCCCCAAAACCGTGGATTTCGACTACCTCGCGTCAAGCAATCAGGATCCTCTGGTCTACCTGCCAGCGGCCGTGACGGCAACCACGACTGCGGCTGCACAAGATCTTCCTGATGGTGAAATCTTTGCTGATATGTACCTCTACGAACACGACCTCGATGAATTGCCAGAGCAACAGCAAAGAAAAGTGCTAGCTATGCTTCTGGAGACCCTGCCCCCTGTTCGGGAACTGAGAGATTTACTGCAGGTGTCCGGTTCGACCCTGTCCGGATGTCAAAGAATATCTAGGCCCGCAGCGGTTCTCCTTCGGTGGGTCGTCGCGTCCAACCGGTCCCTGATCGTGCAAATCGACGACCATCCCGGCCTCACCGGGGATGAAGACGGCAGCAATCGGAGTCGAGACAAAGAGAAGTTGGTCGGTCTGGATAAGGGATGGATTCAGTTTCGTTTCTCGCAGGCCTCTCCCGAAAAGGAGCAGCGGTTCAGTCGAGAACTCCAAGCTACGAAATCGGGGCAATCCGCTCACCCGACGATATTCTCCTGGCATGGCAGCGCTCTGGGGAATTGGCATAGCATCATTCGAGTCGGTCTTGACTACAAGGAAACCCTCAACGGCCGTGCATTCGGGAACGGGGTTTATTTCAGTAACCTTTGGTCCACCAGCGCTGGGTACTGTCACTCCTTTAGCGGCTCCGGCTCTGCAAGCTCCTGGCCCAACTCCGCGCTGCGCGTATCGGCTGCCATCAGCCTTTGCGAGATACTGAACCGAAAGAACGATTTCGTATCCGCGAACCCATACTATGTTGTTCCGAACGTTGACTGGATCCAATGCCGCTATCTGATTGTTAAGGTGGCTGACGCCCCCGATAGAAAAGAGGCGCCTGCTCCCTTAGCCTCGAAGATCCCTGGAATCTCCTATGTTTCGCAGCCCGAGGGAAGTCAGGCTATTGGTCCCAAAAACATGAAGGTTGAGATCCCTGTCCAAGCACTCTCTCGCCGGCGGTCCCAAGACCAGAAACTTGGTGTTTCGTCCTCTCAGCCGATTGTCATCGAAGATGGCGACTCAGACGACGAGTCTGATGATCTTGACAAGTTTATACAGCGTCGCGAGGAGTGCCGCCATGGCGCGGAGTCCACCAAGAAGTCTGACGTACCATCGACCTCAACTGCTTCAACCTTGAGAGAGACAGATTTTGTCCCCGGCACACTCGACGTATCCTCACTTCCGAAGCTACCGAACCCTACCTGGGCCGGCGGCAATAGCCGCAAGGTCCTCACGAGAGAGGTGGGCAAGTTACAGAAGATACAATCTCAAACACCCCTCGGCGAGCTCGGATGGTACATCGACTTCGAGAATATCGACAACATGTTTCAATGGATTGTCGAGCTACACAGTTTCGACGCCTCTCTTCCCCTCGCCCAGGATATGAAGACGCAAGGAGTCACCAGCATCGTCCTCGAAATTCGCTTCGGGAGGGAATACCCCCTTTCGCCACCATTCGTCCGCGTAATCCGCCCGCGTTTCCGACCCTTTTCTGAAAGAGGAGGCGGCCACGTCACGGCTGGCGGAGCAATGTGCATGGAGCTGCTCACGAACAGTGGCTGGAGTCCCGCCAACAGCATGGAGAGTGTCCTGATCCAAATCCGGATGGCTCTGTGCAACCTGGAACCGTTTCCGGCCAGACTTGCGAGCTCTGGAAGTTCCCAGGCTGACTACGGAATTTTTGAAGCTATCGAGGCGTATCGGCGTGCGGCTTCGGCCCACGGCTGGCAGATCCCGAAGGACCTGAACGAGACAGCCAACGGCGGATAGACCCCTCGATCAAGAAGTTAGTTAGATGACGTGATGGTAGAATTAAATAATAGACAACGTTCTTCTCTTACCTGTGGAGGTTTTATTGTTCGAGCTTCCCGGTGAGCATGTGACCATGTCATTGACGGTTCGGTGCCCCACGATGGCGTTCATGGATGATTGCGATTTGCCTGCTTGCATTTCAACTGAGTAGTAGACTGAAAGAGATGGCTTGCAGTATTAGGGAGCGAGCATCTCCAAGATGTCCCAGTATTAGGACGGAGCAATACGCGCAGATCAGACGACGGACTGCTAACATCTGTTCTAGTCTGTGTTTTCGTCTCGAGTTGTCCCTGGTCAAAGTAACAAAATGTCTTTCAAATTACTCAGGTGAGAGATTGCAACACCTCTGTAACGAGAAGAATAAAGTCGTAACGCCTCCTTCCCCATATCCTCATGATAATACTCTGCTACATTATACATGTGATCAACCAATAAACCCTGTATCTAGCGACTCGAGCCTCCTTCATCCCCGTAATAGGTATCCGAATTGACACTCTACCAGATTATGTCCTGACTCTTCCTACTCGGGCACTCGTATGTGTTCAAGAAAGCGCGAGACAGGCAATTTCCATCCATCTTCGAATTTTCTCATGACATTGCAGAGGCTATCAACAAGCGCCCTTGCTACCTCGGCAGAAGTAAAGTGCGAGTTGGTCTGGAGCTTGATATGCAGATGACCGCCTTTCGGGTGCGATATTAAGCTTAGGCCCGCATTCGCCACGCGGTAATTGTCGAAGAATTGCATTCTGCAGGTCGTTCCGCCGAAATCGAACTCGGGATGCTCGTCAATGTTGGCATGATGAAGTACGCAGTCAAAGTCCGAGTCAGCCGGCCAGTCGGTGCAATGCTCCAAGATATCGTCGAATCCGAGGGAATCTGCTTCTCCCATTTCGGTAAACTGTTTTTGGAGCGATTCTAGCAACTCGATTGGAGTAACAGATGGCGAGAGCTTAGCACGTACTGGGATGATCGTGAGACATGGTCCAACCACGGTATCGATCCCCTGCATCGCGGAGTTCCGGCCGGTTACTACGTGCCCGTAGGCAAGGTCCTGAAGACCCGTGACTTGGCATAGAATCAGAGCCCATGCTACATTGACCAACATGGCGGGCGTAGTTGAACCGGGGAGATGGGGCAAGGCCACTTCGGCTTCAGCTGCAATTGGTTGAAGTCCCAACACTCCCTCAACTGCGAGAGCCTGAAGCCCTGACACTGGCCCAGTTGCCTTGGGGTTTAGCTGAGCCGATACAGGACTTCCAGCGTTATGAGGGAGTTTGTGCCGTATACTGGCTAGAGATGAACCCTCTAGTGCATTCTTCCAGTATGCGATGGATTCTGATCGTCGACTCTGCGCGTACGAAAGGAAAGTTGAGAACTCGGTTCGGATCTGGATCGACTTCCCCAAATACTCGTCGAGAATCGACTGCAGTATGAAGGGGAGAGAAATGCCATCATACTGGGCATGTGACAACCGAACAATCAATCGTGTCGCCTGTCCTCCACAGTGCCGAACCAGGGCGAAGAGGACTGGGGGTGCACTAGGCTGAGAGTTTTCCCAGTCTTGTCGACAAAACAAATCTGTTGCGTCATCAAGGTAATCATCGACATCCCGTATGACGAGCGGTGGCTCAAGGTGATTTGGCACAACTTGCCAGTATCGTCCGAGAAGGTTGAGGAAACTTGCACGCAGCATCGGATACTTTTCTAGTATCAAGGCACAACTAGTCTGGAAGCGTGAAACGTCGATGTTGGCCGCAAGATCGAGATAAAAGTAATGAGTGACTCTTCGAACAGTTTCTGATTGTCGGATGTACAGCTTCTGCATTGATGTCAGAGGGAGGATGTCCGCGACGTCCGTTGATCGAATGTTTAAGTCAAGATTGTCGAGCTCTGACAGAAGAGCAAGTTTAGTATCCGGATCCACAAGGGGAGCGTTCTCAGGTGCTTGGATAACCAGTTTGAATTCGGTTGTCTGCTGGCGAACCAATTCTTCAAGAGTGTTGCTGCGGAAGAGATCCGCCACGGTGAGTTGCATACCGGCTTTTCGCGCCTCGTTCACAACCTTCATGGCAGTGATAGAGTGGCCTCCGAGCCTGAAGAAGTTGTCATCTAGGCCGATGGTGGACGGCTCTATCTGGAGGACTTGGCCCCAGATCTGTTGCATAGCCTTTCCAACATCGCTAGTTGGCTGCCGGATGGATCTAACCAGTTTGGGCTTCGACGGGGCGTTTCGTAAGAGCACCACTCGGTCGACTTTGCCATTAGAATTGACAGGCATCCGATCCAAAATCGTGATTGTCTGAGGAATCATGTATGATGGAAGGTAGGCGTGCATGTGGTCATCGAGTTCTCTACCAAGTCCCCGATGCCTGGCACCAACCTTCTCCGAGCTTCGTAACGTTACGAAAGCGAGGATTCGAGTATCGAACGCGTCGCTTTCGTCAGCCAAGGCAACAGCATCATCGACCAAGTCATGGCTGCAAAGAATGTGTTCAATCTCGCCCAGTTCGACGCGCTGACCACGGATCTTCACTTGAAAATCTATTCTCCCAAAGAACTCGAGTTGACCATCGGTTGGTCGCCACCGCACTCGATCGCCGGTTCGATATGCTCTGACCATTGTGCCTCCGATGTCCACCTCGACGAACCGATCAATATTACGTCTGGCATCTGTGTATCCCCTTGCTAGTCCGTCGCCTGTGACGACGAGCTCTCCAACTACGCCCAGTGGGACGAGACGCATTTTCTCATCCATGACATATGCCCCGGAATTGCTGATCGGTCGTCCAATCGGGACGCCATTGGGGAACATGTCCTCTTCCTCGAAGCTGTAGATGGTGCTCAGCCCTGTGTTTTCTGTCGGGCCATACACATTGAACATTTGGCCCCTGATGGTGCTTTGAACGGCTAGCCGGATCTCAGGATCGAATCGTTCACCTCCGATGAGGAGGACATCTACCGTGCGAAGTATCGAGGGTCTCTCCTGGATTGATTGTTTCAAAAGGGCAGGGGTAATGAAGACCCATCGAATCTCCTCCTGCTCGAAAACGGCATGGAGCGCAGTTGGTTCGAGTACAACGTTATCGTCTATGCAAACTAGCGTTAAGCCATTGAGAAGTGCGGTATAAACCTCCAGTGTCGTGGCGTCAAAAGCAATGTTCGAAAAATGGCTTACTGTTCCAGTCGATGGCAGGTTCTTTGTGACATTGCTATTTTTCACAAGCCGTATGACGGCTCGATGCTCGACCATGACACCTTTCGGTTCGCCAGTAGACCCCGAGGTGCAGACGACGTACGCAAGGCTGGAGGCTGATGGTGCTATGGATGCGGCCATCTCCAAATTGTCGTTTACAGAGTGGGCGGGATTCTCGAGACACTCTCTGATTCGGATATAAATAGCGTTGCCCAATGAAGACATAGGCCCATGTACGTCATATCCGAGCAAAACCAGCCTCTGACCTGGAATAGATGAGAGAATGACACTCAGTCGCTCGGGCGGGGTGTTGGTGTTTAGCGGCAGATATGCGAGCCCAGCCTTGAGGATTCCCAGGAATGCGATGATGGTCTCGCATGATCGATTTGCCATGACGGCAATCACAGACTCGGCAGGCAAAGCACGCTTCTTGAGCCACGCAGAAAGCGTGTCCGATTTCTGATCCAGCTCAGCATAGGTCAATCTAGCGGAAGAGTCCTTCACAGCTACCGTATCCGACCGAGATGCAACCTGTTCTTTGAAAATACTAATAATGGTCGAATCCCTGGGATAGCTTGTTCGATTTATCTCAAGCAGCCCCAGGGTCTCGAGCTCAGCCTTGCTTGTGTCAGCCAATAGAGGAAAGGACGCTATTGAAGATTTGGGGTCCTCTAGGACCTGCGATAACAAGGTTTCGAAGATTGATATGATACCAGTCACAGACTCGGGGATATAAAGGTCAGTCGAGAAGACTACACTGACTTGCATAGATTCCGCCTCCTCAAAGACGTGGAACTCGAGATCAAATCGTGAGCCAGGCGACACGTCCAGTAATTGTGATTCTACGCCCTCCAGGGTAAACTCGGCGTATGTCTCCCGAGAGTGCAGGGCGAAGATTGTCTGAACGATCGGGTGACGTGATAAATCTCTGCCTCGGCGAAGCTGAGAGACGATTCTCTCAAACGGGACATCTTGGTTGTCGAAGGATGCTGTTACGGTCTTCTGGACGTGGCGCACCAAGTCCTCGAACGACTCGTTTCCAACCTCGATCCGAAGGCACTGAACATTGACAAAGAATCCAATGATGTCTCTTAGCTCCCATCGGTCTCGGTTCGCGTTTGCGGTGCCAAGCGTAGCATCTTCTACTCCAGTCTGGCGGTAGTGCGTTGCGCGGAACACTGCGAGGAGGACGATAAAAGGCGTCACTTCGTGTTCCTTGCAAAACTTGTGCAAACCCTGGAACAATGTGCCTTCGATCTTGAAACCACGATGGCCAGCTTCACCGGAGAGCGTGGCCGGCCGCGGTTTGTCACAGAGGAATTCCAGTGGTCGGCTCGTCTGTAGTTGATCAACCCAATAATCCAGTTGGAGCGCGTATTCATCTTCTCGGACGCCTTCCTTTTGCCAGGCAGAGTAATCTTTGTATTGGATCGGGAGGGGTTCCACTTGAGACAGGGGATCCAATCCCTTAATCGCGGCAGAGTAAAAAGCGGCAAGCTCTCGGCGGAGGACGTTGATAGACCATCCGTCGGTGATGATGTGATGCATAACGATAGAGAGTACGTGATCGTCTTTTCCCAACCGATATACTGAGACCCTCCACCCCGGCTCTGCTGAGAGATCGAATGGTGTGGCCTGGTCCGCTTCCAGCACTCCCTGTAGGATCTGTTCATCCCCAGAGGAAAGTTCAGTTACCCGGAGATCCCAAGCAACAAATGGCCGGACATTTTGCAAATGGACGTCGTCTCGGGATTCAAATGTTGTACGCAGGGTTTCGTGCCGGTTCTCTATAGCTTGGAGGGCTCTACCGAGAGCAGCCAGATCAAGAGGTCCACGGAACCGAATTGCAAAAGGTAGATGGTACCAGGTAAGGCCAGGGTAGAGCCTGTCCATGAACCAAAGCCGGCGCTGAGCAAAGGACTGCTCTACGGGGCCGGCATGAGTCGTCCTAGGAATGACCCCAGAGGCCCCACGCGGCAGCAGCAGATCGTGTCTAGCGGCATCCCGAAGCCTGGGATGGCGGAAGAGATCGGCAACGGTCAATTCAACCCCGAGTTTACGGACTTCCCCAACAACCTTCATTGCGGCTATTGAGTCACCCCCAAGGCGGAAGAAGCTATCATCTCGACCGATGAGACTTGGCTGGATGCCTAGGATTTGGGCCCATATCTTTTGTAGCTGCTGCTCTGCGAGTGTAACTGGCTGCAGCTTTGGTCCGCGGCTGGTCGTTCGGATCTTGGTCAACTCTTCTACCGTGAATGATGAACCGAGCTTCCTCAATAGTTTGCGGTTCAACTTTCCAGTAGGCGTCAAAGGAAACTTTCCCACACGGAAAAAGGCACTTGGCAGCATGACGGCGGGTAACTGCTCACTAAGCTTTTCTTCTACTTCGAGAGGGACAGAAAAGGGGTTAGCTTTCAGGTTCTCCGGACCAACAATTGGCTCTGGGGTGCCCTTTGATTGTATGAAAGCGGCTAAAATGGCGCCGGACGCATCTCCCAGTGGTTCAATAACTTCCACGGCGACTTGCTCGGCATCTGGCATCTGCTGCTGAACCCATCGCTCTACCTCTCCAAGTTCGATTCGTTGCCCTCGAAGTTTAACTTGTGCATCCTTTCGTCCAACGAACACCAGGCGTCCGTCTCCGCTATATCGGACCAAGTCTCCGGTTTTATACAATCTTCCTTGGCGGCCTGGCCGACCTGGCGCTCCTCGAAGTAGCCATTGGGGATCCTCGATAAAGGATGCCGTTGTCTTTGCAGGGTCGTTGAGATAACCTTGTCCCACGAGGGGCCCCTCCAGGAGAAGTTCACCGGTGCAGCCAACAGGCACGAGTCGATGGTGGTCGTCAGGATCCACAATCCAGGTGGTTGATCCAAAGCCTAATCCAATCAACGTGGCTTCCTCAGGAGTAGATGGGTCACTGTTGATTGTGCTGATGTGACATTCGGCAGGGCCATAGGCATTTACGACGCGCACCTTGCCCCACCAACGCGAAGAGTCTTCCGATGTGACAGCCTCTCCAGCTAGGATCAAGGTCTTGAGTTCAGGAACTGTAGCGGGATCTATTAAACGTGCGACTGTAGGTGTCAGATCTACCAGTGTCACTCGCATGGTTGCCATGGTTTTTGCAACGTTGTCTCGGCGATCTGATTCGGATGGAATACAGATACAACCACCTGTGACGAGCGTGGCAAAAACGTTGTGGACTGCGATATCAAACGCATAAGATGCAAAGTCAAAGACGCGGGAGTCCTCCGAGAAGCCGAGAGCCTGGGATTGATAGTGCAATCCAGAAGCGAAATTGGCGTGCGATAGTTTGGCTCCCTTGGGCGCACCAGTGCTACCAGAGGTGAAAACGACGAACATGGTGGTCGAAGAAGGTTGTTGGGCCCCCTGTCGCTCGTGAGTAGTGCCAGAATGATGTCGTAGCTGATTGAGAGATGGCCCAACCTTGACTACTGCCCTGCAGAGCCGCGAGCTCAAATCAGCGTTCATATGAGAAGACAGAATCAAATTGGGCTCGATCTGACTCGTAATTGTCTTGAGTCTTTGCTCTGGGAGCGTTGAGTCGAGCAACACAAAGGCGCCACCTGCCTTCAGTACGGCAAGCATAGCGACGGGCGTCCACATCGATTTCTCAAAACACAGCGGCACCAAAACGTTGGCCCGGACACCAGCTGCGGTAAGCTGAACTGCTAGCGCACTTGCCAACGAGTTCAGTTCCTGGTAACTCAGCGAACCGTCCCAGGCATGGATAGCAGTGGCATTAGGTCTCCTTTCGACTTGCTCCTCAACCATCTCATGGACTAGTTTGTCAACTGAGATAGGTAAAGAACAGTTCCAATCCCAAATGATGTCAAGGTCTTGGTGGGTGACGGCTTGGATTTCTGAGATGGTTCGGCCAAGGTTGGAGCCGTCGCCGAGCTCATTCAAGGCATGTCCAAGTTGTCGCAGAAATTTTTGTACAACCCATGGCTCAAGAATCCTTGGGTCAAAGTTCATGTTTACCGCGAGTTCTTCGGGCCCAAGTCGTCCTTGAATCATAAGAGCGTATGGGTTGAACCATTGCGACTGCTCTTGCATCTTCCATATCCCGAGATCTGGGTCTGGCTCCTCAGTCTTGCTTGGCGGCTGGATCACGAGCAATGTCTGGAACGTGCAAGCAGCCTGCGCCTCCGGGGAGAGCTTCGAGATGTGATGGAGACCAGTTTGCTCGTATGGGATTATTTCAGTCGCTTGTCGCTGAACAGCCTTGAGGTAATCCGATATTGTCTGGCCGGGGTCAAATGTGATGCGGAATGGAACCGTTGCGAAGGTAGGTGCTGGCATCTTGTCAAGTCCAGGAACGGGAGCATTTCTTCCAGAGACAGTGGTACCGAACACAATATCCGTAGAACCAGTCATCTGACGTACGGCTAGAGCCCAGGCTGCGTTGATCAAGGCTGACGGCATAACGTCAATGGGCAGTCTGGGTGGCATAGATAGTCGAGCACAAATCGTTTCGGTGGATAGCGGTTGGCCAATGGAAGCAGGGAGAGTAGGGAATGGTGCGGAGTCATAGTTATCCAGGGTAGATCGCCAGAAGGCGTCGGCTTGGCTCTTGTCTAGCCCCTGGACATACTTGATAAACGATTGGAACGGGGCTCCAGAGTTATGAGACTTGCCGCGGTATGCCTGGCTGAGAGTATCCGTCATGAGAGGAAACGACCATCCGTCGTATAGTGCATGATGTATTGTCCATACAAACCATTTGGGTCGGCCTTCTGCGCTTTCACTGACGAGTGCGAAACGTACAAGTGAACCGGGTGGTCCAACTGGCCGTCTTCTATCTGCATGGAGATATTCATCAAGCCCGGTAGCCTGAAGCCATTGAATATGTTCACGAAGGACGGTTTGTATTAAACCGAACTGCTTATGCTGGAGGATTCGTGTGCGTAGGACAGGTGTCGCAAGGACTGTCTCCTCCAGGGCTCTCTTGAAGGCAGAGATTTTCACCGTGGGTTCTAATTCGAGAATGGCTTGCATCATATAATCGCCGGGTCTCTTTGAAGCAAGCGAAATCAGACCTTCTTGTAGTGGAGTGCAAGGATAAGCGTCTTCAATCATGGTTTTCTCGAGCCCATACTGACTTGACAACTCTCGAACAAGTTTATCGACATCCAAGCCTTCTCCGAAAAGGGTGAATGGCGCAATTTGTTCTACGAGTGCTTCCGTGACCCGATACTCGCAGCAAGTAACGAGCTTTCGTATCGTACGGCATCGTAAAATATCAGCCACGGACATCTGGATGCCCTCTTTAGAGGCTGCAGCTGCGACTCCGATAGCTGCAATTGAATCACCGCCGAGGCGGTGGAAACTATCATCCAACCCAATGTCTTCACATGGAATCTTTAAGATCTGGGACCAAATCCTTTGAATACCAAGCTCCATATCGGATTGCGGCCGTTCCTTACATTCCTGGTTTTCTATGCCCTCCCTAGAGAGCTCCTGAGAACTGAAGGAGCTACCAATCTCGCGTATCTTCTTTCGAAATAGCTTCCCTGTGGTGGTCAGAGGCAGCTCGTTCATAACGAAAAAGACCCGCGGAACCATGTAGCCTGGCAAAGATGCCTCCAGACGCTCCTCAATGATAGGAGGGACCGAGTATATCCGAGCCGTACCAGATGCCGAGTCACCACTTGGTGTGGTTTCCTCGCCCATCTTCAAGAAGGCCGCAAGCATCGGACCGGATCGCCCGCCACGTGGTGTGATAACCTCGACGACAACTTGAATTGCTTCTGGTAGAGCTTCCTGGACCCGTAGTTCGATCTCGCCAAGTTCTGCTCGTTGGCCCCGAATTTTGACCTGCGTGTCCTTCCTCCCCATGAATATTAGGCCTCCTTTTTGGTTGTATTGGACAAGGTCACCAGTCTTGTACAATCTCCCGCGGCGACCTGGTACTCCAGGATTGCCCTGCTGTCCAGGGTTACCGTTGACAAGCCAAACAGGATCTTCGATGTAGCTCGCCGCATTTGCCTTTGGATTATCCAGATAGCCCTGGCCCACAAGAGGTCCTTCTAGGACGAGTTCGCCGATACAACCAGGCGGTAAAAGTCGATGATGATTATTGGGATCTACAACCCAGGTGACCTGGCCGGCGCCTCGGCCAATACTTAGAGCTTCTTCGGGGCTAGAGGCATCGTTGTTGAGTATGCTAGCCGGCGTGCATTCGGAAGGACCATACGCATTGAGTATGCGAACCTTCCCCCACCAGGGTTTGAGGTCATTGATTGTGGAAGCCTCACCGCCGAACACGATTGTCTTAAGATCGGGGACCAGTTCCGGGGAGACTAAAGCCGAACCAGATGGTGGCATGAGAACCCAGTTCGCCTTGAGATTTCGCATCTCCTTGGCCAGGTCGCTCTTTTCATCGGTCGGTACACATAAACAGCCTCCTACGCTTAGTGTGTGAAAGGCATTGATTATAGCGGCGTCGAAGATGTAAGGGGACAAATCGTAGACTCTCGACGTCTCATCTAAGCCGAAGGTTTTCGCCTGGTGCACTAGGGCCGAGGCCAGGTTTTGGTGACCGATGACGGCACATTTCGGTTTCCCCGTACTGCCGGATGTGAAGATGGTGTACACGCCTGAGGCGGGGTCGACTTGAGGCAGGCTTTGTGGGGGAGTGTTGTGAAGGTCGGTGAAGAAGCTCGAACCCACCGTAATGACTCTATCGCAGAGTCTTGAGCTAAGGTCTTGTTGCAGCGGGGAGGATAGAATGATGTTGGCATTGACTTGCTGCATCATTGCCTGTAGACGGTCTTCGGGCAAGTTCGGGCCAAGCATCACTAGACACGCCCCAGCCTTCATCACCCCGAGCATAGTTACAGCCGCCCACTTTGACTTCTCGAGACATATTGGGACAAATTGCCCAGGATGGACTCCTGCATCGATGAGATAGCGGGCTAGTTTAGAGGAAAGACCGGCCAACTCGCTGTAGGTGAAGTCGCCATCCCAAGCATGAATTGCTAGTGCATCAGGGTGGGCCATTGCCCGCTCTTCCACAAGCTCATGAACACATTTACGGATAGTCTGTGGGACATTCTTATTCCATTTCCAAATCCACTCCAGATCACGCGTGGTGACGACGTCGATGTCACCAATGGTCCTCTGAGGAGCTGAAGTGACGGCATAATCGAATTGTTGGAGGATAAATTCTAACCGCGCCAGAAGATCGTGTACGACTGGGGCCTGGATCGCTTGGGAGTCAAATCTAGCCGTGACGGTGATCTCGTGGTGGTGGTCAGCATGGACTTCGAGAACCAATGCGGGTACGTCGAACCATTCAACCTCGTCGTCGTCGTCCAGGTCATCGATAATAGGAGGAATACTGCTTGGGCGTCCCTGTTGCACGACTAATATGGTCTGGAACTGGCAGGCCTGGTGGCTCTCGGGCGATAGCTTAGCAATTCGTGAAACTCCCATCTGCTCGAAAGGGATCATCTCCGCGCCGCGTTGTTGGACCTCCTCGAGGTATTCCACGACAGGCTGATCTTGTTTCAGGAGTACTCGGAAGGGGATGGTGGCGAACGTGGGACCGGCCATATCCTCAATGCCAGCAACGGGTGCGCTTCTGCCAGAAACGGTAATGCCAAAGACGACATCATTCGAATTCGTCATGTTTCCAGCTAGCAAACCCCACGCAGCGCGAATGAGTGTTGAATACGTGATGTTGTAGCGATGGCTTTGGAAAGCTGGAAGTGTCCAGGTGACTTGTTCTAGCATAGCTTCCCCCTTGGAGGGTGGCAGGGCAGGATATTGAACACACTCGCAGTCTGCAAGGGTGTCCCTCCAAAACCTCTCCATCTGACTGATATCCAGGTTCTTACAGTATGCGATGAATTCTGAATAGGGTGCTTTTTTATCCAGAGGTCCTCCTCGATATGCTATGCTGAGCGCATCCGCGATGAGGTTCATCGCCCAGCCGTCGTAAAGGGCGTGATGAATTGTCCACACAAACCATTTATATTGGCCGTCTTCTCCCTTGACAAGGCCGTAGTGTACGAAGGGATCTCCAAGACCCATTTGTCGTTGCCTGTCGGCCTTGAGATACTCGTCGAGGTCTGTGGCTTCCGCCCATTCTATCTGCTCGTCCATAACAACTTGCATGAGATCCTCCTTTCCAGCATGCACGAAGCGAGTCCGTAAAAGCTCATTTGTCTGAGCGACTTCTTCCCATGCCCGTCGAAACAGTTCAATATCGAGATGAGAAATGTCTATTATCCTTTGCATGACAGAGGAGCCATGATGCTGAAGGGAGAGAGAAACAAGTCCCTCTTGCAGTGGCGTACACGGATAGGCGTCCTGGATGGATGCTGGATCCAGAGCATAGGCACTAACAAGCCCATCGATAGTTGAGTTGTTGTCGAGAAGTGAAAAGGGGGCTACTTCCTGCAGTGAATCTTCGTTATCTTCACAGAAGGAGGCCTCGGCAGCTACGTCTTTCAACTTGGGGCGTCGGAGGATTTTGGCAACGGATAGACAAATTCCGCCTTCACGAGCCTCTTGCACAACCCTCATTGCTGCGATAGAGTCGCCACCGAGGTGAAAAAAGCTGTCATCCGAACCAATCCTAGCACTGTCGACGCCGAGCACTTGGCTCCAGATACCCTGTATCTGTAGTTCCAATCCCGATGTCGGCTGCTGTTTGGGACCATGCCCTCCATCGGCCAGGCGTGCGGAGAACGCGGCTCCAAGTTCCCTCAGCTCCTTCCGATTCAACTTTCCAGTATATGTCTTTGGCATCTCTCGAATGGAAAAGAAGAAGGTCGGGATCATGAAGCCTGGGAGGTGCTCGGCAAGGTTTCTTTCAATTTCCGGGGTGGCCTGATATAATTGCAAAGCTTCGGTCTGAACTGTGTGTCTAGAAAAGAGCAGGAAGGCCGCGAGGACTTTCGGTGAATTATTTGGTCCAGCGACGGTTATGACCTCGGCGGCTACTTGCACCACTTCTGGTATGCACTGCAAAAGTCGGTGCTCGACCTCGCCGAGTTCGACTCGCTGGCCGCGAATCTTGACCATCGTGTCTTTTCGTCCGATTATTCTCAGATTTCCATCGGCCTCGTACTGAACGAGGTCCCCTGTCCTGTAAAGTCTCCCGCGCCTCCCAGGACGGCCTGGCGCACCCCGAACCAACCAAGCAGGATCCTCTATGAATGCTTCAGTCGTCTTTGCTGGATTGTTTAGGTAGCCTTTGCCAACGACCGGGCCTTCGAGGACAAGCTCGCCGATGCAACCGGGCGGAACTAACAACTGATAGTTGTCCGGATCCACGACCCAGGTGACTGCACCGACTCCCTTGCCGATGGCAGTGACTTGGGTGGGACAGGACGAATGACGACCGACTGTACTTATTGGAGTGCACTCGCAAGGGCCGTAGGTGTTGATGACACGAACATTGTAATCCAACCAACGTGAGGCATCTTGGACACGCACAGCCTCCCCGAGGAACATGATGGCTTCTACACCAGGAACCTGGCTAGGCTTGAGGAGCTCGGCAGCGGAAGTGGTCAGTGTTAAGGTGTTCACTTGGAGATCGCGTATGCTGCCAGCCAGATTATCCTTCCTGTCTGCGTCACTAGGAATGCAAAGGCACCCCCCGCAGGCGAAGCTTGTAAAGATATTGCAGATAGATAGGTCGAAGCTGTAGGCGGAGAAGTCGTAAATCCTTGAGGCGCTGGTTAATCCTATAGCTTTGGCCTGATGATGAAGAGCAGAGAAGAGGTTTTTGTGACTTATTGATGCCCCTTTCGGCACACCCGTACTGCCCGATGTAAAAATAACGTATGCCGTGGCAGATGGGTCCGGATTGCCTGGACGTGGCAAGGGTTGTACCATAGCCGCTTTCTGAACTGGCGACTGATATTCAGAAAAGAACCCGTCGTCGATGGCGATTACTTGATCGCAGAGAGCCAATCCAGATGTATAATTGCCGCGAGAAGTTATTGCAAACTTTGCCTCCACTTGGCCGACGATGCTGCGCAAGCGCTGCTCAGGCATCGCAGGATCAAGCATCACAAACGCACCACCGGCTTTAAGAACACCGAATATCGACACGGGAACCCATTTGGACTTTTCAAAATATAGCGGCACAACAGTCTCCGGACACCGCAAAAATCCAGATTGAAGAAGTTGGCTTGCGAGGTAGTTACTCAGGCGATCGAGCTCGGCGTAGGTCATTTGGCCGTCCCAAGCGCAAATAGCGGCAGAAGTAGGCTGAAGCCGCGCCTTTTCCTCAAGTATCTCATAGACACACTTGTTGATTGTCTCGGGCACTACTGTGTTCCAGGCCCACAGCCTATCGAGGTCGTAGTCCGTGGTGATACCAATCTCTGACAAGAGCTGGCTGTCTGACGCCATGGAAAGTTGATGCACGATGAGGGAGAACCTCTCCAAAAGACTCTTGACTTCCTTTGGACCAATTACTCCGGCGTCGTAGATGGCCGTAACCATCAGTTGGTGATCCAGGCGTTGAATATCGAGGACAAGGGAGTAGCCAGTAATAGAATGTGGACAGTGCTTCGTCTCCAGTTGCGTCTCAGATGGCTCACAAACGGTGGTTGCAGCCAAAAACGGCGTCAAAAGAAGGGTCTGAAATGCGCATGCCTGCTTCGTCTCAGGAGAGATGTCGGCGATTCGTTGCAACCCCTGGGAAAAAGGAGACATGTCGATGACTTGCTGATGAACACGCTTTAAAAAGCACGCCACAGAAGCGTTACCGTCTAATATCAGACGTAATGGGGATATTGTGGCGGCCTCCCCTGCCTTGTCGACGGCCGTGTAACCCCCTCTGCCTTCATCATGGGCGGCGCCGCTGGGTAGATTGATCCCAAATACGACGTCCTTTGTATTGGTCATCCGGGCTGTCAGAAGAGCCCAAGCAGCACGAAGCAATGTTGTTGTCTCAAATTCAGATGGCTCAAGTTGAATAGGATGAGGTATAAGGTGCTGTTGTAGAGTGGTATTTGCAACTGGTTTATTTGTAGTGACTGGAAGGGGTGGAAATGGGACGCATTCGCAGTCGACAAGGGCTCGTTCCCAGTATCTTGCAAGCTCTTGCTCGGGAGCACTAACGATGGTGCAACTCTCGGATCGTGCATTGAATCCATCATCACTGGACGGGCTCGAAACGGAGACGATAGAGACGTTAACCTCTACTTTTTCCAGCTTCCCGTTTTCCTCTGGACTGGGCAGGATAGATAACATTTCAGTAGGCCCATACATCTAACCCAACATCATCGCTTAGTTTCGACGCTTTTTCAAAACGGAGTTTTTCTTTGAAAACACTTACATTGAGCAATTATTGGCAGTGTGGACAGGCGCAGGCTTTCTTAAAAGTGGAAGTCTTACGTGGACTGATGATAGAATAGAATCCTCTTTAACTACTGCAATCCAAACAAGAAAATGCGTCCAAGGACCTCGGTAGTCGCTCTTTGCTGCGAAGGACACTGCATGCTACGAGTCATAATCCACAGGGTGAGGAAAACGTCGAGATCGATCTGAGTATATTTATAACTTGGACCTCTAAAACACCTTCGTGCTTAAGCGATCTTGGCCTACCATTACGTACAGGAGAGAAGCGGCCCAGTGGCTAGGCGAGGACACTCCGACCGTAGAGATGGATTCGCGAGTTTGTTGAGAGCCTGAAAGGGCGATTGGGATCAGCATCACTAGACGCTTCAGTACTCTGCATCTCTCAGACACCATTTCTGGCGATCCTCAACGACGAAGCATTAAATAGAGCAAGAGCAGAGTCCTTTGTAGTTGCATGATCCTTGCGCGAGTCACCAAGGGAAAGGGGGCCAATACGAGCGGCAGCGTTGAAAGATCTAGACCAGAGACATCAATTTGAGGGCCGTACCTCGGACAATGTCTCAGGTCTAGTCACTTGCAGATCCTTCCGGTTGGAACAAGGTGGATGTTGAAAAAGCAAATGAGCTCAAAAAGGCGGTTTGATTTACAACGGCTTCCAGCCACGGACTCAGAGTTCGTCCATGCAATTGGTTGCCGTGTGTTTAGTCTCTGGTGCCAACAAGGCAAATGGCGGGAGCCTAGTTATCAAGGATATGTATTTCCCCCTGACGGGTTCCGAAGCTGCCAGTTAAAACTCCTTAGTAGCGCCAACCTCAAACTAGTTCCCACGACCAGCCGAGAGTGAATTCTGTGCTTTCCTTCCCCCTTGTACTTCAGGACCAGGGTATGAAAGCACAGTCTGGCAAAAAGTTACGAACCCGAGGAGGTTGGTGAGCTTAGGACTGTTACAAGGGAGATGGATGGGATCTCCGATACAAATTGGTGTACAACCAGGCATTTCCCTGGGAAACATTGTCCTAACCCCGGCTAATGGCCCGTGTTGCAGAGGATGTCAAGGAGAGACGATGTCTTAGATCCTTGGACTTTGACCAGCGGTGAGACCCCTCTTATGCCAATAGCCTCTGGTTGGGCGAAGGGGATACGTGTATTCTCGTGCGGAAAAACTCAGCTAGCTCAAGCCAGACATTACAATATGGATGGCCGGTCCTGGGTTCGGCCCATTCCTCATCGACGACATACCTTAAACCTGTTGCGTCGCTCAGCTGAACAAGATGGTTACGAGGGTCTACCTGGTTGGCCGGGGATATCCAGACCGCAACTTCGGCCATTATACATTTATGAGGTTGCAACACGCTTGTCCCGAAACCCGATGAGAATCTAACATGAAAGATCATCGGGTGGAAGAGACTTGCTTCTATTGCGCTCTTTGTGGACCTGTGGTGGTTTACGCATGGCCTAAAATCGATGACTTGCCACGTTCCTCGACATCCACGAGTAATCCGGAGGAGTCTGCTCCAGACAAGATCTAACCCCCGAACCAAGTTGGGGTGTCGTTCAGCCGCTATGTATCTTCCCAACACTAACTGACTAAGAGTGTTCTCTTTGGACAAGAGGGCCATTCCATTCCCGCCGGTCCGTGACAGGAATTTACCGTTGATATTAGGAGCTTTCTCACCTGCAACACGCCCCGTGGTTTGAATTGGTCGGGAGTTCCGATCTACGCGTTTGCCCTCCGGACTCAGAACATCGTATCAAGCTCCGAAAAAAGTGGTTGTGGGGAGGCTTTAGATCAGGCGGATTTTGTGGCCTGCATATAGCGATGTATAGCAATGCAATGTGCTAGTCATACACTACGTCCTCAGCCGATGGGCGATCGTTCTATGTCTCGCCAGGCCCTGAGACAAACATACTAGCCCTGGCCATACTTTTACGGGGTCTCTCCTTTTTCCATGAGCTGCAAGGGGTCGTTTGCTCAAGAACCTAGATTTGTGGAGGTGTGATGAGCTTAAACTCCAAAATACAGCAGTCATCGATCTCAGCAGTGCCCTAATCCAAGGAACAGGAGACAAAGCAAGCGCGAATCCATCCCTCGTATTTCGTAGAGGCTTATCGGGGACCATAGACGTATTTGTGTATTGAGCTAGAAGTGGACATTTTGCTTGGTGGTTTGGATAATGAAGGCAAAGATAGAAGAGATCCAACGAAAGTGGTACAAATATTGTGCCGTGGTATATGGCTATGAATCTGTAAACAGTTCATTCAGCATATCGTCACTGATGAAATGAAAACCGCCCGCGCACCTATAACCCCTTTCTTGTTTTACCCACTCATACCCAACCGGGCAAATACCCAAGACTTTCAACTTCTCTTGTTTCTTCTTCTCCTCGTCGCGGCGTTTTTTCTCCTCAATGAGCTCATCGAGGATCCTTTCCCGGAGCTCCTCGTCGACGTCGTCAGCATTCACTTTCTGAACGAGGGCTTGGTAGTGGGCTTCACGACCACGCGCGGCAATCTTGTCCAACTCGAGCTGCTCCCATATCTCGTCCTTCACGCCGGCGTCGCGGCGACACGTCGTAAAGTCGTGCGGAGGTGGCGGTTGTTCTTGTTCTTCGCGTGCTACGGGGGGGATTTTCTCCTCTGCAGGGGCTTTGGGGCTTTTTGGTGCTGCGGCCGTGGAGGACGACGTGGAAATAGCTGGGGGTTGGGGCGTCGCCGAGCGATCGTGGGGCTTCGTTGGGAGATTGAAAGTGTGATGGGGAACCTGGTTGGCGTTAGGAATATCGCGGCTGAGGCGCTCAGTATACATTTCGGTAAGTTCGTCGGTGAGGATACTTTCAGTGACAGCGAGTTGGTTGGGGTCCGCGAGGACTCTTCGGTATATTTTCTTCCTGAGAGTTTCGATATCCCGCGCATTGCCCCAGCTCTTGAGGGTTGTTAGATTCCTTAACGTGCCGAGAAGGTTAGATCTGAACTCTGGTGTCATGTTTTCCAATGCCGATAGGTCGACTTTGGAATCTGGGGAATTCTTCTCAATTTGGGCCTTCATTTGCTGGAGTCTCTTGGTGAGCAGCGTGAGGCACTCTTCTGCCGTGAGCGAATAGAAAGGAATGACCTCCGGGAAGCGGCTTGAAAGGCCCGGGTTGACAGCGAGCAGCCTGTTGATATCATTGTCATAACCTGCGAGGATGATGACCATCTTGCCCATGTACTTGGTCTTCGTAACGCAGTCGACGATTTCATCAATTGCTTCCTTGGCAAAGGCGCCCTCTGCGAGCCGATACGCCTCATCAATGAACAGGACTCGGCCCAAGCCCTTATCAAGAACGCCCTGAACTTTCGGGCCAGTGTGGCCAACGTACTCGCCTATGAGTTCAGTCGCCGAGCATTCAACCACCTCGCTCGTTGCGAGGAACCCCATGTCATAAAAGACCTGGCCCATTTTTCGGGCCGTCGTCGTTTTGCCCGTCCCAGGAGGCCCGCGGAATAGGAAGTTGAATGGTATTGCCTCCTTGGGATCAAGCTTGTGCTTTCTCATCGTCCTGACCTGAGACTGGTACCCCTCCAGCAAAGAAATGAGACGATCGCATCCAACGGAGTCGTTGAAAAGCATACGGATATTTGTTTCGCTTCTCTCTGCCCGGTCAAACTTTTCGTCAAAGTCGATAGCTTCAAGCATATTGTTCTTACCGGCCTTGCTTTTAGATATTCTTGCTTGTTGACGCTCCATGGCCCGGTTTAAGAGGATTTCGACCTCACCGCCGTTGCCAAAATTGGGCCGATTGCGCGCTCTTTCGAGGACCTCGAGGGCAACCTGTTTGCCTTCGACAGTGGCTTCTAAGCCGGTGTTTGACAATTTGAGATCAAGGATCTTGGCCAACTCTTCCTTGTCGAAGTCTTCGAATATGAAAGCAGAGGCGAGGGGAAATCTTCTGCTGAGGCCCGGGTTGACGTTTTGGAACATGGCCTCCATTTGATCCTGATAGCCGAGAAGCAACACGCAGCGATCCTCGCCCGGCGTGTTTTGTACCTCAGCCACGATGGTATCCACAACTGCAGTTTTATACGGATCAGAGTAGCCCGAGCCTCCCTTGCCCGCGCCTCCGTATAACCCGTATGCCTCGTCTATAACCAGGACCTTCCCCTTAGTAGAGGCAAGTATTCCCTTGGTCTGTTGTTCTGACTGGCCGAGGTGGGCGCCGACAAAGTCGGAAGGATTCTTGACGATTACTGCCGCGTGCATAAGCTTGTCAGATACCAGTAATAGTTTTTCAATAATAATAATACGGTAACATACCTTCTCCATTTGACAGTAGGCCAAGGTCAACCAGGATCGCCCCATACAACTTGGCCACGGTTGTCTTTCCCGTTCCGGGGGAGCCGAGGAATACCTTGTTCAAAGAGTACTGGATGGGCGGCTCCTCCGCCAACTCTCGTTGATAGTTGGACTGCATTGTGTCGAGCAGAACCCTAACGGAATCCTTGACCGACTTCAACCCGATGAGGCTATTCAGTTTATTCCAGGCCTTGCAGTTGGCCAGAGCGTTGCTCGGTTCCGGTCCGATAATGTCCTCCTTGGTGAGGAGAAGATCGTCTGGGACGGTTCCGGAGCGTCTCTGCTTACGCAGGCGCTCTGCTTGCCTATTGCAGATCCTAGAAATAACATTCTCCACCTCTCGAGCATTGCCGAATCCGTCTCGGCCACGACCTTGACCGATTCTTCGGGAGACGATACGACAATATAGTCCATCCAAACCGTCTTCAGCGCACATCCGACCATCGAACTTGTCATTGATCTTGAGCTTGAGGATTTTTAGGAGTTCCTCGTCAGTATAGTCCTCAAACTTCATTTCGATAGGGAAGCGAGAGGGAAGACCAGGATTGTGTGCGAAGAATGTTTCCATCTGCTTTGTGTATCCAGCAAGGACAAAGACTACTTTCCCTCTCAAGTTCTCAACCTCAGCAAGTAGGTAATCCACCACTGCCTTTCCGCCGGGGCTGTTCCCAGACGTGAGCTGATATGCTTCGTCGATGAACAAAACACCGCCGCCTTCGTTTTGAAGGTCGTCGAGAATGGTCTGGCAACCTTGGACACCCATATTGGCGAGCTTGGAGCCAGTTGTTTCTTCAAACTTCGCCCCAGGAATAACTCCTACAGACGTTAGAAACTGGGCGTAGAGCCGGGCAACGGTCGTTTTCCCTGTTCCCGGATTTCCAAGTAAAGAGCAGCTGTATCTCTCCTTGCCTAGGGAAACTCCCTGCCGAATAGAAGTGTCAATGCGACTCTTTGCCTCCAAGAAAGTTTCCTTTACAGACTCGAGCCCAACCATCTTCATTAGAGCATCCATAGAAGTGCTTGATTGCCCTTCGTATTTCTTCATATATGCCCACTCCTGATTTGCATTGGCTGGCGGGTACGCGATGTCGTCGTCTTCCTCGGCCTGTGCACGATTCTTCTCTCCCTCGCCTTTCTTGGCCTCCTGAGAAGCCATTGCCTTTGCCTTTGCTTCATCTTCCCTCTGTTTGATGCGCTCCTCGTTCTTGTTTGTGCGTCTAGTGCTCTCCAAGTCGTTCTTGAGTTGCTTGAGTGTTTCCTCGTGGCTCTTTTGCTCAGCACGATGCTTCATGATACGCTTCTCGTGATCGATCTCATCTTTCAGGCGATCACTTTCGCGCTCATAAGCTGCTTGCCTAGCCCTACGTTCCTCTTCAAGCTTCAAGTCCCGTTCAGCTCGACGTCGAATATCCTCAAGTATCTTGGCGCATGCACGGCAGGTATCCTTGCTGCCACAAGTGGCTTTGTACTTGTGGCCTTGACTGCATACTTTATTCACGAGGGCAATGCAAGCAACCTGGGAATGATCTTTCAGGACGTGGCACTTGCGATGGCATTGGTGAACTCCGCACTTGAGCATGGCGCCACTGAGAAAACAATTAGAGTTAGCAATTCACCTCTAGGCGGTTTAATCATGGTAAACAATGATTGAAAATGAGTTGTGCAAGGACTTACCAAGGTTCGGTGCAACCGCCATCTGGGCATTTCGCATCGAAATCATCGGGTGATCGCAGGAGCGAGCGTGTGTCTGGGTGATTCTGACATTGGACGGGTACTCCGTCATGAAGCTGTTTGTTCTCCTTCAGGATATTGAAGAATTTGCCCCAGTGCTCTGCTCCCTTCTTGCTATTCAGAAACGTGTCCATATGGCCGATGAGGATTACGACTTCTCGGGCTCGAGTGAGGAGAACATTGAGTCGTTCTGGGGCGGCGAGAAATCCGATGTCACCTCGAGAGTTGCTCCTTGTGAGTGAAATGATGATAACGTTGGATTCTTCGCCCTGATAGTTGTCTAAAGGAAGTCGTATTGTTGGAATAAGTGTAACATTTCGAGGCGATATTGTTGTCAGCTCACTCACCAATGGTTGACAGTCGTATTTTCCCCTTTCCAACCTTCGCCGCTGCTTCTGTGAGCAAACCCGCTCGAAGTAGTTCGGCAGAGTCAGGATCCGCGAGGACAGGATCGTTATCCCGACTTAAAAGGTCGCGAAGTAGCCTCAACTGGGCGAGGTATGGTGTCAAGACCGTCATCTGGTCCGTTTTGTAAGACTGTTGACTCAAGTACTTAACCAATTTGAGTACCATGGTAGCCTCGAAAGTATTCTGTCTACTTGTCGACGAGCCCTGATCGCGACGGTCGCCAATTCCCGTGAAGTTTTCTTCGGGGTGTTCGTGGTTGACGAAAATTACGCGACCCTGAAGTCCGCGCGGGGCTTGGCGCTGGCTTGTCTTGGGTCCGTCCTCGAGATCAGGGTACGTTAGCATCCGCGGGAAAGCCGAGATCTCGGGATGCATTCGATGTTGCTTTTTGAGCACGCTATAGTCAAAACCGGCAAGTATGAGCCGCTCAAATATAGACATGTTGAGGTTATATCCGCCACCCTTTTCGACGGTGAGTTCGTACTTGTTGATCTTGGGCCGCAGCTGCTTATGATCCCCGATCAAGACGAGTTGCTCGACGCTGGGCGAAAGTGCCGTCAGAATGTGGGCTTCAAGAATTTCACCTGCTTCCTCAACCACAACGATATCCGGCGTCGAAGCTTCAATCAACTCGTGATACTTGGCAGCTGCCGTCGTGGTGCAACCTATTAGCTTCTTCCCGCGAAGGACTTCCACTTTTCCTTGATTATACATGGTCTCAAGGGAAGCCCGCGCTAGAGAAAATTTCTCGCACAGAGAGACAATATTGGCAATTTTTTCGTCGCGGATGGCTGTGAGCCATGTTGAATGAAGCATCAGGCGCTGGCCTCGACTCATCTGCCAATACCTTCTCGACGTTCCTTTCATGCGGTCCCAGAATGGCGCTGGACTTTGGCCTTTGAGCCATTTCATTACCAAGTGGCCGGGGTCAGACCGGTGACCTTTGCCTTTTCCGGTAGCGACGGAAAATCCATCACTGGTCTTAACCTCGAACATGAGGGCTTTGTGTGCGTCAGGCTCCATGTCTCGTAGGTATTCGAGTAGCTTTTCGAAGGACACATCTCCTGCTTTCAAGGTGGCATTCAGATCTTCCATCAACTCGTGAATTTCGGAATCAAGTTCCTCCATGGCAGCGCGCTGTGCGTAGGACCTTCTGCCGAACTGTTGCTTATCCAGAGACATGGCTGCTGTTGCTTCAGTGGACTTTGACCCGAGTCGAACCATGTCCGTTGATGCAATGCCCAGCTTGACAAGGTCTTCCAGAAATTGATCGAGGGCGTGGTTTGTATACGCCAACACTAGCACTCTCTTACCGCATGAGAGGGCCAATTTAACGAAGAGCGCGCCCACGTACGACTTTCCCGTACCCGGAGGGCCTTGGATCACGCACAGGGGCTGTTTTAGAGCCGCGATCAATGAGCGTACCTGCGCTCTGTCGACAGGATGGCCCATGAGAGTGATACCCGCAGCATCCGTGTATTTCTCAAATAGACTCAGTGCCTTTTCCATACCTTTGTTGGACTTAGACGACTGAAAATTGGCCGAGGACGGATCCAGAAGATATTCCTCCAATGGCAACTCTTTGATGCCCTTGAGCTGTTCGAGAACCGGCTCATATGCAAATATCGGGGTGTCAACAGAGATGAAGTTGATAGCATCCTGTGAATAAAATGCTTCTAGGACCCTTTGGAATCCGTTGATATGCGACATTTGAATCTCGATTATCGGTTTAGCTTCAGCAAGCCGGTCCTCGTCCCTCCACAAGAAACCGAAGGCAAACGGCTCCTGCCCCTTGCAGAAGACGCCAAACGACTGATGCTTGAGTAATCGAGGCTGATTCTGAAGAAATTTCTTCCTTTGTTTCACTGGCAACTTGGTCAAACTCTCGAGTCCGGTCTTGCATGAGACGATGAGGGACACACGGGCGTTAGTATTAAATTTTGTACGCAAGAGGATATCCTCCAGCCGCAGTTCTCCGAGGACAACCGGCGATTTTCGGCCCCGCTTCTTCACTCCAGTTGCGACCTGGATGTCGTGTCTCAGCTCGTCAAGCATGTCCTCGCGCAGGAGCCGGAATTGGTTGTCAAGATGGGCTCTGGCCCTGTCTTCCATCGGAACCTGGGTGATGTCTGCAGCCAGCCGATAAAACGGCATGCCGGGGTACAAAAGTTCATCCCTAGTGGGATATACCGCAATCTTTCGAAAGTCTTCGAAGTCATTGTCGTGTCGACCGCCGGGGCCACCGGGGACGTTGGGAGACCCGGTGGTGGTGAGCAGGCGGGCAAGCTTTTCGAGGCGATATCCGTAACCCCGTATTTTTTGATTTTGTGATTTCATCAATGATCCATTATTGACTGTTTCTAGTAGCTCCTGCTTGATATCTTCCACCGGCAGAGCGGTGGAAGACAGGAGCTCAAGACTTAGCCATGCCAGTGCTTCGATCGACTCGTCATTCAACTTTCCTGTTTTATAAAAATCAAGAAATTGGATAACGAAGGTCGGAGGATCCACAATCCTCTCCAAGATCTTGCCAAGAAAGGCACCCGAGTTGAGACTCTTGACTTCCTGCACTGATACATGGAGGAGAAACTTGGCGACGTAGGACTGAACGTAATCAAGTCCCAGGTCACACCGAACAGCTTGCGCAACGGCCTCCAGCCCAAAAGGGCGTACCCTGAGGCGCTCAACAGCTGCTTGGGCCGACTCCTGAGCGCAGACAGACAGAAGAAATTGCTGACCGTCGGTTGGTGACGTGATCTTTCGTTCGCCTCTGATGAAGGCTTGGAACTGGGCATTTAGGCGATTGTTTCTCTGTACTCTGGGGCCTGTTGGTGCAGCCTGGGTAGACATATTGGCGATGGCTCTTTGTGTAATAATCGGATAGTGGAAAAGAGTGAAGAAAGAGGCAAAGACCACATTGGGGAGGAAGGTGGAGAAAAGCGGACTTGAGAGGTCCAACGCATTATCAGATACGAGCTCCTCATCTTAAGCATTCCGACAGAGAAAAAAGTAACGAGTGCTCACAGCTCTGGTTGGTACCAGGTCAGAAAGTGGTTGGCCTCCCGCATGAGCTACGTCCAATAATATAGTAATAAAGAGGAGGCATCTCAGCCCACCCCCAATAAGATCTAAGGAACACATCTCACCCCGCTCGAAGGCCAGGCTTGATAGAATAATTCGACCTAATAGCTGCCCAGGAGGTCCAGCAGCGTTTACGTGGCAATTTGGTAAGGGAAATTTGGCTGTTATGCTCTGAGGCGGCTTGTAGCTTGTGGGATTGTGGGATTCTTGTGAATCTCGGTGTAGGCTTCGACCGCATAGGTAAGACTTAGACACGAGGGACTTGCACTATGCATTTTGGCATCTAGCCTGATACCCACACGAGAAGACTCACTCACACCACGCACCAGGCACAGAGTGGGCGCCTGGATATGTCTGGAGCAGTCCGATGCCACCCCGCTATCCAGCACCAAGACCCCTTCAGGCCGTCACTGTCTAGGATCAAACACAATCCACGGTTGACTATTAAATAGTGAATGGATCAGTTCTTTACGCCAGTGAATTTCTCTTCCCGCGGGGCAATTGGGTATGCCGAGCGAGTGCGCGATCCAGAGCATCCTGCGTTTGTCATACTGTTGAAGAGAATCGACGCCCGAAACATGCCGAAGCGCCATGGCCTCGGACACTCTCCCAAATATCGAATTGTTTAGAGGATTCCCGAGAAACATCGATCAATCAGATTCCTGGCAGGTATAACTTCTCAAATCAAAAGCAGAATTTCCATCTGCGAAATGAGATGACCACTTCCCGATGAGCGAGCGACGTTTGCTCTATATGTTGCGGGAGAAGTGGATAAGAAGGGTAAATTCAGACCACAGACGAAAAGAGGGAACCTTCCTCAGCCACTCTTGCGTGTCCTGAGCTTCTGCTGTGGCTTGACTTGATTCTCAGCCACTCGGTGCAATTTGACCCGACTTCTGGTCTTGGCCAGAAATGTTACTCCATTAGGACAATCCGAAGGTCGATCATGACACGCAATATGGGCGAAGCAGCTGTGCTCCACACGGAGGACCGACTGCGCCTTGGGGAGATATGGGCTTGTGTTGAGTCCTGGGCAACTAAAATGGAACTTACAACAGAAGAGAAGCGCCGTTAATATCTTGCCTTTCATTCCTCAATCCTCTCTCAGGAAAAACGTCATAAGCTCAAAAACCGAGACAAAACAGCCGATCGTGGAACGGACCGGGATGGAAGTGCCCAAGCAGTGCTGGGAATGTCGCAAAAGACGGTTGGTGTGCGACTCGACGAAACCGACATGCAAGAAGTGCCGTGTTCGACGAGTTGAATGCCCAGGATACACATCCAAGCCCCTAAAATGGACTCAACCTTGCACGGATAAACCGAGACGCCGACGGGACCGAATCGCTAACGGAGATGCGACACCCACTGCCAGCTCCAGCGTAGTGGTCTCCCAGAGTCAAGGTCGCAATGCTCCTGCCACCTTGTTCCCGCACTTGACGCACGCAGACCAGGCTCGCATCTTGCATGAAGCAGTAACATACTGTGCGTGTCATGTTTCACTGTCCCTGTCAAGAACCCTTCTAACTGTCTGCATTAGACAACGAAAAAATATGTCGGGACCTTTCCGCAACGGGGGAGAGTGGGCCGAGTTCTCCATACTTCATCCCTGCGTCCGCGCTCCCCCACTTTGGACACGCTATTGCTGAAGCTATAATATGCTCTGCACTGGGACACAGAGTCCTTCGTCTCCACCAGCCTTCGACAGAACACCGCGCCGCCCTGGTGGGTCGATTACAGGATCATCGTGGAGCAGCAATTCGAACCATCACTCAAGCGTTGAGCCAAGAAGATGAAGCAAAGAGCGATATGACGCTCGCGTCTATCCTTATCTTTCAGTTAATCGAGGTACGTTCGGTCCAGAATCCGCACTATCGTATCCCCGCCCGCCACTGGCTAACTCAAAGACCCTGAGCGGTTGCATAGATCCAGCATATGATCTCTCCTCATTGGAGATCTCATAGCGACGGAGCAGCCTCGATAATAGAAATGAAAGGTGGCATCTCGACGCTCATCTCGTCCCCGGCTTTGCTGCATCTGCTGAGATATTTTGTCCTGTACGAGCAGTCATATTTTGACCCCGAGAATTCAACTCGTATCTAACCAACCCGTCACAGAATCGACGTCTTCGGAACCACCACCGCCCCCCACGTCGAACCAGCAAGAGCACAGAGGCAACTTGATCTCATTCCCTTGCTCCCCAAACTCCTCCCCGACGGACTAGCTACTTGCATTCCATGCCCTGTAGACCTCTTAGCCGACATTATTCGCATCAATTGGACACGATCCCAACGTGCAGGGTCTCAGCCTGACGAACAGGGTCTCTCAGATATTAGGCACATTTTGAATCATGCTGTGGCGTTCTCGCCAAACAAGTGGGCGGTAGAGGTTGCATCCCAACACTTCGATGGTCACATAGATACCAAAAACCGAGCTTCAGTGGGTGCAAGCGACCCTTCTAACTGGACGATCATGGCCCGGATTTACCAATCCGCAGTGGTCCTCTACTGCATCGCTTCACTCGACCCCAAACGCAACGCCGGGAGGACCAGAGCCAACTTGATATCTTGCACTAGCATTCCTTCCAACGTAGCAGGTCAGAGAGCCGCCTCCCTCCAGAGTCTAGTGGCCGACCTTAGGACGATATCATCTGATTCTTCGCTCCTTGGGTCTCGTCAGCGAAAACTAGTTTTGTGGCCACTGGTCATTGCAGGAATAGAGCTGGACCCCGCGGACCTACCGCTGCGTAATTTCGTGGTGTCAGAGTTGGGTTGGATTAGTCGGTCTTTGGGTATTTGTTCGCCGTTAGTGGCGAGAGAATTCCTCGAGGGAGTGTGGAGAGGACAGCGGCAATGTACCTGCGGATCCAGGCACGGATGGGATGAGCTATTCGACCAGCCTTACATTTTCGCTATGTAGAGCGAATTCTAGTTAATCATTTGGTCAATACATTCAGTTAGAGAACAGGTAATTATATCTGGCCGCATCATCGAGAATATATGATCTAGAGAGTCGCCTGGCCCTGCATGCTTCCGCTGTGCCACGAGTGATGCGTAATAAACATTCATGGGAGATCTTGGCCAGAAATTAGCCGTTCCCGGACATTAAATCGAGGCACAGGCTTACTATCAAGCGAAAGAGCCGCTGGATGCACAGAAATTTCTCATTTAGGGATAGGCTCTCAGTACATAGAGTCGGTAGGTTATAAAAGTGGTCTTGCATCCCCCGATCTCTCCAATAGTCCATGGAAGCCATATCCCCTGAGCACCAAAGGCCTTCTTTCTTTCCTCCAACCGCGGCTTCCCTGTCCAGTCATCTTCATAATGATTCCACATCGTCTCCCCCTTCTTGTCATCCTTTTCTTCTTTTCATCCAAAACCGTCTCAGCATCTCTCTGCGGCCATGGCTTTACCAAACCCTGCATTCTTGCAGACACCAATCGGGACGGCATAGTCGATGAGACTGATATTTTCGACAAAGAGAGATGGACATCACGCCGTGGCGCTATATTCCTACCAAATACCGGTGATACACTCCATCGATGCTCCTCGGTGGATCTCGTTGGAAATGAGCTCAGCAACGAAGAATTAGCTGCTTGTCACGACGCCTCAGGCGACATACTCATCTCACCCGATCTTGCCGCACCCCTTCAAACTCTCCCTCTCAATGGTCTCTCTGAAGACGCCTCTGGGCGGATATATATCCAGTCGGCCATACCCCGTGACCGTGTCCGGATTTTCTGGCGTCAAGATATTGACCCGAACCTAGAGCAGTGGCTGCTCGTGGACCACCAGACTTCATTCAACAAGACACAACTCGGTAAAGGTATCAACCTAAAACTCGATGGTCGGGGACTGGTAACAAACGCTGCATTGTGGGACGGATCAGTCATTGTTCGCTTCGAAGTCGAGGATGGGAATAAAACGTACGTTGACTCCGTGGCGCTAAAGCAAGCGCCGGTACTTGTGCACCATCATCTACAGCCACCCAGCGTAGTTCTGACTACGTCTGGAAACACAACATTGTCTCGATGGCAGTCTCGTTTTGTGCGAGCGATCCAGGAAGGAATTGCCGACACGACGTCCGATGTTCCTGTGGTTATCATAAACGATACCGGCGATATTTGGACACAAGACTTCTTCGAGCCCGCCTATGCAAGTATGCCCGGGCCTAGCAGTGCAATTTCGGTCCGGATACTTCTTCGCTCGGCACAGTCAACCCGCACTTCAGGGCGACAAGTCTTCCAACAGCTCCGGGGTCCTAGAGTTGGTGCATTTCAGCCTGGACCTGGCTCCGGGTTCGGGTGGGAAGAAATCAACTCCGGCGGCAACATCGAGACTATACCGCCGTACAAATCCCGGTCGGGAGTCCGATATCCGGTCGGACGTGTGGTTATGGGAAAGCACTTTGACGTATACCCAGCAGAGTCCGTGGTCGCCTTCCTCGATAGCCAAGGATTGCAGAAGCCGCTATTCCTGGAGGCTGGCTGGCTCTCTATCGGACATGTGGATGAAATGGTTCAATTCCTTCCGTTTGACAATGAACTAGGGTTTACGATTGCCGTGGCAGATACGAAATCAGCTCTTGACCTACTACGAAAGGCCGTAACAGACGGCCATGGTGGATTAGCTATCACGACTTACGACGGCGATTTCACCCCGGATTACGAAACTTTCTTCTTGGATCCGACAATTTTCAACACAACAATTTCCGACTTACTCGGGCAAGAAGAGCTCCTAGAGGTCAATTCTTACGCCCAGAGACACCTCGATAAGAATTTAGAACTTCTCTTGGAAGAGATACCTCTCAGCCAGAGTGACGTCCTCCGCATCCCAACTCTTTTCAAGGACGCAACATACCCGTGGCCGGCGCCTCCTGATGGGTCTCCCCGACGTCTCAATCTAGCACCCCGTGGAGAGAGGCAGTTAAAATCGCTCTTCCCCCAGACTATCAATGGGCTGGTTCTCGGTTCCACCTACCTGGCCCCGAAGCCCTGGGGCCCGATTGTGAATGGACATGATATCTTCGAAGAAGCCGCGCAGGAAATTTACGGAAGGGCCAATATGGCATTGACTTTTATCGACGATTTCATGTCACACCATGTAAGGGGAGGGGAAGTTCATTGTGGCACCAATACTCTTCGGAACACTGATGTGTCGTGGTGGGAGTGAAGCTGGGTTTGGTCGGTAAGGGGTAGCTTGGGATCGCTTGAGTGTCGCGATCATCACATAATGTGGAGGTTATCTCGACCTACAGATTGAGTTTAATTTCGTGTCAAGACAGGTTTAGCAGCGTACATCATCGCTACCGTGGACTCTTGAATCCTTCCCCGGATGTGTGAAACCGTAATGTTTATGGTGCCTCAATCTGTGCTGCTCCAGCCGGAGGTGCGTTTTTTATGGCCGGTTCCGAGCCGCGGTTGTGGCAACTGCAAGTCCTTTTACCTTTTATCCATCGGCCGTAAGAATCGAGTTGTCTCCAAGAAATGGCGGAAGAGAACTGGAATCCACGGCTTGATACAATTATTGGATGGATTGAGGCGAGCCCAGGTGGCGGCACCCCGCTTCCTTCATGATATAAATAGCAACGGCGATATTGCATGCTCGTCCGTCCCAGACGAGCCCGATTTAGATACGGAAATTGGGGAGAAAGGGCCTCATGATGGATCACACACGGAGATCGTTTGGCAGAATATAAAATGTGGGTGGTCTGACGAGGTCGAAGATCACAGAAAAGGTATCTCCGTTCCTCATTCTTTGTTTTCTTCTCCATTGACGACCAATTCCGCACTCGAAAAAAAATGAAGGTCGCACCTTTGTCCCTTGCTATCTCCCAACTCCTCTTCCTGGCTGCTGGCCAAAACCCTCTCGAAGAAGGAAAGAATCCAAAACATCCCCCACCCACCTGCAAAAAGAGGCCAACTCAGCCCATTGAAGAAAGCCCTATTCCTACGGTAGACTTCGAAAGCCTGAGCTCGACGGGTTCAACCACCCCATCCTCAACTCGGACTCGAACCCCACTGACTCACTTTCCACCGGAGGCATCTGAGGAACCCTCGAGCACGAGGGGTCACGGATTTGGATACGTCGCACTAGACGCAGTCACGCATTATCATATTTGGCGGAGGTGCGAGATGCCGACACAACCACCCCGGTTGCGGCGGTCTCCAAAACAGAAAGATGCGAACAAAAGTTAAGAAATGACAGAGTCATCTACTTCACCTAGCTTCGCATCAGCCGGGGGGGACTGGCGATTTAGTTTGAGAGGTAGAGAGTCATCTCTGGCGGAGACGCGCGCTTCCATCAATGACGGACTGAGCCGGAACATCACCGCGTTGTTGGGGTTCCTGTACATAGTTATCTCAGCTTATCTATCATAAATACCAGGTTAGGGTTACCTTTAAAGTTTTTGAATGCGAGACGGGATGTCAAAACAACGCGGGATCGAGAGATCTAGGCAGATATAGTACAACGTCGACTGCTCCCTAACTTTCCGCAACTGGACTGCCTTCGGAGGTAATAATACAGGTCCCATCTGCGTGATTCACCATCAGTGACTCTACTTCGTAAATTCTGAGTGTGAGTGTGCCCCGGAAACCCCAGAGGTAGCCTGCACCTTTAGCAACCAACCATGGTCAAGTGTAACAGTGAAGAGTATCGCGGGGAATAAAAACGGCCCACTGGTCGATGGGGCTTGGGATGCGATGGGCAAGCCCAGTTCCGGAGGTCATCCCATTGCTTCTAATAAGGCCCGAGTCTCGGGAACGGACAATCAGGAGAAAAATGGAAATTCCCTCAGTTTCATGCGAGTATTTTATATCTTGCTTTATAGATTTCAATACACGATTTACATAATTCTTTGCTTGCATTTTTCTCTTGCCTACGTGTTTCCAAGAGTTTCACATGTTCCAATTAATAGGCGGCTTCTCTATCCGATAAGAGGCTTTCCCGGCCTGTTCGAGACCACTGGGCCATTTTGAAGCTTTCCCTTAATACGCATTGTCTGGTAGGCTAGACTTGACGAATGTGTGAGATTGGTCGTCGTCACGGAGTCAGCGAATACGCTATAAGGTAGGGCATGGTTCGTGTATTCACTAATCGCTGCTCCTCACATTTTCTACGCTCAAGTGTCATATCTATAGTTATTGCTGCCCATTGACCCTGCGGCGGCTCCACTCTGGGCTCAGTGAGAACTGGCTGGGCTGTATGCCCTGACAGGCGTCGCCATGGTGATGTGTAGATATCTCCCTCTCCCCCTAGAACCGGAGCCCGCCTTCAAGTGGAGTGGCTGCCGTTGGCGGCTCTGCGGCGTGCCCCGCCATTGTATATACATTGGGAGATGAAGTCTTATAAGATATATACTGGAGGTTTTAGCAAATATTTCCTAAATTGGTGACTGGGGTGGTTTTACTCTAGAACTTAAAAGGACAAGCTAGATATGAGGCCAGATGCTTGATACCCTCGGGTAGGCGCCAGAGTATCGTCCTATTGATTATTTGGAATTGAGCGAGAAACGGACTGCACTGGCATGCTGCTGGGGAACCTGTGCCACTGAAGCTTCCGCGTTTTAGGATCCCAGGTCACTATTTACATCGGATGGTTGGCATACTGTAGATCTGCCGGCTTTAGGACTCTCTCTAACCTCGAGCGGGCAGGCGAGGTGGGGGCTGTGACAGGGGGGGATCCTGCCAAGCCCATAAGATGCAATAATAATCCGCTCAAATGCGCTCACTATTACTTGTCAAAGCAGCGTGGGACAGACAAAGTGATATCTAAAGCGAGATGCAAATTGTGATACATCTCAGTCTAGAGAACTAGGCATCGAGTGTAAGGGAAGTACACTTAATGCATACTAAGATAACCGAAGAGAGAGCTTCTAAGAATGGATTTGGCCGTCAGAGTTCTCCCTCTCGCTGCGAAGATCGTGGCAGTAGGTCAAAATAGAAGCATCATCGAGTGAATCGGGCAAGTATTGAGAGAATAACTCCAACAAAAACCACAGAGTCTAGTTCCGACAGGGAAGAATTCTATGCCTAGAGTCCCTTCTCGCACCCGACGCGATTGACGCATTCGACCTAGTCCATGAACGCTTCTCAAGCGGATGAAGGTTATCAATGGCATCATTCCCGAGTGATGTGTTCGGAGTGTAATTATAGTATGAAGATATCTTACCTTCTAGTATCAATGTAATTCCATATTGAGGACACTCAAAGATCATTGCGACCTACATCATCCCCTCACGAGAATACATGGAAGCATACTGGGTAGGTACTTTGCCTGTACAATAATAGTCCTGCCGCACACGGGGTGGGTGGTCGCCCGCATTGGCCAAGACAGGCCGTTCCGTATGTGATTATAGTTATGGTGGCCTTGAGTCTATAAAACTTATAGAAAATTTGCTCTCCGTCGCGTTCCTTCATGTACCCTTCCAGGATCCGATACCATGGTCCACCAGTCCATTCTGCGAGGATCACATCTCGGTAAACTTCTGGTCCAATGGTGCAGGGCGCCGTTACGAGTTACGAGTGTCAATAATTCTATATGTTTTATTCGCTTGATTTGGTATTAATATTTCTCCCGTCCCTCTCCTTTCTTGCACGCTTTCTCACTATTCCTAGAAACCCTTCATCTATCAAGCACAAGATATTGCAAAATTCACGCCTGACGATGATACCGGCTGGCTTTCTGGTGCCCGGCCTTGCCTTCTCCCTACACGCCCGCGGCGTCCGTGGCGATGGTATAGGTCTCATCGGATGGGGGAAGACCCTGTATAATCCAACATGTTGCTTTGCATGCCGGGGCGTCATCAGTAAGCAGCAACTGTCCTGTACGCCAGTTGATACTACGGAGAACCACGGCACAAGCCACAACCCAGTCTCTACGCCGCCCAGTTGCTTCGTCCAAGATCCAGCTTTCCTAAAAACCATGGCGCTCTGTATCGACACATACTGCCCGTTGACCGGTAACCCTTCTATGAGCCTGATAGAGGACTACTGGGCCTCTCATCTCGGAACGGGAACTCTCGGAAACTACAAATACGTTCCTGTCATGTCCTACCATGATGCCCTGAGCGAGGCCCGGGCAGATGAATCTGACGCTACTCTCAATACGAACTCAACAGAAGCCAGCAACGCGACCACACACAATACAATGGACATGAGGATTCTAAAGGCTCGTCGACACGTTTCAGTAATTGAAAGGGAATCGGGATTAATCACTTTCGACGTTTCCAGCCCCTTACCCATGGCTGCTGGCGCCCGCAAGCCGTTGAATGTTACAAGCTTCGTCGATCCCGAAGATTGGCAAATGCAGTATAATTATTTATCTAACTTTGAGATGAATGAATCTGGCCATTCGACAATGGCGTAAGTGGAATTTGGAACCTATTTTTGCAAGGAAAATGAAATCGGCTGACCATTGGCAGAATTATCATTGCAATAGTTGCCATCCTCCTTCCCATCCCGCTCTCCCTCCTCCGTCTCATCCCCGGACTCTCGAAGAGTCGCGGATGGACTTATGCCAAATCGATGTTAGTCTACCCTTCTGTATGGGGCAAATATCATCGTGAGCCTGTGGCCGGGGCCTGGGTGCCAACCCGCGGACAAGCTATGTACATATTCCTCATCAGCTTCCTCAATCTCATCCTCCTCCTAGCGCCCTACGTCATCACCCAACCGCAGGCGAGCTTTTCTTCGAGGGACTTGCAAACACTGAGCATTGTCGGCAACCGCGCTGGTGTCATGGCTATGGGGAACGTCGTGGCATTGTTCTTGTTCGCGACGCGAAACAACGTGCTGCTCTACATCACCGACTGGAGCTATAGCACATACCTTCTGCTGCACCGCTGGCTGGGGTATTGGGCCGCCTTCCATACAATCCTCCATTCATTCATGCTTTTGTCGTATTACATCGTTAACGGCACCTACCAGGACGAGTTGGCGCGTCCCTATTGGTCCTGGGGCATAGTGGGGACTGTCGCCGCTTCCGCCATCCTGCCCTTTTCCCTGCCTTGGGTACGGCAAAAGTTGTACGAGTTCTTCCTTGCATCGCATGTCGTGCTCGCTCTACTTTTTATCCTCGGATACTACTATCATATTTGGTATTGTTACGAGTATAAGTGGGGCTATGAGATCTGGATTTTTATTGCCGGTGGCATCTGGGGAGCCGATCGTGTTGCGAGATTGGCTCGTACGGCATTGCAGGGCAGCCATACCGCGGACATCACCTTAATCAAGGACACAGACGGAGAGTACTTCCGTATAGATGTCCAGGGCACATATCTCAAGGATGGCGTTGCGTACCTCTGTTTCCCGACGTTAGACTGGCGCTTCTGGGAGAACCATCCTTTCTCCGTAGCATATTGCAGTTTCGGAGGCAGAAATAACGGCGAGCAGGAGTCCAATCCTACGTCTGACGAGAACCAACAAGACGCTGAGAAATCGACTAATAGCGCATCAACGGCCATCGCCACTGCCGATGTATCCACACACAACAGTAAAGACGCCACCACGACTTTCTTCGCCCGCAGCCGTACTGGAATTACTAAGAAGCTCTTAGCTCGCATTTCTGGAGTGTCAGGCTCGTCGACGCGCCTCCGAGTCTTGATCGATGGGCCGTACGACCACTCCGGACACACCTCTTCGCAGCTCGCGGAGTGCACTGGCATCCTATGCGTTGCCGGTGGCGTGGGGATCACCGCCTGCCTACCGCATCTAGAACAGAACACCGCAAAGGAGAGGAAATTATTCTGGTCGATCCGAAAGCCGGGCCTCGCAGCCGAGCTAGCCCCCGCCTTGGCCGCGCTCGCGGGAAGTGTTCAGGTCGAGACTCTGGTTGGGCGACGTTTGGATCTGGACTCTATTCTCGGACAGGAAATGTTGGGAGGGAAGAATAAAGGGCCCCTGGCTATCATTGTTTGTGGGCCCCCAAGTATGGCAGATGATGTACGCCAGAAGGTCGTATCTTTGGCCAGGGGGAGCCCTCTAAGCCGGCCTTATGTGCTTTTGGATGAAGCATTTAGCTGGTAAAAGGTCCTACCAAGCCTGGAGCTTGATAACCGAAAATTAAGGAGGGGTAACTTTTGCTTCGTGTGAAGACGACCATTTTCTGGTAGATTCCCAGCAGAAAAATGGAGAAGATTCCAACAGTCTCGTATCTCTCCCAAGAACTCCAGATGTATTGTCTCAATGGACGAGGCCTCAACGTCAAGCAGTAAGGGAATTCACTTAGAAGTTCTCTCAGAAGTCAGGACCCACGGCTCTCATGTTGCCTTTCTTATTTATATTGTCTCGGTAAATATGGAGCTAGAGACCGCTAGCGGGAAGCATTTCACAAGAGCAAAGGAAAAGAACATCGACCTTCTCGACCTCCAATTCCGTTTGGAGAAGTTTCCAGGATTAGTCTGCGACAGCAAAATAGTAGGTGGTTTAGCTTGAGAGCTAAAGAGTGATCTCTGGCGGAGGTGCACTTCCACGATTGACGGACCGAGACGAGAAATGGGGAACATTGGTGTGTTGCTGGGGCTTGTGTACATAGTTATTTGATCTTGCCTGTGTTATATTCTTGGCACTTGGTTCCCTCGAAGATAATATCGACCCCGTCTTAGATTCCCCGAGACAGAATCTCGTAATAGTGTGACAGAGAGATCCTGTATTATATATGGTGGAACGCCTCTCCGTTGGCTGAGGGACGAAGGACCGTGGATGTTCGCCACGTCGAGGCCTGCTCTTCAGACTATGCCTAGGCCTCGGGATGCCGACAGACAACCTACGGCTTTAGCGATCCCCCATGGGCATGAGAACCAGCCAAGAGTATCGTAGGTAATACGGAAAACCCACCGACCGATTTAGAATGCGATGGGTAAGAGCGATTGTTCAGGTCATCACATTGCCACTATTGAGCCCCTGATTTAAGTCTGGGCAACGGAACACCGTGAAGGAAAGTATAAATCCGCCCGGTGCTATCGGGGGATACCTTGCTCCTATGGAATCCTGCGGCAAGAGAGTGACCAATATCATTAAGAAGAGATAGTTCACTTACCCGTCTTCATTGAGCAATGGAATGAAATGCCACGAGGGGGGAATGGCCTAGATATCCATAATAACTCTGCCGCTATGGTCCCAGTTTCGGCCTACTGTCGCGAGGTGTTCCAGGATCCCCTCTTCCCGTGGTGCAGCCCAACCTTCGCGTACCGCCCGAGGTTGAAGACCCGATTCCAACGGTCTCTGAGGCCGTTACTCTGCGCAGTGCAATTCCAATAATCACCACCATAGAACAAGCCCATTCGATAGGTTCCCAAGATTTACTCTAGATAAATCCGCAACCGGAGCCAGCAATACTGCTATCAAACAGCGGGACTTTTGATGGATACGACAGGTTCCAGCTTCTGGGATGACATTTCAGCTCCCAATCATTTTCTGTTGGAAGTTGATATGTGGCCGGCGTTACCACATGGCCAATAAGAATGCGGGAAAGTAAACAAATGTGCAGATGTTATGTACTCAAGGCCTCGTGGCGTCCATGAGGAAAATCATTCAAATGCAAATTGCTCTGGACATCATTCACATTACGCGACGTTGTTGGTGTGGATGGAACATTGGAAATCTAATTGGCTCCGGAAATTATCCCAACAGCTTTCACTTAATCTTGGCCCCGGACCAGGCTGGGGGATCCGCAAGAGTTTAATCACTTTCTATCCGCCGCTATACAGCTCTTGTGGGACGCTGCCAGTACTCCCAAGTCAGTTAATTCAAAACGACTTGCCCCCCAAATCAGGGAGACAGCCCGAATACTCGATAAGCTAAAAATGGAAAGCGGAGAGGAGTTACTTCGTACATCCTTTCGAATGGCTGGATGACCTCGCCAACTTCTTAACTGAAAATGGGAGCTGGGCGATTGCCATCACAGTGTACCGCGTGACTCTGGAAAAGAAGACGCGAGTTTTTGGCCCCGTTCACGATAGCACTGTAATGTGCATGATACGATTAGGCAATACCCTGACGAAGGCGTTAAAATTCAAAAACGCTATAGAGGTCCTTAACGACGCCCTCGAAAAGGCGCGGGAGATAGAAGGGGAAGAAGCACAATGCGACGCTGTCGCCACGCCAATTCGGTTAGCAGAAGGCGCACTCGAATTAGCAGAATCGAAGCGAAGGGGCTGGGAAGAAGCTTTACGAAGTAGTGGAGACATCTTTGCCAGGGATCTTGGAAGCGGGGAAGTCCAAGGCTGAGATGATCCTTGAAAGCCTCCGCAAACTTCAACGGTACTTCAATAAAACAAACACCGATATCGAACAATTGGCTGCGCTCTTGGATGTCGCGACCGAGCTCGCGGAAATCAGTTCCGTTTCGGCGATGCGAATCAAAGAGGATAACATCCTACATTCTGGGATGCTGGACTCTGCGAATGCGATATTCTTCCTCGGCGACAAGTGAGTGAGGGGGAAGAAGAGCCGGGAAGGTTTCTAGCCTCAGTGCAGAAAAAGATGAAAAGATGGACCCGATGGCGAAAAGAAAAATATAGGCGTTAATATTAGTGTACTTGAGAATTAGTGTCTTTTGTCTTTCCAGAGTTATAGGTAGGAAGTTGGCATAGCAGCTCGCACTCTGATGCACACAAAACCCGGAAGGCTTTAAACCGGAGGTTGTCTACGACGGACCTCGGGTCCGGGGACCCATATTGGCCGGCCTTAGCAATGCGGCGGCCAAGACGCTTCAACATCGTTGAGTCCCGCTATCGAATGGGGAGCCTATCAGATGGTCTCATTCGCAACCACCATTGAGTTCTTATTCAGCGTGAGATGAATTGTTTGAGCTCATTCCCCTGATATCTCTGGGGCACAGACTTCTGGCTAAGAATAAGAATGACGACGACCGCTTCTCTCTAGAGAAGACGGGGAATGCAACGCTTTCATTGGACAGGCCAGATTAAATTAGATGAATTTTCATACTACTGAGTTGGTTGACGTTTATTACCCATCCAACCGGACGTTTACGGGACCAGGAGGCGGGAAATCTGCCGAACCTAGATAATTACCCTGGATGAGCTATATTTCCAGGTATTGTAGGCCTTGTTAATAGTCATGACCGGTCAGATGGCTGATGTATTATTTGAATGGCTTTTGAGGTGGTGTGTAGCCATTGTAGGCATAGCATTAATATGGAGGACGAGATCGGAGCCGTCGAGTTATCTGATGATATGAACTGCCATAATACCCCCATTTAATTCTTTGATTCCTTACCTTCTCATGCCTTTGACCTTCCTTTTGCTTTGACTCTCCAGAGGTCTCGATTTCCTGCCTCTTTGTTCTTGAACAACCATCTTCATAACGCCTCCAAGATGCGTTTGTCCACTCTCGCCTTCGTGGCGGCCGTCGAGGCCCAGTTTCTCCAAGGCCTGAACCACTTACGATTCGGATGCGAGCAAATTACCATTGAGCGCCTTGACCCTCTCGTCAATCCCGGCCAGGCTCCGACTCCCCACATGCACCAGGTGGTCGGCGGAAACGCGTTCAACGCCACGATGCCGTCGACTGACATATCCAAGCTGGCAACCTGCACGACCTGCGGCCCTGCCGACGACTTTTCCAACTATTGGACGGCAAATGTGTACTTCAAGGCTCGAAATGGGTCTTACAGGCGTGTTCCGCAAATGGCCAACCGGTAAGCGTTCAGTTTGAGGACGGCACGTTCCTATCCTTAGGCAGCTCTTTTGTCAGCGTGGCTGGGTGGCTTGGGCCCCACTGGAGACAGAGACTCTAAGTCTATCCATTAAAAGATGAGAATATCGGAAGGGTGACAGCTGACATCGTTACGTCTCTAGGCTGCTGTTCGGTGACAGGTTCACCACCCAAACCAAAGGTGGTGTAACTGTGTACTATATTGCTCCGAGCAAGAACACAGTGACTGCTTTCCAGCCTGTATGTCGTTCCCTAATCCCAAAATATTCTGTCTTCTTGTGAACCAACAACACCTAACTGTAGCTTCGTCTAGGGATTCCGCATGTTGGTTGGGGACCCCATGAGACGCGAGCCGTTATACAAGTCCCAGAGCTGCTTCCGTTGCTATTCCGGTCCGAATCACGGAGGTGATAATGCGGCACCATGTTCCGATAATAGGCTGGACTTTGAAGGTTTCCCCAACATTCCGTGTCTCGGCGGGATTAGGTCCAACGTGCTTTACCCAACGTAGGTGACTTCCTTTATCGGACACGTCCTCGTCTCACTCCCTGCTTACGTACGCCCTTATCAATCTTAAAATGCTAACGAGCTTTCAGTTGCTGGGATGGGAAGAATCTCGACAGCGCCAACCATCAAGACCACGTTTCATACCCTAGCAGGGGGCCTTCGAATTTCCTGAGCACCGGGGACTGCCCTGCCAGCCACCCCGTGAAGATCCCACAGCTCATGTTGGAAGTCATTTGGGACACTACCGGATTCAACGACAAGTCCCAGTGGCCCGAGGACGGCTCCCAGCCGTTCGTGCTCAGCACGGGAGACCCCACTGGCTACGGGCAACACGGCGATTACGTCTTTGGCTGGAAGGATGATGCTCTCCAAAGAGCTATGGATGACCAGGGTTGCTTTAGTGCCACCTGCGGGAACCAGAAGTCTCAAGATATTAGCGAGGCACAGAAATGCACGATTGAGAAGACTGTTCTTGAGGATGTGGATGGATGTAAGTCGGTTCACTCACTGGCCTTCTATATCCGTGACACGGCTATATTAGAAAGGAAGAGAAAAGGAAAGTTATGCTAACAAACGATCTTCTTCTAGGGCTGACCGAACTCCCCGGTGTTCCCATGAGTTAAATCGGGAAACAGACACTAGGGCGGATTATCCGACGATATTACAAGATTGATCCCCTGAAATGTTGAAGTCTGCTTGGAGTAGTTAATGTGACAGAATTTACTTCTTCTTTCTGGCCACTGGGCGTCCACCGGACAGTATTCCCCAAATCGACGTCGATCTCCTCCTCGGACCTGAGTTTTCGGTCCCGACCTCTGAGAGGGGGCGGGGGCGTGGGTGTTGTCCGGCTTTGAGCCTTCTTGGCACGACAGATTTCTGATGCTTTCTTTTGATCGAGGACCTCACCTTCAGCAGTGCGCTTTCTTCTAATACATTCGTTCCCTAAGATTTAAGTAGAATCGAGGATGTTTGGACCCTAGGTATATGTATACAGCAATGGCAGTCACAGATTATCGCGCCTTGATTGTTCGATGTGTTTGTTGAGGATCGACAAGTATCGCTATGAATACAGTTGAATATGTGAACGTACTCTCCGATCCACCTCAGCTCCTAGGAACTAGTCAGAGATTCCCATCTGCCGACAGCTCGCAAGTGAGAGAATCGGGCTTGCGACCCCATCTTCCTAGCCTCTTCAAAGAGACAAGTCCAACACAGCAAACACCGCCGATCCGGCGGGCAGCCGGATGCTTATGCCTATATAGCGGCTCCATGGAACTTATGCTCGCTCAATCTATCAGTTCTCATGCCCAGCCTCCGTCAAAAAGTTCGGGATCTATTTAATGAAGGAGCCGCCCATCATTCACCCTCATAGAGAAGGAACCCCATCAAGGAAGGATTCACCGCAATCCATCGAAACCTAGAAGGTGGGCGGCACGAGGTATCTTATCAACTTATCTTCATGTGTAGCACTGAGACATTGACGTCTTGCTCTTTGGCTCCGCCTCCACCATTTTAAGAACGGTTTCGGGTTACTTCTCGCCTCTCGAATGCGGTCGGGATTTTTATCTTTATTTAGAATTCTATTACTGGATGAACGCTGAAGCCTCTCCCAACAAAGAGGTTTCCAGGAACGCTACCGGCCTATCATTGAAGATCCTGATCCTAAACTTTAGGATGTTGGCAGCCAACCTGTCGAAGAACTCCACAATGTCCCTCCATGTCCACGAGAGGAAGAGTCTGGCATGGATTAGACCCAAGGGCCACTCACGTGAATGACTAATTTGGATGGTGGGTCTCGCACCCACTAAAACCCCTGGCTAAAACGCGGTGAGATTGTTGAGTTCCACTCTCAATATTAAGGGATGGTTTCTGAGGGAGGGAGAGTTTGAGTTTGCCCTGGACTGATCGAGACAAGGAATTGTACTTCGAAACCTGAAGGGGCGGAATATGAACATAAGCCTTGATTCTGGATCATCGAAACATCAATCGTCGTCTCGCTAAAGAAAGTTAGAGACGCCAAGGAGGCAGCAGGAAAGCAAGATGGCATAAACAAATACAAACTAAACTGCACAGCTGGCAGCAGGTGGTTTGTGGAGGAAAACATCACGTCGCGTAAGCCTACCAGATCTTCGGCGATCTGGGAAATAAGTGGTTCTGTTTTGACCCCTAAATCCTAGTGCCTCATGGCACAGCAGGCACAGCCAGGCACACTCGAGCTGAGCCCCTGAAATGAGGCGGGAATTCCTTGATTTTGGCGCAGGGGTAACGCGGGTACATGCAAGGTACCCCAGGGCAACTCGACAGCAATAGGGGCATTGCCAGGATTCGCAGCAAAATGTGGTACCAGGACAGGGACGAGTTGTACCGCTCGTAATTTGGATGTTCGTATTCGAATGCTGAATAATATTATCAACATGGGGCTGCATTCCCCATCGCTCCTTCCCGAAAAAGAATCGTCAGCTTCAGGACCGTCTTTTTGCCTCAAGTTCATCCCAAAATCTTCCCAAGTCCTGATCTTGATCTTGGAGAAATCAACGTTCGTTCTTCCCGTCACTCATTTATCGCCGAGTCGAATTTATATTATTCATTGTCTCTCATTTTTCCCTCTCCAAACGTTCATTCACGTCACTCTTTTGGCTCCTCCAGCTCCGCTTCGTCCGACGATTTCAATCTCCCGAACGACGCGAACTTCTTTTCTCGACCTATCTCGAATTCTCCTAATCCATTTCCAAATCTCTACCAACAAAAACACATTTCAATATGCGTATCTCCGCCGCTCTCTCCGCCGCCGCCCTCGTGGCCTCTGCCGCCGCTGCCGACAACTACCTCGGCTTCAACTCTGGCTCGACCAAGGTTGACCGATCTGCCAAGTTCAAGAAGGACTGGGTTGCCGAGTTCACCACCTCCCAGAACCTCAAGAACGCCCCCGGCAAGTTCAACGCCGTCCGACTCTACACCAACATCCAGGCTTACTCCGAGGATGACCCCATCGAGGCCTTCGAGGCCGCCATCGAGACCAACACATACGTCCTGCTGGGCATGTGGACTTCCGGCACCGCCAGCATCGATAAGGAGATCAGCGCCCTACAAAAGGCCGTCAAGAAGTACGGTACCAAGCTGACCGACCTTGTTATCGGTATCTCCATCGGTAGCGAGGATCTCTACCGCAACTCTGTCACCGGTGTGACGAACAAGGCTGGTATCGGCGCGGACCCCAGCGTACTCGTCGGCTTCATCGGCGACTACCGCAAGGCCTTTGCCGACTCGCCCCTCGCCAAGGTCCCCGTCGGCCACGTCGACACCTGGGACGTCTGGGGCAATGCCACCAACAAGCCTGTCCTCGACGCCATCGACTTCGTCGGCGTTGATGAGTACCCGTACTATGAGAACGGCAAGGGCAACAACATCAAGAACTCTGGTCAGCTCTTTGATCGTGCCTTCGATGCCACCCTCGCTGCTGCCGGCGACAAGCCCGTCTGGGTCACCGAGACCGGCTGGCCCTCGAGCGGTCCCGCCTGGGACCAGGCCGAGGCCGGTGTTGAGAATGCCAAGTACTACTGGAACGAGGTCGGCTGCCGCCGTCTCTTCAACAAGGTCCCCACCTTCTGGTACAACCTCCGTGACTCCAACCCCGACAACAAGATGCAGTTCGCTATCACCAAGGATCTCTCTACCACTCCTCTCTTCGACCTGACTTGCCCCACCACCTTCGAGACCCCCGAAGCCTCGACTACGGACTCTAGCTCCAGCTCCTCTTCAACCTCTGGCGCGTCTCCTCGCTCCAGCTCTGGCTCCAGCAGCTCCTCGGGTTCTAGCGACGCCGCGCAGAGCGCTACTGGTGCCGATAGCTCTGCCTCCGGATACACCTTCTCCGTGGCAGCATCTGTGGCCCTGACCCTCGTTGGTGCTGTCTTTACTCTCTTCTAAGCTCTTAGATTGGAGAGGATACAAAGGTAGAAGCGCTGCTCGTGTGTGAGACCGGATCTTACTCTTGGGTTTGCGAAACCGATACGTGCATATTGATGGAGACTTGGAGTTAAAGGGGAATTCATAGGAATCATAGATCAGGTCACACAGTTTCGCATTCTCGATACATCTTCCATCCTAGATTATATAATTGCTGTTTTGCTTTTCTTTCCCACGCCGTTGTGTCTACCCATTGGTGATGTCCGCTCTTCCCATGGTGAAGCAAAACGAGTGACTGAGTTGCTCTCTCGTCCAGATCTAACATCGAAAACCTTTGTACACGCGACCCTGTTAATGCAAATCGCCTTGGGGAAGTAATATCCATCCTTAGATACATCATCAGACGATAGTAAAATTCCCTGGTGGTCCAGTTATCGCTTCCTCACAAACATTGACCGCAGAAGCTGCCACACAAAGCCGATCGTAAATGCCGTCTGGCCTTCGGAGTACGATTGTCCTCGGTCACCCACATCCGCCATCATGCACATAATCTCGACCAGCGGTCCCGGGAAATGCTTTCCAGCACGAGCGTAAGCCGCCACGAGATCATTCCCATTTGTGATGCCGCCTAGAGTATTGGTAGTTAGCGAACCAGGTTTCCCGGAAGGACGTCTCGAATTTCAACACACTCACCGCTGGACCAGAGGTTTTCGTCCTGAATCCACCGATATTTCTCTCCCACCAAATTTGCCGTGGGGTACTTTTTCTTCAATCCTGCCTGCAGGCCTCTCGGCCCGCAGGCGGTGCGTCCATCGAGGATACCAGCAGCCCCGCAGAGCATGATCCCCGTACAGACGCTCAGAATATCCGTGCTTTTGTTCTGGAAGTGACCCCTCACGAACTCCAACACCGGTTCTTCGAAAGAGACACGGGGATCGGGTCCCGGTATCAGCAAGATGTCAAGTTTGCCCGGCTGCACGTCCGGGTCAGCGATGTGATGAGTGGCGTGAAGTTTCATGTTTGCTGTCAAGCACATCGGGGCGTCCACTGGTGAAGACGTGATGTATGATATCGTGACGACTGGAGCGATCTGGAGAAGGTGTTTGGGCAGGTCTTCGAGACACTCCACGTAATCTTTGCCCATCATGGCGAGAATGTCGACGCAGGCTGTGTCTAGGAGCTGAGCTTCCGCGGGAATCAAGACACCCACTTTAACCGTCTTCGGGTCTGCCATGTCTGCTGACAGATTTTTAGTCGATTGTGGAGATGTACGGCAATAGAATACAAAGGTGGGTTTAAACGCTATTGGGATGGTTGATGTTGCTTGTTTCCTTGGGTGAAAATCCGGGCCGTCTAAAGGATTTATTAAAGCAGAATAGATTCGTCGCACTCGATTACTTCCGGACGTTCTCGGGGATTATACTTCGTGCGCAAGGGTAAGAGATGCGATATTGGGGTTAACCTTTCGAGTTTTTTATTACTTCTCCCAAAAGCTGGGCTGATGGTCCATCGATCTTCCGGTGCCGAACGCCTTCGGAGACTCGCGATATTATCCCGGCACAAGTATCACTCCGAGGCAAAGTCCCGTCGGTACTATAACAAGGAAAGGCGGGAAGCAACAAAAGCGAAATACGATTGTGTACATGACGCGAATTCCTTACCAATTCCGATAATATTCTTCCCTCGGAACTTGCGCGATGGGTCGATCCATCTTAAGAAGGGTAAACACGCGACACAACTTCGTAATAGCATCGGCTTATCCATTCATCTCATCAGGAGCCGCAAGAAATTGTATTTTACATGTATATATGGAAATGCCTATGGCTGACTATCACACCAAAGAAATCATCCAAGGGAATCGAGTCCGCGCTCGCCCCAGCCTAACGTCATTGTAGCCCACAAGTCGTGATACATGATGCGCGGGTCTACCTGCGCCGCCCCACCATGGCCGGGTCGGGGAGCTCGTTCCCTATCATTAAACGCTTCGGCGCCAGAGCCCATATGCAAGGCCAGAGATACCACATCTGCCTGGTCACCTATCGCCGGCATTAGCATTGGAGTGTTGTCGTCCCACATGTACAGATACTCGTCTGCACTGCCATCCAACATCGGGCACCCGAGCCTACCGGGCTCGTCGGACTTCCTCTCCCTTTCGATTTTATCATTATACTTTCTCAGTACTACGTTGAGAATGGCCCGGCTCGCGCACTTAATATCTGTGGGCCGGGTTATGGATGAGCCCTCCTGTGGCGCAGATTGTTCTGCGGCATCGCCTCCGCCACAGATTTGCTCCAAGTACTCGCGGAATTTAAGCTCACTCCTGGCTTGCATGTAATCCCAGCCGGAAATTTCCTTCAATGGGAACGAAAGATTCGTGCCCAGGATGACGCAAGAAACCAGCTTGGCCCACTCAAGCGCTGAGAAGTGACCGTGATCTAACTGGGCTGCTATTTCGAAAAATCTCCGTATTAGCGGGATTGCGTGGGACACCTTGTCGGCGTCGGGTTTCAGCGGCCGGCACGAGGCCCTCTGTGCTGGGAAGGTCATGAGAACACTGCAGTGTATGAGAATTTCTGCGAATAGGGCGCTAAGCAGAACTGGGGCAGAGGTGGCAATATCGCTGGGGATCTTTGATTGCCAGTCGCGCAGCTGAGCTTCAAGACCAAGCAGTAGCAGCTGCGGTTCTCGATCGTCGCCTTGAGATCGCTTTGACACTCTGGACGCTTCTTGGCCAATGTATACATTTCTTGCGAGGCAGGCGAGAGTGGTATCCTCGGGACGCGAGGAATGGTTCAGCAATGCCGACCAGCAGGTGGAAGTCCATGGAGTGTAGTTGAGTGTCGTCCATGTCGCCCTTGGCCAAATGGGACAGAATCTGTCAAAGAATGGCGTTAGCCGGTTTCTCAGAGAGAGAATTGATTAAATCTCGGAAGGATGTCGAACTCATACGTCGTAACAATGTAAAAACAACCAAGATACGCTCTTATACCATCAAGTTGTCCGGAAGTCACCGCGACGTCTTGCTCATTGCAATCGTCGCAGCACTTGTCGAGGTCGAGATCATGGAGAAGATCTATCGCCATGCGGAGATACTGATAGGTCCGCTTATCCTTGGGTCTGAGATGAAAAGGGTACCTATGAAGAGTCAGGTCAGCATTTCGAACTTACATTGGAGGCGAGCCGATAGCCCGATACTCACCAGGCGCAATATATCAGCAAGCCCTGAAGTAATTCCAAACTCCTTTCGCCGCCTGCCACCACCTTTAGCCCCAGCACCTTTCGAAACTCCTCGTCGTAAAGTCTGTGACACTGAATGCTGCGGTTTCCACTTGTGCAGGCCAAAATCGCCAGCAAGACAAACGGTCGCTCCCGAGCAAGTGACTTGACCGTCTCGTCCGCGCCAAGTGTGATACATGGGAAGTATGCTAGCATGGATCGGAATTCTGAGAGCAGTGATGTTGCAGAGTCAAGATTAAACTGAGGTTGGAGAGAAAAGGATTGGATTGGCCGAGTTTTCCTCGACGTCACTGAAGAAGGAGTCGAGGACGGCGGGGACGGTAGAAACGGCATCCCGTTATCCAGAGAAGAATCTTCGCCTGCGAGCATTAAGTTTTCGATGCAGACTTCGTGGTGCTGGAGGAGAGTGTCGATAGGGGAGTCGGCTTCATCATCAACTTCGTTCGTATGAAAGTCGATGGTGAAGGTCTGATTCGTCTGGTGACAGTTTTCCGTGGGTTTATCACTACCCCATATCTCCTTAGCTTCGTAGAGATAACTGTGCTTTTATAATAACTTGGAAAAGGGTAGGGTTGTTGCGAAGAATTCGGAGGCAATAGTGAAGCGAGACAGACTTACTTCCTTGCCTTTCTGGAGGCCCTCTTCCTTGCTCCAGTGCGGAAAACACACTCCCTCTTAAACTCCAGACATCGCTTGCAAGCGCCGTTTTTGGACCCGGCTATGCACTTCAGCTTTGCGGAGCGACATGCTTCACAGGCATTGATAGTCTTTTGCGCTACTCGCGGCTGTCCAGGTGGTTGACAGGACGGTGTCCTTCGACCACGACCAGGGGATTCCATTGTGCATAACCTCGGGAGATTTCTTAGCCAACCGAGTCCATTAACAGGCCAGGTTAGAACTCCGCCATAAATCGCAAGGAAGAAATCATAGAGTCAGAAAGTGCTGAAAGAAGGGACACTGTCTCGGAGGGACGGGACCAAGACGCTCATTGAGAGGGGATCGGATCAGATTTACTCCGGTTTCTCCGATGAGCATCGGAGCTTAAATTCGCGGTCGATATTGACCGCCTTCCTGAAATAGCTCAACCATAAAATTCACCGCCTTCTATCTTGATCCAGGAAACTAACTTTTCTGGGCAATCTGCCGCCCATCGACATTCTTCCCTCCAGACGAAGGAGGGAACGAACGCGGAGCTGTGTCCGCTAACAGATTTCCTATTTTTTACGTTCTTATGTTTTATAAAGCACAATATTTCATTTCCATTCGTGTTCCGTTCCGGCGCGTCCTGTCTTGAGCCCGGGGCGGTATCCCCATTCTGGCTGCCTCTAGAATGTTTCTCTTCTTGAGATGATGGTTCTTAATAGCAACTTCCCGCATTCCCATATTCGCCTCAAGCAAAACTAATCGCCCCAAGAAGCTGGGGAAGGGAACTTGGCGATGTGTTTTAATAATTTAAGCTTGCCGGGGTCTTTGCTAGTCGGCCTCTCACCACTTCATATTTGTCGCAAACGATGAAGATTTTCAGTTGTTCTGAAATGTCGATCCGTCACTCGAGGGTTACGCGCCCACCAACTCCATCCTAGGATGCTTTCTTCAAGAGTTACTAGCTGTGACGTACGGTAGTGAACGCATTAAATGATGATTGCACTTCCGGCTCATTCACACAACTGATTCGCAACCTTGATAAAATAAGTCCATATTGCAGACGCTAAGTTAACATAACACATTCACGCCCGTTCCTTCATCTTCACCCATGAAATTACTCGGCCAATTCGCACTCGATAATACTCTCGACACCGTTGGCTGTGGTGTAGATCTTGGTAATCTTCAACCCAGCCATGGTCTCGAGGAGATGACGCCAGTCGCCTTCCGTTCGCTCACGAGAGCTCAGAAGCGTGAGCATCATAATGTCCAAGCCGGTAGCCTCCCACTGGGCGTGCCTCGGCGGGATGACATTCTCGTTGATGAGCAGACGGCTGTAGCCGGGCTTCATGGCTTCCTTGATCCGGTTGAGGATCTTGACATCCACCTCATCGGGCCAGTCATGCAGACAGGAGTGCATGTAGTAAGCTCGGGCGCCTAATTATGGGGGAAAGTTTTGGTTAGTGGCACACATAAGGAGTGAAGGAAGGACGGAGCGAAGGGGTGGCTGACCCTTGATAGGCTGCTCGGTGTAAAAGTCGTACTCCATGCGCTCGATCTTGGAGTCCAGCTCTTTGATCTGTGACAGCACAGGAGTCAGATCCTGCAGGATTAGTCGGCCGGGAGCGTCCGGGTGCTTGCGTCGGAACTCATCCAAATCATGACCTAGGTTGCCTCCAATGTCGACAAGCAGCACGTCCTCGGGTCCAGTATTGGCTCCATCGACGAGACGCTCCTGGACGGGGTAGAACCCAGCGTCCATCCACGAGGGTCGGCCCTGGCGGTAACCTCCCATGTGGTGGTTAAACTGGAAGCCATAGGGAGGGTTGGCGTGGAGATGCTCAAACATGTTGAGCTCAGTGCTGTAGGCATATTGCAAAGGACCATCGGAGATGCTCTGGGGTGTCTTGTAGCCATTCTTCATAGCATATTCTGGGAACTTTGACAGCGAAGCCATAAGGCATCCGGAGCTGTTTAAAGAGGCAAGTAAATTAGGCCTAATTGTCCCAACTCATGCAAGCTCCTCGGGATAAGTACTCACATGCAGGGGTAGCCATCACCAATGATGGGAATGGTGAGGGAGCTGGAGAAGTTGGTTGGCTTGTAGGTGTCCTCGTCAACCTCTTGGATGTAACCCATAGCACCAAGATGGCGCATAAGCCGGCCTGCATAATCACATGTTAGGGGCGTGAAAACCTATCAATTTGCGAATTCCTGAGTCTCCCGCTTGGTGTGGGATTGTGGGGAGCTGGCTGCATCACTTACAGAGGAGAGGCGGGTCAACCCCAATCTTCTGCGCCAAGTCCTGGGCCTTCTTTGGACTTCCGTCGTTCTCGGCCAGTGCCGTGAAGAGGCCAGTATCAACACCGACGGTCAAGGCAGCGAAGGCAGAGGGCTAACGAAGAGACATCATAACAACATGTCAGTGGCGTCGCAACAGCGCAGGGTAGTCGACTAAGGATCACGCTCACCTGTGACCAGCAGTGCTTAATCATTGTTTCCCTGGGTGTCTCGAGGGCCCGTACAAGGGATCGAGCCTTCTCGACGAGGGCAAGGCGGGCCTGCTCATCGCCACTGGACGCCTCGGAGCCGAGAGCGAAGATATCCTTGGTAAGACCCTGGACGCTGTCAAGGTCGTTTGCCTTCAAGGCAACCGAAATATCGACGACGGGTACCTTGGCAAAGCCGTTGGCCGAACTGCCATTGGTCGCCGGGCCGCTTCCATTGGCGGCCGAGGCGGGGGCGTTCTTGGTTTCGTCAGCGGTCATCGTGATTTTCTTCAAACAGTTACGATATTAATGCACTCAAAATTTTCGGCAGAAAAGTGGCTTGGAAGGATGCTTCGGAATATTTTTTGACCTGTGGTCCAGATGTATTGTATATAACGAGAGCAATCTTATGAAGATCATCAGGAGAAAGAGGGGGTGATAAGTACTGCTGGATTCTTGCAGTCGAACCGTCCAGGCCCTCGCCGGTCTCGTCCCCTTCTTTTCCCCGGACTACCAATTCACTCGAGTGCCCCGTTGACTAGTACAGGTATGTGTGGTGTCCTGAGGACTCCTGACCCACCTGCGTTCCCCTGCTCTCCCCTCTTGTTGATGGCATGCCCTGGCCCAAAGATCTTTCAAGTGCGAAGGGCGACGAATGGAACCGAATGGGAACCCCTTTTTTTTCTCGCCCCTCAGGCAATGTTACTACACAGGCAAACGGCCTGTCGGACCCGGTCTTCTGGGTTTGGCATCGGTTGTTGGGTTTTCCATTTTAAACGTCTTGAAGCAGGTCTGGTACGAGTAAGATGAAAGGCCGAGAGACCCCTACCGACTTCCGATGATAAATGCTACCCGAGATGTGGGAATGCAGTAATAATATGCGGGCCCTTTTTTTGGCAGGGCCACGTCTTTGACTGGAAGAATGTCTTGGGAACACGCCAAGAGCCATCTCCATTCGACAGTCCCACTTATCTCCAGGGGTGAACGATCGCCGGGGTCCATGGATGTAAACTACATGCGGAATTATAGTGTATCCTAGAGTTTCCCTCTGCGCCCACATAATACGGTCTGGATAACGTGCCGGGATGACAGAAGCGTCATAGACCTGCTCCTGGAGAAGGGAATGCTCGGTCAAACCATTGAGAATGGCTCCTCCCAATGATGATCCTGGGATTGTAGATTCATACTACCTCCTGCTGGACTACGAGGATAAATAGATCCTCGAGTATCTTTTCTCAAACCACAAAAAACTGCAGACAATATTGTATCAAATCCAGCGGCTTTTATGGCTGAGTTTGCCCCCCAACTTCCTTGAAAAGACTAAAATCGTTTACCGAAACGAAGCGTTCAGTTTTGCATTTCCCTCGCATATTTGACCCTATTTGACAAGAGGATGAGTCGTGCGTGGGGGCCGGCAGAGGCAAGACTGTGCGTGTGCTCGGTAAAAGTTGGCATGTCTACATCCTCACATCCTTGACGGCATCCTCGCCCTTAATAGCTCTAATAAGTTCGAAAAAGGCAGCAAACAGGATTGCCCCGTTGCCCCATTGCCCCATCCTCAGGCGGGACTGGGTACGATTGCATTTTGCCCGGTCCATCCCTGGTCCCCTTCCCTGCCCTGCCCGCGTCCCCTGTCAGATCCTTGTTCAGGGCGGGACTGTTCCTATTGGAGGAGACAGCAACAGACAGTCCACATTCCGCCGATCTTGTCCCTTTACCGACCCTTTCGCATGCGGAACCAAAACCGGATCTCTGATGAAGTCCACCACTCCTAGAGGATTGACGCCAGTTAGGGTAGGACGCCCAGGGCCAGGAGAAAAACCAGCTCGCTCTTTGGCAGGGCTGGGAGCATCAAGTTTTAACATTGGTGAAGAGGCACAGACATCCTCGCTTACCGAGTCTGCAGAAAGCCATGAAATGCGAGGCATATGTGGTGCAGAGGCGATTTATCGCAGGGGCCCGTTCATGTTCGAGGACGATATTGAGAGGATCTCAGACCTACCTTCTGGCTCCCCAGCGAGGCAACCGTAGATATGTTTTCAGTCCCGAATGTCAGGATCGTTCATGTCTCTTTTCCATGGGATCCACTGGGACAATTGTGCTGCGTCTTTTGGGCTCTTTTGCAACGCAGAAAGTGAGGTATCATTATTGCCCACTGATTTGATGCATTCCCCTGTAACAATTGGATGCATACAACCAAGAAGCCACACGCCGGCGATCCACTATCCCCGAGACCCCCCGTACCTCAGATGATGAAATGGGGCTACGGGTGGGATCGGCGTTGGAGAAGAAGTAAAGGACAAAGACGAAAAAGAAGAAAAAAAAAAAAAAAAAAAAAAAAAAAAAAAAATACAGATCTTAAAACGTTCGCTAAAATAGTGCGTCTTGTCAACTCAATTATTGGTGAAAAATCAAGGCACAAGTGGGGACGATAACGACTGAAAATAAGCATAGGGAGACTACCGTGTGAAGGATCGAAGCTAGTCCTACTAAGGAAGACGGATTGATACTGTCGTCCCATTCCTCCTTATTAGCTGCTGCATACGAAGATACACACGACGAAGTACATACAGGGAGAGTGAAGGCAGGGTTGTTATACGAAAGGTCGGCACTCCAACGGCATCGTCGGCTTTCTCCCCACCTCCAGACGCGGATCCCAGGGGTGACCCTCTTTGATGCTACTGAGGAAGAAGTATCCCCGATGGCCCCCTGGACGAGTACGACATGCGAAGACGCAATCATATTGGTACTTACCCATCAATATCATAATGCGAGAACTCCCAAGTAGACCGCCCTTTACATGCCAGGATGCTGGATCTGACAAGTGACGAGCGACAAGCGAAGCGAACGAAAGTATTACTTCGGAAGTAATGATAAACGTCCTCCAATGCCGTTTTTGGGCAGTCTTCAAGGTGCTGGTCCGGTCTGTCGGTCGAGTCCTACTCGGATCCCTGCAAACGACTCCCCAAGGGAGACGCTTCCCCGCCGCATATCTTCAGGCTCAATAACATCAAATGCTGTGCCCACGTTTGGTTTATCAAGAATTCTCGCCCATACGTCAGTTCCGTTCCGAAGTATATGGCGCTCCCATGTCCAGGTACCTACCAGGGCCGGGGAAGTAAAAAAAATCAAAGAAAAATTCTCGCCTTCATCCTGCGACTAACGTTTGAAAGTGGCGTGTGAAAATAAAACCGTTGAAAATTGAACATGTCATGCAGAATAAATAACCTTGAGCCTCCACATCTCCGGTCCCCGCCGCGACACTGATGTAAAACATGTCAAGCACCATGACTTCATACTTATTTTCTCGTTTTCCTTTTTCCTATCTGTAGATCTTCATTCCCTTCCATTGTTTGCTTCACCCAGTGCCTGTTTTGAATCTCTTGGGCGGGTCCGCCACTGAGACGGAAAACATTGGGAGTGTTGTCTTACTTCGGAACACAACATGTCGGCTCCTGAGGTTATCCTCAGTCCCGAGGTCGCGGCGGAGGATAAGGGCCCTGCTATCATTGCCGTGATAGTAGTGGTTACCATCCTCGAAACCCTCTTCACACTTGCGAGGTTGTATGTTCGGGGGAGAATTATGAGACATCTACAGCTTGATGACTACTTGATCATTCTCGCCGTTGTAGGTCCCGATTTCTTTTTTTTCCCTTCCACCCCTTGCACCCCGAGCTGTCGGGAACACAGCACCGATGCTAACTCACAGCATAGATCTGCGGCTGGTGCGCCGTCATTTTCGGAATCTTGGCCGTGAGCTCGGGCAATGGCAAGCACTTCGCCATTCTCAACGACAAACAGAAATCAGGCGCGATTCTCTGGACCATCGTCGGTTTCTGTCCGGGCATCATGTCCTTTGGCGTCCCGAAGCTTGCCGTCATTCACCTCCTTACGCGATTGATGAACCCGAGCCGCATCCACCGAATTTTCCTCTGGTTCTTGGGCACCCTGTGCATCCTTAGTCTCCTCGGATGTGTCGTCGTTCTGTTCGCGCAGTGCACCCCAGCGAGGGCGCAATGGGACTTTTCCCTCGAGAGGAAGTGTTGGAGCCCGTGGGTGTTGGTTAACTACGCCATCTATGCCGGATGTAGGTTTTTTTCTTCTTTCTTTTTTCTTTTTTTTTTTTCTTTTTTTTTTTTTTTTTTTTTTTTTCTTTTCTTTCTCTTTCTCTCTTTTGGCCTCTCTTTGCTCGCTGTCCTTCCAAGATGGCGGATACTGATCTCCTCTCCTTCAGCCCTGTCGGCCGCGACCGATCTATATCTTGCCGTGTATCCTGCCGTTGTCCTTTTCGGTCTTCGAATCCCTTTCAGAAAGAAGGTGGCCCTCAGCGCCGCTCTGGGAATCGGTTCAGTGTGAGTAGTCAACCAGATAATCATCATCAGCATCATTCATTGACCTGTAGCGCTCATTCGCGCGATCTGTTTTAGTGCAACCGTCGTCGCTATTTACAAAACAACCCGACTCCCGAATCTCGCCAGCCAAGACTTCTCTTACGATACTTCTGATCTCGTCATCTGGACCTGGTAAGTGGACTGCTATATCGCCCAACCCATCCGTCACACCGCCAGACTCAAGCCTATTTTCTTTTCCTCCCCCATTTCACTTCTATTTCTAATTCTTTTTCTCTCTTTTTTCTTTGCACGATTCTATGGACGTGTCCGTGCTAACTTTGAGGAAAGTGTCGAGGGCAGCACCATCATCATCGCCGCATGCATTCCCGTCCTCCAACCCCTCGCCGACAAGCTTACCGGCGGCCGATTCTTCAGCTCCAAGACCCGACGAAATTACAAGCACTACGGATCCGAACGGAGCGGCGCGCGCGTCGGACAATCAGACGTTGAGCTTTCCTACCATGGCCGCAAGCGACAGGTCAAGGACCCCAATGCCCTCACGTTCCTCGATCAGACAAAAGTTGGAAGCGAGGAGAGCATCCTCGGAGATAAGGAAAACCAGGTTCAGGAATCTTCCAAGCAGAGGAGGCAATCTCTTCAGCCAGGCGTGAACATCGTCCCTGGAAGGATCACGAGGACGGATGTGATCGAGGTCTCGCATAGCTCAGGAAGCCAGCAAACGCTGCACGGGATTCCCGAGCAAGGAAGGAGACACGTATGAGGAAATGCTCTGTATTATGTCTATTCTTATTATTCCTGTATTATTGTATCTATAACCTGGGGTTTAGATGATGGCGGATTGTTTCCACCGCGCGGAAAACAGTTTCTTGTTCTCTTCATTGTCGGAAGATGTGGATCAATTGGTGTATGTTTCTTGTAGGTGACGATGGCGGGTTTAGAGATGATTTTAAATTTAAAGGAAGACACGAAGTTCTGAGATGTAGAGAATTACTGGCTATTTGGTTTGTTTGTACGCATACATCGGATTGTCGACCTTTTCACGCGAAGAGGGAGGGTCTTGCTTCTCTTCGATACAATCATAGAATCGCATGTATGCAAAGAGGAGCATCATTCTACGAGTGTAGTAAACCTATCAACTTGAAGCACGATGACGATTTGGGGATGCAGCCCTACGACAATAGCGAAGAGGTCAAAGCTACACACACTACCAGATCACTAGATATTTCTAGGTGTAGTTTGTGTAGATCGTCCCCTGTACGTGGGGAGCCGGTGCCGAGGTTAGTTCAGGGCTGGGACGCTGTTTCTAAACTATCCTGCCGCAAACAATCCTTGGGGCTTCTTGAACAAGTCCCGGACACCGGCATTTGTCGGTCTGCTCTTTCTGGGCATGCATAAATCAAATAAAAATTAGAATACTAGCCGCCTTCTTTCTCCTGGAGCTAAGCAAGCCACAAACCCACACAGCCGTTAAAGATCATCCCACTGACCCGGTTTTTAGGGCATCGATATATCAGGCCATGACGGCGGATCTGCCCGACCAAACAGTCCCATCCCCAGGCACCTCCCGCTTGATTAGCGAGCCGACATTTGCTGCCAGCGCGAGGAATCGTTTCCATTTTGAAAGGAGAATGGGTCTATTTCCGGGGTAAACTGGGCAGAGTTTCTCGACGGGAATCTACTAAGGCCAGCACGCGGTGTCCTCCCACAGACCGTTTGCTACCACGAAGAACTCCTTACCTTCAGACACTCGGCATTTCGCCCACCAAGCCAGCGACGCATTGGGGTCGGTGCGGATAGTGGTTGTCCTGTCCCGGATAGACGGGCAAATTTTTGTTTCTCAAGTGCCGCGAAGGATTTTAGCTCCGTCCTCTTCTGGAAAAGCGAGAAATTCACCAACGGGTTCATTCTACATCGGAGCCGAGTCAGACCACTCGCATCGGAAGAGGAATGAAAAGAAAACGGAAACGAAAAACGAAAAACGAAAAGCAAAAAGCAAAAAGAAAGGGGGGGAGAGGGGGGAGTGTCATTTTATTTTTTGTTCTCAGCCGAAACCTACATATTGGATCCGTCAATTTCCTTTTCTCATAATTATCCTCGTGCCGTTTCTTGACGGGCAATCTCCTAATGGATGCATGAGCGCTGTGCTAAGGAGGATCTTGTGATTCTTGTCGGAGTATAAGCGGAGTTCCTCGAGTCTCTACCTCATTTTTGAATTGAAGAACTTGTTCATGATTTCGAACAAGATAATCGCGCTGTATGCCTGTATGCTTCCTCTCGCGTTTTTCGGTTAGCATTTTCACTTTGAACCTGGTCTTGTGCGGCGCAGACGTGAGCGGTAGATGATGCTGCAAGAACCCGAGCGTACGGCAAGGTGTGCTATTTATATTCCTATGCCGGTGTCATTAAAGGAGCCGCATAAAGTAGAATGTCAGACGATAGAGATGGAGGAGCCCTACATTCGAGGCCTCTAAACCCCGCAGAGCGACGTCAGCGGCTCTGTCTTGCTCGAGGGATTTCACAGCAACCTTCGCCCTCTGGGACGAGTATGAACGCGTAAGATCGGGGACACAGGCCCATCCTGGAACCTAGAGGGCCAAAAATACCGCTTCTAGAGCTTGAGTAGCCTAACTTGACGTCGTGGTTCCCCATCAGATGGGGAGAGATGAGATGTGGGAGTTTTGCAATATGAACCCGCACCCCAGCATCCCGCGGTCCCACTAGTATCCCCAGGACCAGGCCAGCCGGGATCGGAACTTCTGGGAATCTGCGCTTCCAGCATCCTGTTTACCATTTCCCACATCAAGATCTATCGATTACGTCCCAGGTTCAACCTGTGTGATTTGACTGAAAGAGTGCTTTGTGCACTTTTATCCAGCCCAGGGTTTCGTGCGCACTCCCAAGATCTTGCTCTGATGCATTCGGAGGTCATATCAATTATGATGGAGCGAGCGACGGCCTCGGAAATCATGATGGCGTCTCAACAAAGAGGCCAGACGGGATTGAGTGGGTTGTGGTTCAAATTCTACTTGATGTTGGTTCTCGAATAAATTACACCCTTCCCTATCCGATAAATCAGCACAGATTGGAATACTAAACATCGATCGCAGCAGCTAACGTGGGGCCAAGCGCAAATATGAGATCGTCCCAACTCGCTCCTGAACACTCGTTGGCCAAAATCCATCAAGCTTGTCTTGCAACGATTACTTCCCCCTTCCTCCCCTCTCCCAATCTTCCCTCTCAGGGCATACAATAAATACTGCGAAGACCAGTAAATGTTAATGTAAATATCTAGCAGCTGCCTAGTTGCTGCCTAGATTGTGCCGGGTGCCTTGTCCTAGAGCCAGCACTCTCTCAAGTCTCCACTGAGTTTCGTCCTGAGAGTGTCAGGTTGGCGATGCGGGTTGGAGGGACGAGGGTTGCGACATATCCTGCAAACTCCTGCTTTTCGCCTTCTTGATGTTGTCTTTTTCGAGATCTTCGTCCCGTTTCCTTTTGGACATGTCCGCCGTTTCGTTATATATGAATTGCTGGTTCCCCATTCTATACAACCCTGTTGTGGATCTGCCTGTCCTATCATCTCCCATACCGGGGTCGGACTTATTTCTCAAACCACCTCCGCTTCTCGATGGAGATGCTGAACCTCCCCGGCAAGGTGTATGCGGAATCGAACCCCCTGAATCTTGGCTCGTGCCAATCCCGCTATCATGAAAGAGACTTTCTATGTCCGAAGCCGTCACAGGTTCTCCCTCTTCTGGAAGTTCTCCGCGTCCGGCCCAGCGCAATGGGGACTTGGGGCTGTGCCCGAAAATGACGGCGCCGTCACTAGCTAGCGTGCGTGGACTGCGCTTCCCCCACAACTTTGGGAAGGAGGAAGGTAAAAGGACTTGGACCCGATCGTACGTCTTAGGAGAAGACCCGAATTTACACATGCAAGGCTCGAACGTAAGACTTGGAGTGTACCAGTGGATGTCGTCGACAATCCGCCACGGAGATATTCGCTTATTTCCTTTCTTTCGGAGGATTTCACTAAGTTCCGCCACACAAACCGCGAGGTAGTCCTTCCCAGTCGGAAGGGGAGAGTTCCATAGGCAGAAGGGACATGATGGTGAGGCGGACGAGGATGTCATAACAGCTGGAATGAATAAGTCGCCGAAGCCGGACCCGAAAAGCGTTGGAGCATGGATGGCGCGAGAAAAATCCACCCAGCCTTCACCGGTAGTGTGAAGGGTCGCAACTTTGGGCCATATGGTGCCTTGGTTGGTCGCAATATCCATGAAGTCAAACCCTTCAAGCTGGCGGCGAGGCGTCTGCAGCAAGCGGAACCCAACGCCCGATCGAGTCTGAGAGTCGTCTTGGTGGGCGGCGATTTCCAACAGATGGTAGCATAGTTGTTCGACGCGATCCCTAACGCAAAAATATGTTGTCTTTTTCTTCACTATGGGGTCTGGCTCTGTCAATGGCGTGAGAGTGTTCTCCTTCCATGCCTCTGTTTTCTTAGGGTACAGGGGGATGCTTTGGTTCTCAACGTCTAGGAGCACCTCGCAGGCAGGTACAGCTCCCATGCTGCTGGCTTTTGCTTCCTTTAGGATAGTTTTCTCCGAGCAGAGAATGCTTCGGAATCGAGGGTCATCTTCATAATTCTGAATAGAGGCGCGTAGGAGATGCAGGATGGTGCTGGCACCATCAACCAGCCAAGCCCGTCGGTCATCTCGGTCATAGAACACAAAGTACCTATCGGCCACGTTGCGAAGGATTCCAGGATAGTCGTCTCCGAAGCTGATATATCGTGGCTTGTCCTTGAGACCCAAGATGCAACTGACACCGGCAGTCACTATAGAGCCACCACTTATGGTGACTTTTTCGAAAGCACAACTTTGTGTAGGACCTGGGAGCCCGGACCAGCCAATCGAGTAATTGGCACCTAAAGCACCCGCAAAGCTGATAATCTTGTCACACCACCCAACAACATGTCGCCTCTTCTCCAGAACGTCCGGGGTTGGACCCTCTGCCGACTCTGGCCAACGAGGCACCCTGGGGTCCTGGTAGGATATGTAAGATCTGTCATCATTGTATACAAGATGCCAAAACACCGTGTCCACAGCCATCTTCGTGACCACCAAGAGTGCTGAGAAGCCTTTCAGGTACATCGTTCCTCCGAACTTAACAAGCCGCTTCGCATTTATCAGAGCAGCGACAATATCCACTGGGACATCGAGGCCTGATTCCGACTCCTGTCGCCTTGGTATAGGGTAGCCGGGGACAATCGTGGGATTCCTGAACAATCCATTCCAGCATCTGCCTTGGGCAAGTAGTTCTGTGCTAGACAGATCTTCAAAACGGTACCCAAGCTTGAATGCTGCAAGGGCATTCTGGCCGAGCTGCCTACCGCCCATTGGTATCAAGTTGCTTTCCGAGGAAACGTTGGAAACGTATGGGGTGCAGTACTGGGATCCGTCGTCAAGAGAAGACGAGCGGAGAGCTGCCCCAAGCCACGCGACCTGTTCACCAATTTCCGCGACTGAGAACATATTTCCACTGGCTAAAAAAACCAGTTGCGATGATTGCAGATTGTCTTCGATTTGGCAGGTGACTCGCGTTTTTCCAGGTAAAATTCCTAGGATATTTTGTTAGCTCACACACCGTTCGGATATAGGTCTCGGTCAAGAGGATGACGCTCGAAAAGCTTACCATCCCAGCAGCTTCCGCTCCTTCTATCTATCCCACTCTGAATAAGGCCCAATAGTGCGGGCCCTGTCTCGGGCCATGTCTGGCGAAGATACTGGAGGCAGGTAACAGCTTCCACGTTGTTACCGTATCCTGTGAGAGTCACGGCGCGTGCGAGGACATCTTTAAGTGGCGATTCGTATTGTTGATCTTTCCAGAAGGTAAAGGGGTCCCAGTTGCTGAAAAAGACTGCTTTTACCTCCTGGAGATCTTTACGACTGACACGTTTGGGCCGGCCAAAGGCATCGATAATCTGATCCCTCATCGAAACCATTGTGTTGCTGTTTCCAGGAACCGTCAAGTCGCGCTCCCTTAGCAAGGTTTGCACGAGCCATCGATACGCTGAGGACTGAGGAAGAGCACGGCGGTAGGTTGAGAGCTCGGGAAGCTGATCATCGTCCACGTCCTCATCATCTATATTTTGGCGCTCAATTTGATCGTGAGGATCGCTTACGTTTTCCCCATCTTCCGCATTTTCAAGCCAGGTACGAACCCTCTCATAGGAATCCATCCCGAAATCGCCGCGCCGCGACAAGTCTTCACCTAGGTCATCATCGCTGTAATTACCCTCTTTTGCGGTTTCGCGCCCTAACCGACATTTAACAAGATCACTAATCTGGCTTTGTGATGCGTTAGTGGAAGTCTTACACAATAGGGGCAGGAAATATGCACAAGCGATGTCTATCCACGAGGTGCTTCACTGGATTACCAATATACACCGGAATTTCATAGGCGATTCTGCTGGCGAAGGACCGCAGGATTGATGGAAGTTGCGTCGAGATATTCTGGATGTCATTTCGAGAAAACTTCGCTGGTAGGGAGTTGCTAAGTTCGTCGGCAAAGGCAACAGCATACTCGTGGAACTTCGGATTTTGGAGGCTTTCAGTGTCTGAATACACAGTCTCCGCGTATTGCCTCGTTTTGGCATGTGTATTAATACCTCGTTGCAAAAGGCTCGGTTCATTCTGCGGTTCATTCTCTAGAGGCCGCTTTTGAACATCCTCTTCGATTGTCTCTACGCAGCCGGGAACTGCCTTTGCAAGACCGTTGGACCCATACCCGGAGTCCGTGAATGCATCAAACCACGGTGCTGATGATATTACCGGGTAGCCATGCGCCAACTGCCATTCAGGAGAATTCAGTGGGTTTCCATGGCATAAGGCCGCGAAAGGAGAGTTTATTTCCACATTCCTGGGTGGCGTTGTTGTTTCGGCCTGTATTCCGGGGTGTCTTGGATACTTTCTTACACCCCACCGCTTCAAGTGTGACCGATATGAACGTACACTTGGGGATGGATGTTAGCTTAAAGACATTAACAAGAGGTGGGGTATTCACCTTTTGGAGAAGTCATATGTTAATGTCATCACCTGTCTAACCTCGCTTAACCTCCGGTTCTGGTCTAGGTATAGAGATGTTATGACATCTCTGTATTGCTCCCATTTATCCGAGCTTTCTGGTGGGATGTCGTCGTGTTCTTCTTGCATAGTCATCGATTGACACTGCTTGGAAGGCTATCAAAGGTTACCGGGACTGGATTGGAAAATGGGCATGTCTTTTCTTCTGCGCGTAATTGCGATGTTGTTGATGTTGCCAGGAAAGCCTTTTCGCCTGGCGTTCAAACCTTCTCAGAGACTTCAGCAACATCATCATCAAGAAACATAGAACAGAGAGAAGACAAAAGAAATGGGGCTGGTCAGTTGTTATACAAAGATGCATTGGCCGAAATGCACGTTCCTCTCCGCCTTGAGGTCCGCCTTACCTATCATCTTTGCCAATAGTCACCAATATGGTGGTGGCGCGGTCATTACAGATAAGGTACCAGTTGAGGGCTTTTGGCATCTGCGATGGACAAACCAATAATGGTCGAGTATGCAACTGCTGTGCTTACATCTCCTCTCTCTCCGAGAGTCGGGTAGATAAGGATATCTGTGGTGTTGCTGCCCAATCTCTCAATATTGTGGTTGTGCCTGAATACCCTGCGCCGGTCCGCCTCAGATTCCCTGATTAAGTATGTGTAACCCTTGTATTTCGTTTCAGACACCCGGACCCAAATGGCTCATCCGCCATTTTAGAAGTTGGAGCGAAGAGATTCAGCTGAAACCAAAAGGCGTCGAAACTGTAGACCCCAGAACGTGTAGTTCTTTCCAGGTATGATCCCACTAAGATCATCCATTGTCGCCTCCTGCAACTAAGCTGTAGCCAGCGTCTAGTTGCGCGTGACGTCGCTATCTACCCTAAATACTCCTAAGGTTGCCCAACGAAGTATCGAGTCTCGCAAAGAATGCCATAGACTCTAGGAGGAGGAAAAGGGGAAGAAGAGGAAAGAAGAAGTCAATTCATCGAAAAAAAAAAGACAAGGAGAAAGAAAAAAAAAAGGAAAGGAACGGAGAAAATAGGCCGCAAGGGCAAAAAAGAAGACATACAACACCAGGGATTCTGGTCGTCACCGACCCAACTACTAGTCTGGCGCTTCGTAGCTTATGTATAGGGGAGGACGGGACCCTCAGTTGTCTACGAGCTATGGTCGTATGTACTGAGGCAGTCTCCCAGGACGCTATTTATAGCCTTTGGCCCATCGACTAGGGAAAATAAATGCGTCTCTTTCAAAACCTCCCAGTCAGTCTCAACACCGGAACAAGTCACATCGGTTGGTACTGGGACCACTCTTGCCGGTTCCCAGTGATAATCAGTAAATCTCTTTGATTGTGCCTCGCCAGGTGTGAATTGAGACGGGTAATGGCTGTGACCGGCCAGAGCCAGAGTATCCCTTAATATTTCGGGGGAATGCGATGCTTAGTTAGCTGAGCGGGCTCATGGGAATCTGGGTTACTGCCCTCAGAGTCACAGGTGTACTTTTGCAAATTCATATGTTTGTTTTACAGACCTCTCTAGTGCTCGAGAGTATGAGCAGATAAAGAACAAAAAGAGAGTGTCAGTAGCTGAAGGCTAGGTTGCGCAACTGACCTGCACAAATAATATAGGAAGGCATACAGGAGCGTTCTCCGCTATTTCCCAAATAAGAGAACTGTCAGGGTTGATAGTCTTCGGGAGATTCTAGCATTGGAATAAACAAGTTTGAATTCCGAAGACAGAAAGCTCGTCAATAGGAGCGAGCCAACATTCCAATTTAACCAGACCAAACCCCACCAAAAACCAAGTAACTCCTAGATTAACTCGTTATCTCGTTATCACATGTCCTCCGGCCCGTATTGCAGATACATAAGAACATCCAGTGTTTCATTAGCCATTGCGGGCGGCGATATTCCCACCTGGCGTACTCCTTTGTCACTCTCACTTATCAACAGCTTCTCCCTTCGGCTGATTCGGGGGGTATTTGGGAGGGGCGTTGGAATCGAAGCCCCAGCCGCCGTAACCATCGGCCGTCCCAACACCGCCGAGTCCGCTGGTAGGTCCCATGTCAAGCTTCCCGGCAGCTTGGTTCCCGGCTACGCCTGGCGCCGTCTTGGCCCACTCATTCACCTGCGCCTTCGTCTTTCCCGTGTACTTGAGCATGTGTTCATCGGAGATTGACTTGTCTCGGCCGGTTTTGGAATCGTGGTAGCGTCTGTAGAGAGATTTCTTCTCCGTGCCGTTGGCGGAAGCCGTCTGAGTCGACTCTACGGAACCCATCGTGGGTTGCGTGATTTAGGCGTAGAGGCGGTGGAGTTTGTGTGGTAATTAGAAAAGTCAAGATTTCTTGCGTCTGCTACCTGCTTCTGGTCTCTGGCATGTTGATTCGAAAACGGCAATATTATAAACCGAGAATCGAGACCGCAAAGCCGGACCTCTGAGTGATGGCACTCTGCTGCCGCCTCGTTTTTCATGAGCATAGCCTCAGAACCAAGAATGCACTGGCTTTGTGTGGTCATGGGCACAACTCAGCCGCAGAGTCGTACATGTCTGATGGAGGTCAACGCAAGTGTTTAACTGGCCCATTTACGACACCTCTAGACATATCACTGGAACCTGCATCAAAGGAAAGCTCGGTATTGGCCATAGCCGAATGGATGAGAAACACAACGAGTCGATTGTGGGGGAATAAAGCCGGGATTTGGCCGCCAATTGCCCTTCATTACAACAGAAGACTGAAATCCTACGGCTCTATGCATCCAGCCAAGTCCAATACCTGTTCTCAGATGGGCATCGTGCCATGGGCCAGTGTGGCTTAGGAAATCGGCATATTTTATCCTAGCTAGACTGTTCAGGATCAGAAAGGCGTAACTAAGAAATTGTCCGGGAATCAGTCTTTCCCGTGACGTTTTAAAAAGGTGTGATGCTGAGGCCCCTCAATGGCCTATCAAAGCTAATATACAAGGCCTGCGGGTGTTGCCGTCAAAACTATCGATTGATCGAGCATTACTGGGTGAGATACACAGGTACTCGCGTTGACACTGCTTTTCCCTTCATATCTCTGGGAGGTATGTAGCCGCAGACCTACGTCCCCAACATCGGCTTTGGCGGACTCCGCGCTTCCACGCCCGAAAGCTCACCACTTTCATGATCGATTTCAAAGGCGGGCAGCGATCCATGGAGCCGTCTTGCTGACGAGACTGTCTTATTTGTTCAATCATTTTTGGCTTCCCTTTTTCTTTTCTTCTTTTTCCTGAAGATAGTCAAGGTGCACGACTATGGCATGACCCCGTGATGCCAAGAGAGTAGACTGTCGCTCAACCCACATAAGTCACTAGGATAAGACGCTCAATTGCGTGGAGATGAATGATCAGCCAACGTCATTACCATCCATTGCGACAGGGATGGCCAAGAATGCTTGCAGGCGGATTGGCTGTCCTCCATGCAGCTCAGCTTTAAGGTTTGTCGATCAGTGGAGAGCTCAAACTATGAGCTTCTGACCATCATATGCCGAGCATGGATTGGTCTGCCGCTCCAAATTATCCAATTGAATGTAAACTACTAGACCTTCATCGACTGCTTCATTTCGCACTAGCTCTCCGAAGAGCTAAGCTTTCAGTAAGCTCAAGGAATGACCTCACGACATAAACTGATCATACCTCCTCGTTCATCGTTACCGTAGATTTAAGAATTATCCGATGCTATGATGCCTTGTCCCTTTGAACTTGAGGGCACTTACTTCTGTCTTAAATATCTTCCAATATCCCAATATCCCTAGTAACATTCCTATTTTCCTCAATCCAAACTGCAATCTAGCCTGACAGCAACCTCAACCATGGCCCCCCCTATTCTTGGTATTCCGCCCTCAGCCCCTCTTTCACGCCTCCCTCCAGGGCCTGAGCCGGGCCCCTCCCAACCCCACGCTCGACGAGTCTCCATCCCTTATTCCGAGGATAACATCTTAACCAATGTCCTTTCCCGCCAGTCTGCTCATCGGAGATCCTTTTCTAGACGGCTCAGCATCCCGGATACGTCCAACATCTCCAGTCTCGTCTACTCTCTTAAGCGTAGAAGTTCTACAGAGCTTGGCTCGGACACATCAGCTAGGCTCCTGAACACGACGTACGATTCTCTCTTGGAATGGATTGGAGCACAACGCATGAGCCAGCTCCCTCCAGAGGGAAGCAGCTATGACAAGGTGCTCGCGTGGGCTCAGTTGTTTGTCGAGAGGCTGAATTCCTTTGATATGGCCATCGAAGAGTTTGCAGGCGATAGTTATCTCGCCGCCCAACTCGCCTATGGATATTGCGCGCTTTTGCTACAGGTACGCTTGCTTCTTCTTTCACCATTGAAACAGTGCTGACGGATTCTGTAGCTTGGCAAAGAAAATGCCCCGGCGTTGACGATATGCTTCGGGCTCTTTTACAACATGTCGGGTTCTCTCGTAAATCTATTGGAGCGGACTGAGATGTTTAGCGTATCGCCGGAGATCAGGGAACAACTTGTTCTGGCTCTGTCAGACTTGGTCACCCTGGTCGCTGGCGTTTCAACCCATTTCCACAAGGCAATTAGTGGTCTGATGACATCGCCAGTTTCCATCAACATCTACAGCCTCTTCCCCGTTCAGATCAAGGCGTTCATGGACCGTTGCGAGAGGACTGGCGAAGCGATCTGGCGAAGCCAGCTTTTGAAGGAGGGTATGGATGCTAGCAAAAGTAAGTTTTTTTTTCCATCAAGACATCGGCCCTGGAAGATGAGTTACTCACCAGGCCCTACCAGTAGTATCCGATGTTAAATCCGTCAAGAACTGGGTGGCTCCAGAAGAACATCTTCTCAAGAACTTGGTCAACTCAACGTCTCATCTGGCACACGACCGCGAGGAGCTGACCTGCCTTTGGATGGCCCCATACATAACGCGCTTCCTAAAAAGCCCGCAGAAGATGTTGTCTATCAGTGGCAAACAAGGATCCGGCAAGACAGTCTTGGCGTCGGTCATCGTAGATTACCTCCAGCAGCCTATCGGCGGGGCGATGTACACTTCAATCTTTGTTCCTATCAGTAAGTGGTTCCTGGCTTCACACTTAATACTTAATCCAGCACGACGACTAATTTAGTCCACATAGACAGCAGAATCCCTGCAGAGGCAACGCCTAGAGCTATTGGCAAAGCCATTCTCAACCAGCTTTTCGAAAGGCGCATTGGAAATATCCAGATACTCCAGGTCCTCACCGATGCCTACGAACAGAGCAGGAAAGTCACCTCAGACAAAGAGTACGATGAGATTATCTGGAATGCTCTCGCAGATGTGATGGCCTCTCCACTCCACGGAGCCAAGGAGCTTATCGTCATCATTGATGGCATGGATGAGGCCTCCTGCAGCGAGCCGGCGTTGTTCCAGAGGTTGAACACCGCCGCCAAATTTGCAACCAACGTTAGGTTCATCACTCTTGGGGCTGAGAAGCAGTCGCTTGGCCCCTTCCAGAGCAATCTCCTTATCACCGAAGACATGATATTTGATGATATTGTAGCCGTTGTTCGGGGCCAGCTCGACCACGGAAAAGTTTTCCACTCCATGTCCGAAGTAGATCAGGAAAAGCTTGTCACCCGCATCGCCCACGCATCGAACGGTTCGTTCCTTTGGGCCAGACTTGCCGCGAGGCGAGTGCGCCTTGAGATGAACGTGGATCATCTCCGAAAGGCTGTGGACTCTCTTGCTAGTTCCAAGCCATCTGTCACCGACCTTGTCACTCAGTTTATCCACTTAAATGGCGTCACAGACGGAACCAGGCACATTCTGCTCTGGCTTGCTACTGCTGAGCGACCCCTCTCACTCATGGAATTGACAGCGCTGGCCACTATGCGAACGGACAAGGGTGCTGTCCTTGACCCCACTCACCCTGATATGCTCGCCACCTTGAGGCCTGTCGAACCCCTTCTGTTCCTCCAAGATGGCCTTGCCTATCTCCGCCACGGTCTCATCAGAGCTGCAATCCTTGATCTCTTTGCCAAAGGAAGGTTGGTTCAGGGCATCAAGGATCGGCACGAAGACCTCGTCACCAGGCTTTTGCTCTACATCAAGGATAACGTCACCCAGCATCACGAGATTTCTCTCTCGACTCTGGATGTCCACGACACCAACCAACTCTTGAACAAGAATCCCTTGCTCGACTTCGCCGTTCGTCATTGGCCCGCCCATATGAGACATACGTCTGTTTACGCAAAGGAGGGAAGTACCGGTGTCGCCAAGTCCTTTTCAAAGGTCCTGCCAACATCTGTTGCTGCCATACTTCTTCAGGGATCTCTCTGGCAACATAGGCCGGCACCTGTGCTCCTTTTGCACTTGCCAATGGTGACAGATATATACCGCCATATGTTAACGACCAAGAACCCCGTCACGCTTCAGTGCATGATCTTCCAAGCCATGCTATACCGCCGCGTTGAGTTCTTCGACGAAGCGATCCCTTTGCTATATGACGTTACAATGGCAGCCCAGAATCTCCTTGGCCCTCGCAGTACGGTAACCATGCAGCTATCGGGTATCTTCCTCGAGACAACTGCACCCAAGATGGACACTAGGAATACGGAGCTTATGAACAATAGAGAAGAGATGCTTCTTCTTTTCGTCGAATGTTACCAAATGCACTATGGCCAAGACTCCGAGCACGTAGTCTCCGCTCTCCGAATGTTGGCTGAACATTACCAGATGACCAAGCAGGAGGAAAAGGCTCAGAAAATCCTTGACTCGATTCACGCAATCACCACGAAGGCGATGCGGGAGCGCGCCGGGGAATTACACGCGCGCCATCGCGGTCGTCGTGAGAGGGCCGCCGCTGAGGGTGGAGTCAGCCTGCTGCTAGACGTCGAGGAGCATGACGAGCTGGCTGAAGGATCTCGGTCATATGACTTTGAGTTCTCGCTCAAGCAGGCAGAAAACTACGCATCAGAGGGATGGCTAGACCGCGCCGAGCACCTGTACATTGACATGTGGCAGCGTGCGAGCCGGGAATATCGGGTCCATCACTCAGACGTTTGGGAGGAGCGCAAGTTGAAGGCTATTCTTGGCTATAGCAGATTTCTCCTGGCACAAAACAGAGAAACCGACGCCGCCTCTATTCTCTCTACCGTGTGGGAAGACTACAAGACAAGGCACGCCATGACCCTGACCCAGGCGTCTTGTGACCTGTTTCACCAGATGGCCAGCATCATGAAGGAAGCGGGTCTCTGCACGGAATCCTTGTCAGTCCTCAAGCATTGTGCGCAGTACTACGAAAGCACCAATCGCACGCAGAGCGCAATGTACCAGGAGATTACGGAGACCATCCAGAACAACTCCAAGGAGATCATGGAGATGATGAGCTCCGCTGAGACCAGGGTCACATCGGAGTCTACTTTGGAAGAGATGGTTCTGGATGCATGCAAGTCGGGCAGCATCGACCAAACGACGCTCACGGCAGTATTCAACCTCGTCGATCTGTACACTTCTCAGCACCGCTGGCAGGATGCCACTCGACTGATCAAGCGAGTCCTTCGCAGCATCTGGCCATCTCTATTTTGTCCTAGTGCACAAGACGTCACGGCTCCATCTAAACATGTAGATGAATGTGTAGAACTCGCGGAGCGCCTTGCTCAATGCCACCATACCCGGCGCCGGCCTACGAAGGAGGGAGACCTTCGAGTTCGTATCTACCGCGCAATGAGGACAAGCCGCAAGGTAGACGACAAGCTGAGGGACCGTGTGACACTGCACCTGCTTCGGTTCTTCGAGAATCAGTCCCAAACGGAAAAGCTCATCAAGATTCGCCAGGAGATGCTCGATGATTGTACTGATCATCATGGCCCTGAGCATCCTACCGTTATCAAGATGCTCTGGGAGCTGGCCGAACTGACGCGTCCCCGTCCCATATTTGTCGAGTATTACGAAAAGATCATCCGCACCCTGAACAAAAACTCATATATCACCAATTCTGAAGCGTTTGAGCCGGTGAGTATTGTAGCCAATGAGCTCTGGAGCAAAGGGCTCTTCTCCGACGCTCTACGCTACTACAAGATGATGTTCGAGACTTTCCTCAGGCAGCCGGAGATCAATGACAAGCTCCAGGATCAGTCTTTTGTGAGAGAGATTTTCACCCGGTACACACATTGCCTTCGAAACGTCGGCACAGAGTTTACTGTCATTTATAAGGTGATGGCCGACTATCGTGCCCAGTGCAAGACTGTTTTCGGTTCAAACGCCTCCATCACAATCCAGGCCACGCTTGCTCTCGCCAAGATGTGCCAGGACACGGAGCGTCACGAGTTCGAGGCTATTCAGCTTTATGAGGAACTCCTGAAAACCGAGTCGGGTGAGATTAACCACAAGGACATCGCGACCACGTTAGATTCGATCTACGAAGAGCAAATCGATGCTGCTGCGTCCAGCCAGCCGGAGGCGGTCTCTGCTACTCAGATCAGCCGGGCCATTCAGGTTCTCAAGCAACGCATGTCCAACATACGGGAGACTCACGGATGGGCTCATGAAGAGTCCTTGTCGAAGTTGTCGGAGCTCGTAAGACTACGAAACCAGCAGCACGAAATGGATCTCCTTGCCAATGAACTGGCTGATGCGGCCGCCAATGTGTTGAGTACGGAGACATCCTCTGCTCGGCTTATCGCAGCCGCGTCCACCATTGCATCGGGCTACATTGAAAGCGACCAGACCCAAAGGGCCATGGAGCTTCAACACGAACTCTACCGCCAAATCGTCATGAAGGATACTGTGAACGCAGCTACTTACAAGTTCAACATTTCGTCTCGCGGACGTGATAGCCTTGTTTTCCTGGCTCAGTTTGAGTACAATCTCCGACGCAACTCCGCCACCGTCAATGAGATCCTAGCGATGCTAACAACCCAATACGTGTACTTTGAGGAGGTGCGGCGCCTGATGAAGTCCAAGTCTAGCTCCTTCCTTGACGTTACCGTTGCTACTGGCCGTCTTCATCAGTGCCTCCTTGCCAATGAAAGACTTGCCCCAGCTGCTCTTGTGTTCGGAGACTTTACCAACTACTTCATCGACACGGAGGGTAAGCGAGTTCACCTGACCGAGCCGTCTCAGGTCAATATATTCCTCCAGACTCTCCTACAGCATTTCAGCACCCACAAATCTCGAGACTTCATTCGCTCCGTTGGCATCAGCGGCAGCGATGGCGTTGTGTATCTTCTCCGAGCTGAGCGGTATGAAGCTGCCTGCGACCTCGCCCTAGCGACTTTTACGTACATCTCGGCCCATGACGAGTACCGTACGCCCGTCGTTGCCAAGCTCGTCTTAGTGCTCGGCATGACCATCGCTGGCAGGGATCTTCTTCCTCAGCCCGATGAGCCTGCTCGCAGAAAGATGCTTGAAACGTCGAGTACCATCGTTCGAGATGTTCTTCACGTTCTCAGCGAACTCAAAGTTAGTCTCGAACAAATAAGCTTAGGCCACCTGAACAAGATGATCGGGCTTCTCGGTGAACAGCACGACTATCGGACTCTGTCATGGCTCCTGACCACACTGTGGCACAGCCGCGAGGCCCAAAGCAATTGGCACCCGTCCATCACTCTGTCTCTCGCAAAGCGGTATATCATGGCTCACTATCTCGTCGGCGACTCCACTGCTGCTGTTCGTCTTGCCGAGGACATTGTCTACAACTGCCGTCGAGTCCACGGCACGCGGCACCCATCCACCCTAGACATGTCCGTCTTCCTGACGCAGCTATACACCAGTATCGCACAGCGGTACCAGGGCCAAAAGTCTGGCGGTCGGGAAATTGCCAACAGATACTACAAGAAGAGTGCCGCGGTCCACGAGAACATCCTGCGCGTCTTCACCGATCCATCCTACGCGGAGATGGAGGCTGGGCTAGATGGCACTATGACTGATGGTGGCTCCAGCTCCGGGTTTGAGGCCATGGAAGACCTTGAACAGGCAACCCTTCCAGATGGGCAATATGTCCGCCGACACTTGCACTTCCTCAAACTTGCGCTGGAGCGCCTTGGGAGTTGGCCTAAGGACTATGCTGAGTATGAGCGTCTCAACGCTGATATTTTCAGAAAGTACGCCGAGGATCTAAAGGGTGTTGATGGGGTCGAGAAGTGGAATCTCAGCGGATATGGTTCTGGCAAGGCTGAGGACAAAGATGACCTGCTAGACGCCGAGTTCAATAGTTGGGAGCTCGTTATTCCAGAGGAAGGGGAGGATGAATTGTAGATGGATGCTCTTGATTACCGAGCTTCTCATGGCTTTCAAAATCTAATATTATTTGGGACAAAAAAAAAGGGGGACACACATCGCTGGTGAACAAGGTTTCCTCTGTTGGCTATGGATACGGGATACGCAGGACACCAATAACCAGATTGATATTTGCTATTATATTTAGACAAGCAGAAAGCATGCCCAATGTCTCTCGCTTCGTAAATTTGGAATCATTGACCATCGCTAGTGATGAGCAAAGAGAGCGAAAGCGCTTCCGCCCTCATTTGCACAGAATAAATTTATCTCTTTCAGAGAGTGCCTGATTCTTATATTAATGTTCAGCCGCAGCAGGGCCGGTCATGGTCTGAATGGAGAGTGGCTATGCCTTGCATCCGGCATTTCTCGATGCAGGCAGCTCTCCCCGCCGTTCATACGGCCGGAAAGGATCAATTGAGCTTTCAGTGCGGGATTGGGAGTGGCTGCAAGCTCTGAAACCGTGATGGTGCTGCAAGAGATCCTTTTAATGCGAGCAGGCAGACTGCATCTGTTGAAGGTATTCCGAGTTTATTCACCACTTGCAAATCTCCTCCTCCAGAGCGGTAGGCGCCTAGAAAATGGCACGACGTTGACGTTTCGCCTCCCTTAGCCGACAATCCTATGACGGCAGCCGTGTTCTCCTCGCATGAGCCAGCTGAGCTTTTTCGCCCCCAATCTCATGTAGGATTCTGCATCCTGAATCCTCGGTCCAAAAACCCAAAGATTTAGTTTCGCTGGAGAGTCGCCTTCCTAACGTTAACGCTCGACGACCGCGCTTGAGGAGGTGACGAAGAATGTGCAGTGCCTTGCCAAGGATACAAAACCTCGAATCCCCGCGTTGTAGACGAGAGTTGATGTTATCATGTAGCTGAAGCCGGGATCTTAAGATACTCGAGAGGGCACATCTGATATACGAGAGTATGCCGTTCTACAGTACATTACTAGTTCGCGTTATCGCCTTTTCCATGCAAGATGATTTCCAAGTTAGTCTTTGCGCTCGTCACTCCCATCATCTTTTCTATTTCCGTCGCCAGAAACGTTTACCTTCCTCCCCAATGTGATAATCCTCCCTATTATACTAACACCGAACCCTCCTCCAGCGGGCTCCCTAGACGGTAACACATACATCGATGCCTCGGATAGTGCCATAAACTTCAGTGATGCCCATCCGAACAAGGCATTCGACAAACTCTTGACGCAATGCTCAGCCGTCGGCTCCGGCGATGCCAAGTTGTGATTGAGAGACCAATGTCGCTGAAGATGGATACTTCAAAGACTATCAAATTACAGTGTCTGCCGATGCATTGTTCAACCCCAAGAAGACGTCAACACGGGAGACTCTTGTTGCTATGCTCAAAATCGTTCCTAACCAGGGCACCGAGACAACTGAGGGTGCTTACGAAGATCCTTGCGGAACCCCTTTCTGTGGTATGCGTTGTCCATCCTCCTCCAGGTTCTCATTTCTAGGTTGTCTCATGTACCTGACAAGTCTATTCTGTTAGAGGTCAAAAGGATGCGCCAACACAGGCTCATGCAGACCATCCACATTACAATTTACGACTCTTGATGAAGGCGGAGATGACGCTTCCCTCAAGGTCTATCCGTAAATCGGCCCTGTGTCTGATGGCTTCTGCGCCAAGATTGTGTGGGCTGGAAGCTCTATTGGCGGTGCTATCAGTTGGCATTTTAGGCCTAGTGTTTGGCTTGACCACTTTGCATTGTAGTTGAAGTTGGTTTTTGCTGTGACATGTATACAAGACGCCGCGCTATGGGTCAACTTGCAGTCGTAATTGCTACATGTAGCACACAGCTTTTTTTTTTCTCTTTTCTCTCCTTTTTCCCCTCTTTGGATAAGCCATTCTTATTCATAGGAACAGCCTGCCCAGGGCAATGTTAACGCGCCTTTTAAACAAACTATGTACATGAAGGATGAACCCGTAATAGCCTTTCTCCACCATTGGCCTCGACCATGAATAGCGCCCTGTCGCAATTCCATCTCGTCGTGGCAGTCTCCTCGAATGTCCTCTCTCCATCTTGGTTGGTCATCTCCTTAACGTCCATTGCCATAGAGAGGATCTCCTCGCTTCCAGCAATGAGGCCAATAGTCTGTATGACATTTGATGGCGCGTCGACGTCCCAATCTCGCATCTCGGCGCTCCTAGCGCATCCCAGTACAGCGAGGGCTAAGGAACCACCCAAGACCACCAGAATAAATATACACGCCCAATCGACGGCAAATAGCTTCTCGATATCGTTCACCACTTGAACTGTCGTGTTTCTGAAATCCAGGGGCCAGCCAGCGGCATCGAGTGCCATGGTAGAAGTGGCAGTCAGGAAAAGCGTCGCGTACACGGACTGCATGGATGCGATCATGTCTTCTCGTAGTTCGTCCAGATCTGATGGCCATGCAACGGAAAGGGGCGTTGAGGTATTTCTTCGAGTCACATCAAACTTGTTTAAGATTAGATTGCCGAATGTATTCGTCCTGGAATTGGCAAGAGCCTGTGTGGCGCTTTGCTTGACGATTGCCTTGACAACGGCGCGGAAGTCAGACCTCGAGCCGTCAGGACCCTCGCAATTTGTAGTTGAAGTGTATTGACAAGGGGTGCGGTCAAATTCCTTGACCGCTATGCGCTCAAGAACACCAACCTTTAGCGTTCCGACGTCGACTCCAAATACCGGTGAACATATGGCAAGTTGAGTCGCCAAGGCCAACTTTTCCCGTTCTCCTGTATTTGGCCAAGCAAGAAGAAAGAGTATCCTGGATGTTGTGATGTTATTCCTCGACGAAACGCAGTCAGAGACTCCTGTCGGGAAGTACATGTTATATTTCGACCCCTCAACCTCGAAGTCGTGCTCCATCTCGCATCCATCCTGAGAAGCCGTGAGACGAAGTGTCCTTTGTGTAGAATTCCCCCCAGTAACGTCCGTTACTTCGTAATCATCCTCGTCGATGAAAGAGCAGTTTGTGAGGCGAGAATAGTATCCCGGCACGGCAGGGATCTCGATGGTAGTGTTGTAGTCCCACACAACGCCGTCGCCGGGCATAAAGGAAGGAAACGCGTAGTCGTTGTTCATCCACTGTGAAAACAAGTTGCCTCCACCGCCGTACACTCCAAGGGCCGACGTGATTTCAAAGGCGCGACTAAAGTCGGCATTCTCATTCAATCGACCGAGATTCAGATTATCCTTCTGTAAAGCGATTCCTTCGGTCCTGTGCTGGTAAAGTTTGGTTTCCAAGAGATGAGAGGATAGCGGGATAAGGATAATAGAAAAGAATGTTGTCAAGGCCACAGAGAAGCCCGATATCCAGTGTCCATTCTTCCACGCTTTGAAAACAGTTATCGGCGGAAAAGTGGAGCGGTAATTGACGAGGACGGAGCGTTCACCTCTCGTAGGGCCCTTGTAGAGCCCAAGGTAGGGCTCAAGATCGAGAATGTCGTCGTAGCATCTCCTCATGTATAGAGCGAATCCGCTGAAGAAGAAAGTCGGGACAGCCGTCCACCACAGCGACCTGTCAATAAAAGAGCCCTCGGTCTCCTTGACGTAGTCCCAGTCTTTCACTTTCCACAGGCCATCCCTAGTCGCCGAGACTATAAGGAGAGCTACGATGACGCCAATGTATACCAAGTGAAGAATAACAAGTCCGGCGAACCGTCGAACCTGGGCGCTGCGGTCTGATCTCGCGATTTGAATCGTAGGTCCTCCAGTGGTTGCTGGTGGCGGTCGATCGTCAGTTTGCGCTACCATGACTGGGCTGCGAAGTTGAGCCGTCGATTTTTGTTGCACTAGACTCATAATGCCTCCATTCTCTTTTTGTCCCCAGAAAGAAATTTGGAATGCGATTCAATTCCGGTGAGCGGGCGTCTGAGGTCTGTTCCGTGCAAACTCTGTGCTCCTGGTGATTTCGAGTCGGGACACGACACAGCCACACTTCCCATGCTCAGCCGGCCGGGGGAGATTACAGTAGATCTCAAGAGGGGTGATTTTTCTCTCCATTTTAGATCAAATGGGACTTATTATTCGACTTGTGCGACACTGGCGAGCACGGGTTGGTATTGGCTTTGCTCAGCCAGCACGAAGTAAACTTAGGTGGCTCAGTGGCGGAGCGGAGTGCCTGAATGTCTCCTTTTTCGTATGACTGGCGAAATTCTGGTGTGAGCAGCTGCATGAAAGGAATGGTGTGGTTACATTCATCCATATTATCTCCCATAGGCTTCCTCTTTTGGTAATACAAGGTGCCCGCTCTGGAAATGAGGCCAAGTACCCTCCAGTGATCATCGTGCAATCTGAACGAGATCAGAGTGGGACCCGTTGATAGGCCCATCATGTCGTATCCAATTTCCGTGCGGTCACTGCAGGGGTTCAAATTGGTCGAGCGGATCTGCCCCGGAGAACCTTTGAAAAGTGCACAGCCACTTTTTTCATGTGCTTGGCTGATTCCACGATGCTCAGCCCAGTTCGCGTGGCCCTGCGATTTTGCACTTGAACTCTGGCGATTCACTCTCGCGAATGACGGAATGACGTGTGAAACGACATGAGGCCTTACCGACCACCATCTCGATGGAAGCAACAAGGAATCCATGACCGACCTATTCGATAATAGCTGACAATTTCTTGTCAATCAATGTTTGTGCGCATCGACCTAGAGAGGACCTCAAGAGAATAATTACAATCATAATGGCAGCGCCGAATTTCGTCACTGCATTTCCGCTCGAGACGGGCGCGTTGCCTGCCAGCGACGCTCTCGAGACACCTCATGTTACTGTCGACGCGCCTTCACCAACCCAGCATTTCCTTGCCGCGAGATCCTGGGCTGACCCGTCGAATTGCGTCGACGATTATGCGGACACCGAGTCGCAATGCGATCATCTCCAGACCGAGGTCAACTCGTGTGTGTCAATGCTTGATGCCGGCAATGGCAATCTGCACGATTCTCGATTCGTAAACTGTTTCTGCGTCGCAGATATCTACACCGACCTAGTCAAGTGAGCCTCAGTCGTCGTCCGCGCCGAGAATCAAGGCTTGCCGAAGCTGACTCGTTTTCCGTTTTAGGTGTCAAAACCAGCATCGGTTATGCTTGCGGGATTTCGTCATGGACCATCAGTTCCGGCATTATCAGGACCAGTGGAAGACTTTTTGTACGAGCGAGCTCGGTTCAGTGGATGTGACCGAGCCCCCTCTCATCACCCCGGAGCCAGTGACCTCGTTCAAGAACGGCTGCTCTTACATCAAGTCAGCCTGCAACCGCTACAGCCAGTACACATCCGATTGTCAGTCATTCTTCGCTCAGTCGTCGTGCTACTGCCAAAGCCACGTCGTCCAGATGGAGTCAATTTGCTCCGTCGACGGGATAGCCATGTGCTCGAAGTCAAAGATCGAGGACGCCTCGACAATATGGGGTTACGCATCGTGTAACGGATGGAAATCTGGAGAAAGCTCCTTTGCTATTCCGACATGGGCCTTTGCCGACGCCAAAGTCGATCCGCCAAGGACCGTCCCGTTTGCGGCTTTCCCATTAACATATAACGATGTTCCGACTCCGAGTGCAGACCCACCCACCGATGGGGCATCGGCTGCGGCAGGAAACCAGATTTTCCTGATATTCTTGGCTCTTCAGCTGCTCTTACTCTTATGAACCTGGTCAACGAAACAGAAAGAAATAATAAGAAATAAAATAAGATAAGAGATCAGAGATTCCGCCGCGGGGGAGGAGATTTTAGAACTTCCGACATTCCATCGCTCCCTCCCGCCTCCCATCCCGCAAAACCCTGACCGGAGAGTTGTGTATTGCCTCCACATGGATAGTGCGTCTTGGAGAGCTGCGGGGATTCTAACCACCGAATCTTGAGAAGCAACGGCGATACGGTTATTAAACCGCGAGATTCACGCAAGTCGTTGCTGTTCTCGCAACAGGCAATCGACGTGGACCGCACCATCCCTCGGAGTTAAAACTTGATTTCCTCCGCCCAGCAAGGGACAGATAGTGCAAGGCAAAGGAAACAGTTTCGTCTTGGCGTTATGTTCAATGGGTAAACGAGCGTCCTCGAGCAAGCAATACTCGAAGCCCTGGGGAAATGATATGTCCGCACTAGAACTCTTACGGTTTGGCCCGCTAAATATGGAAAATGACATATTCCCCCTACTTCCTCTTGACTACGCACTATGTTATGATCAAGGAAAGCGACTAGTCACTTGCTCGGCTGCAGATATTCGACTGCCTGGTCCACGGCCAAGAGCGGCAGGCAGTGATGCAAAGGTGACAGTATTGACAAGAATTCCGGGTTTACCTCCTTAATTTCCTCCTAAAATCCGACCTTTAAATCCGGCCTTCTTCACTCTGTGCCGTCAGAACCGAGTCTAGCGCACGCGACGTCCTTCCACGCTCATCCTCGATAAATCTCTTTAAACTGACAAGTCCCCTCAGTAAAGACCGCCAATGAAGCTGCAGACCCATTTCTTGGCATTGCAATAATAATGGCTGATCCCACAGCCTCAGCGTCGGGGACGTCGAAGGAAAAAACGGTTGATAGAGATCTCAACGTCCAGCACACCTCGCATTCGTCGTCCCGCAACATCCCCGCCTCAGAGCGCAAGGAAGTCGTCCCGAAAGCAGAAGCCACCGATGCGGGAACTTCTCTTACTCCTGGGGCAAATCCTTCGGGGATCGACGCCGAAAATGGCGAAACTCGCGATAATAATGAACCCTCGTCAGAACAATTTTACTCCGTCTTCTCGCGCAAGACGAAAATCTTCCTAGTTCTCATGACTGTTTTTAGCACATTCTTTTCTCCCTTCTCCGCATTCGTCTATCTCCCCGCCATCACACCCATAGCCGAGTCCTACCACCGCTCTCTCGGTCAGCTTAACCTCACCGTGACCGTTTACCAGATCATGCAAGCCATCGCCCCTCTCTTCTTCGGGGACCTGAGTGACCGAGTTGGCCGTCGGATCGTTTACATGCTCACGTTTGCCATTTACTTGGGTGCGAACGTCGGCCTCGCGCTGCAAAATAACTACGCCGCTCTCATGGTTCTAAGAGCGTTGCAGAGCACCGGTTGCAGCGCTACTGTGGCTATAGGAAACGCTGTTATCGCCGACATTGCCACCAGCGCTGAGAGAGGTGGCTACATCACTGCTGTTGTGGCGAGTGCTCAACTCTCCCCAGCTATAGCGCCGGTAATAGGCGGCATATTAACCCAGTATCTCGGGTGGAGATCGACGTTTTGGTTTCTCGTCATATCCGCTAGCGTCTTCCTACTCATTTATATTCCCTTCGCACCAGAAGTCAGATACCCTATTATATATCATCCCATGAGTTTGAAATCCAGGGGCCACCACTAACATATAATATTATCATAGAGCGCTCGCAAGATAGTAGGAAACGGGTCAATCCCTCCCCCGAGACTGAATACTCCATTGATATCTCTTTTGAGGCAGCGGCGCAAGCCCAACGAGCTTGAGGAGAGAGTACACTCTGAACCGGCATCGGCTCGGCCGGCGAAACGACGCCTAAAAATCCCCATTCCGAACATCTGGGCCGCAATCCTTATTATCTTTGAAAAGGACGTGGGGCCACTCATGCTCTTCATGTCACTCTTCGTCATGGCAAACTACGCCATGCTCGTCCCTCTGCAGGATGTCGTCCGTCGGCGGTACAACTTGAACGACTTGCAAGTCGGACTTTGCTTCATTCCCTTTTCAGTTGGCGCCGTCGCGGGATCCGCCGTCGTGGCAAAGCTGCTGAACTGGAACTACGTACGTGTCGCGAGGAGCATCGGCGTGTCTCCGGACCGCAAGAAGGGAGATGACTTGAGGAGGTTCCCCATCGAAAGAGCGAGGTTGGATATTATGTGGCCGTGGACTTTGTTGGCCGTGGGCATGATCATCGCATGGGGCTGGGTTGTGGATTCTGGCGCTAGTCTCGCAGCACCGCTCGTCGTGTTGTTCCTCGCGGGTGCGGGTCTCAGCGGGCCCATCGCGATCCTTTCGACGCTTCTCGTGGACTTGTATCCCATGAACCCTGGCCGAGTGTCTTCATCTTTTAACTTGACTAGGGCCGGTACGAGCGCCATCGGCACCGCTGTGGTCCAGTATATTATTGATGCTTGGGGCTACGGCTACACCTATCTTTTCATGGGATTAGTGGTATTAGCAGCATGTCCTTCTGTGTGGATAGTGCGAACATGGGGTCCCAAGTGGAGGGAGGAACGATACCGCCGTTTCGAAGAGGCAGAGAATGATGCGGTAGGGCGGTAGACGTTGGTGATTAATACTAAAAGGTGCGAACTGACTTGGAATTTATATTTAACTCATACTATTCTTCCCGTGAAGCAAGGGGACAGGCATGTTCCATTGATCCTACGGCCACCTATGTCTTTCTTTCTCTCTCTCTCTCTCCGTCCGTCTCTCTCTCGCCCGCCATTTCCCTAAATAGTACTCCCGACGGTGTGAACAACGCCACTTCTTTACCACGCAACTCCTGCAACAAATGACCTTGGAAATAGCCTAACGATTAACTTCCTCGACTCGTCCATGCAGAGGACTCCTAGGGCCAACGGAATGGGAATAAACCAGAAGTCAAGCGGGACCGATGCTGTTCCGAAAAGCCTCTGTATTCCGGGAACCTCTGTCACGAACACGGCAATGCCTATGCTACTTGCCATACTCAGTATGAGCCACGGGTTGCGCCGCTTCTTTCTGAACGGGTCTGCCTGGACGGCGGTTCTTCATGGCGAGGACATTGCCCAGCTGCAAAAAGACAAGGGTGACAAAATAGACGCACAGACCCGTGGCGTCGAAGTGGTCCAACTCGACTTGGGTATAGCCATGAAATCCCTCGCGGTTGTGCTCAAAAAGGGAAAAAAGTTCCGAGACGGGCATGCCGGCGTGCCTCCACATGTAGAGGAAGAACGTGGATTGAGCCGTGATGGTTTCCATAAACCCAACAAAAAGGTATGCCTGCGCGTAGATTTGAGAGTAATCAAGTGGTCGCGCCGATGGTCTCGAGGCTGTTGTTTAAGGAGATTAAACTCTTCCTTCTCCATGATCAACGACAGGCTCAGGAACAGATCTGTTAAGACGCAGATGATGATCATGAGAAACGCGCTAAGCGGCAAGGGCACACCGAAGAAGACATTGAGGATAACAAGCCAAATCTCGGACCAGCTAACCTTCTGTAGGCTTTGGAAGACGAGACGATCCAAGCGGATGGCATCAACGATCGAGTCAAACTTATCCAGGAGCACAAGGTCAGCAGCATCGATAGCCACATCGCTTCCCGTTACAACCGCCACGTTGACGTCAGCAGCTCGGAGGGCCGGCGCATCATTAACACCATCTCCCGTCACGGCGAATAGACATTCCCTCCGGGATAAAAGCAACGATACAAGCCATAACATTGACGAGCATGGCGGGAACACTCAGGAATCCGGGATGACGGACCCGCAGCCAACCCACCCAAGTGAGCAGGATTAGCAGGGCAAGGAAGATGGTCATGCAGACGATCATCTTGACGAAGCGCCATATCTCCTGTTGAATTAGAACGGCTTCCTTCTTGACGTTGACCGAAGAGTGTGCGACGTGACCGATGACGGACTTTACGCCAGTCAGCACGACAGCACCCACGCCGCTTCTGTTGAGCACAGTGGTTCCCATAAGGGCAATGTTCCGGCTTTGAAGAAAGCTGGTGTCGGTGACGTCGACTGCACCCTCGACCTCTTCTGACTCTCCGGTTAAGAGGGAACGATCGAATCGTATGTCACCAGAGTGGCTTAGGATTCTGATGTCTGTGGGGATGTTATTGCTGGCCCTGAGGTGCACGATGTCTCCACAGACCAGGTCGGAGGCGGGGAGCGCTTTCGTCTCGTAATAGGTCATAATTGTCGTATCTATAGCCAGACTACGTGCCCTGGGCGTGTCACTCTCGGGAATGGCTTCTCGTGGGGTGACGGCCGTGGCCCTCCCGATGAGAACACAGAGTAGGACAGAAACGTGGCTGTCCTGCGTAGAGTATTATCAATGCATACCCTGCCACGACTGTAGTTGGTGATCCGGATAGCAAAGAGACCAATCGGCGAGCCTTTACAAAAGTACATAAAATAATACAGAGGAGCTCCTCCTGGCTGTCGTCAGTTGTCCTCCTCGCCGCCATCATTCGGCCTACCGACCATCCATCATTGATGGCTGCAGCCCCGTTTGTGCCTGTCAATGATGCCCTTGAGCGTAGTATACTGCGTGTCCAACACCTCCCATCGATCTGAAAAACCCCGAGTAAAGCACTGAATCCATGGCCCATCCCCTCCATGATCGATCTCTCCTTCCCTTTCGAGTTCGGCTCCCACGCCGACTCCATGTCTGGTCACGTGGACACGTGCCGATTTCGTGTGGTTCTATTATTACCTAAATCAGTACCCGGTCGGGCATTTCTATTGGCTCAATCCAAGCCCTCCCCACTCTGTACAGGGCGTGCCCTTTTCTTCTAATCCTTAAAATTCCTTTATATTAAATGCAATTACTCCTTAATCAATCCTGGATCAATTCAATATAGATAATAGATAACTAATTTTTAGAGCTCCTAATATAGTTAATTTGAATTGATTCTAAATTGAATTAGAAGTAACTAAGAATAAAATAAAATATGTTTATAAAGGATTGATCCGGGATTAATTGAGAGTAAATTTTAAATTCGATTATACTTCGTACCTTCTATTTTTTTTTTCTTTTTTAGTTGCTCGTGCTAGCTTCTTTTTCAGTGGCTTGCTCCTGGTTTCTCTGTGGCTCGCCTGACCAGTGACCCATAGGTCGGTTGATGTTTCCGCAGTTCAACCGACCTATGGAAATGACGCCATCAACCCCTGCAAAAACAGGCTGACCTCAGGGGTCATAGGTCAGTTGACATGCGACCTCCAAAGTCTCGGAGCCCCACCCCCACCTTCCACCTTCAACTCAATTAATTGTTCACCACGCGAGACTCTTCCACTCTCAACTTCACATCTTTTATCACTTCACAAAACATCAACTTATTCTTAAAAGATCGCCAAAACCCCACAACGGGTCGCAAACTCGGCGAGGGAAGCAGAAAGACGCCATATAAAACCGTGCGCTTCTCCACAAGCTCTCTCGCTGGGCTTCCAAACAAGTCGCCTGCCTATTCTCTACTCGAGCGACTGGGAATCTCTTAAACTGGCATCAAACGAGCGCATCACTCCCACGACCTCCACGCAACACCTTAGAAGAACCATGTCTCTACCGTCCGAAGATACCCAAGTCAAAGTCGCTAGCGAAGGTAAAGTGACTACCCCCAGCTCTCCATCCGCCCACTTTCCTCCTCCTCCTCTCGCCCCCCCGCCCCCCCAAAACGCAAACCAGCAAACGCTAACTCTCTCCCGCAGGCGCCCAAGCCTTCGTAGAAAGCTACTACCACGCCCTCTCCACGCCCTCGCCCATCTCCCACTTCTACATCAACTCCAGCAAACCCTACACCACCTCCGGCGCCCTAACAGCCGACATATCCATCAACGGCACCGTCCTCGCCACCCCCGCCGACTACGAGAAGCTCGTGGCCGAACACGGCCCCGCCTGCCGCTACGAGGTCGAATCCTTCGACGCCCACGCCGTCAACCCGGCCTTCGGCTTCGCGTCCGAGGCCGCCCCCAACATCCCCGTCGCCGCCGACAGGAACGGGTCCAAGATGAGCCTGCTGGTCCAGGTTACGGGGAGGGTGCAGTTCGGGAAAGGGAGGGAGGCGGTTAGGAAGGCGTTTAATGAGGTTTTTGTGCTGGCGCCGAATTGGGAGGCGCTGGGGAGGAATGCGCCGAGGGGTTTGAGGAGGTGGTTGATTATGTCGCAGAATTTTAGGACGCTGTGAATTTAGAAAACGGGGAGGAGTTATTGTCATGAGATTCGAAAAGGGAAACAAAAAAAGACATCTTGGGCCATGGATACAAACACAAACGGAGTTTTATAGAAGAGGAAATTTGGAAAACTTGTTGGCTTTCATTGGAATAGTATTTGATTTCGACCCAATATACATGCGCGCTGCCTTTGACAAACTACACTACACTTTTTTTGTCTTTCCCATCTGTCTATCCGACCTCTTTAACCGCATGTAAATGATCAATGATAAATGATACAAGCCCCAGCCAAAAAAAAAAAAAAAATGATAAGGAGGAAAAATGAATGCATGTACCCTTTCTAACCTTCCTTTCGCATTATTCCCATTATGCTCATCTCCTCAGGCTACCTCGACAAGCTGCTGTCGATACTTCCAATAACCAGCCCGAATGGGATCCCACCTAGTGGCTAGCCTCTCAAGGCATAGGTTCGCCTTCTCCTTATCGCCCTCCTCGAGGTAAGCTTCAGCCAAGCAATCCAGCGCATGCGAGCTCTTGACCTCCTCGGCGTCCTCGTCACCCAGCCCGGTCACGAAGCCCTCAGAGAAGCTCTTAACCTCGCTCATTTTTCTTCCGCCCTTGACGAGGACTCCCCTCAGGTAATTCCACGCAGCCTGGTTCTGCGGCGCCAGCGCAATCTTCTCCTCTGCGTAGGCGATTTCGCGGTCCACCGTAGCGGCGGGGACTTTAGCGTCATACTCAGTAGCATGAGACCCCGGCGTTGAAGCCTCGGGGTCCGAAAAGACGACAAGGAAACGGTGCGACCAGGCCGAATTATTCCTTACATCGTCCTCGATAAGGTTCTGCGTCGAGAGCAGCTCAGGCAAGTTAAATAGATTAAGCTTGCGCACGAGGTACTGCCTATACGACCAAACGTGGTAATTCTTCGTATCCTCGGCGAGCATGGTAGTGATGAACTGCGACTCCGACCGCCCCAGCTTCTTGAGGGCGTCTGCGTCGGAGGCGATCTGCGGGTAGTAGTGGTCGATGATGAGCTGGCGGTGGTGCCAGATCTGGTAGTTTTTGAGGTGGGCGAGGGCCACCTCGTTGAGCCAGGCGATCTCGTCGGGAGCGGGGATGTTTAGTGTTGAGACGATCTTGAAGCGGTAGAGCCAGACGGTGTAGTGGGCGGCGTTCATGGAGATGATGTGTTCGGTTAGGCGGAGGCAGCGGGGGGAGCATTCTTCGGCGGCCATCACAGCACGGAGATAGGACATGGCTAAGAAAGGGGATTGGCTGTTGTTAGTTGAGTCGTGTTCTTCGGAGAAAAGGAAAGAGACAAAAAAAAAAAAAAAAAAAAAAAAAAAAAAAAGACGGAGAGAAAAGAAGAAGATCTAACAACGAGACGAAGTTAGAAGAAAGAGAGAAGAAGAAAAAAAGCTATCTACCTTCAGCATAGTCATCTGGGTAGGCGATGGCAGCTAGAGCATTCTCCGGCTCCACGGCAGGAATAGGAACGACGTCATCCCACTCCGGGTCCGTCGCATACCGACTCGGCCGACCACCATCATACAGTTCCCGATTCAGCTGCGCCATCTCTTTCCTCCTGCTCTTCTCCTTCTCAATATCCTCCTCCGTAAGCACGTAAAGATTTCCCTTCCTATCGCGAACCCCTCGTTCCTGTAGCTCCCTCCTCGACAAGAACCTCTCGTGCTCAATCGTCAGCGCCGCCAAACGATCCTGTTTCCGCCTCCGGGCCTCGAAGTCCTCGGGCGTGTACTCTCCCACGTCGCGTCCGGTCTTGTCGCTGCCCCACGTGTATCCTTTCCTTAGTGATCGGATGGGGAGGTTGTCTTTGGCTACTTGCTTCCAGTACTCCCTCTCGACCTTGGCGGGCAGGTTCGTCTGCTTGCCGGCGACGCGGGGTAGGAATTGGGCGTTGGCCCAGGTTTGGCGCTCGGTGGGGGTGAGGGCCGGGAGGCCGTCGGTCTCGATTCGTTTCGTGACGGGGTTGGTTTGGTAGTAGCGGCGCTTGGAGAGCTCGTTTACCGAAGCTGGTTCGGCACTTGGTTGTGTATCTTCTATATACGTGTGAGTTTTTTTTTAGTGTTTTTTTTTCCCCCAGACTCGGCAGCAGAAGAAAAGGATTTTATTTTTAGAAAAGAAAGAAAGAGAGAGGCGGGGTGGGATAGGAAGAAACGAGACCGAGGTACGGAGTAGGAAAAAGTGAAGCAAGGGCTTGTGAGCTAGTGGGAAGTGGGAAGTGGGAAAGCAAGGGATGGATTTGATAGCAGATGGACCCCTCACGACTGGAATGTGAAATGCGGTCGGTGCTCCCTTGATTGAGCTTCGACCAAGAAACCCCAAAAACTCAAACGGGACGACACACAAGTCTCTTAATGATTGCTTGACAATGACGGCGGGGCAGAAACGCATCAGGCAGAGAAACATAAAATCGACAGAAAAGGGGGAAAAAAGAAAAAGGAAGAGAAGCTCCAAATTATCGTCGACGTTGCTGACGACATTTGAAGGTTCTCATGTTTCTGATGGTTTCTGCTGGTTCTGATGGTGGGGTGTTTTACCATGACATTGGACTTGGCCGACAAGGGGACAAGGGGGAAACGGAAGAGGAAAAGAGAACAAGAGTCACTCTTGTCACTCACCTTTGCTAGGCTCAGGGTTCTTCGCCTTGGACACAGCGGTCCTAGTAGTAGATTTGGGCGGCATATCTCCTTTCGTTCTCTTCCTGTCGCCTAAGCTGCTAAAATGCGTGGGTAGGGACAGACAGACGGAGAGAAACGGAATTGTTGCAAAGATTGTGGTTAATTCAATGTAAAAAGACGTCTTCGGCAAACCAATCTCTTTTTCGACCTCGAGAGGAATTCAGGCAAAGAACTGCTGGTTTCATTCCAAACTCCATGATAGAAAAAGAAAAAAAAATTCTCTGAAGTTCGGAAGGCAGGAAGAGCAAGCCGCGGGACAGGAGACGAGCTCTCTTCAAATATGGGGGCATGGGGTGGTATAAGACTTTAATGTTGGGCCTTTTTTTTTGGGGGGGGGGGGGGGGAGAAGGACAAAGGGACAGGACCAGATTCAAAAATTCGATTGTTCTAGCGTGCGAATTACTGCCGGGATCCTGCACTGGGCTGAGAGAGCCAAGCTCTGGCGTCACTCGTCCTTCAATCTTCTTCTTTTCCCGGGTCCCTTTTTTGTTAGATTTTTTTTTTTTAGTTCTTCAGTGCCACCGTACCATTTTCTCTGCAGCAAACCTGCCAGGGCCCAGTTACCAGCAATGAGAGGCTGGACGACGGGCGACCTCGGACGATGGAAGGATCAAATCATCGCTGCCAACACGGCGAAAACCTCAAGTGACTGCCATCACGTGCGATCAGAGCCTGAAATTAACGCCAAAATAGGGCGGGCCGGACAAGGGTTGGGTACGAACCTTAGCAAAGTTTAGGCGCTGCACCTGATCGTTTTCAGCGGTCCAGCTCAGCGGCAAACAAAAAAAAAAAACCAGCTGGTTCCTCGCCATTCGCCATTCGCCACTGTGTCGGTCGGTGGACTGCGGGTGCTTGGTCTGTCCGTTCAATGTTGGAACGTGTTTACCTTGTCTGGATGGCGTTGCAGTGGGTTGGTGAGTGGGCACGGCAACATTTGATTCCAATTGCCTGGCCTAGGTTTAGTTTGCAATATTTCGTCGTTTAGTTTGCTAGAGAGTCGCAGAGAGTCGGAGCCTACGCGGAGTACGTAGCCCAGCACTGAGGGCCTTGGCCCGCTCTGGGAGATACGCTTTCGGGAACCCATGGCGCAAATCGGTCTAGGCCCCGGGTCTGGGCCCAAGCCGCGGTCTAGGTCCAAGAACTCCCGATGACTCTCAAGTCTCTTATCCGTGCTCCCTGTCGTTTTCCCGTCGTTTTCCCCCTACAAAGTAGAATTGATAATTGATAATGCCGTGTCGGTTTGCTTTTGTCCGTTCTCGGTTCCCAACAGCAAAAGACAACGATCGGCATCAATTAATCCATCGGTTGCGTCACCAATGACTATCAACATCCCCATCTCGTTCTTCTCTTGGCACTCCCTCCGCGTTATTATTCTCAAATTAATCATCGTGTCAAGCTCGTAGGCCCCAAGGGCATTATATCTAAAATGAATACAAGCAAAACAGAAAACCAAGAACCCAAGCAATGTCGAATCGTAGTTCCGAACCCCTGGCACAATCTCAATCCATCCCCGATTGCGGAATACCCCATCCTCACATCCCCACATCTGGGGAGGTGGGGAGGAGGACTGTGAGCACCCCAACGAGGGTTCCAGGATAGGGAGACAAGGGTAAGCCCGAGAAAGATTGCGGGAGCGGGAGAGAGCTCCATTTCCGAAGTCTCACTCCGATACTTGCGTGCTCTCTCTCTCCATCTGTCTCTGAGAGTCCTCAAATTAGAAATACCAAGAAGTGACCTCCTGCGCCCAGTGTCCCTCCCTCTCTATAACCCGTATTACATTAGTATTTCCTTTTTTTGCTTTTTTACCCCTTGTTCCGTCCTTGATCCGTTCCCACACACTTCAACGACCCTCGACGCTCCAGAATCTCCACCCTTCGCCTCGTCCGGCACCCTCAACACCCACCAACCTTTCGACACCCGCGATGCCATCCGCATTGAGGAATTTCTCCACATCAATCTCCATCCCGCCCTCGTCGTCATCCTCAAGCCCATTCTTAAGAACCGCAGGCCATAGGACTCCAACACCATCACCGCCCAGCGTAGTCTCAAACTTCTCGTAATTCTCCTGGTCAAGCTTCTCTTCAAGCTTCCTAAGCTTCTCCGCCGACACATCCGGCCGTAGCAGCGTAATGGAGCACCCACCACCTCCAGCGCCTGTAAGCTTCGTCCAGCCGATGCCGTCATGATCGACAAGCTCGCGGACGCGCTCTAGCCTAGGATGGGAGACGCCCAAGGCAACGAGCAGCCCATGATTTATCGTCATGAGCTCACCCACTTTGCGAAGAGATTCCACCTCCTCACTGTCAAACTCGGGGTCCTCAAGGAGGTCCGACGCCGTCCGCGTCGCCTTGTCGATGGCGTCGAGGATGTTGCCAACGAGCTTGGGGTGCGTGTCGCGCAACTTGCCCACCTTTGCCACCTCGTGCGCCGTAGACTTGGCCTGCCTCGTGTTGACGAGGAGAAGTGGCAGTTCGGGGAAGTCCCAGAGGGGACTCACTGTAGGGGGCTTGCCGTAGTCTGTCCTTTGGAACACCACGGCCTTGCCCTGTGTGGAGACGGTGTTGTCCACACCCGACGGGTTGCCATGGGTGGCCATCTCTGCGACAAAAGCCCATCGGTTAATCCGCTCTACTTGCAGCCTCGCCTCGTCCGGCGGCTGGTCCGGGTGAGGTCCTGAGAGCGCCCTCAGTTGCAGGAGTAGCGCCGCTGACAGGCAAACGGCGATGGAGGCGCTGCTTCCGAGTCCGGCACCGATGGGAATCGTAGAGCGCAAAGTATACATGCAACCATGGAACGAGGGCGAGCCGAGAGACAGGAAAATGTAGAGAAACGACAACGCCGAGTTTCGGTGAATCTTACGTATATCTTCGGGCTTATGTAGCGAGACGTCGGCGAGATGGGGCTGGACAGCAGCTAGGAGGTCGGGGTCGAGAGTCGTGACGAGGTCATAGTAGTACTTTTTCTTGTCAGGCCTTTGGAAGATGGACCACGGCAGGTCGTCAATGTTCCATGTATGCAGGAAGTCGATATCGGGAAATCGAAGCGTGACAATTCTCTTCGACTTGGACAGTGTCGTGACATGGAGGTATGACCTCAGCGAAATGGCTGCAGCTATCGCCGCCTAGAGACCAAGCACAATTGTCAGCGAACAGCCATGATGCTAATTCAGATGAGACGGTAGTTTGTCACATATACGTCTGCAACACCTCTCTGACATGACGTTTCTGTGTCCTGTCTCAGACCCAACCTAGAGACAGACAGTGACTCTGTCCACGCTTACACTTGCAGCAGTTGCCAGAATGCCGAATGTAACACAATAGTCGGATCTATCAACTTACTTTGCCATGCACAACTGCATGCTCGCCAAACATGATGACTTTCCCTGGCGCCGACACTATAAATGCCGGCAGCATCGGGCTCGACTGTTTCCTCTGCGACCTTTGCCTCACGGCAAGACCGTTCCCGCCATTGACGTGGCGGGACCCTCCCGGCGTGCCATTGACGCCGTTGGGTAGGTGCAATGGCTCCGGCATGTAGGCGGGCAGTCAAGAAACGTATATATCAGAAGGAAGTACTCGTCGTACCAACCTTGCGAGGACGAGAGGGCGAGTGTGGTTGGAGGGTCGAGACTGACAGCACCGAGGTGGTGGTGTCGACGTCAGAGGAAATCGGAACACCTTTTAGTGATTTAGACGGGGAGGCTGCGTTACTTCGATGGCGTAAGCTGCTTCGAGGAACAAATCCGGCGATGCTTTGAAAAGGAGAAGCTCTTTCGGAGAGGAAGGGAGATGCGCAGTAGCTGGGCGGGACAGGTGTTGAATCGTCCAAGATGCGAATGGCAAGGAAATGGGGCTCTAAGAGACGAAGCAAGGGGCGTTGAGGCAGTTTCCGAAAACGCGAACCGAAGCGGAGAAAGGTGTCTAGGGGATATAAGAAAAGGATCGGAATGGGGGTTATTATAATAATAATTGATGAATCACGAATCGCGATGCCTCAGCTCGCACATTAGTGGCACGCAACGCAGAACACTTGAAGCAGCAACGTGGATGCGCCTACGGAGATGTTTCGCAGAGATTAAAGGTCGACGAGCCAAGAGCCAAATGCAAGAATTGGAAGATGCAAGCAAGCGGTGAAGAGAGGGAATTTGATCTTATTGATGCGTGATGCGTGGTGCGGGTATGGCAAAAAGATTGTTGAGATCGAGGGGCAGGTGACGGCTTTTTTGGGCGAATGGACGAATCCAGACGAAGGAGACGAAGGGGGCCAATCTGAGAAAAACTTCCCAGGTACTTTGGGGAACCATTGAACCACAACCTGAACCACACCATCCCAACCATCGTGGGTCCAGGCCGGGGACTGGCTGGGTTAGGCTGCCTGACGCTGGACCAGGTAAGGGGGCTTGGGGATTTTGGGGGGGCGTGAGGAGCTACTTGCTTTATTAATCGAGCCAAAGTCTCGACGTCAATTGGAAGGACCAAGTGAAACTCACGACTCAGGAACAAGGAAGCTACGAATTAGGCAACGGAATAATCAAGAAAAGGTACTTCGTGGTTTTCTATGTAAAGTACAATGGCAAATTGCGGGGATTTACCATCTATCATACGGAGTATTAATTGCCCATTGTCCAAGGAGAGAATGGCTTCCCTACAAGTAGGATCAATGAATTGATCAATCGGAGCCGATGAGTACAACCATGTCTAGTCCTAGGGGCTCATCTCATCTCCAAAATACCTGGCTACAAGCGGCATTTGCCTGGTCATGGTCAGAGCTCGGACGGCAATATAAAGACCTCATTCCCGACACCCAAGCTTCTTGGTGCGAAATTGAGAACCTCGACGATTAGCACCTTTGTCGACTAGGCTCCAACAAAGTACACACTTCGTACTTCGTACATCACCGAGAAATCTATCAATGTAGTTTATTGATAATCCTGCTGCCTCCACTCCACATTTCGGCCGGTCGTTTCCGTGTCTCAACCTCATCCTCCTTCGTCCTCCTCTCACGAACAAAGAACCCGCAGTGATGTGTAACCCGGAATGGGTGGTGTCGTCAAGGTCTTCTAGATTATTCGCGGTCTTGTCCCGGTCCTGCATCTTGTTGGGGAAGACATGGACGGGAGGAATACACCGTACCAGACAAATCGTCCAATGCAAGCGTAGCACAAGGTACAAGCTGCAACCTCCCAAGGACATTGATCGATGTCATTCGCGGAGAAGCTTGGGTCAATTACGTCTTGTTCCATGGCGGTGCCGAGAAGAGGGGGCTCAGGGGATACTGAATCTTCAACGGTCATCAGTAGTTCATACTTTGTAGGCTACGCCGCTATCATCTGGCACTTTCTCGTGTTAATACTCTGTGGACTATACTGTGATTATTGAGGAAGCAAAATTGTTCAAGGGTGATCAATTGATGAATGATATTATTTTGATGTTGGACCCGGGATGAGCCCGGCGATAATATCCAGCCCGTTTATTTCGTACTCAGGTATAATTGGAGACAAGACAAGGGGTCCAGGATGTTGGGTTACATCTGGAACCTCGCTCCCAATTCGCTGGTCTCGGAACCGCAAGGATCATGAGAGCTTTTTTGATCTTTTTTTTTTTTTCTTTCATCTCGATCGTCTGCCTCCTTGACCTCAGGACTGGGAGTCATGAACGAGCAAGGAAACCCGCGTGGACAATCCTCAAAACCCTCCAATTCACATCAATCCACTCCATCGACCGACTTGTGCACCCCAGGAAAGCTTAGAACTGACGGGCCCACACACCCTTTACCAAAATGGTTCTCTCTCGAAAGGATGGGAAGCATCGCGTCGCTTTCTCCAGACCAGAGAGTGCCCGGATCCCTAATTTCTACTACGCTAGACTAGCTAATACTTGGAAATGAGCGCTGGAAATAGAGCGGTTTAGAAATGGTTGCTCCCTGATTGATTGAACACGAGGCTCCGGTTACCACTAAGAGACACTAAGGCTCCTGATTTATGGAGTGTCAATAGTCTCGTACGTTGCTGTTGTGTAGTACCTACGAAGTACCAAGTCCTAGACACTTCGCGATCGACTTCTAGCGAACTCACGTGCTTCAGAACGCCAAGACTGGGACCCTTCGCTCCGCCCTCTTCGTGGTGGAAGAAACTGAAGAAACGCCAAGACTGATAACCGAGTGATAGATGACTAAGCGATGAAGTGGGCAATGGGACAACAATGAAAAGAGTGAACACTTGAATTGAAGGTGACGTTTGACAATGCAATTGTGGAACTCCCTTGTTCTCGGCCAACTTCGTAAGCGTTATGCTTCAGAGTGAATCGGCTTGAATGGCACTGTCGTACAGCTCGGGTTGCGTATCCCTCTCACGACGCTCCATGAAGAGTGCCGAGTGTAACACATCAGGCATCACCATCCTGCGTAACACCTCCTCACCATGGCCGCTGTACTTAAACTTGCAGATCAAGCTCTAGGTAGAATTCCGTGTCTCGTCGAAGGACCAGATACTTAGACCATTTCTCTCATCTGGCTATCATTTGACCCGGTAATCCGGCAAACCACTCATAACCATCCAAGAAGAAATCATGCCAGTCACCGAATTCGCCCTCATGCACCTCGCAGGAGGTCCACTGGACTCCTCGACCCGCCAACTCTTCGAAGAATGCCAAAATATCCAAGACGGTTGGGCCTTGAAGCGAAACCCGCAAGAGGCTCCCACCAGCCGACTCGCCCGCGGCGTCGGCATGCTCCAGCAAGTCGAGGACCCATCGGCCATTCTCATCACGGCGCGGTGGGACTCACCTGAAGCCCACTGGGACTGGATAGGAACGGAGGAGAACAAGGGGATCATGGAAAAAATGGGACAGCTTATCGTTGCCGAGGGCGAGAAAAAGATGTTGCTCTTCCATGTCGACCCTGTCGTTTTCCCCAAGGTTGACGACGAGAGCGCCACATCGTCACCTTTGAGTAGCCCTGTCTTGAGCATTTATCGGTACTCCGTGAAGCCGACGGATAAGAAGCTGGTCGCTGCCAAGTTTGACGAGGTTAGCAATGTGCTTCGCGAGTCGGGTGGGAAATATGACTTCAAATCGGGGTGGAGGATCGAGAAGGAGAACGAAGGCACCGAAGAGCTTTTGGTATTTCACGGGTGGACTTCCATTGAAGAACATGAGCAGTTTCAAGCCTCCGGTGACTATGCGCACTTCAGATCACTAGCCGAACACGCCAAGAAAGTCGATCCCAGGCTCTACCAGAAGTTCATCTAACTCCCAGAGAACCATGCCACATATCACAGCTCCATCTTCGAGGTCTCGACTGAAAAGGAACTTGCAGGAGAAATGGTTCGAAGAATCATGTATTGAGTGACACATAGCCTTCCAACCGTGGGCAGATGCCGAGCCAACGGCAAATGGAAAAACGTTCCCTTTTTGCGCCAGTTGTATAATGAATTCCATGTCTCTTTTTTTCACCCTACCCGGGCTTCATGCTACCACGGTAGTTCTACCCTCGCCCTGCAAAAAGAAAGAAAATATGCCGTTTCCATTCATTCATCCTCTGCGTGTTTCCGTCCTCTTACGCCTTCGACTTGCCGTCCTTCTTGCCGATCTCGGTGACTTGCAGGTCTGTGGTTGGGAAAAAAGTAACATGTGAGTAACAACCTCTTTATTTTCAACCCCCGCCCGAGAAACATTCCATCCTCGAGTATTGCCTTATGTTGGGGACAAACGTACTAGGGGGAAGGCTGGACTTTAGCTTCTCGGCCTTCTCGGAGTCCTTGATGCTGAGGGTGTAGAGGAATCGCTGGCATCGGACCTTGAACTTGGCCTGGCCGGACTTCTTGTTGCGCTTGATCACCGCCGCTGTAAAAAGGAAGAGTTAGAACCAATTAAGTCCTTCCTAACGATATCGTTCTCGTCCTCTCGTTCGATCGGTTCGCTAAAATTCGTTCGGGAAAACACCTACAGGAAGCATCCTTCCTCCGGCAGATCTCGATGAACTATCAATCCCCCCAAGTTAGTCCAACGCCATTCCTCTCGCAATCCCCAAAATCCGTAGCGATAGAAAATCTCGGGAGGCAAAATCGTACCTGCTTGATATCGGCGATTTCGCGAGGCATCGTGGGCGGAATTAATGTGGTTGCGTAAGGTTGAGGTGGGTTAGAATTGAGGGCAAGGCTTGTCGTGGAAATTATTTCGAAAGATTGTCGCTGAATTTGGAGAATAATTTTTTGTGGGCGGGACACAGAACTTGGATGTGGCGTTTGTGTGGCCCAGGCGCTGAGCTGTGGGCTTTTCCAGGGTGCATGTATCATGTACACTCGTACCCTTTTTTTCATCCAATGGGGAAGCAGGAATCGAGGGATGGATCCGGGCCCCACTTCGGAGCTTGGCGGCGGAAGGCACCGACATCTCCGGCCATCAAAGCGGGAGAGTACGGTCTTGGACCTACATCCTCATCTGAAATTGCTCTTATATTTCCCAATATCGCCTTTAGAATTATCCATTGTAGATCCTCCATCTGAGAGACCACATGTCACAGCTTGTGATGGAAATCGTGCTCATGTTCATAGAACTCGAGATTGTGACTCTAGAACTATCTGCTGCTCCTTCTCGTTATAGATCCTTCATAAATGAGAAATATTTGATAGATATACAATCGTGGGCCCGATATGTGAGCATAAAAGGCCTCTTCTTCTAGTTGAAACCTCTGATCCTCCCATTCTTCTCTTTCTTCAGCAACATCTCTCTCATGTTCCGCTTCAGCAGGCCCTGGTTTGAAAACTAGTCTCGCCGACTTCTAACCCTTCTTTTAGCAATCAAAGCTTATCAATCCCTTCTCCCCTGCGTCAAACGTCATCGACTCTATTCATCTACCTTGTTCCTGTTTCTTATCACCGCTATCTTACGAAGGCACGTATCTTGTTGTTCTTCCTTCATCATCTTCCGCCCAGAATACGTAGGACCCCATTCCCTAATACCTTCTGCCCATAACACCCATCCTACACGATCAGTTCGTCGTCTTCGGCCGTAACTCAAGATGGACAAACAAGCTTTGCGCCCTACCCCTTCCATGGGCTTCGGGCTATCGATGACCTCGTCAGACGAGGCTCACTCCCCAGATTCTCTCGCTCCCACTAGTTTCCTAGAGTATGATGACTCGAATGTAGATGGCAAGGCGAAGCGTCCTCGGGAGGAAGCTGGGGTCGAGCCTAAAACTAAGAGAGTCAAGGCCGCAAGCGGTAAGAACCCCCGAGCGAAAGTCAAATATCGTGGAATGAGTCAAAAGATGGCGAACGGCCTGTACCAACAGATCATCAAGCCAAGGAACCTGGGGGTAGGGGCTGTCAGTGGCTCAGCGGTGGCCGGGGGTAAACCTTTCGCTCTTGATGAGATCGTAGAGGAAAGGGAAGGTGTTTCCCTTGGGAACGCCCTATTAAGGTTCAAGGATAGGATTTTGCCAAGCAGTCCAAGCGAAGGACCCTACCTTCTCCAGGGCATCTCCTCCCCACTGTCCCCCATCCAGATAACCACCATTCATTGGATGATTGGGCGAGAATCGTCAAGGGGTGTACACGGCCAAGGAGGCATCCTAGCCCATGGAATGGGCGTGGGGAAGACACTGATGGCTCTGGGGCTCATGATAGTGAACAAAACGGGCCTAACTTACAAGAAAAATAAAGGTCAGTGCGCCACGCTCGTCATCGCTCCTTCGGACGCCGTTATCGAGCATTGGCTAGAAGAATGTTGGAAACACGCGTCCGAATTCTTCCCATCGTCAAGCATGGCCCGATACCGCGATCTGCGGAAACTTGACAATGTGGAGGCTATCCGCCAGTATAAAGTCGTGTAAGTTAACTTTTACCCCCGCCCTGATATTGTTGAGATGTTGTACCATTGGGCTTGCTTGTCTAACCCTGTGTGGCTCGGGCACGGTAGTTTCGCCACATATACGGAACTGCACCTCAGCCTTCCCGCGGACAAGAGAACGAAGCGCAAGAACGCCCAGTGGCCCCAAGAGTCTCAACCAGCCCCGGGAGCTCACATGCATTCCACCGCTGATACCCCGACGCCATTGATATTCCAGGCCGAGTGGCATAGGGTCATCCTTGACGAAGGCCATTCTATCAAGAACGATAAATCATTGAGTAAGTGTTGTTTTCCCAGTTCTGTCCTACCGGCATGAGCAGAAACGAAAGCCCGCTAACTGCCAATGTCACATAGCTTTCCGGGCTGTTGCTGCTCTCAAGAAACGCCATGGATGGGCCATCACCGCCACTCCTTTGAGCAATGATAAGGACGGTAAGAATATCCGGATGTCAAATAGTTGATGCTATTTCATTAAGCAGCGTCCGCTAACCAACTTGTCAGAGTTGTTTCCTTATTTCAACTTCATTGGCATCAAGGATTCCGAGAGTATGGAGAGGTTCCGCGAGGTGTACTTTCCTCAAAAGGTAGGTAATTTTTGGGGTGCAATGTCTTTTCTCCTCCCTTTTCTTCTTTCTTTTCTTCCCCCTCGTCTTCTTTATGCGTGCGCCTTTTCTCTCACTCCGAGGTCCTTGCTAATGCATTTGACCCTCACTTTAGGTGGCCTCCGCCAATTTGAGAAAGACACTCGCCACGGTCATGACCAGGTAGTAGGTTTCCTGGAGATGCCCCTCAAAGACTTACACCACATATACTCACCACGGGAATGAACAGCCAGGCCTCGGACTCGTTCCTCAGAAAGGAGGTAGCACCTTTGCCGCCGTCGCACGTCTCAACAATTGCTTGCCAACCAAGTGAAGAAGAACGAGTTATCCTAGGGTAAGTCCAAGGCCAGGTTTATATCCCGTAGTTCAACACCGAAAAACTCTAACAGCCAAAACAAAAGATTCCTGGAAACAAGAATCAAGAGTTCCGCGACGAAGAGCTTGGAAGACTCTATCGTGAAAGAGGAGAACGCCAAGGTGGCTATGAAAAGGGCCAAGTCGTCGATTTCCGGCCTCTTTCACATATACCGCTTCGCCGCCATCCACCCTTTCATGCTCGAACGCGCTATAATCGACCAGTTTGATATCCTTGATGTCAAGGAAATAATTGAAAAGATGGCAAGGATTAAGAGCCCTGCCAGTCGCCATCTTCGCGAAATCCTGGAACTAGCGCTCTACGACAAGGAGCTCCGAGGACAGAGGTGTCTGAGTTGCCTGAAAGAGTGTGAAACTCTTCGTATGGAGCTGTTCCGAGCCTCGGTAAGGGTCCCCTCTCTGATGGACAAAACATATAACAGGTCCGGCAATCGCTTGCTAACATCGCCTCGCTTCAGTGTGGCCACATGTTCTGTGGCATGTGCTTCATGAAGAAGTTTAGCATGGTAAGGATAATCACTCTCGCCGTGTCTCGCGTACTTGGTGTTATTGCGAACTGACCGAAGGTCCGTGAAATACTTTTCTAGTCGACTGTAAAATGCAAGGTCAAAGGATGTGGGAGTTCGATTAATCCTCAACACACCTCTCAGTATGCGACTTTGAGCGCCCCTATCCTCCACCGAGAGGAGGACGATGGCGAGGAAGAGGGTGGTGAGGACGGAGACCTGAATGACTGGAGTTCGGCTCAGCAGGCTAAGAAACCCGCTGGCCGAGGACGTGGCAAGAAGGTTCAAAAGAAATCACCAGGCCCAGGAACGGATATCCATGGAAATGAGCCGAATCTCGACTTTAACAAGTCCCGATTCCTTAATTACTCGGATCGGTTCATCAAGAAGAACCAAAGCGTTGTACCGAGCGCGAAGCTCGCCAAACTGCAGTCCCTGCTTCGCCAATGGAGCAATGAAGCCCCCAACGACAAGATTATCGGTGAGAACCGTCTAGGTCTCGATCTTAATTTCCCCACAGAAAACTAACCGCGCTGTTTAGTTTTCACCCAGTTTATGCTAGTTGCCAGAATGGCAGGCAGAGTTGCCCGCCTTGAGAACTTGCCCTTCCTTTACTATACAGGAGATATGTCCGATACTTCGAAAAAAGCGGCTCTCGACACCTTCCGCAATGACCCATCCGTCAAAGTTCTCGTGAGTTCCAAGCTCTCTTCGTCTTCTTACCAGAATCTTACCCTCGGAACAATGACTTACACTGACGTCTCTCTCCACCATCTTAGGTTGCCTCTCTCATGTGCGGAGGCCAGGCTCTCAATATCACCGCGGCCAACAGAGTCGTACTGATGGAGCTATGGTGGAATTCTCCCGCCGAGGAGCAAGCGTTCTCTCGCACATACCGCATCGGCCAAGAGAAGGACGTCTACTTCGTGCGTCTGACCACCGAGGGGACCAAGGACGATGATATGCTGGAAATCCAGCAGTCCAAGGAGGCGAACCTGAGCAACTGTCTGATGACAGAAAAGCCAGGCATGTCGAACCACTCGTACCTTAAGATCTTGTCCCTCGTCGGGAACCCCATTGAGGACGAGTTTGGAAGGATTATCGGCATTGAGAAGCCTTTGGAGTCTTATCACGAAGGCAACTACGAGGAACAGACGAGTGTTGACGAGGGCAGTGGAGGTGAGGACTTGGGAGAGTAAGTACGACGCGAGCGAGGTTGAGCTGTGATTATTTCTTCCTCTCTTGCAGAAAAACGAGACAAAAAGAAGAGGTGTCTAGGCAGGTGTCACGGATTTCACTTTCAAGAGGACCGACCTCCACTTCAGTTTCTTCCATGTACGACTACTCGTTTGAGAAGCTTCGCTTGAGAACCAACGCGAAGGGCGCCGCTTTGGTTGGCCTTTTTCTACTTATTTTCTTTTCTTTCCTCCTTTCCTTTCTTTTTTATTCCTGTTTGTTACAATGCGTTCTAGTATATCTTTGATACTACGATCATCCTCATATCCTCACATGCCCCGTGTCACTCGACCATGAATCGAAAAAAAAGAAGATTGAGAAATATTAAAAAGGAAAAGAAAAAAAAGTATACTTCTGAAGAGGCTGGTATTTGAATCTACGCCTGATAGTTAGGCACTCAAGTCCCCATTAACGAAGAGGCTCATCGATCTCTAGAGTCTGCCCTTCCTTTAGAAGCATGGAAACGGATATCGCCGTTCTATCCTCGCCGTCAAGGGGTTATCAATCACATGCAATGGAAACCAATTCTTCTTTCCAGACTCCTTGAATTCTTGGTGCTTATGGATATAAGTCGGAAACGGAAGCTCATGGCGATATAAGAAAACCCGCATTATTTGCCGGCTAATATGCTCCAAGTGAAGTGCTTAAAACGCAGACTGAACTGTCCAACTCACGTTTCCACCAGAGAAGCCCTTTCTGTCCTCTGGACCAACCTTTTGTTCCTATTTCCGAATAATCCCCATTCCATTTTCATGTTTTTATATCCCTTTCCCGAACAAAAAGAGCAACCTCACAACTCATCCCTCCCCGTTGCCTTCGCCGTAGCAGGCTCCTCCTCCTTCGAAACCTTCTCCTCAGGCGTCCACCCAAGGGCCTTGAGGCGCTCGCTCAAGATGGGGTGCGAGTAGTGATACGCGGCATACATCCAGTCGGCGTCCATGGTGCTCAGGTTCTGGATCTGGAGCTTGACGAGAGATCGCGCAAGGTTGGCCTTGTGTCCCAGACGGTTGGCGAAGGCGTCCGCCTCGAACTCGTAGCGGCGGCTGAGGATGTTCATGAGGAGCTTGATGACGGATTCGGTGGGGGACAGGACGTCGGAGAAGAGGAGGAAGCCGATGATGATGGGGCGTTGGAGGGTGAAGCCGAAGGAGGAGTAGAGGGAGGCGTTGTTGATGAAGACGGAGAAGAGAGAGAAGATGTAGATGAAGTGGACCTAGACATTTGAGTTAGCCCGATTTGACTGATGCGCTGGGATAGAGTGTGAGCAACGTACCTGAGTGATGCCAAAGAGCCTCGTAGTGTGACCTTCGTGCCAGTGACCAAGTTCGTGGGCAAGGACAGCAATGACTTCATCTTTTTCGCTCTTCTCGATCAAGGTGTCATAGATAACGATGTGCTTCTTCCAGGGCAGACCGAAAAAGTAGGCATTGCTGTGGGCGCTGCGCTTGCTTCCATCGATAACGTAGAGTTCATGAAGGGGGAACTTTAGGCTAGCAGCGAGGGCCTCGACACCGGTCTTGAGCTCTCCCTCCTCGAGGGGCGACAGCTTGTTGAAGAGGGGCAGGATGAAGATGGGGTAAACGGTAATCATGAAAGCCTGGAGGCCGGAAGTGAAGAGCCAGAGGTAGAAGAAGAACTGATCACCCGTCTTCTTGATAATGGTGAGGAAACCAGCCAAGATGGGAGGGATGAGAACGACGGACAAGATGTTGGACTTGATCAGATCGGTGACGAAGAGCTTCGGCGTCTGCTTATTGAACCCGTACTTTTCCTCGAGGACGAACGTATGGTATATCGAGCTGGGCAGAGACAGGACCTGGTTGACGAGGACGAAAGCGAGGACGAAGACGATGGACTGGGAGATTTCGCCGCGGAAACCCTCGGGCGCGAAGCGTAAGAGTATATCACCGGCGAAATCCCACATCTTGGGCAGCACGTCGAATTGGATGAAGGCGAGGTTCTGGACGAGGCCCCAGAGGTTGTTGACCAGGGAGTAGCGGGCTTTGGCGCGGCCGTAGTCTTGGCTCTTGTCGAAGACTTCTTGCGATACTTCGTGTTCGAGGACCTTGGGGACGACGGGTTTCTGGAGGACGCGGTACTGGCGGAGGGTCAGGAAAGTTTCGAGGAGGTATTCGCCGATGGAGAAGCCCATGATGAGCCTCTTCCAGGGGAAGAGGGGCCGGTCGAGAGCCCGCGCGAGGCGCTGGAGGGGTCGAGTTAGCTGTCACGAGCCGACATCAACGGGGGACATGGGGAGGGCAAGCCTACCTGGAGGAAGTCCATATTGGGCTAGAAACGCGCTTCGTAGCACCAATAGAGGGTAGAATTAAGGAATGGACGCAACTTCACAAAAGAAACAGAAATTGCGGTAGATAAATTGGGGGAGAGAATGAAAAGAAAAAGGACGAAAGGGTGAGGGTGAGTGAGTGTGTAAGAGTTGGTTGCCTTTGCGCTTATGGTTCATCGGACAAGCTGTCCTCCCGCGCTCCGAAGTATCCTTCGTGCCTGCGTAAGGCGAAGGATAAAGATAGCGCACGTGCTGATTGGTCAAAGCTGTTTCAGTCCACAGCTTCAAGTCTCGAGTACGAAGTACTTAATCTCTTATCTTATCAATTTAGCCTGCGATTAGCCGCGCCACAAGATCCACAACTTCATGCGTGCTCCGATTGTTGGTTCTGACGTCTGGCTTGTAGCTCTCCAGCTGTCCACATTTGCGGTCATTAGCCTCGATGGAACAGCTGTTCCTGGATAGCCTCACCCTTGACGAACTCGGCCTTGCACCCCGACTCTGTGCAATTTGGGCTAGAATCCTATATGTGTGATATTCTTCCAACTGTGTTATAAGCTTGAATAAACCGGGCAGACAGCCATTTCGTCACACCGCAACACTTATTAGCTACAAACCTGCCGCCGCCTACATCTCCTATACGCAAGGTTGAGCCATGGCTTCCGCTAGCTCAGCAAACGGCATTGGTGACGCCATTGTCGCATTCACACTCGACGGCCGCTTCCCAGAGTCCGAGGATATTTCCTCTTTACCCATCACGTCGGAATCGCTCCCCCCAGCGCTGGCAGCATTAGCGAAGACAAGGACGGATCTCGAGGTATGCACAACAGGGATCCCGGCATTTTCCACCTTGAGCAAAGAATCTCCTGGTTGGTTGCTAACTCGCGACGGGTATAGAAAGAAGTACACGAAATAAACGAAGATACCAAAGACGATGTTAGCTCGTGGGTTCGAAATGCGAAATCTTTGCAAGAGGACATTGTTCGGTCCAAGGTGATTGCAAACGACATAATCCGACAGTCCGAAACGCCGGACGTATCGGGAAAAGCGATCGAGGATGCCGAGTCGAGAGTCGAGTTCCTTTCACGAGAGGTCCAGTACACCCGGCAGCTGCAAGAGACGCTCCAGAGCATTAAACACGTCAACGAGCTATTGTCCAAGGCGGAAGAGGCGAGTAACGAGCGCAGGGTCTTGGATTCTCTGCACTTGCTAGAGCGTACGTGATGCAGCGATCTCTTCGATTTCTCTGGGGAGGGCATGGAACAACTAAACTAACAGTGGGGCTCACCTACTTAGAATCCTGGGCAGCTATGGATGGTTTACCTATTGGCAAGACATGTCGAGCTGTGAAGCTTCTAAATGTCAGATCTTTCGAACTAAAGTCTCGAGTTCATGAAGTCTTGGACCAAGTTTGGAAAGATCTCGTGAATGTCGATATTGACAACAATTTAATCAGGATCCAGGAGCACGACGATGGTAAGCCTAGCCCCCGTCGAATCGGGTTCCCAGCACCCGGAATGGGTTGACTGATGCTTACATTCGTGGAACAGGTAATCAGTTGAGCCTCGCCGACGCCGTAATCGGATTGAGGGCCTACAAAGAAGTTGAAGAGAGGATGGAGCAACTGTGGCACAACCTAGACGGTGCCATTCTAACACCTCGGATGAATCTCACAAGCTCCACGCTGCCTTCAATTGTTGCCGATACTGTAAGTCTTACCTACCTTGATGGTAGAATTCACTAGATGTTCAGTCCGTACTGATATCCCCGCCCAAGAATACTCTGTCCCTCTCCGGAGAAGCCAGTACGAGTGCGGAAGAATTATTCGCCGATCTCTCACTGGTCTTCTCCTTCCTAGCCCAAAGGCTACCCGCCGACCTCTTGGAGATTCTATGTTCCGTAATGATGGGTGACGTTACTACGCGGATAGTGAAAGTGTGGCTAGATTCCGCGATACCGCCGGCGCTAAAAGATGTCGACAAGTTCCAAGATGTCATAAAGAGTGCCGAGCAATTCTGCGCCGTCCTCGATGCCCACGGATATACTGGCTTTGAGGATTTGAAGAACTGGGTGAATAATGCGCCGACGATTTGGCTCTCTAAGTGCAGAGAAACGGCCTTGGACTCTGTTCGATCGAAGCTCTCTAGCGGTAAGTGTAGCCTGCCCGGCTTGGAATCGAGAAGCATTTTCACTGATGGCTCGTATAGGGATTGGTAAGTCCAAGGCGGTGGAAAAGATTGAGAAGCAGATGGTGTCGCTAGCAGAAGGAAAGGAACTAGCCAAATCGGGGACGGTTAAGTCCTCGGCGAATGAACAGGACTGGGACTCGGCATGGGGTTTCGACGAGGAGATGGAGGAGGAACCTGAAGAGGCACCCGAACCGACACCCGACGAAGCCGCCCCCGTAGCCTCGGCGGAAGACGATGGGGCTGATGCATGGGGCTGGGATGACGGGCCGGAAGATGTCCCAGAGGAAGAAGCTGTCGCCGAGGCAGAGGGACCGAGTGTGGAGAAGATGGACGAGGACGATGAAGCGGCTGATGCGTGGGGATGGGGAGAGGAAGATACGGTCGAGGAGCCGCCGCCACCGCCTGAACCGAAGAAACAGCCAGCGGCCACGCGGCGGAAGGAGACGAGAACGCGCGACGAGCACGAAACTAGAGAGATGGTCTTGAAAGAAACCTATCATATTTCCTCGATGCCGGAACCCGTTTTAAGCCTAATATTTGCGATACTAGAGGATGGAGCTGCGCTTACAGGGCCGGGGTAGGTTCATGTCGTTTATTTTTTTCTATGCCCCTCTCGGTTTTGTTGAAGGCTTAGAGGACTAACAACAGCAGGAACGAGACAAATCTTGTTGCGTCTGCGGCGTCGGGCCTGTTTGGCGTGCCAACTTTGGCACTTGCTCTGTTTAGAGCAATCTCTCCTTACTATTACTCTCTAGATGTCGGTGGCAGCATGTAAGTTCGTCCCTATTTTCTACTCGCCAACGCTGGCTCCTCTGGAATCGGTTTCAACTAAAACGATTATCGGGAGTTAGGTATCTTTACAATGACGCCATGTATTTGGCAGAGAAGCTCGCTGAGTTCTCAAAGGAATGGAAAGCGCGCGAAGATCTCAGCGTCCGGGCGCGGAATATGCTGCGTATCGATAACGAGGTGAAGAACCTCCAGAGCTTCGCGAATCGTGCATACAGCACGGAGATGGCGACGCAGAAGACCGTGATTCGCGATCTCCTGGGAGGTGAGTACCTATTTACACAGTTTGGGGTCTTTTCTTCTCTTTCATACTCTTGTTCTAATGAGAAGAGAAATACAGGAACGCATAGTCTCATGCACCAAGAGGAAATGGAGAGCTGCGTCGATTCTACAGTGGCTCGAGTCAGAGCTATGGCAGTAACATGGGACGACATACTCGCTAGGTCCGTCTGGTGTCAAGCCGTAGGATCCCTCGTCGACACGCTCGCGACGAAGGTCATCTCAGATGTCATGGACATGTCGTCCATTGGACAGGACGAGGCGTACAACATTGCCAACCTGATCGCGAAAGTGACGGAGCTCGACGACCTCTTCCTCCCCAGCAAGCTTTCGGGACGAGAAGCGGAGTCATCGGCTGGAGAGGTGGCGCTGACGGCGCAGTACGCGCCCTCTTGGCTCCGGCTGCAGTACCTGTCGGAAGTGCTCCAGTCGAACCTTAACGAAGTGCGGTATTTGTGGTTCGAGAGCGAGCTGAGCTTGTATTTTTCGGCGGAGGAGGTTGTAGATTTGGTTAATGCTAGTTTTGAGGTGAATGCGAGGTCGAGGGAGGTTATTCGCGAGATTGGGGAGAGGCCGCATCCGAGGGTAGAGTGAGAGGGAAGCCGGATGGGCGTGTGAGCCTAGGGGTAGTGGGAGTGAATATTGGGAGGGGATAGTTGGAATTCGATATATCGGATCGATAATATCTCGTCTCGCCTTGGGGCGCGCGACTTGCGAGTCCGTTGTTGCGGGAGAGCAGAACTGCCAATTGAGACCTCAACTTTAATCTCTTGCGTTGAAGAACGATGGCTTACAGCTTTTGTAGTAACCCTAGCCTCTATCTACGACGTCTAGTACCGCATTGGACGGGCGTTTGAGTACAAGCTGTCCGCTGTTCATTATCACCATGAGTTCGGAAATTTGGACCCATGTTCGAGTACCCAATTTACTGTAGTCACCTTGAGCGTTCGGATTCGGCGTCATCAAGTGTTTCAGCCCCGCCACATTCCAATTGGAGGGTAGGTGATGAGTACTAAGCATCGCCTCGTAGAAGAAAATGTGGAAGACCAATATTTGGCGGATACTATTTCTCTTCTTATGCTCCTCGACAGCGCTATGGGAGTATTTTCCGAACTTCCCGAATCAGAACGAAAAGCTGTCCGTTGGGGGCACGAACGGAGGCTCTGGAATGCTGTGAGAGGACATCTATAATTTAGGCCAGCATTGCGATGTTGACCTTGACGTCTCCGTTCCCTGTCTCGATGACAAATCCACCAAACTGGGCCCCACGATTCAGGTACCAAGATTTGACGTTGCAGAACCCCACATTGCAGTCCGACTCGAACTGGCAAACGACCGCCAGCACTGCCAGCGCCAGACGCAGTCTCGACCCAGCCCAGTTCCGAAGCACATCTGCATCTCCAAAGGGGCTTGGACCAAACTCGTGGACTGGACCTCGAGCTGAACAGCCAGCCGTTGGACCAAGCCAAGCCAAGCGACCCATTTTCCCATCCCCTTTCCCCAACATCGAACTGTCTCACACTCATTTTAATCCATCTGTAATAATTTCCGTTTCCACACGAATCCATACTCCGATAACCTGCAAGCTTCGCCGCGTGTCGTCTCTCTTCCTACCAGACCATAACCATCCCTCCCCTTGCCCCGACTCTCGATCGACCTCTCTTCTACCAGCCTACGGAACAACCCCTTTCACCGAGCCGCCCGGACCGAAATCGAATCCGAGCATGCGACGATAACGTAGCGAGCCTTGGCAAAAGAACCATCCTCTTTTTATTTTTATTTATTTTTATTTTTTTTATGTTGTGAAGAATAAAAAGAGACTTGCAAGCCAGCCTGCCAGCCCGCTAAGTCGCTGATGGATGATACCCTACCGGAGCAGAACACAATGTCTAGACGCTGGGCTCGCCGGGTGGAGCGGAGCTGCTGTAAATTCATTAGCTATGTTCCCTTAATCTTTGTCTGGTCTTTGACCTCGTGGGCTGTATGGGTCGATGTAATGATCGGCTCCACGACGTCCAAGGTCTCATGGATCGGTAAGTGCCTTTCGACCTCTTTTCACGTCAATGGATCTCAAGACACATAAACCATCTCTCTTCCTATGCCACCGTCACACTTGATACAAAGAGCTAACGCCGATATGTGTGTCCGCTCCATCCAGGAACCGGCTCTTCTATGGGCGCCGTCACCCTCTTCCTCCTCCTCAACTGGTCCTACATGACCGCCGTCTTCACCCACCCCGGCAGTACCACGAGCCTCAACGGCGACTACACCGCCCTCGAATCCCCTCCCCACGCCACCTCCTTCACCGTCAAGGCCAACGGCGAGATCCGATTCTGCAAGAAATGCCAGGCCCGGAAGCCCGACCGAGCCCACCACTGCTCTACCTGCCGCCGCTGCATCCTCAAGATGGATCACCACTGTCCCTGGCTAGCCACCTGCATCGGCCTGCGGAACCACAAGGCCTTTCTGCTCTTCCTCATCTACACCACCGTGTTCTGCTGGTACACCTTCATCCTTTCGGGCGCTTGGCTGTGGGAGGAGATTGCCAATGATACGACCTACCTCGAGAGTCTGACCCCCGTCAACTTTATCCTCGTTTGCGTTGTCGCCGGTATCATTGGTGTTGTGGTCGGTGCCTTTACCGTCTGGCACCTCGTCCTGGCGGGCCGCGGCCAAACGACCATCGAGTGTCTCGAGAAAACCCGCTACCTGTCCCCCCTGCGTCAGTCGCTACAGAATAGCTACATCGCCCAACACTCGGGCCCTTCGGCCGCCTCGCCCAGCTACGGCCAGCAGCTCCTCGATATCCACGCCAACTCTCTGCCCGGCATAACGCGCCCTGAAGAAGGCGAAGAGGTCCGAAGCTATACGCCGGCAGCGCCGTCCGCCCAGCTTTCCTATGCGGAGCTCGAGCGACGTCAGCGAGAGAAGCGGTACGAAGAATACCTCGACGAGCAGGACTCCAGCAAGCTCCCCCACGCCTTTGATCTCGGCTGGAAGCTCAACTACAAACACCTCTTCGGGCCCTCACCTTGGCTCTGGATGTTCCCCATCCCCAACACCACCGGCGACGGATGGAGCTGGGATGCCAGTCCCAAGTGGCTAGCGGCTAGGGAAAGGATCCGCATCGAAAGGGAGGCCCAGCGTGCGAGAGAAATTCAGGCCGGCTGGGGCGGCGGAAGTGAATACTCCCCCAACTTCCCCAACGGCGCCGCAGGTGAGGGCCCCGCCGCCGCTGCCGGGGCAGGCCGACATTACCTCGCCTCGCCCATGAACTCGTCCTCTCCGGGATGGCGGACACCCTCCAAGGCCGACCGCGTACTCGGCCGTGATCCTAACCTGTACGCCGACGTGGTCCCCATGCGAACCCTCAACAAAACGGGCAGAACAGTCCTCCACGACGACCTCCTCGACACGGACGACAATGACGATGACGATGACGAGGAAGAAGACTTCGGCATCACCGAATCTACCCCTGCCCTCTCCAAACCGAGCTTGTCTAGGCCCGTGCGGCCCACTAACCTGGGAGGATCGACCGCGCGGTGGCAAGCCGCTGGCGCCAGCGGCATCTTGAGGAAGACGAGCCCTACTGCTTTGACGAGTCGATCTACTTTTGACACGGCGGCGGCGCAGCATTCTGCCTCAGAGGATACGGTTGATTAAGATTATGTGATTGTTATGTGTTCCTTTTTATTGATACCCGTGTATCATCGTCATGTTTATTTTTTTGTTTTCTCGTTTACATGGCTGAGAGAATCCACCTCTTCAGTCTCTCGAGTAATATGGCTGTCCTTTTCCAGCTTCTTCTACATTTTCTTGTTTTGTTTTGAGGGTCTCTTCGCATAGCCGCGGCGTTTTTCAAATGACTTTTTTTTTTCCCTCTTCCATTTTTTCCCCCTCCCCAAATTTCTCTCTCTCCTTGTAAGCTACCTTGATCCTATCCTCTTATCCTCTTTCCTCTATCTTGCCGGGTTGGGAAGGGAATGATGGACTAGATAGATAGGGCACACCTTTACCTGAGGTTTGCATGGAGCGGAAAATATGAAGAATAATTATATACAAAAAGGAATTTACCTTTTATTTTTTTTCCCCTCCTTTCAGTGGAATGAAAACATCTACCAGTTACTTTATAGCAAATCCACAAAAACTCTTGCCTTTGTTGGAGGGTTTATGAGCAAATGTCTGTATGAGGTATCCACATTCTTGAAATATTCCCAACTTCAACAGGTAGGAAGCACAAGAGATTATCTCACTGAAGGGAGGCTGCCTGCCTTGTAAGGAGGGCCAAAAAGGATCTATACAGTAGAGGACACGGCCGTGATAGCCTCATTCTAACTCAAGACTTCCAACAAAGGTCAAACAACATCAAAAAGGCCGTCTCGAGTTTGTTGAAAACGCAACACTCATTTTCTTATCTAACATGTATTATCATCATCAACCGAGACAAGCAGCATTCATGACATGAACAAGGGAATAGAAAGAAAGAGGGACAAGTTACTCCGTCACTTCCCTTCCCACTTTCATCAGTAATTGTACAAAGAGAGAACGCAGTGAAAGGATATCAAGGCCGTAAATCCCAGAAGCAAAAGGATTTCGTATGTGTCGCCAGCATCATCAGTCTTTATGTAGAAAACAAAAACAAGAACAAGCCCTTTTTGCAAAAGAAACGTGTACAAATCCAAAAATAAGGACTCCATAAAGAGAAGAAAACAAAATAACACAGCGAAGGCAATGACGTTGTATAACCGGTCCTTTTTCGGCTCTGAAAATGTGTGCTGTGTTCTTCTTATTGCTTAAAACTCCCTTACATTCCCATTTCAGTATCCCAAGTAGATTCCCAAGTCTATAGTAGCTTTCATATTCCCTTTCCTGATGCATACAAGTATATGCCTCCTTTGTTCTGATGGAGGTATGAAAAAGTCTTTCTTTCCCTTGCCGCGGTGGGCTTGGATGATGTGATGTTTCCTTGATTCGCCTAATCCCAACAAAGAAAGTCAATGCTGCCAATACAAAAGAAAAAGAAAAAGGACAAAGCGAACCGACACCGTGAGTGAAAGTCTTTGACAAAGGGGAAAAAAATTGAAAGGACAAAAAAAGCAAGACAGGCTATGTGTAAATGCGGAAGCGACAGGTAAAAGGTACAAGCAATGCTATGTGTGATGGCAAAGAGGAGGAATAATAGTATGACAGAGAATCGAAAAAAAAAGAGGTAAAGAAAAGAGAGAATCAAGAAGTGAATAGATACCAGGGGGAAGAAGGAACAAGTCTAAACCGGCCACCATATGGTTGTATCCTTTCCCTCCTGATGGTAAATGTATGAGCCCGCTCAGTGGGTGAGTGATAGCCCGACAATTCCAGCCACGCTCTTAGATGAGCGAAGAATCAGAACTAGCCTTCTCAATTGTCAACCTGGGGCTACCATTCGACCTCCCAAAGACGTTAAGGCCAAGGCCAAGACCGAGAAACTTGCCCGATGATTCGGTCGGGGCTAGGCGGTCCTCTGGGCAGTCAAGTAAGATACGAGTAATCGGGTCCTTCTTAATGTAGCAGAAGAGCGTCGAGAAGACGTACTCCTCGCCGATGCGGTTCAGCAGCGGTAGGGTCCGGAAGCCTTGCTTCAAATTAGCTAGCTTAGCCGTGAAAGTGGCCATGGGAGGGCGGTCGTTGTAGCTTTCGCCATCCGACGACAGCTTCACGGACCACTTTACGAAGACAAGATCGGGATACTTCGTGGTAACCTTGAAAGTGAATCTCCTGTTAAAGAGAGGGTTGAAACCGTTCTCCGGCACAATCTGCGTGCGGTGGATGAGAGGTGTGTCCGAGTCCGTGGCAAGGAGTGAGTCGGTCTCATTTTTGTAGCGCTTGTCGTTCGGATGGAACACTTCCACCTCAACATATGGGTGGACCGCCTTGCTCGACGACATTCCGCTCGGTCGGATGAGCTGCTGAGCTGAGATGACATCGATTGAGAAGCTGACCGTCTTCCGCTCCCGCTTGCCCCAAACGTCGTCGCACATGTGCTGAATCTCGCGCAATTCGCTTGGCTTGAGCACGTAGCCGGTGCTGTCGGTACCACCTTCGAACATTGCCCTGTTGAGTTGCATGCCGAGGTCGAAAGTCTGCCAGTTCAACGCCGCCATCTGGACACCGCGTCGCCAATAAATCAAAGGGTCGAAGTTGTGGGATGAAATTCGCTTCCGGTCGGGATAGACTCGCATGAGATAGCGCATGTTGTGTCGATCAAGCGCCTTTTTTGCCTCTCTCGGTTTGCTGTACCGTGAAAAGGTTGACTCCATGAACGAAAAGATGTGGTTAAAGGTCTTCGCTTCGGGGTAATCAAACCCCCTAAACTTGACGCCAGCACAGTAAACTGCCAAATCACCCAACACTCTCTCAGTCTTCATTTCTGGGTTGTCCGAAGGTTTGCTGCCATTGACCGGAACATCCGCAAGGCTCTCCTCATCGCTCCCACCACTGCTGCTTGCGCCATCGAGAGACACGCTCTCGGCGATGGGATCGACTTTGTTGTTCCTAGCCGTGGCTGCTCGACGAGAATAGAGCGGCCCTAGAAGCGGGCTTTGAGGGAGTGAGTGCGGCAGCGACCCACCATTATCGATAACAAGAGGCCTCGAGTAGGGAGAGCTAAGGCTGCTGCCGCGGCGACGGCCGTTGACCTCGAGCGGGCGCGGGTCCTCTCGGGTGTACGTCTTCTTAACCTTGATCAAAATCCTGCCCATCAGCTCGCTGGGCGAGGGGAGCTTATCCGAGGTCGGGTCGAGAGGTTCGGTGACAAGAAGATCGCCAAACGTCTCCTTCATAATGGTTGCCATCTTGGCCTGCTGTGTCGGGTTGGTGTGAACCTCAAGGGAAATCCAAAGCGGGAACTTGGTCTTCACGAATGCATATCTCTTAATCGTCGTCATGACTTCCTGGAAGCTGATCGAAGTGGTCATAGACCTGCCGTGGAGCACCACCGGCTGCCCGTCGCTACCATCCCAGCAGTCAACCTCGACACACCTGCATCCGTCGATGAGAGCGCTAATGTAGCCCTCCACGCTGGACTGGCCAACAACCTGCCTACCAAGAAGGTAAGTATTGTGCGAACTGGAGATGAAATATTCGTTCATGGGCCGGTCGAGGGTGATCTCTTTGGGGGTCTCAACAATCGGAGCGTTGTAACGAGACGTGAGGAAGCGGGTAAAGCCAGCAGCTGACATGGCACCCTTGATGTTAGATGATGTTTCCGATCCCTTATCTGCGAACTCGGCAAAGGCAGCTCGCCACTTAGAAGCATCTTCATCGATATTCTCGCCCTGGATACCGCCGACAAAGCCGAAAAATTCGTCGATGGAAAGGCCTTCCTCCGGTTTGCTTGCGAGACTGGAGAAGATGTCACCAACATCATATCTGGTCTTCATGAGGTCGACAAACTCCTTGAATCTCAAGTAATCCATGCGACCGCTATTTGTTCGATCCGCGGCACGAAACCTAGCAAGAAGCTGGCTTGGTGAGGCGTTAATATGAAGGTTTCGGCAAACGCGTTCAAACCCCTGGAAATCGAGACCGCCATCGGTGCCTTTGCCTCCAGGCCCATCTGAGCCTCTTTGCAGCAAAACCTCGCTCTTCCAGTACTTCTCAATGGCCTTATCGTCGAAAGCCATTAGGGAAGTCAGATTCTCGAGGCGATCCTGCCAGACCCTCTGCAGGGTGCCGGTCCAATTCTTGAAGGTCCCAATATCATCGGCAATCAAATGAAGCGTCTTCGTCTTTTGCAGCTCGGGGGCGGCATAGATGATAGAGAACCAGCGTGCGCTCTCGGATTCGGGAATGTCGAAGTCGCGGCAATACTGTCGAATGTCGGAATCGGACCGTATTTCCTTGATATCGTCGATGCGAATCTGCTTCCGCTTCCGAGCCCCTTCCCATAATATCCTTCCAGAACCAGGGTCCAGGACCAGGACGATTCGCTTCCACCGATTCTTCTTTGACACCTTCCGAAGGGGGGTACCTGTCAACAACTGGGACGGCCAGACAGGGCCGTCAATCCCGGGCGACGACGTGGCATTTATTGATGTGGAGGAGCTATTGGACAAGGCCTCCTTGTACGGAGTTGAGCCACCGTGGTGGGTTTCCTCACGATCGTCGGGCGAATCGTCCGAGTCGGTAAGGACAGCAGAGATGTGGTTGAGATCAGGAGGTGCCGTAGTCGTGCTGCCGCTCCGCTTTCGAACCATTGCCGGGCCAACACTCCCTTCCCGGCTGTTGGGCGCCGCCGAGGACTGCCGACGCCGCGTGACAAGGTTTGTCGCCTTGTTGGAGAACCGTCGGACTAAGCCGCTCTTGGAGGAACTGGGAGGTTCTTGCGATAAGTTAGGGCTCCCGGAAGCGTGCTGCGACAAAGAAGACAGGCTCGGTTTGGTTGCCAAGACAGAGTCGGGGAGCCGCGTATAAGGAATTTGGTCATCGGAGGTCGAGCCCCGATTCGGATCCGGAGACGGAACCACGGAGCTGTTCGCAGTGAAACCGGGAGTCTCGGGGAATAGAACTGGCGACATGTTCTGTGGGCTGGACGAGATCGAAGAGGAGGATACGGCTGAGGGCGGTAGAGTAGAATAGTAGTGTGGGGATTGAGTTGCTATATTAGTCTGAAGGTTGACCGGGCG